CCGACGAAACACTGGGCCGCCTGCAGCGGAGCGCGCGAACTTAACCACTCGGCCACGGGGCCAGCCCCTCAACACAAAATTTTAAAATGACCTGCTCTACTAAGTAAAGATGATAAGTTCAATACATGTGTTTACGTTACCTCTTTAAAACCTACGATGGTTACTTTTATGATATTCACCTTGGACTGGGCTAAGAGATGCCCAGATAGCTGGTAAAACATTATTTCTGGGCGTGTCTGTGAGGATGGTTCTGTAAGAGATCACCATAAGATTCGGTAGACTGAGTAAAGAGATCTGCCCTCACCACTGTGGGTGGGCATCACTCAATCTGGTGAGGACCCAAATGGAACAAGAAGATGAAGGAAGGGAGATGAAGGAACTGAGATTTCCAACTTCTCCTGCCCTCGGACAACAGAGCTCTTGGTTCTTGGGCCTTCGAACTCCAGGACTTACACTAGTGGTCCCCAGGTTCTCAGGCCCTCAGACTCACACTGTAATCTACCACAGACGTTCCTGGTTCTCCAGTTTGTATACAGCAGATTGTGGGACTTCTTGGCCTCTATAACTGCATGAGCCAATTCCTACACGTCTCCTTGTATATGTATCTATATATACCCCATTGGTTGTGCCTCTCTGGAGAACTCTGACTAATACAAAACTCCTCCAAAATGTCAGTATTTGGACTTTTTGGGAAAAATCAAAAGACAAAAAGAACAAGAGGAGAGACCAGAGCCATAACATTTTGGAAGGCGAAATAGAGAATAATGAGTGCAACCATTTGGAAGAACCAAGAAAGTAGAGTTCTAATTTAATATTGAGGAGCAACCTGAGTTGTTCCACAGAACCCCCAAAGATGAAGCATTGTGGCACAGAAGTATGTGGAAGTGGGAGACGGGAGAATGGGCCCAATACAGGAGGATTGGTTCAAAGGCTGTTTAAGATGTAGCTACATTCCTAAGATTGACTTTGTGCTTTACACAGGCAGTGAATGTCCCTCCCTCTCCAGCAGAAGATGGCAGGTTGTTATCTGGATAAAGTGAAAGTGAGGGGCTCTAGACCAGGAGAGTTCAGGAACAGTTGAGGCCATCATCACCGTACAGAAAACAGGGGGTAAAGGGCATGTTTATATACGGGATGCTGACTCCCCCAGGCCTTTTTCTCTACTGGCTATTGGCAATCATGAAATCTTGCTTTGGGGGAATCTGAGTAGCCCAAGAAGAAAAACCTAAACATTCTGACACTAGGGGTCCCCCAAGGAAACAGACCAGGTCAATCACCATGCAGTGGACTCCCGCTTCAAGGAGCTCCACACACAGAGTTAGAACATCCCATTCAATCAGCTCTTCATTAAATATGACTCTTCACTAAGAACACAGTACCAGGCATCACTAGATGACTTAGAAATGTCTCTGATATAAAGACCAGAATGCACAAATGGGGTGGGGGAAATAGTGGAAACAGAATATACCGTGAGATGAGAACTTTTAAAAAATCCTACCATTAATAGTCTCAGAGAGATAAGAGAAGACATTGGATAGATGAAAAGGATACTTTAAAAAGTATCCTCTTTCAGATAACACAAAAGTTTCAGAAATTAAAAATATGATAGCAAAAACAAAAAACAAAAACATTGAATAGAAGGGTTGGAAGATAGAGTTGAAACACTCTCCCAGGAAGAAGAGCAAAAGACAAAGAGATTGAAAGATAAGATGGAAGAGATGAGGAAAACTAGAGGACCAGTCCTGGAGATTCCACATCTGAACAACAGGAAGTGTAGAACGAGAACAGAGGAGAGGAGATCATGAAAACAATTCAAGACAGCTTGCAGAACTGAAGTTTACGACTTTCCAAACTGAAAGGGTCCACCAAGTGCCATGAACAACAGGTGAAAAGATCCTCATGAAGGGAGGTGAGAGTTCGGCGTTCTGGAGATGAAGAAGAAGACAGCTTACAAATTTTCAGGGAGACTGAAAAACAAGTCCTACAGCAAGGATCAGAATGGCGTCAGACTTTTCACTAGTAGCATTGGAAGTTAGGCTATGGTGGGACAATGACATCAAAATGATTAAGGAACATGAATCTACCCCCTGCCAAATGTCAATCAACAGTGAAGATGAATAAAGGTATTTTCAGACATGCCGGATGTGATCTTTACCTCCTATATACTCTGTCTCAGGAAACTACTGGGGGATATCTTCCGTCAAAACAAGGAAGTTCATCAAGAAAGAGGAAGTCGTGGGATCCATGAAACCCAGCTTTAAATTCAGGAGAGAGAAGAGAGGAATCCCCAGAATGACAATAAATGGTGATGAATATGAGAGCTGAGCACCAGCGACAGAGGGAACTTGTCCAGATGGGACAAAAAGGTCCCTGAGAAATCTAAGAAGATGAAATGGGTACATTGTAGAATGCCATCTGATGTCTTTGAAAATACTGAGAGCAGATTTAGACAGAAGTTTGAGGTCAATAGTGATAAGTGTCTACAACTATACTGTTCAACACCATAGCTACCTGCTGCCTGTGGCTATTCAAGTTTAAATTAAATAAAAAATACAAAAACTCACTTCTGCAGTCACACTAGTCACATTTTGAATGCTCAATAGCCACATGTGGCTAGCAGCTACCATACTGCATGGTGCTGGTATAGAACATTTCCATCATTACAGAAAGTACTCTTGGATACTACTTGTCTAGAAAAATTAAGCCAAGGGAGGAAAAAAGGACAGAGAAAGAAATATCAATTCAGAACATATATCTTACATATAGAAAACAAATCCTTGCTCAGGAAAAGAAAAAAAATCATAATATATGGAGTTCAGCTGTGATCAGCCTTTTGCTAATAATAATGTAAGCATTGAATTCTGAATTACACAAATAGATCCTGATTGGGAGGATAGAGAGATGGAAGATGAGGTTTGTGTCTGGTGAGAGTGGGGATTTATATGAAAGTGAACTCAAGCATCATCTTCCAATGTGGAAACCTAACAGATAATGCCCATGGGTGGAAAAATCAGAAAAGAGCAATACAGACGCTTCGTTAAATGTGCAGAGATAAATAACGAAAGATTCAGCTAAAAGAGTTAACATGATTGTCTCCAGGGAGGGAAAATAAAACAGTGGGAACAGGGCCACTGATTTTAGTAACAAGCCTTGCAAAACTATTTAATTCTTAAATGATGTGTATATACAATTTGATTAAAGTAACTCATGAAATCAAATAATGTGCAACAACAAAAACTCTGTTGTGATGCCATCTCCCCCGTGGAATCTCTTCTAGTTCTCAGACACGACACTGCTGTACTTTCATATTTAGGTTGGCATCGCCTGAAGCTCTGCTAGTGGCACCTAACTGTACCCTTCTTTGCTTTGTAGTCAATTAGTAGGCTTCTAGTCAAGCTCCCACTTATTATAAATTCTCAGATTACTCTCTATTTCAGAAGGTTCATAATATTTTGGTATTTCAGTTTAATGTAGGGTAAAGGGGAAGACTCCAATAAAATGTCAAAAAAAGGTAATAAAAAAATAATAATAGCTAACATTGATTGACCACTTACTATGTGCAAGGCATGTAACAAGAACCTACCAATAAATCAGGGTGTCAATTTATTCTTGTCCCACAGAAGAGACCAAAGATAGGCCAGAAAAATGTCTCGTAGACAGAGTTGCTCTTTCATCCTGAGAGGGCATAATTTCAGATTAGCATTAGAATGTCTATGCTTGTTTTTTACCTTATGTAATTTTGTGCTATACGTTGTTTTAAAAATGGGCCTGTGTTATTTATCAACTGAACACCATCTTTTAAAACGCATAATGAATAGTAAGTCACTGTTCTTCTAGTTTGCAGCTACCAAGTGAACGATCTCATAGTACGCACATATCCCTCGGTCATAAGATCTGTGAGAACATACAAAATGAAGAGGAATGATAGTTAACATGATAAAATGAAGTTCAATTTTGTTGATCACCGTATGAATCACGGGAGAGGGAGAGGTACATATGTGTGAAATGTAAGATTACTTCCCCACATTTAACTAAAAAAGACCTATTACAATATGTTGAATCTCAAATCTGGATCAGGATATAGGTGACCCACAGGATTTCTGCCTCAGTACAGAGGAGTGGAGAGAGATTAAACCAGTGAAAACGGTCTTCAGGTAGAAAATTGTTAGATACTTTTTACAAGTCAATGTCTTCCACTCTGACGTGCCTAGTAGAGCATTATCTTCTCCTGGTAATTTACCGATTTCCATTTTACCTGCTCTTGCTGTTCGGAAATTGAACCCTCTTGTGCCTGCATTCACACTTTGCTTCTAGGAACCATCTGAGAAAATGGAAAATCAGTAATCCAGTTATGGATGAGAGAGGCTCTGTATTCCTGGCAGCCGGCTCTACGTAGGGAGGGAGAAGAAATGAATACGATCTCGGCATGGCCCCCTGGTTTAGTGATAGAAAAATGATGGGGCCTATTTCTCTAATTACACCCTGTGGATATCTTATCTAACGTCACCACCAAATATTTCACCTATCACTTTATTTTATCACGTTAAAAAAAACTGTTCTTGCCAACTTGATGTTTTCTGGATCTTATTCCTCCATTTCTTTCAAAACACCTGTAATTTGCCTGTAGCTCAGCTGGTGAGCTGTACGAGAGCAAGCATGTTTACCTCCGTGAGGACTGGGCAAATGACATGAAGAAAGCAGTTAGAGAAGGGTCAGAACCCCTCAAAGTTGTGCTAATTTTCTCCTAAATTCTTTCTCATGAATGTGGTATTCAACAGGGCTACAGTAAAGGAGAGCTCGAACCTAAATTTTAATCCCAACATGCTGGAAGTTAGGTAAAATGCCATTCTGTCTGGAGAGTTCTAAGCAAGCAATTTGTTGCCCTTGATCCTTTAGTGGAATTGATGAACAGGTGCTTTTCAGAAGATCACTCAGTATATTTAGCTTCTGAAATTTGAGCGACTCCAAATCTGATTGGCCGTTCTCGCCACATGATAATTCGGAGCCCAGGCACCACGCTGGCTCTTGTCTGGGGTTCTCAGGAGGGGAGAGTTGAGAGAGGCTTTGCTGCTGAGAAAAACTATTTGGTAGATTGAAGGTAAGGCCAAATTATGGCTTTTTCTGTAATGACTTTTCAGGAGATGTTCTGCAACTTCCCTCGAAGTATTTTCTAACATTTTGGGGCTTAACTGGGGAAATTAGTGACGGCAATGTGACTGGGAAAGTCTGTGACCCCATTGCCCTCCTCAGGCCCTACTAATATCCGACAAGTAGTGTGTGATAAGAGTGAAGCCCTCCACTAACCAATTTAGTGCTTGACTGAGTTGCCTTTCTTATCTAACAAAATTGTTTTTTTTTTTCATTTTTTGGCTTTGATTGTTTTCTTCTAAATATGTTATTATGAAAAACGATCTATGTTTTACATTCCTATATTTATCCTGTTCTACTGGGCTTCCTTTGCCTCAGAAGGAGCGGCAGTTTCGCTAGCTTAACAAAACCAGCCACAGGGGGGTATTGGTTTACATGGCGAATATCTTTAGGGAAAGGAACAGCTGCTCCAACTCATCATCCACTTTTGTCAAGAGAGACTCTGCCTCTCTGGGGTCAAACTAAGAAGGGCTTGGGAGATCCTTATGTTAGTTCCTGAACTGCAAACTTAGACCAAAGATCCACAGTCTTACATGCCTTTCAATCAATGCTTTAAAAATTTGTTATTTTCCAGGTTGGAACGGGAGCTACAGAAACGAAAGAGAAAAATTCATACAAGCCAATGGTTTTCGGGAAGAAAATAACCCCATTTCCTTGAGGTTTCTATTTTTCTTTTACAATCTATCAGCAGATTTATTTTCACATGTTCTAATTTGAAGCACAGGATATACTGTGTCCCACGTATTAGAGCAGTACGGAGACCTAACTCAATCTGCTTAGAATTTTGGGGCTGGGGGAGAAAATTCCAACTTCTTCCAAAAGGCTGAGCTGAAGTTTCTTTCACTATAGTTATTGCCTGAAAATATTTTTCTCCAAGTATTTGGGAACTTAAATACTTGTTCCTTTGAATCCAAACCCTCTCACTCCCTTCCTCTACTTCCTTTACACTAAATTGATCCTGTAGCCGGAAGGCTCAGTACTCAACGCGTTCCTGAAGAAATCAAGAGAAAGAAATTGGAAGCTTCAGTTTTTCAGACCTGTGTTTAAATGTCTTCTCTCATTAGCCCGCAAAAATATATGACTACGTAGAATAGATTAGTTGTAATCCTATTTTTATAATGTTATAAGATGATTTCAGTCCTGGGGAGAGATTTTAATGTATTTTCATTTGTCTGGAATGTGAAAAGTTTGTAGGTGCCACTACTACTCTGGGAAAATGGCAGATGACGAAGAGTATGAGGAGGTGGTGGAGGTAAGATTGAAAAACCCCAACTCTGACAGCAAAGTATTTTCTGTAGTGACAATCAGAGCCTTGTAGGTGAATTAATCATTCGAAAAATACATTGTCTATTATAACTTCACAAAGAGTCATCATTAAAGCATGAGAAAGGAATATTTTACATTCAGTTTCACTATAATTATGTGGGATTTAGAACTGAAAAGAAATATCACTGTTTCTCACTTTTGCTTTTCTTTAAACTCTCTAAAAAACAAAGTGTGGAGTAAAGGTGGATTTTAATTTGTATTCTAAAACTACCTTTTTCCCTTACTGCCAACCCTCTGATCAAACAGACAGAGGAGATGAAAAGAAAATTCTGAAAAGTGAGCTCTTTTTCTTGGTGTCTGCATAGCAACAGAGGAAAACAGCTACTTACTCTTTGTTTCAGCGAGCTGATTATCTATAGGGCGATACAGATTAAATGATCAGAATAATATATATGTGAGATTATATGCACATATGAGATTTTATATAGATATTTATATGTGCACTCACACACATATATAAAAATAAACTCATGATGTCAAGTGACAGTAGGAGCCACACTTTCCCACCAACTCCATTACATTTATCTAAGGGAACAAGACTAGCTTTTGTGTTTGAATTTTGAAAAAGAGCAAAGACAATAGTGAGCATCTTGATTATTGGTGGACATCTGACACATTTTACAAAGTTGCTAATTGTTTATTTCATATAATTTTGTTTTTATTATGTTACGGTTTTTCTTAATCAGCTCTTGCCTTTGGAGTCACATACATATAAATACATTGCCACTGAATCTGAAAGTGCTTAAGAATTACCAATTAATCATGATGATCTAAACATAGGAAAAGCTCCATGTGCCCAAGACACTTGGAGGCAGTTTTGAAAATCTGCGCTTTTTAGTAAGAGTGAAATTAACCTAGAATCAAATTCCAAATGAAAGTGCCAACATTTGTCTTTGGAAGATTATTTTATGGACCAGGCTATATTTAGATGAAGAAAACGTTATTTTATTCTACAAATAAAATTGCTTTTATTACCGAAGAATATGAAAAAAAACCCAGAACCAATCTCATACAATATAACATTCAACTGCTCTGGCTTAAATGCCAAAGGCCACATCCTCAATGTTCAATATTGTCACTAGTGTGCATTTTACATACATCCCTAAGGGTCAGAATAATCACCATCAAACACTAACACAATAAAAAATTAAATTGCCTTCCCTATGCTGGTAATACTGGGAATACTTTTTAGCCGCCAACTTAAATATCCCTTGTCTTTCTTAAAATAATTGTATTCATCAGTCACTGGAAATTGTCCTTAGTGCTAGACTTGATTGATTTAACTAGATGTCATAAAAATGGAAGGGGCTATTTTTAGGCATCTCATCCTTGCCATTTTTTTCCCATTACTGCTTCTGGGTCTGACCAGCAGGTGCTAAACTAATAGACTTCCTGCCAGAGATTCAGAACCAAGGTCTCTCTGACCTCAAAAACTATGCCTTGAGAATGGGATGGTGGCAGATTCGAGAAAATAGTCAGGGAAGAGGTCACAGAACAGGCAGGAACTAGTTTTAAGAATATATTTCCTAGGGATCTTGGACATTTAAATAAAATTGTGCTGTGACTTTCTACTCAAACTTAAACAGACTTGGAAAGAAAGGAAAAGAAACAAGGATGTACCATCTAATTAGTGGCACAGCTCTAAAAAAACCTGAGATTTGGCAGAGAGTTAATGCCGATCGTTTGGATAATGTTGCCCTTTTTTTTGGAGAAAGATTAACTCTGAGCTAACATCTACTGCCAATCCTCCTGTTTTTGCTGAGGAAGATGTGCCCTGAGCTAACATGCGTGCCCATCTTCCTCTACTTTATATGTGTGACGCCTGCCACAGCATGGCTTGACAAGCCGTGCATAGGTCCGTGCCCGGGATCAGAACCAGGGAATCCTGGGCCACTGAAGTAGAGTGTGTGAACTTAACCACTACGCCACTGGGCCAGCCCCTAATGTTGCCTTTTTTATAAGCTTATTTCTACAATCTATTGACCAATGTTGAGAGCCCAGGAAAGGTAATATTGGATGGCAACCAAAGAGCTGCTTTTCCTTGGATGCTAAGAAAATCCGAAACAGTTGTGAATCATTCATTTTAGTTTAATATTTCTTCTCAAGTCACTGATGTCTTGTGTGGCCAGAGGAATGGTTCCAAGTGGATCAGCATCAATAGAATATTCTGAAGTGTCCAAATGATATTTCCCATACGATGAAGGCACAAGCATGTAAAAGAGAAATTTTCTGTCTTTTTAGAGCTTATGATTTCTGTTGCTAGGTGTAAGAACACAGAGACAGAATTAGATTTCAAATAAAGAAAGAAATGGTACAGAAGCAAAGAGAATGCAAGAGTGAGGGACATTGGGCAAGTCTTCCACTAATTTTGCTGCAAGTGAAATAGAGCATGTGGTCTATTGACAGAGGTTAAGTAACTCGATGAGAGTTCACTGAACCGAGGAAAGAAGAAAGGAGGCCTTGGAGGGAAATTTTGCATTCAGTGTTTTCCCCTTTGTCTGAGTATATGTTTTGGTGGCAGAGAAAAGAGAAATGAAGCACAAAATGTTATACATTTTGTTGACTGAGAAATTGAGCCAAGTGTTTCATTTTTATCCCTTTCCTCGTGTGCTGTGGCCTAAACCAGTCTTTCCTTCTGTTCGCCCAGCTTTCTGGGTGAGACTGGGGGCAGGATTCCACTCTCCTGACGCATCTGAAACAAAATGTCAGCCAGTTCCTATCCGAGTCTATTTGTTGCTGGTGATGTCAGAAATACAACAAAAGTAGATTTGATTTCAGATCCAGCCTGCAGGCACCTCAGAACCATCAGTGGCAAATTGCTGCCTAACTTTCCCACATTTTGTGATGAGGAATCTTCTCATTTTTTCCTTCTTCCCTTGGCATTTGTAAACTTTCCTCTTAGCACCCCTTTTAGGACCATCACACTACTGGAAAGGATTCACCCATCACCCCAGAAGAAGCTCTCATTTCTTAGTGATCAGGGTGGTATAGGAATAATTGACATGCATATATGCCTTTGGATCTATTATTTCCATGGCACAATCCATTTAAAGATTTTGTTCACACTGAGGTTTCTGTTTTATTTTTGGTCAGCTAACAGTGAGTTTTACCACAGTTCCTCTCTACCCAACTCACACACTCAAGACATTGTTATTATATTCTTTTCTCAGCAAATTCTGTCTTAGGTACCATAAGGAAAAGTTTTACTTGTCCCAAATAAAATAGCTTTCCCTGATTAATAACCAGCCTCAGACACGTTTCTCATCACTCTGTGTCTCCTCGTCCAGTCTGATGGCATTCTCTTCAGCTTCCCTGAAGTTTTCACAAAGTTAAAATGAGTTCCAAAACATGAAGAGGCTCCCTCATCTCCTTCCTTCCCACAGATATAGCAAATTAACGGGGCAAGTGAAACAACCCGCGTGGTTCAGTTGAAGCAGAGGAGAAGTGATTTCTGCTTTGGTTCTCATGACAATACTTTTGTGCTCTATTTATAGTACTACACAGAAGAGACAGTCTACGAAGAGGAGCCGAGGGAGGTAAGACCCAGCCCACAGCTGCATGGGCTGCATGCTCATTAAAGCAGGAAGAGCCTTCTCCCCTCTTACACTCCCAGGGCCACAGCTCTGGCAAAAGGGAGAATCTAAGGAAGGATATCTCATCTGTGTGTGCCCAGCAGCTGGTGGTACAAGAATGAACGTTACCTGTTTGACAGGTTTTATCACTGTTTTTGCTATTCAACATATCCAAGATGGCTGGGGGATGGTTTTCCCCATTGCCTGTGTGGTATTTTTGGTGTAGGGGATGCTAATTAGAGTAATGATAGTGGCTCTAACCACTCTGACTGCAGCAAAGGGGTGACCGTAGACTTGTGATTGGCATAAGGACCAGCAGTTTTATTGTGTAGAGCTGTAACTTGTGGGGCACCATCTCTGCCAACAGGGATGATGCCTCCAAGCCTTTGTCCCTGATGATGCCATGAAATGCTACTTAGATTTTAGCACGTTAACAATTCTGAGAAAACCATTCCCATAAATATTCCACGTTGGAACTTTTTTCAAGGTGAAATACCTCACTCATTCTTTTCTGCATGGAGCAGTTTCTCCTGAGCACTACAAACAATATAGATGGCTAACCCTGAAGCCCACTCAGAGAGCCTATGACTGCATGAAAACTAATGTCTGTAGATGCTGTAAACTGGTTAGTTTCCAAGGTCAACCATACGTCAGTAATAAGAAGCAGAAAGTAACTTATTCGCAATGATCTGACAATGCTAGGGGGAGTTATCATATTTGTACAATTTCCTTGTTACTTAAGTTTCTCTTTCCATAATTGATGCTAGAATTCTTCCTTTGATACAGATGAAATTAGCTGTGAAGGAAATTATACTATGAGATGGATTGAAGACTTGGCTGCTTATTTTCTTTTCTAATATACAGTGTTTTTAACCTTGGACTAGACGCAAAGTTTGGGCCTTAGTTTCTGCCACTACAGCCTATTGTAAGAAACAGTAATTTGCCACATACACAGGACTGTTGTGAGGATAATTACCGCACTATGTTGTCATCATTATTCTTGTCCACCATTTACTAATGTAAATGGCACTCCAGTTCACATTAATTAACTGACTAATCCCAGAGAATGATAATCACTTGTAATATTGATGTGATTCTTTTTTTTTTTTAAGTTCTTTATTCTTGGTCTGATACTACAGGGGCAAATGCCTAAAAGACTGCAGAACAACAGCTTTTTCTTAGACTTAGTAAAAAGTTAATATAAAGTCCAGAATCTGAGCTTTATTTGTCTTAATCTTTTGTTCCCTCATCCCAATTTGCTTTTACTTTACTCAGACAATTTAAGACGATTTTAAATGTTTAAGAATATTTTACTTCTGATTTTTATCCTACCTTAAAATGTTTGAATTCCTTTCTGCAAATGGTGTTTTAAGGTAATGTTGCAAATTAATAAGGAGTAACGTTTTTACTCCATGCAATCTTGAACAGTCAGCATTAAGATTTATGTAACATAATGTGCCTTCAAATGGCTCCAGTGTGTGATTTTCTGCTTTGGCTTGTTTTAGATATGGATACCAGGAATGTAAGTCTAACTTGAAGTCAGAATATCGAGATCATGGTATCACAGTTTTTACTTTCATAACTATGTTGAATCGCTTGTCAAATTTTCAGACAATAACACATTTCTATGAAACTACGACAACAAGGTCAACATCTGACTATGAGCAATCGAAACCTTCCAGACCTGAGCTGGCACCGCCAGAAGCGGCAAAGCCAGTGCAGAGGAAGAAGGTCATCCGGAAGAAAGTTGACTCTTCCAAGTTCATGACCCCCTACATTGCGCACAGTCAGAAAATGCAGGATCTATTTAGCACAGTAAGTTTCAAAACGACTTCTGCTAATCTGGTTTCATTATTGAGAAATTGCTCATCTCAAGCAACTCTGTTCTGGATGCTGGCTGGATTTCATTTCTCAACCTTGTATGAGACAAAACTTATTTTGCAGGATTATAAGCCCTTGTGACTCTTGAGTTTTCCTTTCCTGTAATTCATTGGTACCCTTGCAGCATCAGGGAAAGCATCCTTATTGAAATTATTCCTGCAAAATAAGCAAAAGGCCAAATATAAAGCATTTACTGGTATTTAATCACTATTAGCCAATCAGAATAATGAAATCATAAATATAGACTTAGTTGAAATCAGTTCATGGAAGCTAAATAACATCTATTTAAACTATATCTGAGCAGGATGCTTCTTAAGCAGTCTAGCTAACAGTATGTAAAAAGGCCTCTAAGAGGTGTATAGTGAAGAAGAACATGTAGTTTAGAGAACCTGGACCAGACTAAGAACTCTGCAGAAATTGAGGGTCAGAATGTTCGGCTGTACCCTAGAACAGTGGTTTTTAACTGTGGCTGCTCACTGGAACCCCCTGGGACCTTTAAAACTGCTGATGCCCCAGCCATTCTGCCTCAACCAGTCTGGGTTTGGGACCTGTGTGGAAGGAGTTTTGAAAGCTGCTCAGGTGATTCTAATGTACAGTCCAGACTGGGAATCACCGCTCTGGATGCTCCCTGGTCCTTAGATTTCCACATGTGGTTCTGTAAGTTACTCTGACTGGCAGCAGATTGAGACCCATTCGAATGGATGTAATTTGTTGACCGTCCGTCGTGAGCTGAGATCTCTCTCAGTAGCCTGATTGCACACCCTCTGGAGGCTTGAAAAAAATGAAAATTTTTTTCATTTCAGACATTGGGTACATAGGACTAGTGCGTATGTCAAAAACATCTTATTGTGGTTGGCCAATAAATATTCATTTTTGGTTTAGCATTAACTCTTGGGGACTGTTTGGTAAATTTCTAGTTCAGATTCTTGAATGATCTAAAACTTAGGCTACTAAGACAGATTTCTAAAAACAAGATTATCTTGCTTCTTTTATCATGGCAGTGTTTAGCAAAGATAGAAATTATTTCTGTCAACTTATTGCCATAAAATCTCATTAATTCAGACACTACTATCCTAGAATTTCTGGGAATATGAATGAAGTGTTGGCAAAGCCTTATAACATTTTTAAAAAGTGGTTAGGAACTAAATCGATAGTATAATTTAGATTGTTGACTAATCCACTCAAGAGTATTCTTGAAGCATTAATAATGATAAATTACCCACATTATTTTTAAAGCAAGAACTCATTATATATTTAGCAGAAATAATAAAATTGCATTCCTTTTCAAAGTATCCATAATTTAGACTTTCCGTTAATTCAGCTGGTGTCTCAGCTATCCAAAGCACTGAGATTTAGTTGCAACTTCTGAATTGAATATTTTTGCATTGTATTAGCAAGCCAATCTTTTCATCCTTGACTCAATTTCTAGATTTATTTGCTAAAACTATTGAGGTTCAGGCTTTTTATGTGTGTATTCAGACAATAACAACATTGAGAGAATCATTTTAGGGCATTTCCAAGACAATAGTCTGTAATAAGACTACTGTCTCCAGCATCCAACCATGTTTAGGAAGAGCAATTAACAAATCTATTTTAGTTTTTGTCGAGAATCAGGGTAGGGGACAAAAATAAAGCTGTTACAACTGATAATTGTCATAACTTGCAGGATTGTTTTTTAATCAGGCGGGGATGAGTACTTTGCCTGAAATTTCTGCTGCCATCTTGTCAGGTTTTAGGCTAATATCTGATATTCGTTTCAGAATAAATACAAGGAGAACTACGAGAAAGCAAAAGGACAGCCATATGCCATCACAACTGATACCCCAGAACTTCGCAGAATCAAGAAAGTACAAGACCAACTCAGTGAGGTAGGCTGCATTGCTAAAATAAAAGAGAGAGACATTTCAAAGATATGCCCAGCACTAGGAATTTCGGGCTTTAAATAGGTGTAGAGAGACTAAGGGGTCGAATTATTGTGAGCCAGTCCAGAAATCAAGAGGAAGCATTGGCCATAGCTTATGTGGCTCTAAATGTCAATCCAAAGAGATTTCTAAAAGCGTGGCTTAGCAATGTAGCTTAAGAGGTTATACGAGATGGAAGTTCCGACTCACTGCGGTCCTCCGTGCTGGAGCATAGGGTGACTGAATTTCAGCCAGGAAAGCAGACCAGCAGTAAATGCAGGTGCTCTGTGGATCTTTGGAGATCACAGTTTTCTATCTAAAATGCTTTGTGATGCAGACATAGAGTGATTGGGTCGATGCTCTTTGATTGTAATTCATTCTTTAATATACACACATGTTCGTGCCTGTCGTGAGCTCTAATAGTGCGTTATTTCTGCAGGTTAAGTATCGAGTAGATGGCGATGTTGCTAAAACTATCTGTCATGTAGATGAAAAAGCAAAGGACATTGAACATGCGAAGAAAGTGTCGCAGCAAGTCAGTAAGGTAAGATCTTGGTATGGATGGCTGGGATACTAAATAGCATGTGTATTACTTCTGCCTGGCCTTAGAGGGGAAAACTGTGCAGGCCTGATCCTGCTCACTGGTCCCACTCGGGTCCCAGGCGCCGTGAGCTCCAATGCCCACACATGTCAGGGAGGCTGCACAGATGAGTGTGAGCCGTAGGAGCTACGGTGGATTGCAGACTCTGAGCCCTGCGAGCTGGCTCCAGGCAGTTGCTGCACAAAATATGGTCCCAGTGTCCCCAGAGCCTCTTATTTATTTTTCAAAGAAGTTGGGGGCTGAATTTTTATGGGAAATCTCCAAATTTCACATATACGCAACTAATTAAAAACACTTTTAAAAAATACCGTGTGAGTCAAAAGAAACATGTCTACCATCCAAATTCAGCCAATGACTGATAGGTTGCAATCTTTGAAAGGAATCTACAGAGAATCAGAGTCACGATTCAGTTTAAAAAAATTACACTTTTTCAAGTAATGCAGTAATGCAGGAAGAGTATTATGGGATGTTGACAGGATCAATGTTTCCATAATTAATGCTAGTAACACATGGGCACCTTGGCAGCCTGTGTGCGAGGACATCTTGGGTATGAAAGATCTTCCCAGCGCTCTCCTTTGTTCTCTAAATCCTCATGCCCTTGGGGAGACAACAAGCCACAAGTCCTCTGCTCTTTCTGTCTAGGTTTTATACAAGCAGAACTGGGAAGACACCAAGGATAAGTACCTGCTTCCCCCTGATGCCCCTGAACTTGTCCAAGCCGTTAAGAACACAGCCATGTTCAGTAAGGTAAGGGCCTCTGCTCCGTCGTCACTTCTCTCTTCCTGTGCCCTCCCACTACGTCATTTAGAGGAGTATGCAGTAAATTCTTGATAATCCGAAATACAGTTCCCCAATCTTTTTGTGAGTAGCTTTTGAGACGTGTGAGGTTGCAGGGGTAGGCTTGGCAAGGGGGAACTGAGAAGAAAGCTCTTGGGCAGAGTGGAGGGGAGGGTCCCCTGGGGGACCTGAACAATCTGGAGGAAGAAGATGCACCTGAGATCCAGCTCTGAGACACCCACAAAGTAAGGTTTTAAGTTTTCCTGTAGATCCTGTGCTACACTTTGGATATTCCTTGCTATTGACATAAAGTACACTAAGCACCTTCCTGGCTCCTTACACTTGTGTTGGTACTTGTTGCAGGAGGAAGGCAAAGTGACAGAAAGGAAATGAAACAAAATCAGACCCATTTGCCCTTTTGCAAATAAGATCTGTCAGGAGAAGCGGGATACGCTATTAATAAACATGACTTGGATTGAATAGAAAGGGGGAGGTTCTCTGTGAGCTCCGTCTACCTTTGCTCCACCTTGCCCTTGGTTCTTTGTGCCACTGATGAAGGAATTGAAAATTATGTATTTCATGTAAGTGTGATCTCACTTTCTCACAACTTTTCACTCTCTTCTGATTTAGAAACTGTACACTGAAGACTGGGAAGCAGACAAAAGTTTGTTTTACCCATATAACGATAGCCCGGAGCTGAGGAGGGTCGCCCAAGCCCAGAAAGCTCTCAGTGATGTAAGTGAAACACAGTCAGCACCATTTGGGAGTGTGGAATCAGGACACCTCGAATTACATCTTCGGGCCAGATGTTCATTGAAGTTCTTCTTTAAAACAGACTAAATGCCATCATTGCAGAGGAAGCATCTAGAATCAATATAATTTATGACATCTAATTTAAATTAGATTTTATAACTTATATTAGACATAATTTAGTCCAAGCCCCTCTTCTTACAGGAGGAACCTGAGTCTAAGGTCACACAAGTAGTTAGTGGCAGAGCCCAGACGGCAAGCCTGGTCTTGTGATCCCATGACCAGGGTTTTTTCCACTAGAACACGTGCCTTTCTGTCCCCTTGGCTGGAGTTGAAGTTTTTCTGTGAAAGAGAATGGCATTTTGAAAACCTATTGGAATCACAGCCACCTTCTCAAATTTATTAAGTGGATAATCTTATTGAAGGATTTTGATTTGCTATCCTAATCATAAAGTCTGAATTGTGGTGTGTCACCCTTTTTCTGCATGGGAGACCTGATTGACATACTTGTCCAAACATGTGTGTGTAATTATCCTACACAGAGTGCTTGCCACTGGTGTACACAGAGGATATTTCAAGGTTAGGAAAAATCAGCAGTCACACCGGTCACAATTTTAGTATCCTAGACCTTGAAAACTGTTTATCAGAGGAAGTTAAAAGGTCTAATAAGTCCTTAGGGTTGAAAGCAACAGCAGCAGAGAGGGCCCAGCTCTTCCCCTTGTTTTGAGGTACTTTATTTCTTAATCCCTGGATTTGCTAGAGGCCATGTTGAAAATTCAAAGACTACTGCTCTAGCCATCAGGAGAGCACTGTATTATGAAATGACAAGTTATTTTTTCTTTAATTGTCAGCTAAATCCCTGGAACCTCTTACGTTCAATATGGACTTAACCAATGAGTTGACATCTTGAGACTTATTGGGATTTACTTCCAATGGATCTTAGGATTCCATCTTGCCATGAACTGAAATTATACATACTCACTTGATGGAGTATCCAACTTTTGAGGTCTAATTTTTATTGCCTCTCACTTGATATCACCTTCAAATTTAGTAGACACATTTCTTATCCCAATTTGCATGTAATTGGTTAAAATATAGCACAGATATACCGATGTCCTTCCATAGGGTAAGTTAGGAACTAAAAAAGAAATTTTAAGGTCATCTAGTACATGGCACCAATTTTAATGTGTAGGGACCTCCTGCTTCTCTTTTCAAGTTAGCTTTTTGATTCTGTATCTCATGAATGCATAATATTCTGTGACCTTTATCAACTGATCAATGTTATTTATTGAAAGTTCATTGTGCATGCATACCTGGCAGGACAGAAAAGTACGACAAGAAATTTTCATACTTTCCCTAGAGAATTTATAATCAAGATGATAAGAAAAAAAGTGTTATATATCAAACAATAAGAAAAAAGTTAAAAAAAAATCTCTACAGTCTAATATTTGCTAAGAGAAAGATGGGACACGTATGAATAATCATAGAAGGCCATGTGCAGGTTGTGATCCCTAGGGAATGGGCAGTGACTGATGAACAGGCAAAACATTTCAAGGAGAGAGCACGCAAACAAAAGGACAGAGGCGAACTGAGTCTGGACTTTTAGGGGACAGAGAAAGCGAATGCTGTGGGTGCTGCGTTAGGACGGCATGTGTAAGAAATTGGCAGCAGTACCTTGAAAATCAGACAGAAGAATTTTGACCTGACATAGTAGGCAATAAGAGGCATCATAAGATTTTGGAGAGAAAAACAATGTGATAAAAGCAGAATCTGGAGAAATTTTGATGGACAATATGGTGGGTTGGGACTAGGAAAAATAACGATAATTTGTAGAAGACTATTTTACTAATGCAGATGGATCAGAAGGATGACAGGGACAAAGGAGAGAAAGAAAGGAATCTGAAGGTAATAAGTATTTAAAAAACATTAATGACATTGGATATTGGAGACAAAAGAGAGAAAGGAGCCATAGATGAGTTTATGACAAAGACTGGTAGCCTGGCTGTGTAGGAGTGCAACTGGTAAAGGAGCGCTAGTGAAAAGAGAAATAGAGTTGAGATAATGGAAGGAACATTCAGATCAAGACATCCTATGGATAAATTAGAAATTTAGTACTATTGCATAGATGTGAGATCAGGAAAAGAGATTAATATTTGAGAGTCTTCAGATTAAAAATGACAGGTGAAGACGTGAAAGTGTATGAGGGAGGCAGAAGAGTGTATGGCCAAGGGCAGTTTTGGAGGACACCCACACTTAGGACATCTGGAAAAGAATCAGCAAAAGATTAAGGGAACAGGCAGAAGTTGAAAGAGAACCAGGAAATGCCATGTCATGTAAGCCAAGGGAGAGGTTTCCAAGAAGACACTTAATCTCCTAATGTCTCCTTTATCCATAAAATGAAGAGAGGAAGGGTTACTTCTATGCCATTCTAGTGCTACAGACTTTGAACAATTAAATTTGACCACATTTTTTTGAGATATCTCAATAGAAGATATAACAAAGGAGAATATATAATAATGAAGTAGAATCTTCCCGCCCTTCCTTAGAAAGATTGGAAGTTAAAGTATGGCTTTTATTTTTATTGTAGACCAAGTATGCACTAAGTGTCAGATTACTAACACGCCTATTAATACTGTTGGCAGCAATTTTTGGGCGCTGAGTCCCAAGCAGGCTATTGTTCACAGAACATACCACTGGGCAGGCATGTAGATTTCAACCTCAGGGCTTGGGTTCAGAGGCTCCCTCTCCTCCTCCTGTGCCTTCTTCCTGTGTCCCTCCTTAATTATCATGCTTTTGTTATTATCTAAGTAGAGACCAAAAACTTTGCAAACACTAAGAGAGTCTTTAAGCTGATCCAGAGCACAGATTTCTAACTAGACAGAATTCTGACCAAGGTTCCTGAGAAATTAAGACTTCTATATCTGATTTCTCTGAAAGTTCTAGACAAGGTGTCATACTTAATAAGCATTTCTCCTGGCAGAATGTTACTTTCTCCCTAAGGACTTAGTCAGCCACGGAAAACACAGGTTGCCTTATGCCTAAAATACGTCTTCACTTATTTAAAAGAAATTAAGCAGTGGAATTAACATAAATGCATTTTAAAATCTGTCTTTTGTATCCCAGTTGATGTCCATGAAAACTTTTCTTATAGGCACTGTAGATATTATAAGGATAAGATATAGTTAGACTTGGTTAAAGCATGAAGAAGATGGTTGGGGCCTTGGAACTCTGCAACCTCTTTACTTTGTAAATAAGAATACTGCCACGTGGAAGGAGAAATAATTTGTAGAAGTCTCACTGGTGCATAGTGGAAGAATTGGAAGGATAATTCTCTTCTTCAGACTTTCCCCAATGGCCTCAGTGTATATAACAGACATTCAGAAATCAGTCATTGAACCCTTGTTTTAGTCAGGTACTGTGCAAGCCACAAGGGTTCCCAGATGAGAGAGCATGTTTTCTGCCACCCCAGAGCTCACAGTCTCAAGAGGGACAGACACGTAAACAACCAGTTACAGCGTCATCTGATAACTCTTTCAAAGAAGTGAGGGCCAAGTTCAGTGAGACCCCTGGAGAAGCTCACTGAGTCAGGGAGGATACAAGAGTAGAAACTGTGTTTGTCCTGAGACACAGAGAAGGAGTAGCAGTTTGCAGGCAGATGGGGAGAAGGTGACATTGGGGCGTTCTAGAGAAAGGGAGCAGCATGTACGAGGTCCAGAGACAGTAGAGGGCTTCATGTGTCTGGGGATCTATGGCTAGTTTTTCATTGCTGGAGGCAGGGGTCAAGATTGGTGGAAGAAAAAGCCAGAGGAGTCAGTGGTGAAGAAAAAGGGAGAGTGAGAGTGAAGGGGATGCATGATTAATGGACATGATACTTATTTTAAGGCTAGAGAGGCATTTTATAGGCTGAAGGAAGGGAGTAATGATGAGGGAGCAGTGGAAGCTGTAAGACAGATGAGGGGTAACTGATAAAGCTAGGTACAAAGAGCACCTGGAGGGAAGAGCCCTCTGATGCAGGACTCAGGCCCTGCAAGCGATGCTTCTCTGAGCCATACAGCAGCTGAGAGAGGCAGGGATGAAAATGGAGAAAAATAAGAGTCTAGCTTTTCTTTATTCTATGAAAGAGGAAGTTGAGGGTAAGGTGGAGTTGACTAGGGGCTTAAGGACAGTATTGGGTTTAGACCAGCCACTGGGAATAGAGACTGACCAGAGATACATAATGGGATGTTCTAGCTTCAGTAACAGCAAAGTGGCACAGAGCCCCAAGCAAGCTGTTGTTCACAGAACATATCCTTCGGTAGGCACATAGATTTCAAGCTAAGGGCTTGGGCTTAAAAGGCTATCTCTCATCCCTCTGTACCTTCTTCCTGTGTCCCTTTGAGCTCTGGTCATCAAGTTATCATTACTGAATCCATGGAGTTGTGTGATTTTCTTCAGTAGCACTCAGCACCTTGGATGTAAGAACAGAGGAAGTATGTGGCTGAGTTGACCCAGAGCTGGGGGTTTTGTCAGCAGGTGTGATGTAAAGACAAGAAGTTGGGAGTTGAGAATGCTGGCTAAGAGAATGATTTCAGTCACAATCATAGTGTGGAGATGAATGGAAGGAAACCGATCTAGGGCCAATAGTCTTGGAGAAGAGGAAGACTCAGAGAAGTCAAAATTGCTAATGCTACTGAGAGCAAGGGCAGGTAACATCTAAAAGGGTAAATAATGGTTATGTGGTACACTAAAATTTAAAACTTCAAATAAAGGTGAAAACGTAGTCTTTTTAAAAAATGCCAGCAAATGGGATATAGGAAGTAGAATAATTTTCTATGACTCATGAGCATCCCTGTCTTTGATTTTGTCAGATTGCCTACAAAAAAGGTCATGCTGAACAGCGGACTCAATTCACTTCTCTACCTGATCCTCCAGATATAGAGTTTGCCAAGAAAGTGACCAATCAAGTGAGCAAGGTAAGTAAATAAGAATGGGACACTGATTTCTCAAAAACTCACCTTAATAATCTCAACCAAGAGAGAAAAGAAATAAGGTGAACCTAAAGACTCAATACCAGCACTAAGAGTATTTTTTGCCTATGACCCTAAAAACGCAACAGCAAAAGCAATACATCCGTTAACATCATGGAACCATGTTAATTTATACTCAGCCAACTTGATGACTCAGTTGATTGATAAATGATAAATGATTACTGAGATGACTGATAAGTGTGAAAGCTTCATTTTGAAAACAGAAGCCCTGTCCTAATGTTATTTGACATTTTGACTCATGGGAGTGATGCTAACGGAATAACCAAGGAACCACACATTTCCACGGAGGATCTGGTTGCTTTAAGTCAGTATGAAGATCCCGTATAATTTTATGTCCTCAGACAGACTTAGAGAAACTAAGAATGCATGAGTGGTCTCTCAGACATAGCTTATTTTGACAGCCGTGGGCAGTGTACCTCGTAACTTTTAAGGGCAGCTTAGTCTGCCTATATTTAGACTAGTAAACCAGCTCTGAGGAATGCAACCCTGAGAGCGAATGCAGAGAGACAGATGTTCAGCTGATGAATAGACCCATGCTAAATTCCTGTTTAAAATTGGTCCAAATCAGGCCACTTTCTCTTGGGATACAGCTGCTTTTAAGTACTTTTCTTGGCCCTCTGTGGAGTTGAGTCTTAGTTTGGTCTTTTGCTTGAATTTTGATGGAACTTCAAGATTTCTGTCTTAAATATCTTTTTTGGAAAGTGTGTCTCCAGTAAAAGAGAACCGAAAAAATTTATGGATTGTGAAGTCTATTGGGTGATTTTTTTAGTGTCTGATATTGCAGGTTACCTACCTGTATAAGCAAGGGCTATTTGGATAAAAGATCTAGTAAGCACAGTAAAATTTCACTAATAGGAATACCATGAACCTGAAATTTTGCCCAGGGCTAAGCAGAAATTAACTTTAGAACTGTCCATAAAAAGATGACCTACTGAAAGTGTTGATATTGTGAGTAAGATTGGGGAGCAAGGATGATTTATCTTTTTGGAAGGGAAAGAAAAAGATGTTTTCAAGTGGTCATTTAGAAAGAAAAAGAAATCTATTTTTAATTTTTATTTAAAGCGTATTAAAAAATATCTTACTAAGGCAACATTCTTTTACCTTATTTGAGTATGCAATGTGGGTACTCGAAAGTGATTTAAAAGATCACTTTCAAACTCCTCTATAATCACTCTGTCCACTAATTTAGACTTGTCAGTTAGTTTAGAGCTGTGGTCTTTAATATAGTAGCCATCAGCCACAAGTGACTATTGAGCACTTGAAATGTGATCGTGTGAACTGACTGTCCTATATGTGTGAAATATACACTGGATCTTGAACAAAGAATGTAAAGTAGCTCATTAATTATTTTTACATTGATTACATGTTGAAATGATAATATTTTTTGGATCTCTTGGGTTAAGTAAAATATATTATTAAAATTAATTTCCCACCTGTTCCTTTTTACATTTTAAAATATGACTACCAGAAAATTTAAAATTATAGTGGTGGCTTGCATTATATGCCTATTGGACTGTACCACTCCAGTATGATATGGTGACATCATTGGGTACTTTGAAAGCATTGCCAGGGCTGGATTTGCCCTTGTGGAATAACAATGTCAGCCAAGGGAAGGATGGCTATGGATGAAGGTCACCAGATTTGACCTTGATGATGTTATTCATCCCAGCCTTATCCAGATTTCCAAGTTCTTAATTGCTCTTGCGCACCCAAGATAATAGTCACATTGTAGGGAATGCTTGTGATTGGTAGCAGTCCATCCAACAAGAAACCATCCAATAAGATAAAGGTAGGGCGGCCAGGGGTGACTTAGCTGTGGGACTCATTTCCTTTCTCTTGAAGTCTTCCCCACTATCAAACTGCTTTGACCCATGCTTCAGTATCATCATTTCCTTTCTTTCCAAAATAAGCAAAATCGCCTTTATCTACTCAGTCTCATGCATTTAAACTCTTTGCATTTCCTTGTTGAGTCATGTCTTCCAGATCCGTCCCTTTGTCTTGCAGCCTCCAGGTCATATGTTAATATGATGATCACATAGCTGTAACGATTATATTGCTGTTTTATTCTGTTTACTGGCTCTCCTTACTGAACTTAATGATTCCATCCATCCAGTTCACCCACCTTTGTCTTTGGTCAAGGCTATCAGTTACATGCCAGCACCTCCTCCTGGCTCAGCTGAATCTCGTAGCTCCAATGGGTGGGCAGGCAGGCAGAGCTGTGTATGTAAGTGGACATTCTGGGTGAGGAAACTATGCAGACTACAATCAACTGAAAGTGGGTCTCTGAGTACAACACTGGGAAGACCCTTTAGTTTCTCTGTGCCTGCCTCTCTGCTTCCTTCCAGATTCACAATAGGAAAAATACAAGATTTCAGGTTTGAATTTCCAGTTGATTCCCAACTGGGATCTAGGATTGAAAGAAAAAACTGTTTCCTTTACTCTCTACTCACAACACTAATTTGCTTTCCTCTGTTAAATGAACAAACACAAAATCCCAGAGAAAGTTAAATGGATTCTTGCCTCCAGATTTACATCTATCAACTCCAAACACGACAGATTTGGAGAGAGGATTGGGTGGGGTTGGGGGGAAGTTTGGATGTTGGACCCCTGCTGTGGCTAACTCATCTCCATGTACCGCACAAACACTCAGGCCTCACTGCCAGACATGAAGAGTGAGAACCCTTGGCTGGTAGATGTGGTCCCTCATGGACACATACGTGTCTCTCCCTCTCATTGCTCTAGTTACAGGCCTTTATCCTTTCAAATTCTCTCCTATCCACACGTGAACGGGAAGGCCATACCTTCCTCAGCAGTTAGTAAGCTCTATCCTCCTCCCTTGTAGTGAAAATCTTCCCAGACTTGGGAGTGTTCAGAAGTGGGCTATGAGAGATTCACCTCTGCCCTGACCCATTTCGGCTCCTGGGCAGGAGGAAAAAGCCACCCTTGGTTCCTGAAGGGGAAGAGGGGAGGAAGGACTTCAAATGAGGGGACTGGATGGTCTTATACTTTTGTTTTGCATCTTGTTTTAATACCTTTTAAAAAAAAATCAGACATTTATCTCTGACTGTGAGAATTAATCTCCTAATCAATTTTTTTAAACAAATCTACATACAGGATTTCTATTTCTCTAGAATGGCCCAACTTGTGGACCTCATTGAGAATATCTGCTGCCTTTTCAACTTTAAATTATACCACAAAGTTCTCTGTGTCTCACTTTTGGGATGCATCAGGCCCACTTGCCCTCCACCCTAAATCCTAGAGTTTTCTTCCTTTGACAGTAAGTGGAGGACGGGCAACATCCCTACAGAAAATTGAGGATTGGGCAGTCTTAACCTGGAGTGTGTGTACATCAAGCACCTCTGAGGCTTTTAGTGTCTATGGGCATTCTATATCTTTCCCAGATTCCTGAAGAGATCTATTCCCTAAAAAGATTAGAAGCACTTCTAGAGGCAGTCTTAGCAAATCAAAAAATCCATTTTATTGACTTCAATTCTTTAAAGCCTCAAAAGAGGAGGGTAGGCAAATTAATTGGCAGCACAAAGCAAATCTTATCTCAGCAAAGATTTCCAATGAAGGTTCCACACACACACACAACACGAATGTACACACACAATTTTCTTTTTTCCAGAGCGTCTTACTTTCTGTTATGACAATAACAATAATAACGATAATAATAGTAATAGTGATTATTATTATACAACTATCGTACCCTACATTTATTTAGCTCTGTAGAGTTTACAAAGCACTCTTCAGTGTATGATCTCATTTAATCTCCCCAACAATCCTCTGCGTAAGTATTATTATTATTGCCAGCACTTGCAGTTGAGAAAACTGCAGCTTGGAGAGGCTAAGTCCCCCCTTCGGTAATGATGGAGTCAAGTCTTGGGCCCAGAACTTTTGACCTCAGGTCCAGGGCTCTAAAATTTATAGTTATGAAAACCACTTGGCTGTTAATTAGCATATTAACCTTTTGAGAACAAAAGATACAGGGCATTTGAGAGAGGGCTGGGACTCCTTTAACTCAAACTCACTGGCTTTGCACTTCACTCACCCATGGTCCTAGCTCTGTTAAAGGTGTACCAGAAAACCACTATCCTTCTCCTTGAAGAGTGTGGTGGGGGTGTAGGCATGCAAGCACCTTTAGACCCGTTTGCTGTGTCTGTTAACACATTTCTGGGAGCCAACGAGGGGAAGGTGCTCTAACCCAGCTCTGGCTCTGGCTCATGTGCCCAAGTTTGGGGTTGGCTAGGTTAATTCTGTTCTGAGAACACTCAGGCCAATGTAGTTCAAAACCACATATCATGGACTTGGTTCAGTTTAGTGTAATTAACGAACATTTATGAGGTAACTTCTGCATGCTGATTTTTGTGTTAGATTCTGAGGATACAAAAACGAAGGAGACATGATTCCTCTCTTCAAGATGTCCGTGGCCTGAGATTCAGGTGGGGTAGTGTTTGGGGTAAGATGGGGTAACAATTCAATATTTGAATTACTTGCCAGTTCTCATTAAAATTTCTTTAAAGCCTAAACTAGGAAGTATTATTCATTAGCCTGGAAGCCCAATTTTGTTGTGATGCTGCTTTCTGGGTAAGTAGGAATTTTGGTAAGGTTTAGAAATTAATGGCTAAGTTCATCTGGTATGGAAATCTGAGGTTGAGTGGTTTTATTATAACTCTGAAATACAAACAGAGGATGCCTCTGACTCTCCTGCCTCAAAAATCAGGAAACATTCATGAGTTCTGAATGACCTGAGTCCACAGACTCAGCAAGAAGAGGGGGCATTAGTACCTCTACCCCACTCACCCAACTTTCTTATTGGGTAAATTGACATCATCCTGGAAGATCTGAAGACATCTATTCAAGATCCGAGAAGTGCCTAGTCAAGATATTTTAAAAAGCTCACCATTATCACTTAATTTGCTGTCTTATTTGTCAATTCCTGGGTTTTTCTTGTCTTAGTTTCTTTTTCTTTTCCACCAGCAAAAATACAAGGAAGACTATGAGAATAAAGTCAAAGGCAAGTGGAGTGAGACACCTTGCTTTGAAGTTGCAACTGCCAGAATGAATGCTGAAAACATCAGCACAGTAAGTAGGAAGGGATGGCTGGATGTCTTCAGGTTGAGAGGGTGACGCTTTCCCTTGTGGCTTCTAGCCATCTCCTGCTCCTGAAGTGGTGCTGAACAGTTGAGTCCAGGCACCTCTTTTTGAGGGCAAGACCCGTGTAGAGTTCCTATTAAGAAAGAATTCCCACCATCTTTTCTTCTTTTTGAGATATATTGTTTTGATCAGATTCCATTATTCTTGCCTCAATTTTCATAGGAACAATATAGTTTCAAAGTGAGTACAGGTGAAAGGGGCCCTTTTTAATTTATTCTTTGCCTGGGAAACCCAAACCATACATTTGTGAAACTGATTCATTTCTTCGATTTTCCTCACCAGAAAACAGTTCATCTTTTTCCTTTCTCTTAAGTTCTCTGCCCCTGGCTTTTGAGAGCTCCTTCTTGGAGGCTGTCTTTCAGCCTATTATAATTGCTCCAAATCTCTGTTAAGTTGCTAATTGTTTTTGTGACGGCACCACAGTCTGTCATTGTGATCTGACCTGCATAGCCAAGAGAAGGAAGGCTTTGGGTAACTTCTCCGAGGGTCCTCTGTTCTCCGTGTAAGACCCTTGTGCAGTTTGTTCCCGCAGCAGTTCTCCAGTATGTTTAATGTCTTACAGAGGAAATACCAAGAAGACTTTGAGCATATGAAAGACCAGATCTACTTCATGCAGACCGAGACACCAGAGTACAAAGTGAATAAACAAGCTGGGTTGGCAGCAAGCAAGGTATGAGGAAATTCTCTCATTTATCTTGATAATCTTAGAGTGGGCAAATTTCTTATAACTCTTACTTTGAGTACAGTCATGTGCCATATAATGACATTTTGGTCAATGACAGATCGCGTATACAATAATGGTGCCATATGATTGGTACCATATAGCCTAGGTGTGTGGTAGGCTATACCATCTACGTATGTGTAAGTACACTCTATGATGTTTGCACAACTACATAATCACCTAATGAGGCATTTCTCAGAACACATCTCTGTCGTTAAGAGACCCATGTCTGTATAATGAAAAAAAAGGAGGGTTCTTGGAGGAACAACAAAAAGTACTTTGGGATTATAATAAGGCTACCAAATTAAAAAAAATTGCCATGGATGAGCATTAACAACACCCAATGACCATCTTCAGTATTTCATAAAGGACCTTTTGATACCCAGAAGTAGAAAGGCTGTAATCTCAGACAGAAGGACCCCTCTAAAGGCAATTGGCAGCCTTATAGGAGTATAGACACTCCCACACTCACCACTACCATTATTTTTCTTATTTTCCTACTAACTGGTGAAAATCTAGTCACAGACTAGATACATGAATTCATGGATATGCTCATATATAGAGTGACTTTGGTAAACAGTCAGACTCCTTGGCATTCTAAAGCAGACTGGGCATTAGAAAGAGCGTAAACTTCAAAGCCATCAGACTTGATTCTAACACTGGCCTTGGCCTTGCTGGAGGAGTGAAAGCAGGAAGATCACATCACTTAGGAGGGTATTTCAGTATTGAGGTGCAAACAGTGATGTTTTGGACAAGCAGGTGGCAGGGCAAGTGATGAGAAGTATTTTGAAAGTAGAGCCAAGCTGATTTGCTGATGAGTTAGATGTGGGATATGAGAGAAAAGTTTTGGTCTAAGCAACTAGATGGATGGTGTTTCCCTTTATTAAGACAGGAAAGACTGTGGAAGGAGTGGATAATTTTTTTTTGAAGGGGAGACAGCTCAGCCTCAAACATGTAAGATTTGAGATGCCTTTTAGACATCCAAGTGGAAATGCCAAGTGGGCAGTTGATTATGAGCCTGAAGTTTCAAAGGAGATATCTGGGAAGGTTTTATAAATTTGGGAGTCATCAGCATGTGGACAATATTTAATGTCATAAAACTGGAGGCCATCAAGGAGCAAGTGTAGACAGAAAACCGTTAGGACTGAACCCTGAAGTGCTTCCATGTGAAGACATCAGCAAGATGAGGAAGGAGCAATGGCAGAAGAGAGTGATGTCTTGGGAAGCGAATGAAGGGAGAAGGGAGGGCTCAACTGTGTCCACTGTTTCTGAAATGGATTTATCAATATATAGTCTCTGGTGAACTTATCAAGAGCAGTTTGTTTGAGTCTGCTTAGAGAGGGTTCACGAGTGAATGAGAAGAGAGCAATAGAAGAATATGAGTATACTCAACTCTTTCAGTGTATTTTCCTGAAAAGAAAAGAAGAAAATGAAGCAGTAGCTGGTGGATAACTGGATGAAGAGGGGATTTTTTTAAAGACAGGAGACAAAAACATCACTTTTCTATGCTGATGGAAAAAAATCCAGGTTAGAGGGAATATGTGATGGTGCTGGAGGAGAGCAGAGTGACTGGAGGGGCGTCCTCAGCAGTGAAAGGGGAAGGGATCTGGTGCTTCAGAGGACGGGATGGCCTTGCCACAAGCCCTGACAGTTCATGCATAAACTGAGAGGAGTCTGCATATCCCAGATGCAGGTAGGAAGTGTAGAGTTGGTGAGATTTCCTTTCTCGTTGTTGCCATTTGTCAAGGAAATACGTAACTCTAGAAGATAGAGAAGTTATCTATGTCTTCCATTCCTGTAGAGAACCCCCTGTGAGTCATCTGTGTGGGTCATAGGGGAGATGCATCTGTGTTTTAGTTGTTTGTCTCCTGCCTTTGGATACCAAGCTGATTGTATTTGCTTCCCAAGGTTCTGAATTGTTGATAGATTATCGGGGATTCTGTGAACTCGTCTATAGCCTACAGTCACAGTGCCCGAATAAATGGCTGGTACTGGGGACCATGGTCAGAACTAGGATCAGTTTCTTGTTCTCCTCCCTTTGGACGTGCTCTTGACAGGGGCTTTTGGGACCATACTTACTTCTTCTGCAGTAGCCGGAATTAAAGGTGCAAAGTGGACAGGACAGAAGGAAAGGGTGAGATTGCCACCATTTGTCCCACCCCAGCCTCTTCCTCCTTCTCTTGCGTGTGCATTAAATACACACGTGCTCATAAAGCTGTCACAGATAAGGCATAGAAGGGTGGATTGATGATGCTTCTAGCTTTCTTTCCTTAAAAATGTGTTGGCAGATAGGCAGCTGGAGGTTAAGAGCTGAGCAAGGGTTCTGGAGCAGCAGGCACCCGGAACATGATGTGCTGTCATTATTTGTGTATCTTTTTCTCTCCCATTACTTATATATCTCTCTCTCTTTAAGGGCAGGGACCATGTGTTATTCTCTCTTGTACCTTTGCCAGAGCCAGGCATGTAATGGGCACCCTGTGGATATTTTTGAATGGAATGAATGGGAAGAAAAGATATCCTGGAAATTTATGCAGTTTCTCTGCTGCTGTTATGAGTTACTATGAGTATTTTGTTTATAAAATGTCAAGCTGCCATTTTTCTCCAGAGAAAATTGATTTGTGGAACAATGACATAGTATCCATAATAAAGACGAGAGCAAAAATAAACTGGAGAGTTACTTTATGACTTTATTTCACTGCTACAGGTAAAATACAAAGAAGACTATGAAAAGAATAAAGGAAAAGCAGATTATAATGTGCTTCCTGCTACGGAGAACCCACTGCTCAGACAGCTGAAGGCAGCAGGAGATGCCCTAAGTGATGTAAGTATATTCTTGTCAAAAGTGTTTTTTAACCTCCGCTGCAAGAGCGATGAAGTCTGTCTCCTTCTGTATTGACTAAATGCAAATATAACTTTGCAAATACTTTAAAGTTATCGTGTGGCAGTTTTGGAACTATCTAACCACAGGAAGGCATCAGTGCCTCTGAGTATGAGGTGTGTCAGTTTGGGGGAGCCTGTGGAATTAGTTCACTGGGCAGGGAAATCCTCATTTGCTTACAGGCTCCAGGTGCTGGTGCCTCTGTGGGCAGAGCACGTTGTAGGAGATGTGATTTTAAGAGAGGCAGAGGAGATTTTGAAAGGGGAGGAGAGAGAGAGAGACGAAGCAGTTCTTCAAGTCTGCTGCCTGGAAAAGGAAAGTGTCCTGTGTTTCACAGCTTCTCTCCCCCACCTCCACCATTTTCTAGTCAGATCTTGGCCCCAGAAACCCTCATTTGCAGACAACAGGACTTAAAACATGGCTCCCTCAGTCTGCACAGGAATTTCCACTTTAGGCATTGTTGAGGGCTTGACTAACCCATTAGATTTAAAATAGGCAAGTGAGAACTGGGCCTGGCATTAAAAGACTAACAACCCAAGACCACTTTGACTATAAATATAAAGAGACTGAACATGTGATCAGTTGAATTTTTCCCTTATGGTTAGATTGTACTAAGCTTTCCTAATATTTGAGAATTATATATGTCTGTGTGGATTAGTTATCTTTGTCCCTTGAATTAAGTCAGCACCGCAGAAATGCGTCCAAGTGATTGAGGGGTGGGGTGAGTGGAGTGGTAGGTGAGAGGGTGTAAATGGACCTGTCCACGTAGTTCTGCTGGGAAATCAATGTAAAACATGTCTCTTGCTTCCTAAATGGAGGTCATCTTTATCCAACACATATGAGCCCAGGTTCAAATCCACTTTATTGATAATGACAGCAATATAAGAATATTAAAAATGAATAGCACTATTTACAATTTCAAAACCAAACATGAAAGAGTGACCATAATCCACTGTATCAATTGTACATTTCAAAACCCAATAATCATTTATTGTTATTGATAGAGAAAAAGATAAATCTTAGCAGAGAAGAGAAGAGCTAGTAGATTCATGATTTGAGTTTTTATATATACCTTATTTTTAAGGTATACTGTCTGTTTGTATGATAAGGGATTTTTCCTTCATAGAAGGAAGAAGTGAGAGTACATATTTCTCAACATATGCTAAACTTTTTCTATAAAGGTTTTTTTTTTAAAAAAAGCAATGAAAAATTCACTGTTCAGAATATTACGGTTGTTGTGGCGTCATTGCTGAGGGAAGAGCATGTGAGTTGGGAGATGGAGAAGGCAACAGTTCAGAAATACACAAGAAATACAAGAAATACGAATCTCTGCAACTAAGGGCTTGGGCTGAGGCAGCATATTGGTTTCTTAATTTTTTGGAGAATGTTAAAAACTTAGGCTTTACAATAATTGCTAATAGAAAAGGCTTATCATTCATGACACACCGATATTTGGTTGTCAGTTTCTAAGACAGTTGACAGGTAATATCTTTTTTCGTCTTCTTTTGTTTAGTGTTGAAAATACGAGTGTTATAATCATTGTGGGAGTGACAGGAATCTACTTAAACCAATTTTTTCTTTGACAGAAACTATACAAGGAAAACTATGAAAAGACAAAGGCAAAGAGCATAAATTACTGTGAGACCCCCAAATTTCAGCTTGATACAGTTCTGCACAACTTCAGTAGTGATGTAAGCAATCCTATGGTCGCTTCTTCTATTAAAGAGAAGACCCATCATTTTGCCGATAAATAAATGAAATACATTTTGTCTTTCAGACTAAATATAAAGATTCCTACCTAAAGAATATTTTGGGACACTATGTAGGCAGCTATGAGGATCCATATCATACGCACTGCATGAAAGTCACAGCCCAAAACAGTGATGTAAGTTCTAAGACAATTGTATAATTTTCCAAATAATACATTTTTAGGGCATGAATTCATTGGTTGCATTCTTATGTCTGATTTCTTTTCCTCATAGAAAAACTACAAAGCAGAATATGAAGAGGATAGAGGCAAAGGCTTCTTCCCCCAGACCATAACTCAAGAATATGAAACAATCAAGAAACTAGATCAGTGTAAAGATGTAAGTCTGTAGCATGATATTAAATGTTACTGCCCTCCATAGAATCTAGTGGTCAAGATATGTTTAAGATTTTGACACTTTTACAAATGAATGCAAGCAAGGAAATTGTAAGAAACAAAATTTATTTTGTAGTGGATATACTATTTTTCCATATTGTCATCCACACTTTTCAAGAGCTAATTCTAGCTTATTTTCCCAAAGAAAAGTTATCGGGAATCTGAAGATATGGGAAGGTTTCTTATACAGATGTAAGAGTGGCTCTCAAAGAAACTGCAGTCTAATTAGGAAAAACAATGTGTTTTATTTACTATAAGTTTCTTTTCTTTTGGGGGATGGGGTTCTGCTTGCTTGGCCAACTTGGACTTGATGGATGACACTGCCAAACCTGGTTTCCTTTCCCCCAACAGCATGCCTACAAAGTCCATCCAGATAAGACAAAGTTCACTCAAGTTACCGACTCTCCTGTTCTGGTGCAAGCCCAAGTCAATTCCAAACAACTGAGCGATGTAAGTTCCCCCAAATATAAGGAAACCCAATGACAAGGGGTAACATATCATAGCTCTGAACATAAAATCCAGTAACTTGTCACATTTATAAAAAAATCTATGTGAGTTTTAGCAAGTTTAACTTGTACATATTTGTAATCACCTAAAATATTTTCCTATTAAGCCTTGCATCTTCTTGGGTGGAAATGATTCTATAAAGGAAACTAAGGTAGCTTAATGCACTGGAAAGAGCATGAGTTCTCAAGTCAGACAAAACTGTATTCAAATTCCAGCTCTGTCACTTATGACCTGGCGGCCTAGGCAAATTATTTAACCTCTCCATACCTCATGTTTCCCTTTTATAATTTGTGGTTGTTTTGAAGATTAAGTGAAAGGAGAAATGTGCATAGTGCATACCATGGCCCAGAGCAGATATTCAGTACATGGGATTTCTCGCTCTTAAATAAGTTTTTGGAAAATGGAGTCTTTGAGATAAACTTTATCATGAATTTAAAATTTTAAGTATGAATTTCAAAACTTGTGTTGAACTAATAAATAAAAATAAAAGTAACCTCAGTAAATTTATAACCAGAAATGAAGGCTTCAATTAGAGTATCAAGAAACCATAAGGGACGTGAGGGGACATCACCAGATTTGTTAGAAAAGATTCTCCAGTAAGTGAGCATTGACAACGAAAAAGAGGAAAAGGCTGTCACTCTCAGAACCTATGGGGACAACTGTGATATGCATGGAGGGGAACATATATGAAAGAGCCATCTCCTTCCATTAGGGTCCTACCATGGTGACAGATGTGGTAACAGCTGTTACGTATTCAGCACAGAGGTTGTCAATAATGCAGAGTGGTATACCTTAGCTCTGGATTTCTCTTTTGATCTTAACAACTTTGCCAGTTGTCATTTAACTGTTATTTAACAGTTGATATATTTAACTGTTAGTAACTGTTATTGTTACTTAACTGTTGTTATATTTGTTATATTTTATCTTATGAAATGTACCACGTAAGATTTTTTTTGTATTTTGAAACAGTTCTTATTCAGAACTAATTGGCTCTTCCTCTTTATTTCTCCCTCCCTCTCTCTCTCAGTTAAATTACAAAGCGAAACATGAAAGTGAAAAGTTCAAGTGCCATATACCTCCAGATACTCCTGCCTTTATCCAGCACAGAGTCAATGCCTATAACCTGAGTGATGTGAGTTCCTTATGCACTATGCCATGTGATATGCTGACAACCTGTGCTTTTATTTTTGAATTGTTTCATGGAATAAATATTTCAATACTAAAGATGGGGATAACAGTTAACGTTTGTATCATGTTCCTATGCCTCTGCCAAGGTAACTTTGAACTCACCTTATAAAATGTGTGTAGCAGTCTTGTAAATAGCTTCATACAATTAGACAATCTTAATATGTTTTAACCAAGCCTCAAAATAAGAGATATGCTTAACTGCAAGTCTTAATGTTAGAGCTTTTAGCCATATATTCATTTATGGCTATACTATAATTAATTTTCTTTCAGGATCTGATTTTTTAAAATATAATTTCATGTCACTTATCCCCGAGGCCTATAATGTCCCTTATTTCACACAAATGATACTTATTTCTACATGTAAGAGAACTTGCACTAACCAAGATATAGGGTGTTCAAAAGGCATAAGGCCGGGTATCCATTGTTATCTTTCATTTCCAAATTTAATTTTATGGAAAAGTCAAATTACCCTTGGATGTTTCAATTTCTTCAGCAATTCTATAAATAAGTACTAAGATTATCCAGCATCAATGAGTATCATAATGATTCATGAAATAACCTTTGCAGAGGATTTTGAGGTCAAGTGAAAGTGATGCCTTTATATTATAAAAAGTAGGTTAACTATAGAATATTTATGCCACTCTATAAAATATTCAGTGTTAAACATCAAATATGACTATGATAACTAGAATGAGGATAATTGGATGAAATATTCTAATGGAGAGCAGAGAAGCTTAATCTTGGAAAATTAGAAGCTTCAGCTTCAGGAGAATTACCTAAAACATGCATGATTTCCTGGACAAAGAAAATGGTCTATTTATTCTATTATATTAAGACAAAGTATTGAGTTACCTTTTAGTCTTTGAAGTGTGATAACATGCATATCGCTTTTGTCAATTGCTTTGCTGGAATTTTCCTATCCAGAATATTTATAAGGAAGACTGGGAGAAAAGCAAAGCTAAGAAGTTTGACATCAAAGTCGACGCCATTCCCCTGCTGGCAGCCAAAGCCAACAGCAAGAATACCAGCGATGTGAGTATGGCCTGGGCACCTGGGCACCTGGGCACCTGGGCAAGGGAGCCTCAGTGACATTTCCTGATGGGGGGATCTGGCATGTGTGATGTCTTTGCAGGTGATGTACAAGAAAGACTATGAGAAAAACAAAGGGAAAATGATTGGAGCCCTCAGCATTAATGACGATCCCAAGATTCTGAACTGTTTGAAGGCGGCCAAAAACCAGAGTGATGTGAGTGCTTTTGTAAATCTGTCTTGTTTTCAGATGTGGCTGCACTTACTGTTTGCCATAACCTTGGATAGGTTGTTAGCCTAAATGAAATCTCAGACTCAGGATGACAAACTGAACACGAAAGCCCAGCGGTCAAGGATTAACTTCCTCACTCTGACAACGTGTCTGTACATTGAGACACCAGTGAATATTGTAAACGTTCTCTTAATCTCCTTAATGCCCTCTGTTTTATTAGGGGCAAAATATACTAGCAATATCATTGTTGTTTTTCCGAGTAATGGGTTCAATATCTCAGTATGTATAAACACATATTCACTCCATACCATGACTTGACTTATGGTACTTTGCCAAAATGCATACAGAAAAATAAAAGGAAAAAAGTGAGAAAATCAGGCTAAAGGCAAAGTATGAAAAACTAGATGAAGCATAACTTCAAAAGAGAATATTTTATTTTAAGAAATTTCTTAAATATTGATCTCATTTTAAATACTTTAAAATACGTATTTAAAATAAAATAAAACTCCTTATAAATATTACTTTTCTAATTTATAGCAAAAAGGAAATACTCCCTAATCTGTGTCATTTATAAATATCCCAGTCTTTATTGAGTATATTTTTGGATTTCTATATGGGAGGATTAAGGGGAATGTAAAGGAATATATGATATGTACAATAAAGTGGAAAAACGCTCTTTTCATGTATTATTGCTATAAAGTAAAATATTAGGTCTTAATGATAAAAGCCAACTTCCAGAGGCATTGTAAAATGTGTTTCATCAAGTCCTGGACTGAATACTTTTCTAGAACTGTGCTTAAGTATCTAGGTACCTTATACCTTTTATATCATTTTGCACCAACTGTTACAAAATTCATTTTCCTTCAAACACATTCAAGTGGAAAGAATTCTTTTAAGATCAAAAGTTGCTTAGACAGCAGAGTTGGTATGCTATGATTTATTCTGACTGAGAAATATTAGGATAAGTAACATAAACATTTTTATGGTTATAGCAGACCAGATCATATAAGACATGAGCCTCTAATGTATTCTACATCCATATTCACGAATATTTGAACTCATTTTCATTCTACTTTTTGCTCTGTGGAAAATAAATGCTGAAAAAGTATAATATTTGTTCTTTTGGCTAAAGTGTAGCAGTGATATGAATGGCTTTATGCAACGAGATGTATTTTTCTTTTATTTGTCTGATTTTTTTTCCTTTGACAGAGATTATACAAGGAAAACTATGAGAAGACAAAGGCAAAGAGCATGAATTACTGTGAGACTCCTAAATATCAACTTGATACTCTGCTGAAGAACTTCAGCGAGGTTTGCAAGGCTGTGGTTACCTCTGGGGTTTGAGGGCTTTCCTAATGTTTGACAGATAACTGTCAATTTGAGTCACATATGTTTTCTTTTTCAGGCTAAATATAAAGATTCATATGTGCAGAATGTTTTGGGACATTACATAGGCAGCTTTGAGGACCCATATCAAATACACTGCATGAAAGTTTCAGCTCAAAACAGTGATGTAAGTTTGAAGACAATTGTTCATGCCTCTCAGCGACATTGTTGGGAATGATAACAATCATGATCTATTTTTGTTCTTTCTCATTATAGAAAAATTACAAAGCAGAGTATGAAGAAGATAAAGGGAAATGCTACTTCCCTCAGACAATAACACAAGAATATGAAGCAATCAAGAAGCTAGACCAGTGTAAAGACGTAAGCCAGCTGCCCTGAATTCCTCAGATTGGGTTTGGGATTCTTGTGCCATCTAGTGATAAATTTAGCAGGAGTTTAAATGCTGTCATCTAGTGGTTAGCAGATGTTAAATTTTAAATTTTGATTTTTGGCTGGAATTGGGGAACACAAAAACGCCTATTTGTTACAAAATAATTTCAGGTTTTATAAATCTTTGTCTCTATTAGTTTATATATACGTGGTTTCAGGGGAAAGGGAAGACATGGGGAATTGTGAGAGATGTTTATTCATCCAACAAATTTACATGAGGGAGTAGCATGTGCCAAACACTGTCCTCGGTGCTGAGAAAGATGAGGGGACAAGGTGGGCTGCCTTTTGTGGAGCACGCCTTTGAGAGGGAGAGAAGACAATAAAGGAAGAGAACACAGAAACAAGAAAGATACCAGGCAATGAGAAGACAGCTAATGTAGAATGATGCTACAGAATTAAAATAGGATGATGTGGGAGAGAAAGATGGGATGGGCACTGTAGATCGGGTGGTCAAGGAAGCTCTTAGGCGGGAAGGTGCAGCCATGCCAAGGTCAAGGTAAGAGCAGAAGGAAAAACAGCCTGAGGAGAGAACAAGTTTGGCATTTAAGGAATTGAAGGGATGAGGTGGCTGAAGCATATGAGGGAGGGGGACAGTAGTGAGAGGTGAAATGGAAGGAGATGAAGGAGGGGGTGGATTCTGTAGAGTTGAGCTTGTAAGCCAAGGTACAGTTTAGATTGAATACCAAGTCCAGTGGAGAGCCATTGTAGGGCTTCAGCAGGGGGAAGATGAGTCTAGTTGCTGAATTGCAGTGGGGAGACCAGATCAGAGGCAACTTTAGAAGAGAGAGATTGAGAAAGGAGAGGAAGTGAGAAAATACCCACCCAGTTTTCAGGAAATCAACTATTTTTGGCTGGAAACTTTCTACATGTTAGCGTGTATATGAACAAGAATATAAAGATACATTATGAAATTTCATTAAAGAACATCTTCTTTTCTAGCACACGTACAAAGTTCATCCAGATAAGACCAAATTCACGGCCGTCACTGATACTCCTGTGCTATTACAAGCCCAGCTCAACACGAAACAACTTAGTGATGTAAGTGCCTTGATTTATGCAAATGAGTGACCCAGAATGTTTTGCTCATTTGAAACGTAAGCATTTAAATGCTTAATCTTCATGGGCTCATCTGTCATCCCAACAGTGTCATTTTTCAAAATTTGTTTAATAAAATGCAAATGAAGCTGCCAAAATGAGTGTAGCCTCAGGAAAAATGGTGTTAGGCAATAATAAAAATAACTAATAATCTTCAATCACTCATTGATTTTTAGTGGGAATTTGTTCATTAGGATCTGTCACATACCAAAATAATGCAACTAAAACTTCATGGCAACTTAAATAAACAACAATGACAATAAAAGCATCCGCTTGGGTAGGTAACAAGGCAAGCAGTTCCCATTCTTGAGTTTCCTAACAAAGACTTTACAGAAAGAAAAAGAGCACAGAAACAAGAAAGGCATCAGGCAATAATAAGAAAATTAATACATGATGGTGATACTGAATTAAAATAGGATGACCTGAGATAGAGTGACTGGATGGGTGCTTTAGATTGCATGGTCAAGGAAGATCTCTGGCAGAATGGTCCAGCCATGCCAAGATCAAGGCAAGAGCAGCAGTGCTTCTGAAACATTCACGGTCATGTGGATCACCCAGTGACCCTGTTCAAATGCAGATTCTGATTCAGTAGGTCTGGAGGAAGCCAATGTTCTTACTCGCTAGTAAGCTCCCAGGTGATGCCAGTGCTGCTGACTGGTAGAGCACACTTTGAGTAGCAAGGTGCTAACACAGCTAAATCCCAAAGAGCGGTGCATCCTTCTCAAGACAGGAAAATAAAATGTACAGTTTGTCCTACTACAAATTGTGTTTTAGTAACACAATTAGCTCGTGTGCATATAATAAAGAATGACATCAGTATGACCCAGAAGTCATCGTGCTTTATGTGTAATTTTCCCTAACATATTCATACTTTGTGCCCCAAGAAAGCACAGCTAAACACTGACATCATTGGCAAGCTGCAGAAGAAACGGGTGCTGGATGCAGTGCTCAGTCCCCACATGCCCCTCTCATCAGCCAGGTTGGGCCATGGGCTCTGTTTTGAAGGTGTTTATTGTGCAGTGCTTCTCAGTATTGTGAGTTTGCCTTTAACTTCAAAATTCAGCAGTCCCATTCCTTCTTTACATTCTTTTCCTCCCACCTCATGTCCCTTCAAAACATTTTAAATAAAGTCCTATATTTTTTAGGACTTTAAATTTTGTAGGACTATACTTTCTTTAGAAAGAATTTACATATCTTTTTAGCTGTGCTAGCATGTTATTTAGAATTATTATTTTTGTTAGTGCTCTGATTACAGAATTTCATAGATTTTGAGTGTTAGTGCCTTCGAGGTGCAGCCTGGAACTTTAGATCAGGCAATGAGTTTCCCATATATGTGTTGTGATAGTATTTACAAAATGACAAGCCAAAGTTTGGTTGTATGACAATCTCTGAAAGAGGGAGTCGAAGTCTGGGCCCTGTGCTGGACTTTGACTAGATTGACTATTTCTTTGAGGCATCTTTCTAAGAAGAGTAGAAATGACTTAGCTATATACACTTTCCTGTGTGCATTCCTACGTAAGTTCCTACCCTGAACTGTTTGGCTACCCTCTACTGTTTTTCAGCTGAATTACAAAGCAAAACATGAAGGTGAGAAGTTCAAGTGCAACATACCAGCAGATGCTCCACAGTTTATCCAACACAGAGTCAATGCCTATAACCTGAGTGATGTAAGTACCAAAGCCACAGAGGCCCATGCTTGCATGTGCATGGAAAGAGGAAATGTTATAGGTGTTTAAAAAGACAAGATTAGGAGCTGTGCAAATAAACAACTGCTGAGATTGTTGCCAGAGTTTAAGTGGAGCTTTTAAGGCATAAAAGCTTTTAAGACTCTTACTTGGCTATCAGATTTCCTTTTCCACAGTCTCTGATACTGTCAGAAACATTCTCTCAGTTACCTCTCTGTTAATCCCTGGAGTTTTACAAGGTCTCTCCTGTGTAAATGTCACATTTTGCCTTCTTCAAGTGGTTTTCATTTTATATTATCCTTCAGACCTCAGGATAGCAGAGTCTAGGATGTCCACGAGCATTAGAAAGAGTATGTTATACTCTATTTGGTGGTGAGGGGAAGAAGCTGGATGATAGGTAAATTAATAGTTATACTACCATTTGCTAAATATAGTATTTATAGGTGAAATAAGTCTACGTATACAAATTTTCAATCTTTTTAAAATTTTTACTGGATGAATTTGTGTTAGATGTTGTTCTTACAATTCCTTTGTTGAAATGTTCCTGTCCAGAATGTTTATAAACATGACTGGGAGAAAAGCAAAGCTAAGAAGTTTGACATCAAAGTGGACGCCATTCCCCTGCTGGCAGCCAAAGCCAACACTAGGAACTTTAGCGATGTGAGTATGGCCTGGGCATCTGGGCAGGGGGTGGCCCAGCGACATCTCCTGATGGGTGGGTCTGGCATGTATGGTGTCTTTGCAGGTGATGTACAAGAAAGACTATGAAAAAAGCAAAGGGAAAATGATTGGAGCCCTCAGCATTAATGACGATCCCAAGATGCTGAACTGTTTGAAGGCGGCCAAAAACCAGAGTGAGGTGAGTGCTTTTGTAAATCTGTCTTGTTTTCAAGATGGCGTCCCTGTTAACATGCCCCAGGGCAGTAGCATGTAAATCGATTCCATATCCATGGGCTCTCTCAGGTTCACGACAACAAACTGCTGGGAGAACTTTAGAAGCAGAATGATCCCCCAGATTCTTGCACCTCTCATGTTTGAGGAGAGAAATTGCTGATTCATACTTGATGTCCATGTCACTTTGAAACATGTGTGTTAATATTTAATAGAATACCAATTGTAATTCTTAAAACCTTTTGGAAAACATCACTAGATGTTTTCATATTTTCTTCTAATTGAAAAATAACCTTTAAAATGATGATTTTTAAAACTGTCTTTATTTTGGAAGAAAAACCATGAGTCACACGTGAAAATCTTAGTATAGCTCTTTGTTGATTTTAGTAATTAGTTAGTATTGGCTTAGGTCCGAGAAAAATATTCCATTGCTTATAGGCCCCTTTGAGAATCTGATAAAAGATTTGGAAAATCCGTCTAGAAAAACAAACTTTTTATTCATGCGTTTTTGCCTAAATGTCAGAGAATTTATAAATTCCCTAAGGCTGGTCTATGGGCCATCTATCATTTTTTGGTTAAAATTCTTACTATAGAGAAGCAAACATCTACTATTGCAAATTTCAGTATACATTATGTTTTTAAAATGTTCAGAGAATCTCTTAAGAGGGGTAAGAACATTCAACATGGCTTGAAAATAATAGCTTTTCATGGTTAAAGAGAAGGATGTTTGTATCATTTGCTTTCATTTTAACCATGTGTTCATATAAAGACCTATATATACATTCTTTAACTCATTTTGCCTTTACTGTATAGTCATATAGCACTTTAAAACATCCTAGTCAGTGATTTTCTCTGACAGCTTCACACCGAATTATGTCATATACACTGCTCAGGTATGTAATGACTATCTTGTTCCCTAGTTCCTTACCCATTCTTAACTTAAAAAAGGTTATAGCTCTCCACTGACAGCACATGTATCTTTATCTTTTGTTTTTCATCTTATCGCAGAACCCATTAGAACACTAGGTACAGAGTAAGTTTCCAATAAAAATGCTTGTTGATTGATATTGACAACCAAAAGAAATAGTCAATGATGAGTCATTCTTGCATAATATCCACACTAAATGCTGAGCTGCAGGTATAGACCATGCATAGCTTTTAAAAAGAACCCTTTACAGCCCTTTGGACCTTTGACAACATTTTATGTGTGCAGGTATGTGTGAGCTGGTATGAATATGAACAAAAGAGTCAAAACAATTTAGTTAAAAACAGTTCCACACACCAACTGCCATTGCAACATTGCTTTATCTGTTTATTTCTAGTAAAGACAAATCGTCTTTTGTTTTTTTCGATGTTCTGGTATAGCATCAGAATGTTTCCATATTTTGTTTTCATAAACCAGGGTCTAGATTTTATAATTAAGTGATAAATTTATCCAGTGAAAGTGACTAACTACAAAATGTTAGAAGGAAGATCACATTCCCTAAGGAAGCTAAGAGATCAGATTACTTGCAAAAGGAATTTCAGCAGAAAATTTGTAACATACATCTACACTAGCTAGCTTGGGTCACTGTCTTTAATGCTTATGTGATTGTGGGGACATATAATGGGTTTAGAATTTTCCTGAAGACACTGAGTCAGAACTGTTCTCTCTGTTAAGGTAATTGGTGAGCGGACATGAACAAGCTGGGACTTTGACCTAATTAGCACCCTGTCTAACCATTCCAGAAAACCAGCCAATGAAAGTGCCTTCTGAGGCCCAGTCAGGACATTTGGTTTATGAGAACACTGTGCATAAGAGCCAAGGCTACTTTCCTAGCTCAGTTTCACAAACTTTTCTCCTTTGAGGTCTTATAACTGCTGCAATTGGGAGCTTCTTTTAAATTATTACCAAAATTAAACTTGGTACGAAAAAACCTTTGGGATTCTCAGTGGGGCTTATCTACTATCCAAAGTAGAAGAGTCAGTCAGATTGAAAAATCAGTAACTATCCATTTAAAGATGACTTTAGAAACGCCAAGAAGTCAGGTGTACACTTCTATGTATGAAGGAGTCGTTTTATAAAATCAGAAGTATGAAATGATTTCATGTGATTTTCGTCAATTAAAAAGTACTTCTTTATTGAAAAACTCTTCAAATGTTAGATTACCTTAGTAGAAACAATGCTTGTTAGTGGTCCTTGAAAAGCTCTGTTTTAAAATAATCCCTGGCTGAAGCAGAAGCTGTGGCCCGTTCCTCATGTCTGACAGTTGCTCTTTGATCTAAAAAGAGATTTGAGAAGATTTGTCCATGTGTAATTTTAGGGGGAGTTTCAACAATGTATAACATATGAACAAATTTTAGGAAAAAATAACCACTCAGATGTTTGGATCCATTTCTTTAACTCGTATTTATTGTTTATGAGAGATCTCTGTGCTTTTCTGGGAATCCATTGAGGATTTGTGGTAATAAGTGGTAATTCCCTCTTCACAGCACGAATATCGTAAAGACTATGAAAAGGGAAAAACTATATACACGGCACCTCTGGATATGCTCCAAGTCACTCAAGCTAAGAAATCTCAGGCAATTGCCAGTGACGTGGACTATAAGCACCTCTTACACAATTACAGCTACCCACCTGATAGCATCAACGTGGACCTCGCCAAGAAGGCTTATGCACTGCAGAGCGATGTAAGTAATCAAATTTTCTCTATTCACTCTTTTTAAGGTGGAAACTAAAAAGGATTTCTAAGTTGAGTGATGTTTTTGGCAATTCTCAGAGGAATCTGCACTGTCTTTTGTAGGTACCAAGGATGTAATGGAAAACTTACCCTTGTGCTTCTATAAGAACACACCCTTCAGAGTTAGGGAGCCTAGGTCTGGCATGCATGCCATTGCTGTTCCCTTTGGGAAAGTTATCAACCTTGCTGGGTCCAGAGTCCTCCTTGTAAAATTGGAATAAAACAAAAGAATTGTTTTGAGAATTTAATAAACGCAAAGTACTTAGCGTGGTGCTAGGCCCTGGTGAATTCTCAATAAGTATTCAAGATTACTATCATCACCACTGTCATAATGATCACATTCATCATCATTAATAATTTTTACATAGATTACTATCTTGTCTGAAAATAAAATATATCATTTACAGCATCAATTTTTTTAATAGCTGGGTTTTTTTTCTGCAGATCAAAACTTCTTTATGAAAATTAGTTTGTCTGAGCTACACAATTGAATACTTTATCCTAACAATCCTATTTTTTAAAATGTGGTAAAATACGCATAACATAAAATTTGCCATCTTTACTACTTTCAAGTCTACAGTTCAGTAGCAGTTACTTGTGTGCACATTGTTGCACAGCCAATCTCCAGAACTTTTTCATCTTGCAAAACTGAAACTCTGTACACATTAAACAACAAGTCTCCATTTCATCCTCCCCTCAGCCCCTGGCAACCCCCCTTCTACTTTCTGTCTCTATGAATTGGACTACTCTAGAGACCTCATATAGATGGGCTCATACAGTATTTGTCTTTTTGTGACTGGCTTATTTCACTTAGTATTATGTCCTCAAGGTTCATCGCTGTTGTGGAATGTGTCAGAATTTCCTTCCTTTTTGAGGCTGAATAATATTCTATTATATGTATATACCACATTTTATTTATCCATTCATCTGTCAGTAGACATTTGTATTGCTTCCATCTTTTGGCTACTGTGAATAAGGCTACTATAAACATGCATATATAAGTATCTTTTTGAGACCCTGCTTTCAGTTCTTTTGGGTATACACTCAAAAGTGGAATTGCTAGATTGTACAGTAATTCTATTTTTAATTTTTTTTCCCCAAGGAAGATTAGCCCTGAGCTAACATCCACCACCAATTCTCCTCTTTTTACTGAGGAAGATTGACCCCAAGCTAACATCTGTGCCCATCTTCCTCTATTTTGTATGTGGGACGACTGCCACAGCATGGCTTGATAAACAGTGCATAGGTCTGCTCCCATGATCCCAACTGGCAAACCCCGGGCCACTGAATCAGAGCATGTGAACCCAACCACTGTGCCACCAGGCGGGCCCCTATTTTTAATTTTTTGAGGAGCCACCATATTATTTTCTGTAGCAGCTGCAAAGTTTTACATCCCCATCACTAACAATTCCATTTTATGCATTGTTGTCTTATTTATTTGTTTAATTTTGCTATGTTTCTTTCTCCCAAATAGATTGTAAGCCTCTTAAAGGCAGTTACCAAATGGTTTTTTGATTTTTCATTCCAATTCAAAGGCCCAAGCTAAAGAACAGTGATTTGAATTTTGTACCTAGAGCATAAGTATTAGGTACCACCTAGAGCCAGAAAACAAGAGTAGTTCATTGTTTTAATACCATCAAGTAACTGTCCTCAAAATAGGGCCAATTTCAGATGATAACTGCTCTCTGTAAGCAAATTATCAAGCGCACCTCTTTTAAAGAGCATCATTAGCTATTGTAGAAACACTCCTAAGCTGACCATTACACATGAAAGGCAGTGTGCAAACACTTAATATGTATAACTACCATCGAGTCTTATCTAATCAGAAAATGAGCAAAATTATTCATCAACATGGCCTTCAGTCCTAATTTGACCATAGAAACATAATACTTAGAGTTCCCTTGAGCGAACCTCTCACATTTAATTATCTAAATATCACAGTTTCAATTATTCCTTGAAATACAACTTTGCATTTAGCATTTTCCAGATTGGAATTAGAGATTCACATACTTCCATTCAGTTGGAAATAAGGATGAAATGGGACAAATGCCAACTAGAACAGTGAAAACCTAAGGCCTATTAAAAATCTCTCACCAAGGAAATGTTTAAAATAACCTTAATATATGCAATAACGAAGCTGGTCAGAAATCTTAAAAACACTTTGGATAAAGTGTTAGTGATTTTACGAATAAGGATGATGCTGAGCAAAAGAAATGTAACCTTTCTCTTGGTGTTTTAGGTTGAATACAAAGCTGACTACAACAGCTGGATGAAAGGTTGTGGCTGGGTTCCATTTGGGTCCCTAGAAATGGAAAAGGCAAAGCGAGCTTCAGACATCCTGAATGAGGTAAAGCCAGCATGCATGTCACAGAGAGAGATGTGTGAACATGTCATGTTAAACCCTCAAACCCATTCGACGTGCCTCCTTTACTGTTTTCTTCTCTAATAATTGTTGCTGAGGAAAAACTTACCACGTGCATAAATTATCCAGGTGGACAAGCATACCTCTTTACATCACCAAAATCATTTATGTTAACCATTCTCGAGAAACAAATTTTTAACAACTTTATCAAGGTATAATTTGCATTCCATAAAATTCACCTATTTCAAGTGTGCACCTTGTTGGGTTTTAATAAATTCGTATGGTTGTACAGCCATCACCACAATTGAATTTTAAAAGGCTGCTAGTATCCCCAAAATTTTGCTTTCACAATTTCTGCTCCCATCTTCACCCCAGGTGAACACTGATCTGCTTTCTGTTTCTATAGTTTTGCTTTTTCTAGAAATTCCTTTTGTATCAGACTTCTTTCACTTAGCATGTTTTTGAGGTTCATCCATATTTCTACATGTGTCTGTAATTCATTCCTTTTTATTATAGAGTAGTATTCCTTTGTAAGGTTATACCACATTTTGGTGTCCAGTTGGTGGACATGTGGATTTTTTCCAGTTTTTGGCAATTATGAATAATGCATATAATGAATATTATAGAAATTTTCTTTGAAGTATTATACCCTATCAAATCTTATGATAACTTTGAAGTAGCATATAAATCATTTTTCAGTCATAGAAAACAATAGCTATCTTGGGCTCTCGAAGCAGCCCGGTTACCCATCTGTCCTCTGCCAACAGCCAAACATCCCCCACGTGGTGAGGCGAATCCGTCGTCAAGGAGGTTAGACTGCATAAAGAAGGGCTGAGTGAGGTTGTCTTCACACTCAAGCTTCTGTTGGTCTCGTGTTCTGTACTTTTGTTTGTTTTTGATGAAAACCATTTTATCTACTCAGAGATCTTTCAGAAAAAGTTCTTCTGGGTTAGTGGTTTTCAGGAGTCTGAAGCTGGAAGAGCGATGCTACTATATATGCAATAGGGGGATGTATAATATGCACAAAGGAAGAGGAGTGGGAAAATAAAGGAGAATATAGGAATAAGTGTAGCTAGAGGTTGCCAGCTCCCAACTGGGACACCTTCCCCGTGTCCCCTCTCCTGTGCCTTCTCAGCGCTTAGTGATAACCTACGTGCTAACCACAGTAAGGCTCGCAAAGCAAAAGTCCTCCCCTTCCTGTTAATAATCTCGGGCTGTTTCCCTCATTCCTCAATTACTCCTCCCTCAAACGGAGAGCTTCTTTACTTGAGTCGCTGATGTAGTGATGGGGAAAAGAACATCTCTGAGAACTTGTCAGCGTCGTGCAAGGACACTCCAAATCTCTTTGCATGCTTTTCTGTTAATCCTTGAGAAAACTTTGTGATGTTCCTGGATCCTGCTTAGCTGAGAGTGCCCTCTTTCACATCATAAGCAAGAAATTAAGAGAGTAAAGTCTGGTTCCTGAAAGTTGTATTGGTCTGTGCTGCCCCAAACAATCCAAAATTAAACCAATATTTTTAATGCTGGCTTTTGTATTGTGTCCATTTTTTCCCCCCAGGCCAAACAAGAATCTAGGAGTTTGCATTTTAAAATCAGAAAAGATCCTTGTTCCTTGAAAATAAATTTCAAGGATTTTGATATATTAGCCTTCGGTGAAGTTAATAGTATTGTTTTTCTCTTTAATTTGCCAAACAGAAAAAGTATCGCCAACATCCGGACACTCTCAAGTTTACCTCTATTGAAGATGCTCCGATTATAGTACAGTCTAAAATTAACCAGGCCCAGAGGAGTGATGTAAGTGTTAATCCTATCTGTATTTTAATAAATGTTCACTAATACGAACACGTTTGTATTCCAAATGCACTGATCACTTGTAATTATAATGTAATCTAGAGAGACTCAATTACATGAGCAACTGCATAATTCCCCCAGCTTTTTGTTAAAAAAGCACACCGAATTCGTATCTTTAGAGTATTGGGTATATTGTGCTGACCATCCTTTCAAACCTTGGACATTGCTTTCCAAGGAAAAGGTAAGAGGGCCTTCTTCTGATGACAAGAAACACAAGCCAATTTCTAGGAAAGATCAGAAAATGAATATAGCCACCATATCATGTGGAGGAGTTATATTTTAAGTCAGAGCTCAGATAAAAATCATATATAGTAAAAAGTACCCCTAAGTCCCTTTAGTTGCCCACAAAATAGAATATAGGCAGTTGGTATAGCCCACCCTTTTAGCCTTTCCTATGCTCAGGAAAGTGTCTGCAGGTTAATGCTTTCATCAGGCCAGCTCCCTGGGTTGACTTCCCCAAGGTGCCCCTGTCTAAGTGCAGAATTTCCTAGTGCGTACCAGGGGCCTTTGCCAAGGCTGAACCAGCACCAGGATAGGACCCTGTGCAACTGCATATGAGAACCTAAATGCCTACAGATATTTTCAGGTGAAAATGCGGCTGACACAGAAAGTGTCCTTTGTAAAAATCACTTCTGTGCAATGTGATCCGCTCTGAAATTATTTTCCTGTGCTGTTAAACGCTTTCCCCTACTTTGCTTGTTTTTTTGTTTGTTTATGCATTTTCTTTCTCTTCCAGGTCGCCTATAAAGCCAAAGGAGAGGAAATTCTTCACAAATACAATCTGCCAGCAGATGTGCCACAGTTCCTCCAGGCTAGACTGAATGCCTACAATATCAGTGAGGTGTGTGTGTGGGCTCAGCTGCCGATTGCGTGTTAAGCCTTTTCTAAATGTGGCCTGAGTTATATTGAAATGATGTTTTTCTTTCAGAATATGTACAAAGCAGACTTGAAAGATTTGAGCAAGAAGGGATATGACCTGAGAACCGATGCGATTCCCATCAGAGTTGCCAAAGCTGCCAGGCAGGCGGCAAGTGACGTAAGTCCAGCTGGTGGTCACCTGTGTGTAACTGGAAAATGTGGGCGGGCTGGACTTGTTATCCGAAAGTCACCTCGTCTGCTGTCCCCAATTGGAAGCGAGTCCAGTTGAAAACTATGTGGAAAGGAAAGATCCCTAAACAGATCTGAATTTTGGGGGAGAGTAAGGATTTGTATAACCTTTACTGATCAGTTCTAATCAAGCACCTTAATTCTAAATTCTCATGTATGCTTCTACACACATTCACATTATTCCTCTTGTGGAAATCAAGGAGTGACTATTCAAGTTATGTTAACCTCCTATGGTAAAACTTTATCTCAAAACTTCCTTAATTTATATGAATTCCCTCTTCCCTCATTCTCTTTTTACTTCATTGCTTCTACAGACTGATGAACTAGCTTCAAGTGTCAGAGCCCGTAATAGTCAGGCATTAGGCTCCGTTAAAGTTAACACTTGTTTCTTTTCCTATCTTGCTTTAACCCCGATGTGAACGGAAGTCACTTTGCTCTTTGAGATTTAAATAAAATCGACTCCAGCCCCCATTTGTTGTCCTATAGGCAGTGAGCTCCCCTCCCCTGTGGTTGCTACAGATACTCTGAGGTTTTCGTTTTTCTGATCACCTCTGGCTCCTCGTTTGCACAGGATAGTTTTACTCTGGCTTACCTGGGCTCTCCTCCCCTGGATTTACTTTTCTTTCTGCTCTGCATAATCCGGGAATGGAACACAGCCCCTTCCCCTCAAGTCCCAAGGACAACTTTACTGATTGAAATGAAGTTTGCATGGCACCAATGTAAATATGTTACAATCGAATAATAAATGTCTGTGTCCTAAAATCCCTGCCCTAGAATTTGTCACTGATGCCCTCTGTCTGTGGATGCTGTCTTCTAGCCATTCTCCACCCCGCCATATGCACGAACCTTCCCTCACATCGCTGTGTCTCAGTTTCTGAGGTTTCTGCCCAGGTCTCCCCAAGGAAGCTCACTTCTTCTCACTTTCTTATTCACAGCCACTTAGTGTGTACACCACTGGCTCTGGCTCTCCCTTTAAATATACAAAGACTCATTAAAATTCTACTACTCCTCCAAAAATTCTACTGTTACTACTACAATTCTGCTACTAATAGGATAGCTAGCTATTTGGAGTCTCCTTCTTTAGCAGCACAATATAATCGGTAGAAATTGTGAAATATTTATCTTTTCATTTTTCTCTACCAGTGTATAAATGGAAGGCAACGTATTTTACTTTGTCACTGATATGAATTATGTAATGCCCCCACCCCAACCTCTCTTGGGTGGCAGAAACAACTACAGGCAATCAAATGGTCCAGAAATAACATTTTTATTTTACCAAGTTATATTTCAAAGTATTGACAAGTGAATATCTAATTGTTTATTGAGGTAAAGTAATTTCTAGGAAGCTCAATTGCTTCAATTCGTGGTCCCATTGTTCAGTAAAATCTTCATAAACAACATTTAAAAATATACCTACTTTTGTTTCTAATAGGTTCAGTACAAAAAAGATTATGAAAAAGCCAAAGGGAAAATGGTTGGCTTCCAAAGTCTCCAAGATGATCCTAAACTGGTTCATTATATGAATGTGGCCAAGATACAATCAGACCGGGAGTATAAAAAAGACTATGAGAAGACAAAGACGAAATACAACACGCCCCATGATATGTTCAATGTTGTGGCGGCTAAGAAAGCTCAGGATGTTGCCAGCAATGTCAACTATAAGCATTCGCTCCATCATTACACCTACCTGCCTGATGCCATGGACCTGGAGTTGTCTAAAAACATGATGCACATACAGAGTGATGTAAGTGATGCTTACCCCACGAGACAAGCCCCCTCTAAGCTGGGAGAATGTCATGAGAGAACCCACTGCCTGGGGCACTCATCTTCTTTTCTCTCTTTGCTGTAGAACGCCTACAAGGAAGACTACAACAATTGGATGAAAGGTATAGGCTGGATACCTATTGGCAGTCTGGAAGTAGAAAAAGTTAAAAAGGCGGGTGATGCCCTGAATGAAAAGAAGTACAGGCAACATCCAGACACACTCAAATTTACCAGCATCGTGGACTCGCCAGTCATGGTCCAGGCAAAACAGAACACAAAGCAAATCAGCGATGTGAGTACAACAAAAGAGAGGGGGCAAAGGATGGAGGGAGGTTTAAAAAAAGTCAGCATCAGCTCAAAATTTTTATTCTTCTGAGCCAATATTTTTTCCTTGTAGAATTATTATTTTGTTTATTTAATCTAAAATAATATTTACAGTTATTTTTAGTTTGGGCACTAATATGTTCCTTTTCTTCCAGCTTGCTTTTTACCTTCCTTTTTAAAATGTCTTCCTTTTTAACTGCCTTGAAATACTGTTACTGAATACATTTGACATGGTGAAAAAGTTCTGTTCTAGTACTATGCATGCAAACACACCAACAAAATATAAGCTTAAATCCCAGACACTTTGCTGTGGCAAATTCATCATATTCAATTCTCTGTCAAGTTGCTCATATTTGCTTTGCATGTGTAAAATATTAATACAGGGAAATAATACACATAAGTTTATGGTTTTACTTCTCAGAATTCATCATATACAATTATTATAGAGACTTTTTTTACTTGTGTCTTGGTGGAGATTAGTACATCGTTTGCCTGCCTGTCCAGGAGCAATGTATATGCTCTGGCTAAAGTCAAATCTAAAGGAGAGTTTGGTGTATAAAGGAGTTAAATGGACATCAAAAGCATTCATTCGTTAATTCGTTAAATAAATGTTTTTGAACACCTTCGGTGTGCCAGGCATTGTAATATGTGCTGATGATGCAAAGATGAAACAGACGAGGGTTAGTGGGACATGGGATATAACAAGGTTATAGGACAAAAGTATAAGACGAAGGCATGGATTGCCATAAGGAGAGATGAATGTTCCAGGTGAGGTGTGTGCTAAGTAAGCACAAGGGAAGGGGGTAACCGCCTACCAGAGCTTTCCTGGCAAACAAGGAAAGGATGCCTTCTTGGCAAAAGGAAAAACATGATAACAGTCAAAAAGTAATGAATGGAAGGACAGCAAAGGGTTTGGGATTGTAACCTGATCGCTGAGGATCTTGCATGCTAATTTATAGTCTGGGGTAGGTAACGGGAGGTACTGAAGATTTTTAACCCATGGAGTTGCATTATTAGGTCTGTGTTTCAAAAGATAATTCTAGCAAAAAATGCAGAGACTGTATTGGAGAGGGGAGAGAATGGAGGCGAGGAGATGAATTAGAAAGCCATTATAGAAATACAACAGAAAGCTTATTTGGACTCCAACTAAGGCAGTAGCAATTGCAAAGGAAAGGTTTAGAAGGTCAAATTAATGAGGTTCTGTGAATGCTTAGATGTGGTTTCTAAAGGTAGTGAGGAAGTAAAGACAGCGCTTAGATTCCTAGAAGAAATTATTTAGTGTTTGGGGATTCATTTAGATATTGGCCATTTCAGACTTGACTTATGATACATCCACACCAGTTTACATTTGATATTCCACACAGACATGCCTGGGAAATGGGGGTATATGTGATATGGCTGTGTGTATGTGATAAATGATGATTAAGAGATTGGAAATCTATTTGTGATTCTAGTTCTGTTTTAGTTTTAGAAATTTCTTTCTTTTCCATTACCAAGAGGAGGATGCAATATAATTTCTACATCCTACTCTTTGATGTCTTTCAGATGTCTTTAAAATGCAAATTAGGGTAAATATGAAATGGTCCCTCTTTTGAGTATAAAGGATTTGTGTATGAGCACTTTTACATTACAAGAAAATTATGATATGCTTTTACTGGTAGAATTATAATTGGAAAGTTTTTAGCAGAAGTGAAAGACTCATACTAACTACCATTTTCTCTCTAAGAATAAAAAATCAAAAACCAAAGATAAGACTTTAAGAACTATTAACTCCACTAGCAAAGCATGAACTTTTCTGGCTTTGGTGAATTCTGTTATTCATGTTAGGGTTTCACGTCTGAAATTATTTTCCATTCTTCTCTGGCAGTCAAAGATTTCTATTTTCTTAAGGATTTTTTTCCTCTCCACTTTAATTACATGGAGTTTTTGTGTCTTCCTTTAACAAGATGCTTGAGTTTTTTAAAAATAAGAAAATGCCTTTGATAGTTTTAACAGTAGAGAGAGTAGGGGATTGTGCCAGAAATAGCTCCTCTAAGCATGCAATTAATGTATTTGCCCTTTTGTGCTACTTGTAATGCATTTTATTTTTGTGACTATGTGTTGCAGGTCTTGTACAAAGCTAAAGGAGAAGATGTGAAACATAAGTACACTATGGGTCCTGATCTTCCTCAGTTTCTCCAGGCCAAGTGCAATGCTTACAATATAAGTGATGTAAGTAGGGTCTCTGAAATCCAAACCTAACAATAAAATAATAGAATTATAGATTAGGATGGGGCCTTGACAAGTATTTTGGTCAACTTCCCACATAACCCCCAGTGGAGCACATCTCATGATGATGGCTCTGCCTCTTGAGTCGGCCTTTTCAAATGTAGCACAACTCTAAAGGATGTAACATTCTTCTTTACATAGAGCACAAGATCCCTGCCCCTAAAACTTTTTAGTTTTCCTAGTTTTGCACCTGGAGGAGGTTATTATCCTCTAAAAAAATAAGAATAAATGAAATCCTTCTTTTTTACAACAACTCTAAAATTTCTAGAGCTAACCACCAGGTCTTCCCTTAACCTTCCTTTCCTAAGACTGACTGACTTCCTTTTCTCCAGTTGGTCCTTGCATAGCATGGTTTCCAGAACTTTTATTACTCTCCTCTGGATCCATTGTAGTTTCTCAATATCCCTCTTCAGTATGTGCCAAAACCAGATTTGGGTAAATAATTAGTGCAGAGTCCAAGAATTTCATGCTATACAAAGCTTGAAATTTGTTAACATAACTTCTTAAAACAGTATGTGCTATATGAGATTCCTTTAGCTTATACCTGGAAAAGAACAAAACGATCCTAGCAATTGAGGAATCACTTTAGGTGATTAATACACAGCATGCTGACATCCTTTTTTCTTTTCCATCCCAGGTCTGTTATAAACGGGACTGGCATGATTTAATAGCCAAAGGCAACAATGTGCTGGGTGACGCTATTCCCATCACTGCGGCCAAAGCATCAAGAAATATTGCCAGTGATGTGAGTAAAAGTTTTAGGTGAAATCTGGGTGATTGCCTTTTTAAAAAGTAATCAAATGTGTGCTTGTTTAAATGATACCACATTGAAAACAATAGCCTGAATTAATGACATTCAAATTCTCCACAAAATATTGTTTTGAAAACCTGTCACTTTTTCAACATTTTGTGATTCTTTTCAGTTGACCCCACTTGGTAGAGCGGTCATAAATCTGATAGTGGCTTTCTCCCCTGATTCATAGCCCAAATTACCTTTACTGACACATTTCCCTGACAGCCCACATTTATTTTCAGTGAGAACACCCTGAGTGACACTAACACATTAAATTCGGATGACTGCCTGCATTATGATTGTACTAAGAAGATTGAGGAGATGTTATGTAAAATGTGTAGGTTTTACAAACCAAACGGGAAAAAGCCCACTTTTCTGGAATATAATTTTGATTTATGTAAATTGATGCCTATTTCACCTGTGATAGAAAAAGTATACACTTAGACATCTTCCCATCATTGAAAAACAAAATTTTCAAAAAGCACTCATGCGGGGCCAGCCTGGTGGCATAGTGGTTAAGACCATGCACTCTGCTTTTCCAGCCTGGGGTTCACAGGTTTGGATCCCAGGCATGGATCTACACACTGCTCATCAAGCCATGCTGTGGTGGCATCCCACATACAAAATAGAGGAAGATTGGCACAGATGTTAGCTCAGGACCAATCTTCCTCACAAACACACACACACACACACACACATACACACACACAAAAGCACACACGCCCTGCAGACTTCGTGTCACACACTATTCCAGGGGCTACAGTCTTGATTTGAGAGAAGAGAAGAAAGAAACCGCCCAGGTGTACAGACCTCGTGGGAGACAGGGGTGTAAGAATTCTCCAGCTTTCCTGCTAGAGATGATACTGAAAATGTGTTCCTCAAAGGTTTGCATATCATGTTTGAAATACATTTCTAGTTTAAGGACAAAGTAGAAGTATGACATTTGACATTTTTTTTTTAGTGCTTGCACAGAGCTTTTTCTAACATGCCTAGAAATTGGTTAACTATCCTTTTATCTGTTAAAGTCTTGTTTATAAATCAGTGCTTAAACAGCAGGAGCAGAGTGTCTGCAGAGTTTAGGTGGACTTGAATTCTCCCATGTAAAGATTGAGATTTTGACCTGTTTCATACAGTGTAGCTCCGTCGACAGCCCATTGCCAACTCCATGTGTGGGAGAGCTTGAACAGCAGAGCTTCTGTGGTTAGGGTTTTACTGATGGAGAAAGCTCCCAGTGGTTCCTGCCATTACTGTAGTTCCTTAATTCATCTGCAGCTGCTTCAGCAGCGAACTTGGAGAGTAATTGCTAAGAAATTGGGTGGGTGAAGGCCCAGATACCTGCCTGTGCAGCATCTAAATTGATGCTACCTAGAAAGAAGAGTATTTTCGTTTTAACCCTATTATGTCAATCTGAGACAACAAACACAGGCAAGTTTTCCACTCCTCACCCCAAGAAGATCTGAGTGTAAACGTCTTGCCTGTACATTATTTCTTTAGAGTTTCTTCTGCACCTTTTGTGTACATATCACTAGGCCAATCGGCATAGAAAATAGAAGATTTCCTCAATAATTTCTAATATTCCATGATGTGAAATAACATATTAGATTAGGAAAATTCACATCCCTGGAAGAACCAAGAGATATTGGTCTTATATGTGGACTGTGTCAAGTTTACATTGTGTGACAATTCAATCGGCTTTAAATAAAGTTCTACATGCAAATTATCTATAAAGAAATCAGGAAAGAAACTGATCCTGAATTTATTATGATATCTTTTTGTAACCTGGCAGTGTTGGAAATAAATGCTTTCACTCTGAACTTTCTGGGGGTGGGGTGGGGTATGGGCTATGGTTTGCATTTCTTGTGCAATCTTCCAGAAATTCACAATGTTCTGAGCGCCTTTGTGTGTAAATATAATTGCTGCATCTAATGTTATCAATGCCTAGGACTTGGCTAACCAAATTCTGTCTTTGCAGTATAAATACAAGGAAGCTCACGAGAAGTCAAAGGGAAAGCATGTGGGTTTTAGAAGCCTCCAGGATGACCCCAAGCTGGTCCACTACATGAATGTGGCAAAGTTGCAGTCCGATCGTGAATACAAGAAGAACTATGAGAACACCAAAACCAGCTACCATACCCCCAAGGACATGGTTAGCATTACGGCTGCAAAGATGGCCCAGGATGTTGCCACCAACGTCAACTACAAACAGCCAATACATCATTACACATATCTACCTGACGCCATGAGTCTCGAGCATACCAGGAATATGAATCAAATTCAGAGTGATGTAAGTGTGTATGACATAGCAGACCCAGAGATGTTGGTACTTAAAGGATGATCATTTCTTCCTATTTTAGCAGAGTTTACAAGACAGTAAGATATTTGAAAAATGCACTTTAAAATAAACAATCGTTATTGAAAGGCTAACAAAGGCAGGGTACACAAGCTGTGTTTTCACTGGTTTTCTGTGCCCCTGTTGTAATCATTGACCTTGTCTTTAATAACTTATGAATCAAAGATAAAACTATATTCCACTAAGTATATAAGCCTCTTTGATTCTCAGCAAAAGGAAATGCTTGCTCCTGGCGGGTCTGCTTCAGTAATGATATGTATAATGCAAACTAGGAGTATTCTCTATGCTTTCTGAATTCAGGAAAGTTATTTTTTCTTTTTTTAACTTAAGGTCACAGTCTCATGCATGTAAATCTATGTAATGAATCATCTGAAATGAGCCAAGAAGGCTTTGTGATGGCAGTATGACTCATGGAGAGGTGCATGGGGAGGGTGTTTAATATTCAGGGCATTTTCTTCTGCAGGAGTCAGATTTCTGTAAGAATTGTCCTCTGTGAAGGGAAGAAATGGTGTTCATTTATTGTTGCTCAATGAAACTGTCTCTCTCCAACTAAGATTAGGAATAGCCTAGGTGGACAGTGTGGGTGAAATTCAAAATTGTGGAGTTTTCAGTGAAATCTAAAGGAAAGCCCAATTTATTGTCAAAAGAGAGTTTTTCTTTAGCAGTACCCATGGAAATATGTGGCCTAGATTCCTTCTGTGTTGTGTAATGCACTCTAACAACAGAACTGCTTTTTCTTACCAAATTCTGGGTAAGAAGCTCTGTGGCAGACATAGTCAAATGCTGCATTATAGACACAAGCATGCTGAAGGAGTTACTCTTCATCTCCCAGGGATAGAATTGCAGATTTCAGAAACATCCCTTGAGTATTCACTAGCATATCTCCTCATATGAGATTACTCTTTTACAGAATGTATATAAAGACGAGTATAACAGCTTTTTCAAGGGCATTGGATGGATCCCTCTTGGTTCTCTGGAGGTTGAGACGGCCAAGAAAGCAGGCGATGCATTAAATGAGAGGAAGTACCGACAGCACCCAGATACCATCAAGTTCACAAGTGTACCTGATTCCATGGGCATGGTTCTGGCTCAGCAAAACACAAAGCAGCTCAGTGATGTAAGTGGTTTCCCTTCAAAAGGGTTTGTTCATGAATAACCCCTGTGACAGAGCCACTCCACCACCCTTCTTAATTCAATATGTGAGGGTGCATGTATCTTACCAAATCAATTGCTTTCAGAGGTGTATTTGAAAGGTTTTACTTCCAAAACAACTTGGAACTTGAATATAGAGAGAATGGGGAGGGGAGAAGGAGGAGATTCCGGATTTGCTTTATTTTCCAAATGCAGAAAGCCTGCGCTATTTACAAGCAGATTCCTACACGTTATACATATGAAATGAAATTATTACTATTAGCATCCGTGACTGTCTGAATTGCAAACCACGCTATTTATTACTCTGAGTGCAACCGTTCTACCTAGCTACATGGAGAGAAGGCATACTGTCCTACTCCCTCTTGCATCACAGCTCAGTGTTCTGAGAGGCGAACTAGAGAGAGGCCTCGGCGGGTGGAGATAAGCAGTTCACTTTCGGAGTCATCCAGAGTCTCATTTCTGAGCCCAGTCTATCCAGACCCTTATTCTTAGCCAGAGGCTAATTACAGTGTGCACTGCTTCACCTCATTTGGTAATTTCAGAGATCTATTAAAATACCTCCATCAGAAAGAGAGGGGTAGGTCAAAAGCAAAGAAGGGAAGACCTTTTGTGTTTTTAGCCCCAGATATTGGAAGGTGAAGAATGCTTTGCTTGGGTCAGATTTGAGGATTATCTGTGGATTTTATTTCTCAGGACAGTCCCTGCTTCCACATTACCACAGACATTTCAAGATTAATTCTAGTTTAGTGGTAATAAAGGGTGTAGATGCTTCTTATTTCTTTTGTACTAATGGAGGTGTCACTTCTCCCTGTGTTTTTCCAGTTAGCTAAGAATACTGTAGACTCACTAATTAAGTTTTCCCCATCCCAGCAAATGCCATCAGCATCTACCTAGTTGCTCAAGCCAGAAACCTAGGACTCACCACTGACGCCTCCCTGGGTGAACCGATACATCCAATATATCTGCTGAGTCGAATGTATTGGCTAATCTCTCTCAGCCATCCACCAACCCTAGTTTTGGCTTCCATATCACGCAAATGGACAACTGCAATAACCGTCTGGACTTCCTGCCTGGGGTCACACACAACAACCAGAGAGACTGCCTGAAAACATAATTCAAATCGTGTTTCTCTTCTCCTTAAAACCCTGTAGTAACTTCTCCTTGAACTTAAAATCTAAATTTGTTAACTCGGGTTAAAAGGCCCTCAGCTCTGTGGCGCTGCTCCCCCTCCTGTCTAACCCGCTCTGTGCCCCCTTGGCATACTCCAGCCCTGTGACACAGGCTGTCTTCAGTCCCTCAAGCTGGCCACAGCCTTTCTAGACTCAGAGTCCTGAACGCTCTTCTTCTGCATGGACCGCTCCCCTTTCTTCAAGTTTGGGCATAAATGTTACCTCCTTAGAGAGCCTTTCCTGACCACACTTGTTTATTTCCTACAGTTATTCTATTTACAACACATCACAAATCCTAGCTATATCTCGTAGCTTGTGTATTTATTGTAGGTCTCCCCTATTGGACCATAAGCTCCAGGAGAACAGGTCTACCTTTTTCAACACTTTAAACACAGAACCTACCACTCTGCCTGGCCCACAGTGCTGTCCAATAAATGTTGGTGGAACGAGCAAATGAATATGTGTCCTAACACTCCCTGTGTGTAACAGTATAGGTATTTGCCTTCTATATGGAAAAACACAAGTGATAGCCTTCCTTTTTAAAGGAGTGTATGCTTGAAGAAACTTACATTATGTCAGCTAATGACATTTGCATGCTGCCTCCTTTGTTTTTAGTTGAACTACAAAGTGGAGGGGGAGAAACGGAAGCACAAGTACACTATGGACCCTGAATTACCTCAGTTTATTCAAGCCAAGGTCAACGCCCTCAACATGAGTGATGTGAGTATTTGGCCTGGTGCCAGTCTAGCATTGGTTAAGGGGGCCTCTCCTTTCCAGTTTTGCATAACTCTTGCACTGAGAGTTTTAAGGGGAGCAAACTAGTGTGGACCCTTTGAGTCTCTTTTGGAGGAGGCCATCAAGAGGATGTGACTGCTGGTTGATCCGAGAGCCGGACCCTGGCAATTGGAGGCTCCCTCCCCTCTGTTTGGAATGTACACTCTGCCCACCGTTCCCACAGTGGGAACCATTTTCAAAGGCACAGCCTTGAGAAAATAAGGTGTTATTGAGACCATCTGGATGATATTTGTGACTGACCCCTGTTAAGTCCTCCATATAAACATTTAAGAGTCTGGTGGGCAGCTGTAGAGATCTACTCGTTTTGTGGCTGCCCCAGACAAACCTCATCTGTAAGTTCCCTTGCTTATCAAAACTGCCACCTACCCATCTGGAGTGGTCTGCCTCTTTCTTTAGTCCCTCCTTGCCCTCCGTGTACAGGGGCCTACCAAGAGTCTGCAGACTGGACCCTTATCATAGAATATGATACTGCAAGCCACCACAAAATTTTGCTTAATGAAGAGTTTTCCAGACTGTGGGCTATGACTCACTGGTTATAAAACCAATTGAGTACGTTGCATTCCATTTTTTAAAAAGTGGAACAAATTGAGATAGACAAGATTGGAAAATACAGGAGCGTGTAGTCTGCAGTAAGGATGAGTACGGCTTTATATAACTTTTGTTTCAGTTATTTGTTAAAAGTTCTAAAAAAGTTTGCTGTTATTTTCTTTAGAAACTCTTTTTTGTATGTAACTAGCCTCTCTCTCAGGTAGTCTAAGTATGTAACTGGTGGTGATGTTTAAATTCACTATTATGAATTGTTTCATTTTGCTTTTTTTAAAAAAAGAGTTGGTAAATTTTAATTTTAAAACATAATCAAACCTGGATAAAGTTGGTAATTTCTTAAAAGATGTCTAACATTTTAGGCTCTCTTTTATCTCCAAATAAGCACTTTTTGGTACTCATTTTTATGCTTTTGGTTTATTTAAAATTTCTTTCCTGCTTTTCTAAGTAATATTTAAAATTAGTGTAAATTAAAACTGGGTAGTATTACATCTGAATTTCTTATTTTAGGATCCATACCTTTCTTTAAGTTTAAAATGCTTCGTTAAAAAAATAAGAAAATAAAAGTGTTTACATGCTTATTATGGAAAAGGTGGAAAATATAGAAAATTATGAAAAAATTAAAAATCTTCTGTTGTCCCACATTACCTTTCCATTGTTTCATTCTGCAAGCATGTATACATTTTTAAAGTGGTTGAGATCATACTGTGTATATGGTTTACTAATTAAAAAAAGTCAGATAGATACACAGAAGATGAATGAATAGACCTAACTGTAAATTTTCTTGATAGAAAAGGATGTATCATGACATATTTTATAAGAAAGGCTTTGGTATCCTGTTTCATTCCTCTTTTAATTATGTCAAGTAATAAGGTAATCTTTCCTGTTTTCAAGGCTCATTATAAAGCAGACTGGAAGAAAACCATTGCTAAGGGCTATGATTTGAGACCAGATGCCATTCCTATTGTTGCTGCAAAAAGTTCGAGGAATATTGCTAGTGATGTAAGTCTAATTTGAAAGTAGTAAACTCTCTTTCTCTATATTTTTAAAATCTTTACATGGTCTATGAGGCTATTGGAAACAAAAAATTATAATATAAAAATATTTTGTAATAGCCAAAGTGCCAATGATTTTTTTTTATGTTGCTTCACTTAAAATCTTTGAAAACTTAATACAGTTGTTACAAAGAGGACAATTCTTTTTGTAAAACTGTGAAATATTTGGAACTTTCATTGGTATCATTGTTGTGAACTTGAAAACTGCTTTTTTTTTGGATTTTTCATGAAAAAAAGCCTTGATATACTAAAATGTCACTAAATTTACAAAGTCTCCAAGTATTTTAAAAGAATACAATTTTTTAATAATATCATTTTTACAATGAAAGGTTCTGGTGAAATATGGAAAACCAGGAAGAATTATAGGTTAAATGACATGATTTTAGTTATTTTCCTACTTACTTACTTAGTTACTTTTACAAAGTAAGTTGTATTTTCTGTATGAATTCATATAGAACCTTGATAGAGTAAAAAACTCATTCATTTGGAGCCCAATATACTAATTTGTATAAGGGCTTTGCTGAAAATTACTCAGGATTATGCAAATACTTTATAAGGTAACATAAATTAATTATGGAAACTGATAGTAATAATAAAAAAAATACACCAAATCCTTAATAAACTTTTCAGGAAGCTTTAAGCGTATTCAAGGAATCTACTTATGAATCATCTAGATACAAACTACAAATTATTCCATTTTTAATTATCCCCAGAGCAGATCTCAAAACCACCTATTAGAAAGATTTTGCTAGTTGTTTATTTAAAAATACTAAAAACCTTGGACATTACCTAGAGTCAGACTGAATTTGGCTATTGCTTAATTTTCTATGTAAATTTGATTTAACACTTTAGTGTTTCCTACAATCTACCCTATTGCACTTCTGTCTGCCATTCTTTTCCATATAGTTCAAATATAAGGAGGCCTACGAGAAAGCCAAAGGCAAGCAAATTGGATTTCTCAGTCTTCAGGATGACCCTAAACTGGTTCATTACATGAATGTAGCCAAAATGCAGTCAGATCGTGAGTACAAAAAGGGCTATGAAGTCAGCAAGACCAGGTATCACACACCCTTGGATATGTTCAGTGTGACCGCGGCCAAGAAATCTCAGGAGGTTGCCACCAACACCAACTACAGACAGCCCTTCCACAGCTACACTCTGCTGCCCGATGCCTTGAATGTGGAGCACTCCAAGAACGCGATGCAGATTCAAAGTGACGTACGTAACAGTCAACGAACTGTTGACATAGAATGAGTTATCCATTTCTAGCTGGCGGAAGGGGGGAACAAGAATTTGGCAATTCCACTTACTCCATCCTAAACCTGGCTGGACTTACTCTACTTAAGGATCACCTCCAGAATTTGGAGTGTTAGGATTTCACTCATTTGAGCTATATGTAGCCTTTTGTTGTTGTTATTATGTATGTATATATATTTAAAGCTTTGGATGTTAGACCTAATATATGAAAAACTAAGAAGTTCAATGAATGCTATATAATATCTGTTTTCAGTGCAAAATTCTGTTAACTTTTCCCACAAGAATGTTAATTTTTTAGAGGGATTATTGAGTCAGGATTTCCTGTTCAAAACCACCATGAATACAATCACTTTTGAAGTTAATTTTTTCTAAAATTTTACCCTCTTCTTTTTTCTTTCTTTTTGATAATGACTAAATCATCTAGCCTAAGAAACCCATGCCGTGACTCCTTCTGAAATAAAAATATCTTCTTTTGGTTCTAAAGAATCTATACAAATCTGACTTCACCAACTGGATGAAAGGGATGGGCTGGATCCCAATACAGTCGCTGGAGGTGGAGACGGCAAAGAAAGCCGGAGAGATTCTTAGTGAGAAGAAGTATCGCCAGCACCCTGAGAAGCTGAAGTTCACATACGCCATGGACACAATGGAACAAGCACTTAACAAAAGTAACAAACGGACCATGGATAAGGTAAGTACTTCGTGTTGGCCTCAGCCTGTGAACCCTTTAGTGCTCATGCTGTCGAGCCTGGCAGTCCCACTATGGTCTTCGTCAGCATTTTAATCTTTCTGATGGTTGTGGTGGTGGTGGTGGTGGGAGGGGGCATTCTATAACTTCATCTTGTCTAGAGAGCTCTTATATTGACCCTCAGGCTGTCTATCAACACCATGCTGAGGATGTGACACAACCACAAAATTCCACATGGTGTGAGGTTGGGGCAAGATGGCACTTGTTTCAGTGCAAGAGGATTCCCTTGTGTGATGATGTTTTTCTCACCGCGTGTCTAGTCTCATCAGCCCATCTTCGTGCTATGGCATCTGTTTTCCAAAATCAGATATAACCCCTTCTACCATGGAGATTGGGTCTCTTCCTCTTGATAGCACATTACAACCCATCCTTCTGTATAATCATGTGCCTATCCTTCTTGTTGTAGAGGCTCTACACTGAAAAATGGAACAAAGACAAGACCACTATTCACGTCATGCCCGATACTCCAGACATTTTACTCTCCAGAGTAAACCAAATCACCATGAGTGATGTAAGTAGATTAACAACAAAACAAAAGTGGGGAAGAAGATCGAAGGGAACTAATATTTATGGAATGTCTGTCTTCTACGTGTCAACCACTTTGAAATCAGGATCCCTATTCTAACACAAATAACAAGATGCTGGTGTTTTTCTATTTCTTCATTTAGAAATTGTACAAAGCTGGCTGGGAAGAAGAAAAGAAGAAAGGATATGACCTGAGGCCTGATGCCATCTCAATAAAGGCTGCAAGAGCCTCTAGAGACATTGCCAGTGATGTAAGTTCTTCCACTGGCCTTCTTTCGACTGAGTGAATAAGAGCAAACGAGCCAAGCACGTGTGTATACGAGGAGCTGCAGTCAGCTCTACCCAGTGTTGGTGGAAACTTCAAGCCATGTAACACCCAAGGCACCTCCCTTTGCCCAGTCCAAGGAGGCTCTAATCATTTGTTCATTATTTAATGTAAAAAGTGACTGGGTCTTGTTAACATCAGCTGCTTTTAGAGTATTCAAATCATTTATAGGCAATTCTAAGCAAAGGCAGGGAGGGATGCAATCTACGCATTTTACCTAGTTGACCTTTGGGCAGTCCCCTTCCTGAATCTAAAGATACTCCCCAAGAAATTGTGCCTGCAGCCTTTCCTACTGGCCAGACTGCTGAGTGGGGAAATCTACTTTCTAAATCACCCTCAAACAACTTATTGACATACTTCTTTGATTAACTCTGAGGTCATTTTCTTTACATGGACTCAAAGCTGGCAAGAAATTTGAAGTAAAAAGATTTTGCTCCCTGCCCCAAGTGAGTTCCTCCCTTTCTAAGATTAGAGCAGCTCTAAAACCCTATGTGTATTACAAAGCTAATGGCATCTAGTGAATTAGATTTTGTTCTCTTTCCTTCACTATCTTCATGGCTAAGCTTTGTTTTCCATCCACAGTACAAATACAAGCAAGCCTACGAACAAGCCAAAGGGAAACACATTGGCTTCCGGAGCCTCGAGGACGACCCCAAGTTGGTGCACTTCATGCAGGTGGCCAAGATGCAGTCGGACCGGGAATACAAGAAGGGATATGAGAAGTCCAAGACATCCTTCCACACCCCGGTGGACATGTTGAGTGTGGTGGCAGCCAAGAAGTCTCAGGAAGTGGCCACCAATGCCAACTACAGGAACGTGATCCATACCTACAACATGCTTCCTGATGCCATGAGCCTTGAATTGGCCAAAAATATGATGCAGATTCAAAGTGATGTACGTGACAGCCACAACATTTGCAGAGCGTTTACTCTGAATAATAAGCAAACCATGAATGACCATAAGTCGTGATATTTTGAAAATCCTGAAAGAAATTCATGTGCAGTTTCCCAATGATGTGTTTCATTTTTTACTTAGATCGAATTTATTTCCTTTAACGAAAGAGGAACAGTTCTAGAAACTAAAGTCTATTTTCTATATTATTGCTATGAGCATTGTTGGATGCTGGATTTAGCAACAACAAATGAAATTTGGTTTCAGAAAGAATGTATTAAAGGAAGTATGTCCAGCAAAGAGAGTTGGAAGAGTAAAGGGCCCCTGATAAAGGAGTAAGACAGAAAGCAGGAAGTCAGATAACTTGATACAAGCTCCAGCCCCTCACTTCCAAGCAGCTTTCATTCCCTTACTTCCAACTTTGTAATTGCCTCTCTTACTTACTGATGAAATATTGAGGAGATGATGGCTGAGGCAGCTGTCAGAATGAGTGTGAGGAAGGCACGGGGAGCAGAGAGCCAGGAGTTCAGCTACAGAAGCCATTTGGTGGCTGGGAAAAGTGAATTTAAATTAGGAACCAAAGGCAGGCCATGCTAAGCCTACATTTCTCTTTGGGAATGTAAGAGTTGAACTGTTCATTGCCAGGGAGCTATATAAGTGCCCAAATGAAAGCAACCAGGATAGAGTGATAGAAGAAAATGCCAGAGCTGAGGAGGAAAAAAACAAAATTTGCACAAAATACCAGTGAGGTTTCTGTCATACCTGAGGGAAGTTGCAACAGTGGATGATCAAAGACTTATAATGAAAGAGAGAAATGAGGTCTCTTAAGTCATCTGTTATGCAAGGGAACTTGGGAATTTTTGTAAGAAAGTTGGACCAGCATAGTCACCTGTCTTGAGATAATAGTCACATGGTAGATTAATCTATTTGGTATTCCTTAGCATTTTTTCTTTATGAAGGCATTGAGAAAAACAAATAAATCACAAAGATATTATTGTTTATTTTTAATTTCTCATGAAAGAAATGTTAAAAAGATAGAAGTTTAGGGATAAAAATAGTTCAATATATTATTGGTTGAAAACTGAAGAGAAACTTATGGAATTAATTACGCACTCATGGTTCTTGAAAGTTTGGGGTTTTTCACTCTTGAACTTTCCCTCCTTTGCAGAATCAGTACAAAGCTGACTATGCTGACTTCATGAAGGGCATGGGATGGCTCCCTCTGGGCTCCCTGGAGGCTGAGAAAAACAAGAAAGCCATGGAGATTATCAGTGAAAAGAAGTACCGGCAACACCCAGACACTTTGAAGTATTCCACCTTGATGGACTCAATGAACATGGTTTTGGCCCAGAAAAATGCAAAAATTATGAATGAAGTAAGTCTTTGAATAATGTAGGGTTGCATATGTGTCAGGAAGAATCCAGGCATATCTTAAATTTAATCTATAGGTTTTGCTAACAGTTTTAGGGCATCATAATTAATGTTCACTCTACCTTCCAAAAGGGCCTTGTAGTTAAAAAAAAAGATGAAAATTGGTTCTAATTAGTGCCCCTCCAAATGTTCAATGAATCACCCTATCTAATAGACGTAACAAAATAAATATGAACGCTTTCCTTTAATGCAATTCTTGAAAATTGTCTAAGGTGGGGTTGAGTAGAAGTTCATGACGCTGAATTGGCAGATTGTTTGGCTGATAACAGCTGGGTGTTGCAGCCCACCCGTCGTTCCTTGCTGCTTTGATGGGATAAAAGAAAACTCCCAGATTACGTGGCTATAGCAGTGTTCCATGCCAGGACCATCTCTGGGCAATCCCGAGAGCAATTGTTCTCCACCAGCACTTCCTTGAATCATTAATGATTCCAGCCTTCAGAGAAGCCTGCCTGTAGTTTTACATTTCTTAGCCCTCAGTAGATTTCAGGACCAAAAAGCACATCGACGTTGGGCATCTGTTTTTAAATTGCAAGTCATAAAATAATTGCAGCAGCATTGGCTATATTGTGCAGATCACAGTTACAAATGCTATTATTAGCAAAAAAGGGGAAAAAATTATTTGGACCTGAACATGAAACAGTTGCAGAAAATGATGGTCCTAGTTGTGCTAGAAAGATCAAGCTGTATTATGCTCAGTCTCTGAGTAAATCCCCTGGAGTCTTCTAAGAGTAAAAACAGACAGGTTTGTCAAGAAGATCAAACTCCTTGCAAGGAACTTGCCTAAAAGACAAGGCACAAATCTCAATGCCCCCTTTAAGATTTAGTGTTTAAACTATCACAAACATGTGTTTATTTTTTAAATATTAAATTAAACTTTTCATTTTTTTCAAGGTTAATGATTACCATTTCAGAATAATAATGCCAAGATGAGAATCATAGAAATAGCAATACTAACACTCAGAGATTCCTTGGTGATCATCATGTTGAATCCCCTCATTGCAGAGTTGAGGAAAGTGTGGCCCAGAGAGGCAAGGCAACTCGTCTAAAGACACACAGCAGGTCAATGAGTGGGTCTGGACTAGAACCAGGACTCTGATGACTAGCTATTGTTCTTTCCACTAGAACTGCACTGTCCAGTACTATAACCAATAGTCACATTTGGCTATTTAAGTTTACATTAATTAAAACGAAATAATATTAATAATTCAGTTCCTCATTCACATTAACCACATTTCAAGTGACCAGTAGCTCCATGTGGCTAGGGGCTGTTTTACTGGGTTGCGCAGAACATTTCCGTCACTGCAGGTAGCTCTATTGGATTGGGCTGGTCTAGAGCAGAAGTCAGATCGTTTTTGTAAATGAAATTTTATTGTAACACAGCCACAGCTCTTCGTTTGCGTGTTGTCTGCGGCTGCTTTTGCGCTGCAGCAAGAGAGTTAAGCAGTTAATAACAGAGATTCTATGGCCCACAAATTCTAAACTATTTACTATCTGGCTTACTGCAGAAAAAGTTTATTAACCCCTCATCTAGAAGAAGACTCTAGAAGAATTTTGTTTTTGTTTTTTAATTAAACCTGGCTAAAACAAAGAAATAACATTTTTCCACTTACCTAATTTGCAAAGATTAGAAAGTTATGTTATATATAGTATTGGCAAAGGAGTTAATGCAAACTTTTAATTAACATTTTGTTAATATTTGTTAAAAGTAAAACATCAGGTACTCCATACCCTATAGAAATCCTTGTGTATGTGCAAAGATACACACATATACAAAGACGTACATACAAATATACACGCAATAATATTTTTTGCAGGTTAGGGTCTCCGAAAGGAGAGGCTGAGATGGAATTTGGAGTATGGGACGTTTCTTAGGGATTGGTACCTGTGGGAGGGAGGACTGGGCAGAAGGAGGAGTGGACAGTGCTGCAGGCCATACCAAGCCTGGGCCCATCCCACAGAGGGCTCTTGAGTGTGTGCGGCCTGCCAGAAGTGTCCTGCATTGGGCGGAAGTGGCCAGGCCCTCGTGCCCCTACTTTGATGAGTCTCTGGATGTGGCCACCAGGGAAGAGCGTGCTCTCCAGTGAGGCAGCAAACACTGACGCAGGTGACAACTGGAGCTATCTGCCAATAAGCCCTTCCTTGAATGGGCGTCTGGGTGGTGCATCTCCATGTCCACCTCAAAGATCATGGCACCATTGCTTGCAGCAGAAAAAGACTGCAAAGAACGTATTAAATTTCTGTTCATAGAAAACTGGTTAAATCAATTGAGTTCCACCTGCTCCTGGAATACTATGAAGCTCTCTAAGTGAATGAAGTACATTACTTTAAGAAGAATAAAAGATGTCTTACCTATATTATTAAGTCAAGAAGCAAGATGTAGAACATTATGTGTTATATAACCTCATCTATATTAAAAAGGGACCACATGTGGGATTTAATATGCATAAAAAATTTTAAGGTGGAGATGCTACCTCCAGGCTGTAAAAGAGGAGGATAGTGCATTTTACCTTCCATCTTACATCCTCCACACTGTAGTATTTGAATAAGCACCGTTTCCATTTAAATTCTTAAAAATAAAATCTAGCTAATAAAAATGCTTAAAATATTGATATTTATGTACAATGATATATATATGTACTAAGCGAGCTCCTTTTAAGATTTTAAATGCTAACTTCCACTGTTTCTTTCTCTTTCTAGCACCTGTACAAACAAGCATGGGAGGCTGACAAGACCAAAGTCCACATCATGCCTGATATCCCCCAGATTATTCTGGCAAAGGCAAATGCAATTAATATGAGTGATGTAAGTATAATTCTCCCTGTTGTCATCTTTCTTTCTTGCCTATTAGAACCAGTAGAAATAAAGTAACTAATTAATGGCCCTCAATTATATGAGTGAATGTTTTGAAAATAATAGCGGGACTCCACAAAGGAGAATGTTTCTCTTTCTAATCTTTCTTTGCTAAGAATTGGAGTAGGCCTATTGATGGGGCTTGGGCCCAGCAGTTAGGAATTTGAAAGGCGGTTGGATTTTGTTTTAGGGGCAGACACTCCTTATTAAACTAAGAGACTTGGCAGGAAGAGAAGGGCTTGGGAGCCAGGAGAAGAAAAAAAGGAAAAGAGAATCCTAAGCCTTCGTTCTTAGAGAGTCCCTCCACCAAGCTTTTGAGACGATCCTAAACAGTGGATCTTAGGAAAAGTTAAATGGAAAGGGAAGATGAACATTTTGAAGAATTTGGAGCAAGCCTCATGATAAGGAATATGCACAACTTAATGTTAGAAAATGCATAGGTGTTTTCTTTCACTTCTTTTTCATCCTAACCAGAGTTGCTAGGAAATCCTCTAATACTACCAGATTTTTTTTTCTTTCTTTTATATGAATTCTGTAGGAATTTGGGATGGCTGACTGCTTTTTGGATTGTAAATCCACACAATTTCATAAATAAAAATGTCAATTGCAAAACAGTGACGTTTTCTTTTGATGTAAGAATATGGCTGTTTTGTAGTCTTCCCTTGACTTTTTTTTTAATAAAATGCATCAATAAGGATCTACTGGGCTTTCATATTTTTAAAGCATATTTACAGCCTAATAGAGACTAGTAACTTTTACTTCTTTTAGCGATTTCTTGAAGATATGTTTGAGTTTGTACTATATTTTTTTCAAACGCAATTATGTTACTTGTGAGAACATTCAACTGTTGAACTGCATGAAGCATTCCGCTGAAAGATAAAAACGATGCTGTGGTGCTAGTTTGCTCTTTTAAAATAAATCCAGACTTTCCTATTTAGAAAACTATTAGTTTTATAATATAATATGTTTTCTAATAGTTTATTAATTTCTATTAAGTTTCTAATAAACTATTAGAAAACTATTATTTCCTGTTTAGAGAGCTATTTCCTGTTTAGAAAGAAAACTATTTCTTTTACCTCTTATTACAGAAACACTACAAACTTTCTTTGGAAGAGTCTAAAAAGAAGGGCTACGATCTTCGAACTGATGCAATTCCTATCAAAGCTGCCAAGGCTTCAAGAGATATTGCAAGTGATGTAAGTCTGAAGGGGAGCGGTCACCTGGCTGGGGCTTGCTAAGCTACGGAAATAATAAGTGCTGAGTTCTGGAAACACGAAGTGGATAAAATATGCAAAAAAGTGTGCCTACTAACAATAGCCTCATTCTCTTCTGTGATTGCTTCTTAGACTTGCTCTTGTGTTTCCTCTGATATTTCTGAAAAAACAGAATGCTACCCACATGATGACCACATAAATGTCAGCTCCCTGACTCGTGAAATCTGGGTGAATTTACTTTGAACTCCATCACCAAGGCTGTGGCCTGTGGAAACACAAAGCCCTTCACCCAAAACCCGAGTTTTCCTGGAGAAAGGCTTGTGTTGTTTTGGCCTCTTACCTCTTAGGGTCTGTCTTCCTAATGGGATGTATCATGAAGTGGTTTGCTTGGGGTGCCGATCTTTTGGGCTCATGGCAATTGATTACTAAATAATGGAGAATTTTGCAAATCATTTGTTAAACTATTGGTAGCTTGACATCAACCACGGTGGCAGTATTGATACCACAGAAACTGACAAACACTACACATTAGGGCTTTTTTCCCCAGAGAGCTGGTGTGCCAACACAACACTGCCGTAACACATCACCTGTATGAAATTTAATTCTTTCATTTGGTTGTTTCCACAAGAAATTCACTTACAGTGAGCCTTTAATGATTTTGGGGTAAAGAGAGGAGCACATTTCAGGGCATGTTTTCCTTAGTTCCCACCCCCCCGCCAAGTTATACTTTCTCTCTCCTCTTCCATCTCTGTTCTTCATCTTTCATTCTTATCCATCCCTGTGCCGCTCATACTGTCCTGAGGTCTCCAAATTCTTCTCCCTCTGTTATGCTGGAGTAATTTGGCTCTCCCAGTTCCTACTGCCTAACTTGCTCACTCAGAGCCATGAGAGAGAAGCAAAATAAGATTTCCATGTATCAGGATGACCCCTCTATGGAGGGAAGTTGGGAGATAAATAGTAAAATTTCTTTCCCATTGTACCAGTATAGAGAGTCTTAAGAGAAAAGAAGTGTCACACATGGTAAGCCACTTTAAAATTATACTGTGTATCTCGTAACTGAGCCTATTCTCATCAGTAAAAGACTGGCTGGATGATTTCTCAGGACAGCATTAAACTGCTTAGAACATTCTGCTTTTTCTCTCATTTGCTGTACTCTTATTACCTACTAAAAATCTCTTTGGCACTAACAACAGAGTATGTGTGGAAGTCAGAATGGTGTATCATTGCAAGAGCTGGGTCTAATTCTTAGTGACCTTAGCAAGCCACTCACCTCTCTGGGTCCCAGCTTACTCTTGTAAAATGGGGGCAGTAATAATAACTTTGCTATCTACCTCACAAGGTGTTGTTGTATCAAGTTACACAAACAAATGCAAAAAATGTGTTTTGTGAACTGTAGAATTCCGTACAAATATCACCTTTTCATGAAATATAGACTATTAACACTAGAATGATTTCCAGCCAAGGGAATTTCTCTGAATAAATATTCAAATTTTCTTCGCAGTATAAATACAAACACAATTATGAAAAGGAGAGGGGGAAAATGGTTGGTTTCCGTAGTCTTGAAGATGATCCCAAATTAGTCCATTCCATGCAAGTGGCTAAGATGCAATCTGATCGGGAGTACAAGAAAAACTATGAGAAGACTAAGACCAGCTACCACACCCCTGCCGACATGCTCAGTGTCACAGCTGCCAAGGATGCCCAAGCCAACGTCACCAACACCAACTACAAGCACTTGATTCACAAGTATGTCCTCCTTCCAGACGCCATGAGCATCGAGCTGAGCAAGAATATGAATCGCTTACAGAGTGATGTAAGGCTCTCTTCTTTTTGGGTGATAGTTGGATTCCTGGTATGGGAAGGGAGATCACAGGATTTTATGCAACACTTTTGTGTCTAAATTGACAAGGTAAAGTAGAATTTGCCTCTTCTCTTTATAGAATGAATATAAGCAAGACTACAACGAATGGTACAAAGGGCTTGGCTGGAGTCCAGCTGGTTCCCTAGAAGTGGAGAAGGCCAAGAAAGCAACTGAATATGCCAGTGATAAGAAATACCGCCAGCACCCTAGTAACTTCGAGTTTAAGAAGCTGCCAGACTCCATGGACATGGTTCTTGCCAAGCAGAATGCGCATACTATGAACAAGGTAGCCAGAGCAGTGGTCCTTCCACACAGCTCCCAGGGAAGCAGGCCTAGCAGCCTCTGGTTCTTGTTTGGGAAATTTGATTTGGATCCACCACTGCCATGCAATGGCAAACAATTCCAGAACATTCTCCCACACATTTTCTTCTGCTGCCTACCTCTTATTTTTATTTCCCTTTCCCTTCTAATTGAGTTAGAAATTACTTGTTTTTTAAATTATTGTATCTTAAGTACTTTCAATCCATTCTAGAAGATAGAAAATATCTAAAAAATTATTTTTTTAAATCTGAGTTTGTTTTTGGTGTCTTTTCTGAATTGTATACTGCTTTAGTTACTAAATTAATTTAATCTAATTCAAATTGAGTGATTCAAGTGCTCTGTTATACTTTTTCTTTCCTATTTATCCTAAAAAGTTCTTCAAATTTCAAGTGTCTTTTTCTTTTTAACTCTCTAGCACTTATACACCATCGATTGGAACAAAGATAAGACGAAGATTCATGTGATGCCAGATACCCCAGATATCTTACAAGCCAAGCAGAATCAAATAGCATACAGTCAGGTAAAGCTACATAAAACTTTGGCTTGAAACGAATTAAACATATTAAATGATGTAATGGTAAGTAATTTATGTAAACGCTGAAGCAGTGGAAATGAGTGACAAACTGGCTAGCCTAGGGATGTTGCAAAGAGCTTCAGCTGCGACTGTTTGCTCCCTAGGGGCAGGCGCTGTGCCTGTTTTGTTTGTCTCAGCATTCATTGTGCCTGGCACAGAGCAGGAAATCAATCAATAACTGCTGAAAGAAAATATTGCATCCAACAGACCTAGTATGAGTTTTGGCTTTGCCATTTATGAGTTTTAGAATATTGGATCTAAACCTTAGTTTCTTCATCCTTAAAACTGGGACTGTAAAAGTGCCTATGACGTTGAATTGCTGTGAGGACCAAATGAGAAATTCCACGTATGGCTCTCAGCACAGTGCCTGACACATAGTAAGTCTTGGAAGACTTTCAACTATTTTTATTATTATCCAGTTTTAACACACACACATATCCATTCAATGAATCTGACTCAGAAAGGTTAACTCCTTTATTGTACCTTATAAAAGGTATTTCATCATCCATACTTTTATCACTTAGATAATTAACACTTTGTTAATTATCTGACTTTTTTTTTTTTTTTTGAGGAAAATTAGCCCCGAGCTAACAGCCGCTGAAGCAGAACCTGTAAACTTAACTGCTGGGCCACCGGGCAGGACCCATTACCTGACTTTTTTTTGGCTATCAATTATTTTAACATCTGTGTTCAAAATAGTGAGGCCAGACTGTACTTAGCAGCAAGGGGAAGGTACCTGATAAAACTGATATGCCCATATTGTTTCTGAACAGAAAAGGTCCTGTTCAATTATGCCACCAGGAGGTCTCAGAGCCAGGAATTGCAAGCCAGATCATGAGATGCTTAGTCACTGCCCTGTTAAACAGCTTGTTTCATTTTTACCCATATCTTTAGAGATAAGGTAGATGATGTTAGAATCTGACATCTGCTCTCTAGGTAAACTTTTTGTTCAATAATCTTTTGGAGTTTTAATATACATCAGATGATGCTACAAAATTTCTTTAATTTTCAGAAACACTATAAACTTGGATGGGAAGAAGCTTTGAAGAAAGGCTATGATCTCCCAGTTGATGCAATTTCTGTACAGTTGGCCAAAGCTTCAAGAGACATTGCTAGTGATGTAAGTACTAGTTTGACTTTTATAAGGATACATTTTTGTCTGAATCAGGTACCTTAATGCTGGTAAGTATTTTTACAGATAGGCCTTAGCTTTTAAAATGTAATGCTGTCCCCTTCATTTTCTCCTACCCTCTTCATTTACCCAAAATTCACTCTTCTTTCTCACTGATCAAATATAAAAAAAAGGGGCTTCCTGAATAGAGGTTGAGCCAGAGGAACCCTAAGATCCACCACACTAAGATGCTGTTTCTAGATGTTACAAAGGAAGCAGAGATTTCAGTTTTTCCCTACTCACTTGAAAATAGTTTTCCTGGTTTCTCTTTGTCTATTTTAGACAAATTCAAAGTGCCAGAAAACCAACCTCAACAACTGATGTTCAGAGATTTTAGTATTCATATATTTAAAAATTAGCTGCCAATTCTTTTTATTTAGCTTGTCCTTGCATTTACGTAATTATGATAAATTAGCTTGAGGTATAGAAAATAAAGGAAGTTTCAGGAATTTAGGTTTAAGATCCAGAGGCCTTAACTTTCTGCTGGATATCTGGACCAAAGTTCATCAAATAAGGATATTCATTCTCCAAGGCAACTTCTAGCTGTGATTGGAAGGGGTAGTAAATTTGGTGAATAAACTAGATATAGTGCCTATTGATCAACTAAATTTTTACAAATATTTAACTTACATATTCTGCATGTAGATAAATGTATCATTTTGTTAATCCCAAGAATTAACAACAAAAAATTCAGAGGACTTGGATTATAGAGACTAAATTACCAGAATTTCATAGGGAAGCACAATCTCTCAATCAAAATGTTTAAAACATAACGAAACAAGGATTTTGTTTGGAGAGGAAGAGTGTTTAAAGACAGAACCTGACAATAAATTCTAAGAATATAAAGGGAGATTCGCTCTCATTCAGTTAATTTGTGGCACTCTAGAAGTGTTGGAAAATTAATTAGATGACACATTACCCATTCTCTGGCTTGCAGGTCAATACCTCATTAAAATGAATCAATGTGGTGATGAACCTAAGGAAATAATGATACTTGAATGTTCCCCAGAAAGCAAACTCATTTTCATTTAATGTTATGTGCTCCCCATAATGTAAAGGTAGTTTAGGAGTTGAAGAAATAGTGTCAATAATTTCCTAACAACACATTTGATAGTACCTAATTTCTTTTTGTGTGAACCTATTAGTTAGAACCTTTTGAAATCTTATTCTAAAATTAAATGAACTACAAATGCATTTTCCCACTATTGTAGAGATTGTATCTTCTCTCAGTTTCACATGGTTCTTATATGTGTAAAATTTCAGGAAATTAGAGCTATTTTTATGAATACTTAATTTAATCTATTAGAATCACAGAATTTAGAGTTAGAAGATAACTTAAAGGTTATTTAATTAATCTCTCACTCAATGTCCTACCTTCTCTCCATCTCCAACAGGTAGTTGTCCAGTCTGTAGATACTCACAAACAGAAGGATTTTTCTGTCCTTCAGGGCAGGTCATTTCCTTGTTGGATTATCCCTAATTGTCATTATCTATTTCCTTGTTTTGAACTTAAATATGTTACCGATCAGCTCTAGGTCTGTGTTCTAGAACACCACAAAGTAGCTTATTTCATCTTCCCCCTGCTATCTCTTCAAACGTTTCGAGTTTCTTACTCATTCTGCTTTGGTTTTAGTTTTGTAAATCCTCCAATCTTCTGATCATTCTACTTGTGATTTATTCTATTTCTTCAAAACCCCTCTCAAAATAGAATGCTTAGTGTCGTTTTCCTGTTACAGGAGATCAGGCCAGAGTTAATGAGCTTCTGACTTGCTCCTACGGAATCTATGACACTACTTTTTTTATGAGCCATTTTGTCACCTTTCCCGTAATGAGCTTATAGTCAACTTAAACTCCTGAGTATTTTTAATATACATAACCATGAAGTTGAGTATCATGAGAGAGTAGAACCTACTTCCATGAGGTGTAATGTGTGCTCAGCATCTAGCTTCAAGTAAATGCTATTATTACTGTCATTATTATTATTACTGTCGTTATTGTCATCTAGTACTAACGCAAGTTCTCCCAATTGAATCTAAATACTGCATTTCACTTTTACTCTCCTAAGTTTATGTAGTTCATTTTGACCCACCTTGGCAATATATTGAGATCTTGTAGAATTTTCTTTCTAATCTAACATATTTAGCTATTTGTAGACACATGTGCATGAAGATATGGATCTTGAGCAGAACAAGTTTATATGGCATAGCCATATAACAAACCACTAAAAATCTTGCTGCTTAATAAATTAATCTATGCTATTAGGCCTGTTCATCAAGTCCTGAATCTTCCTGACTTTTCTGCCATTCAGCCCTACTTTTCCATTGTTCCCATAAAGATATCACAAGAGCTTTATCAAACACTACCCTGATGTAGCATACAAAATGTCTAACACATTCCAGCATATATTTCTGCCTCTAGTTGGAATTAATTGCTCCTCATAACCTCTCTTGATACTCAATGACATTACATTTCTTTGAAAGCCTCCACTCGTTTTACATTTCTTACTAAGTTAACGTAGACATCCCTACTCTCATTTCAGTTTCGGAAAACAAACGTGAGAATAAAGCAAACTGAGCTTAACTTGACCTCTGTTTCTGTTAATAAAAGAACTGTTTTCTCTGATTTCAGTTTAAATACAAACAAGGCTACCGCAAGCAACTCGGCCATCATGTTGGATTCCGGAGTCTCCAAGATGATCCAAAACTTGTGCTGTCCATGAATGTAGCCAAAATGCAGAGTGAAAGAGAATACAAGAAGGATTTTGAGAAGTGGAAAACCAGGTACACCAGCCCAGTGGACATGTTAGGAGTGGTGCTGGCGAAGAAATGTCAGGCCTTGGTCAGTGATGTGGACTACAAGAACTACCTGCACCATTGGACATGCCTGCCCGACCAGAATGACGTTATTCAAGCTAAAAAAGCTTATGACCTACAGAGTGAGGTCAGTTTCTATTAAATCTAATGTTTGTATTTTACCTCATCTGTCGTATGAGTAGCCATTTAGTTGCAAAAAGACAGAAACTAGAAAGAGGAAGTATTACTGAATATCTGAAATGTTTATAATGTGTAGAATCATTTGAGTCAAGAGTCCAGACGAGGATGGGATTTTGATGGCTTGCTTTGTGTATTCACAGAATCTGTATAAGTCTGATCTTGAATGGCTGAAAGGCATAGGATGGAGTCCCCTGGGTTCTTTGGAGGCAGAAAAAAATAAGCGGGCTTCAGAAATCATCAGTGAGAAGAAATATCGTCAACCTCCAGACAAAAACAAGTTCACCAGCATTCCTGATGCCATGGATGTAGTTCTGGCAAAGACAAATGCCAAAAATAGGAGTGATGTGAGTAACACTTCGGAAATAAGTAAAATAATCTGACCTGATATCTGGTAGGTGCTCGATAGCATTTGCTTGATAAATTAGTAGAATGCACAGCATCGCATCACACGGGATAGCACAACACAGCATAATGTTTTTGCTTAATATTTGCAAATAGCATAATATTTGGTTGCTTCGTTTGAATTACCAACTACCTACACTAGATTATGTAAAACTGGGTTAGTATCAATTTGTGTCACCCAAAGCTTACTTGCTTACTTATTTATTTATTTATCCAAAATGTAATAAGAAAACTATTGAACATACTTTTTTCTTTGAAAGTTGAATACATTAAAGACCCAGATTTTTTTTGTTGGAGTAAAGTGTATGATAGGGAGATATTCTGAATACCTTACACAGGCACAGTGGAAATGTTATAAAGAGTGTATTTTCTGCCAAGTGACTATAATGCATTTCATTTGGCTGAATCAAGATAAATAGACAATACTATAGATACAGTGTATATATATAGTATATATATCCCATCTTCAACTTATTTTCTTCTCCAGCACTGACATCAGTGTCTGGCAGGTAATAGTTGCTCAGTGAAAATTTATTGAGTAAAATAAATGAAAGATAGCAGCGTAGAGTTATTACATGCAGAGAAGGAAAACATTACTCATCATTGCTCACTTAAAAGCATAACCCTGAAAATTGCAGAAAGCTGAATTATGTGCACTGAGATTCTGGAACTGATAAGAAAGTTTAAATTGAGACATAATAATAAACATTTGCATCTTAGAAGGATCTAAATATATATAATATGATACATATTTGATATATATTATATTATATATATTAGTATATTATATATATATTAGGTTTTATAGAATAAATAAAGCCCATGATCAGCTTATAGTAAGCATTTGATAAACTGTAGCTCCTCTCTTCTCAGTGAAGCCTTCACAGACTTCTTGCAATTTTGATATCCAAAATTTATAGCAAATGCTGGGCTGTCACATTTATTATGAATGTTCAAGTTTTCATTTCTTCTTTTTTTTTTATTTTTATGATGACAATTTGAATCCAACAGATTGACTAATAAAGCAATAAATTTATGCAAAATATTTCCCCTTTTGGAATCCAAGTTTCTTTTCTCTCCATGAAACAGGGCTATTTACAAAGCGCTGAACTAATAATGTGGCCAAGAGAAAAACCTGGGATCAGGAAATTTCTCAACATCAATGCCTCAGGACAGACCTCTCCAATGGTGTGCCTTGTTTACAGGAATGCTAAGACACTGATCCCCTCAGGCATCAGAAAAGGGCCACCTGCATCCTTGAGCCTGTTGTCTCCCGTTTTAAATAGACGAGTACATCTGTCTTACTATAAACAAATATTAGCATTTTTCTCTGTTTTCCATGGGGTGAAAGTAACACATGCCATTGAAGAAATGGTCCAGCTTAATGGTTTTCAACCAGGGACAATTTTGTCCCACAGGAGACATTTGGCAACACCTAGAGAACTTTTTGGTTGTCATCTTTTCGGTTGAGGGTGGCATGCTACTGTCATCTAGTGGATAGAAGTCAGGGATGCTTCTAAACATCCCAGAATGTACAGGACAGCCCCCTACAACAAAGAATGATCTAGTATACAACACCAATAGTGCTAAGGTTGAGAAACTGATTTTTCTTAATCAGAAAGGTTAGTGCAGAACCAGGACAAACACCTACAGGAATTCACAAGACTTGCTTTGTTTTGGTCCTGAAGGTCTTAATAGGCTTCTCTGGGTTCTATGGACTGTAAGGAAAAAAGTGCCTACCCCGCATGCCCCACACTGCACACCTCTGAGAGAAATTGACAAGGCCAAGGAACCAATGAGACTTTTAAAATTTTTATATTAAAATAATTTCAGGCATACAGAAAAGTTGCAAAAGCATACAAATAATTTATATATGTTTACATATATATATATATATCAGCCAGATTCCCCAGTTGTTAACATTTTGCCATATTTGCTTTTTTTCTCTTTCTCCCTCTGCCTCCCTCTCTTTCTCATGTATGTATGTATGTGTATATATATATATATATATATATATATATATATATAAGTTGCTTCATGACGCCATTCTATCCCTAAATACTTCAGTGTGTATTTCCTGAAAACAAGAACATTCTCTTGTATAATCATAGTGCAATGATCAAAATCAGGAAATCAATGTTGAAACAATGCTAGTTTACAGAATGTATTCAACTTTACCATTAATGTCCTTTATACAAAATAAGTATTTTCTGATCCAGGATCCAATCCAAGATCACATGTTGATTTGTTTGTCATATCTTCCGTCTCCTTTGATCTGGACTGGCTCCTCCCTATTCTTTGTCCTCCAAGTCCTTGATGTTTGTAAAGAGTGCTGGTCAGTTATTTTGTAGACTCTCCCTCAGTTTGGATGTGTCTGGTGTTTCTTCATGATTAGATTCAGGTTTTGTCTCTTCAGCAGGATAACACACGTTGTATCCTCCTCCATGTATCACATCAACAGACACATGATATCGCTTTGTTCCATTACTAATAATTTTAACTTTAATCACTTGGTTAAAATAGTGTTGCCAGGTTTCTCCACTGTCAAGTTACTATTTTATCCTTTTTAATTGACAAGTATCTTGTGGGGAGATTCTCTGACAATGTAAACATCCTGTTTTGTGTCAAACTTGCACCCCCTAGTTTTAGTAATCAGTGAAATTTTTGTTTGGGTCCCCTTGTCTTCTGTTGAAGAAAGACAGGGACATATGAGAGATTTTGATAAATTCTCATACAAAATCCTTTGGGGAATCCTAATTCTCCAGAATAATTATGAGGTATAACTATAAGTAATAAACCACGTAGGAAATGAGACTCCCTAATTTCTAGACATAACTTGAATCTGTCACCTTTTGAAAAGGCAAGGTCGTCTCCCAATTAAACAATGGGGGAGACTTTTGCAATCCAACAGAATGGAAAACTGCCGCTCCATTTGATGATCTTGGCAAGGCTCCAATTACTTGGGTTGATTTCTTACAGGCAGGATTATCTGTAACTTTGAAAAGGTAATCCATAATCTATATTTTGAAAGTCAGTTATGTCCCAGATAAGTCAAGAAATACAGTACCTATATCTTGCTTATGCTATCAATTATAACAGTTAACTCATTTGAATTCAGTACTCCTGTTTGTTGTTAACTATGTCATTCACTAATTTACGAATACCACTGAAAAACTCTTATTTCTATTTTAGAGACTCTATAGAGAAGCTTGGGACAAGGACAAGACTCAAGTCCACATCATGCCTGACACCCCTGACATTATTCAGGCAAAAGCAAACTTAATCAATACAAGTGATGTAAGTTTCCAAATTCAGTGTATGTTTTTAGAAAGCTCATTTTAATTGCTTCCAAGGCAGTGAATTTATTTGGAAGTAATTTTGAATACCTGAATCATTTTAATTAATAAACTACATGTGACTTAGATTCCTCATTTCGTGGCTTTTAGCTTGAACATCAAAAATAATTGGCACTCTCCATCTCAGGCAGAGTTGGAGGGAGTGCCGTCTGTTCCTTGTAGTCCATTGTTACACATATCGTCATGTGTAATGGTTTATATTGCCCTAACCTATGTGGATAGGAGCTCCTTGGCAGCAGAGTCACTTCATGTTGAATCTGCAGTGCTTAGCTAGTGTAGTGCCTGACACACATGAAATTTGATGAAATTTTGATGAACGAGCATTAAAAAACCCATACAGGAGAATCTCGTTTTTATTTTCACTGTCATCATAGCATAATCTCCTGAAATTTATAGATGTAAAAATTAAATACTTCGAGATAAACGGTAAACTCTAATGGACTTTAACATTAAATGTCTTAGAGTAGTGCCACAAAGGACTTAAATGTAAACACAAGTCCAAGATCAACAGGCATTTTAAACAATCTGTTTTCTGGAGAAAGTATGCATAAAGTAAATTATATTCTTAATTATTTAATTATGTAACAAATCTAAAGAAACAAATTATTTCACTTAAGCTTTGTCTAATTCAACATTTAAATTTTCCTCAAAAAATTTTACATTTAAAAAATTATGAAGGACTTTGTTTCTTCCCTAGAGATGTGGATCCTACTGAAGTAGACTGAAGTTGTGAAGTAGGCTGTCTTTCACAATGCGTTAGCTACATGGAAGAGACACAATTAGACACAATTGTTCCCCACTAGAGATTTTACATAAGAAGGCATTGCTCTTCTCTAACAAAAACTTCTAATGAAACACTCAAAGTTAATTGGAAAACAGCACTTAAATGATATTAATTTCATTTCTCTATCAATTTACTTCTCCCTCATTCTCATAAGAATTTGGGAAGAGCTGACGTTTAATTTTGTTGATCTAAGTAATTGAAGAGCTTTAAAGTTTAAAACAGGATCAGTAGCAATCACTGGGCATAATTTCCAATTACATTTGAGTATTCTCGAGCACAGACACTATTCTCATGGACTCTTAAAATATTTAGCATGTTGGATCCATTATTCTGCAGTTGTTTACGGAAAACAGTTTTTCCCAAAGTGATTTTTATCTCTTAACAGAAACTCTACCGAATGGGTTATGAGGAGCTGAAGAAAAAAGGTTACGATCTTCCCCTTGATGCCATCCCAATCAAAGCAGCAAAAGCATCTCGAGAAATTGCCAGTGAAGTAAGACTTTATTCCCTGTTCATACTGATTTGATTGTAATTTGTCACTTCAAAGCAGTCTTAATTTAATTTTAAATTGAACAAAATCTTCATAACAAATTAAAACAGAATGAAATGATCCCAGAGATGCAGTATGAGATGAGGATAAGCTCAAGGGTGCATTTATTATGTATGGAATTTGTAGCTGGATTTAGTCTTCAGTCTTAACCTGTGGCTCTCTAGGTTTAGTGAAATATTTGGAGTTAATGTGCTTTGTAATTTGCCACAAAGATGGCAACGTAAGTTAATCTTGAACGGAATAAGACGTGTTTTTTTCCTTTAGTACAAGTACAAGGAAGGCTTTCGCAAGCAGCTCGGCCACCACATTGGAGCCCGGGATATCAAAGATGATCCCAAGATGATGTGGTCCATGCATGTGGCCAAGATCCAGAGTGACAGGGAGTACAAGAAGGACTTTGAGAAGTGGAAGACCAAGTTCAGCAGCCCCGTGGACATGCTGGGGGTGGTGCTGGCCAAGAAGTGCCAGACCTTAGTGAGTGATGTGGACTACAAGAACTACCTGCACCAGTGGACGTGCCTGCCCGACCAGAGTGACGTTGTCCATGCTCGGCACGCCTATGACCTCCAGAGTGATGTGAGTCTAAGATTTGCCTTTGGCTAACAAAACACCGTGTCTACTTTCCTTAGTATCAAAGTTCCCCCAAAATGAGGGGAGTTGAGTTTACACAACTGAGTTCCACTTCCCTGGACTAATGCTCACGCTCTATCCAGTCATCAAAATGTCTGGAGGCACCATTATTCCACAAAGAGCCAACAAAGCCCTCATTGCTTTGATGGAAGCTTCTAGATTGTTGATTTAGAAGAGTTGTCATTCTCTACATGCTGCTGTTTAAATGTTTTTCAAAACATACTTCTAATCTGAATATTTTGATGATTCACAAAACATACCAAAATGTTAATATTTTCCAAGAATTCAAGCATTGAAATGTTTAGTTTAGTATAATATAACATGATCTTTTATTTCCTTGGGGGTATATCATTGTGCTTATGTTTAGTGGTTTGTCACTTACAATTTCAGAATTTGTACAAGTCCGACCTTCATTGGCTAAAAGGCATTGGCTGGTTACCCAGTGGTTCTCTTGAGGATGAGAAAAACAAGAGAGCTACCCAGATTTTGAGTGACCACAATTACCGTCAGCACCCAGACAAATTCAAGTTTTCCAGCCTCATGGATTCCATTCCAATGGTTTTGGCAAAAAACAATGCTATTACCATGAACCATGTAAGTCCTTTCTTTACTTGAGGAAGGTATTAGTTTGTGTGTGTGTGTGTGTGTGTGTGTGTGTGTGTGCGCGCGCGCGCGTATGTGTGTGAACACTGAAATCTGTCTCTATAAAAGAAAATTCACATTCAATTTTTTTACTTGGTATTAAAGTGGTTTTTAGTTAAGTGTTGTGCTTCTTATCGACATGAGATATCTAGACCTGAAAGTGTTACAAATACCAACTCACAGAGCAGATTCTCTTTACTTTCGTTAAGAATCAGATTATTCTCATGTATCTACTCATTACTGGCCTGCACTAGTCATGTCTTTCTTGTTTGTTTTAGCGCCTCTATACAGAAGCTTGGGATAAAGACAAAACCACTGTCCACATAATGCCAGACACCCCTGAAGTTTTACTAGCTAAACAAAACAAAATAAATTTCAGTGAGGTAAGCAATATATTCATGGTGCATGAGATATTTTCCTTACACTGCACTTTCCAAATCAAACTTATGATGATTTATCTCTATTTCAGAAACTGTACAAACTTGGTCTAGAAGAAACCAAGAATAGAGGCTATGATATGCGGCTAGATGCCATTCCCATCAGGGTGGCCAAGGCCTCCAGAGACACTGCAAGTGACGTAAGTGCACCTGGAAAGTTCTTTGCCTTAGCTTTGCTCAAAGATTCTTTCTCTCTCCTGGATATATAGTAGAGTGAGTAAGCTATGAGGTCAAAGTTCTTGCTAACAGTTTTTTCTCAGTAAATAGTTCAAAATAATGGTAAGGAAATTCTCAACACAAAGGCTAAATTCTAGCTATGGTTGAGTCCCTAGCTACATGCATTTCAAAATATTGTCCATTTCTTGCTGAACAAAAGCCTTGGATACTTGACTATAGTTCAGACATCCTTTTGGCTTTTCCACATGATGTGTCTCTTACATACAACCGAACTCATTGTAGGATTCCTTCAAAACCCAGCGGGCCAATGAACCCACAAGGGCTGAATGAATAGGATACATTATTCTATTTGAAGTCCAACCATCCACGTGGACTATGTGTTTGTATCTACATCCAGTGATTGGTTGCGGCTATTTACTTTCTTTAAAGGATGGATTTGCTCACATTTCCAGAAACCTTTATCCTTCTATTTCTTTTGTCCATGAAGTCAAACATATATTTTTCTTTTATTTCCATAATATGGAAATTAACCATCATAATTTTAAAATTAATGTTCAACAACCACAGGAGGGTTAAAAGTATTAACATATACCAATATAATGGAATATGTGCAGCTATTAAAATTCATGTTTGTGAAGCATATTTAACAACACGGAGAAATGCTTATTTAATAACTGAAAAAAGCAGGCGCAAACCTGTATACAGTATGACTCCTACTCTAATTTTGTTCTCTGTCTGTCTCTCTCTATCTCTCTCTCCCTCTCTCTCTCTCCCACACACATGTGCATACACACACACACACACTGCTCAAAAAGCAGTTTTATCAGTGGTTATCACTGAATGACGGAATAATGTTTTAATTTTCCTTTCTTTTTTGTATATGTATATATGCTTTGTTTTCTAAATGGTTTACAAAATGCATGTATTATTTATATGTTCAGAGGAAAATCTTTATGTTTTTAATGAATAGAAAAATCTGGGCCTAGTAATTGCTTTTTATTATAAGTTAAAATAGGCAACTATCAGTCTTTTTCTTCTTCTAGTTCAAGTACAAAGAAGGCTATCGCAAGCAGCTTGGCCACCACATTGGAGCCCGAGATATTAAGGACGATCCCAAGATGATGTGGTCCATGCATGTGGCCAAGATCCAGAGTGACAGGGAGTACAAGAAGGACTTTGAGAAGTGGAAGACCAAGTTCAGCAGCCCCGTGGACATGCTGGGGGTGGTGCTGGCCAAGAAGTGCCAGACCTTAGTGAGTGATGTGGACTACAAGAACTACCTGCACCAGTGGACGTGCCTGCCCGACCAGAGTGATGTCATCCATGCTCGGCAGGCCTATGACCTCCAGAGTGACGTGAGTAACTGAGGATCACAGTGACAGCAAAGGTGGGAAATCAGTGAATGAACACCCTTTGAGAAGGTAGAATAAGTGGCACCAAGCTCACAGGCCTCTGCAAAGGGGGGATAGCAATTCTTTTCTTGTGAGAGTTAATCCCTTCACCCTGCAGATCAAAAAGGAGTGTTGTCTGATATCCTGCCTGTCCACCAAACTATATTTTAAGAGAGCTTTTACTTTATTTCATTTTCTCCAGATGAAAATGTCTTCCCATTGCAGGGATAAATATGTGTTGACTATTTGTATTAACAGAATATGTACAAGTCAGATCTCCAATGGCTGAGAGGCATCGGCTGGGTTCCCATTGGCTCTTTGGATGTGGAAAAATGCAAAAGGGCAACTGAAATTTTGAGTGATAAAATCTATCGCCAGCCTCCAGACAGATTCAAATTTACCAGTGTGACTGATTCTCTGGAACAAGTGTTGGCCAAGAATAATGCCATCACCATGAACAAGGTGAGGCTTCAAAATTCAATGAACCAAGGTAGGACTCTTAAAGCTGAATCAAAGAAAAGGGAGTGTAATTAAAAAAAGAAAGAAATAGAGCATTGAGCAACAAAAGACATCTGTCTGTCTACCTATCATCTGTCTGTTTGTCTATCTCTCTATCATCTATCTGATATGTCAATTATATTTTAATATTTACTTCAGTAATTGTTTCATAGTTTTGATAAAAAGACATTTTTGTGGAAAATCGTCTTTGCATAAAAGATATTCTCAATTTCCTTTTAATTGTTAACATACATTTCAGATTATCAGAAGGCTCTTATAAATATCTGTTCTACTATGAATTGATTACTTAAAGATGTGTATAAGATACATAATGTGTACAAAATGCATAACCTTTTGTTATTTTATTTCTAAAGTTTTTATGGCCCGAAAATTTCTGTTAATTACACAATGAATTTTTTCCTGATGCCATTATATATTTTCTTCGATAGCGTTTGTACACGGAAGCCTGGGACAAAGACAAGACCCAGGTCCACATCATGCCAGACACACCAGAAATTATGTTGGCAAGAATGAACCAGATCAACTACAGTGAGGTGGGGGCACATGTTAATTCTATAACATTTGCATGCTGTTTGTTATTTCAATTGATCTGTTCCATGGTGATAAAATACTCAATGACAACTTTACAAAGAATCTCTTTTCTTGTTTTATATGAATACCAACTCTTGTATTTCTCAATCACCATCCTAAACTTCAAACTTCAAGAAATACAAATGATCATTAGGAAGTGCAACTTGTAAGAACTAATGATTTAAGCAGTAACCATGAGATTATAAGACCTTGTTCTTTAATTAATTTCTTCAATTGGGAACGTAGCAATGTACCAAATATACATGCATCTCCCCCTTATGCTCTATAGCTGTGCTAAATACATTTTCCATGTGTGATTTATTTTTCCTAAATTGTAGTTTAGGGTAAAATTTTAAGATTTTTAAGTATAAGATTAAAGTCAAGGACTGAAATCATAGTACTATCAAATAACACTGAGAGAGAGAAACAGAGACACAGAGAAAGGGAGAGGACTTGTCTGTGGGCATATTAGCAAACTCATTTCCTTCTCACTCCATCAGCATAGAACCCTGTGTCACCATTTCAGAACCACAGATGTCTAGACAGAGAGATCAGCCTCTAGCATAGGAGTCCCCACCCAACACATTGTCATCTTGCCTTTGCTTAAGTGTTCTCAGTGATAAGGAGCTTATCTCAGAAATCAACCCATTTGTTCTGGAAAATTCCATTAGCAGGTGCTTCTGATGTGTTGTCACAACACATCAGAACACAATCAGTCACAAGCTTTCTCTCTGTAGACCCACATAGTCCCCTGAGGCTATGCAGAATCAATCTGTGCCACCTCCATGGAGTTGGAATAGCTACCATGGGACTCCCCTGCTACCTCACCTCAGGGGCGATTTCTAATCCAAACATCCTAAATTCGTGGGCATTCCTCACATGACGTTCCTGCTGGAATGTGGCTCTCAGAACTGAACAAAATCCTGTGAGTAAGGAGTGGCCAGTGTGGAACACAGTTGACTGTCATATTTCCTCTTCTGGACACTTGACCCCCATTGTGCTCCCTGTGCCTCAGGGCACATTGGCTGCTATGTCACTGCTGGTACACATGGAACTTGGGATCAACTGAAACCCTAAGACATTTTACCTGGGCTTAAGCTAGGTTTCCTCTGTCCTGCATTTATATATTTTCAATTTAAATCTCAATTCAAAGATTGACATTTATCTCCCTGCAATTTCTTCTCAAAATGAGCCTATTGGTTTAATACTATGGAGATTTTTGTGAATCTAAGAGCCTCTCAGCTGAAGTATTAGTTGTTTCCCCCAGCTTTGTGCTATCAACAAGAAAAATAGTATTTCTTTGACAGCATGAATCAACAGTACATTACTCTTCTGCAGAATGTAACTTAGAAATTTTAAATAGATTAGCCATCATCTTAAGTTATTTGATTTTTGGGGTGCAGAGTATAATTTGGTAATTGCATAACTAGCTCTTAATCTCACCAAAAACTAAAATTATCAGATGCTACTCTCGAATAGAAAAGGAGTGAATTTTAAGTTAAACCTGTGATAGAGGTGCCATATTGTTACAGAAAAGTATGTATTGTATGTGCAGGAATTAGGAGACAAAATGTGCCTGGAACCAGCCACTCAGCATTTCTGGAATTCTCTACTGTGTCTTTACTGCAAAGGCTCAGAGATGCTAAGGTGTTGCTGTTGATTCGAAGGGACCCAGGGAGATTGCTGACTGCCTAACCTGCCTCATCTGCTTTCTCTGTCTTTTCCCCAGTAGCTGAGTTCTTTTCTATTCTTTCCTTCCTATTCAGGACAGGAAGATAAAATGCAAATTTGATTATGTCACTCTTCTTCAAAGATTTTTGTTCGTTTCCTATTTGCTGTAGAATTAAATGCAAACATCTTATCCTCAAGCATCATTCTTTTCTGTCCTCTCTTGCCACTTCTCCCTGGGCCCGCACCCCACTTCCTTTGACACTCCTGCACTTTCACTCCCCTGTGCCTTAATTCATTCAACTTTCTCTGCCCTTGACTGTGACATCAGTCTATTGAAACCATACTCATCACTCAGGGTCAATGCAAAGGTCACTCCCTCTGCAGAAACTTTCCTGATTCTCAATTCAGAATAAATTATTCCTTCCTGGAGTTCTTCGTTAATAATATGGTTGAATCAGCTCTTGTAGTTTGACTTTTTGGCAGCTTGTTCCATAGGTTTTGAGTCTTTCCATCAATTCTTCCAGAAATCTTGAACATGGGAGAGGTCTCATACTCATCTTTGATTCCCAAGTACCCATCACAGTCATGGCATAGAGTCAGTGCAGAATAAGAGTGAATCGAATCAATTTCCATGATCAATAGTTAATCAAGTCTTTCTGATTCACATTTTTACCACCTTAGGCCTATGAGTTTCGGAGTAATTTTTCCAGTTGTTTTCAAAACTGATTTATTGTAACTAAAATTTTTTAAGTGATATATAATATCTACGTATAGTTAATTCAACATAAGTTTTAAAATAAAAAACAAAGATGCGATGTTCTCTATAGGTATCATTTTTAAGTCTTCAGCAAAATATGTAGAAGGGCTAGAACTCTCAAAAGTGAGATTATTATAGGCACCTAGCTGTGTAGAACTTAGTGAATTATTCCAGTCTCCTGTTAGTTTTTGGATATTAATGTCAACATCCAACTGATTTTTTTTTTCCCCCAAATGTAGAGTCTGTATAAACTTGCCAATGAAGAAGCAAAGAAGAAAGGCTATGACTTGCGAAGTGATGCCATCCCGATCGTGGCAGCCAAGGCCTCCAGGGACATCGTCAGTGATGTGAGTTGTCAATTTTATTCTGAGTACGTGATCAGTCTGAAGTGACATTTTCACTGAACTAAATCTTTAAAAAGAACTTTCCTGGATCTTTGAAAATATATCCTGATGCGTTTGTGTGGAATTTTTCAAAAACCTCGTTTTGAGGGAAATGAAAAATTTGATGTTGATAAAAGGGGTTTGTAACCTTTAGGACACAGTATCTTCAGTGAAAACTGATTCACCAAGAATAGAGAAAGATCCATTCTTGTGGAAACAGTTGGAGTGCAGCTGCAGGCTTGGAGATGTTTGTATAAAAATGATCACAGTGCTGATAGAAAGTGTATTTCATAAACTTAAGTTCTCCCCAGGAGAATAAGTGCCTTACTTTACACAGCACTTTAATATACAATATTCAAAAAATGCATATGATACTTGCCATTGCCATTTGCCCTTGTAAGATTATGAAAAGAAGGCAATAATCAGTACCAGCCCAAGCTCTCACCCTTAACAATAGCTCCTGGCTGTGTAGCTCGCAGCTCCCAGAAGAAAACCATCATCCTTTCCTGGTGCCACAGGGAATCGGAACAGACCACTGGTCTAAAACTCAAGGCCCACTATTTGCTGTGCTTTCTATTGAAAGATCATGTCAATGACTCACTTTAATCTATGTAGGTTGGACCTTCCCCACAAATGGATTTTTGCCAATAATAATAAATAATGAAATAATAATAATCAAGAAGTATTGAGAACTCTGTGCTAAGAGCTTTACATGCATCACCTCACTTACTCTTCATAATTACCCCAGGATGTAAATATTGTTGTTGTTCCCATTTTGTGGATTGCTTGAGCAACTTGCCTAAAATCAAACTCTTAGTGGGTGGTGGAGTTGAAACTCCAAACAACCTTGTTCCTTTCCACTGTACCACTGCGTCCTGCTGACTCGTCTATACTTTCTCACTCAGCTATTTTTGAGACTAGAAGCGCGTATTTTGAGTAATTGGCTCAGATTGCAGGCCGAAGTCATTGGACATGGAGTAATAAAAACATTCTTGGCCCATGAGAGACTAGAGACGGTGACTTTATTAGGAGCATGCTCTAACCAATTGGGCTGTTACATCAGCTTCACCAGTATAATCAGGTTTCAAAATGAGGCCAAAAATTTGCCACCCCCACTGTATGCCTGAATCCATTATGAAATAATAAATTCTCCTCTGCTGCTGCTGTAGGTAGCCCTTGACCTAGAGCATTTCATCCTCTCAGGAACCAGACACTCATTTTACTGCCTGTTCAATGCACTGTGTTACCAAGTGCATCTCTTTCCTGACATGCTTTTACAGAATAAGCTCCATTTCTCTAAGTTCCCTGGGTCGAATGGCCTCTAGCACACGTCCACAGGTGGCCTTTCCTCACTGTGTGAACTTCCTGCCTCCAGAACTATTCCTCAGTACCAGGCCATAGGTGTATACGCTACAATTATATGGATTCCATCTATTTTTACTACCTCTATAAGCTTCAAGGATGAAAGTCAGGATATTGGCTTGAGCTAGTGCTTAAGCAAGTCAGCTTACAACTGTGATGTAAGCAAGGTGATTTTGTACAGACTTTGGGCCTCTAAGGGTTACAATAAAAACCTGATTTGTGTGTTTTCATCTCAGTACAAATACAAAGATGGTTACCGCAAGCAGCTTGGCCATCACATTGGAGCCCGAGATATTAAGGACGATCCCAAGATGATGTGGTCCATGCATGTGGCCAAGATCCAGAGTGACAGGGAGTACAAGAAGGACTTTGAGAAGTGGAAGACCAAGTTCAGCAGCCCCGTGGACATGCTGGGGGTGGTGCTGGCCAAGAAGTGTCAGACCTTAGTGAGTGATGTGGACTACAAGAACTACCTGCACCAGTGGACGTGCCTGCCCGACCAGAGTGATGTCATCCATGCTCGGCAGGCCTATGACCTCCAGAGTGACGTGAGTACAGTACCTATAACAGCGCTGTGTGCAGAAATAATTTCACCTATATAAAAGTTATCTTTTATACACAATCCATTGGCCTACTCAAGCTAGGATTTATTGGTCAGTGAATGAGATTTGAATCAGAGTATAGTTTTATTGCTTTATTGTGAATATGTTAATAAGCTTTATAAGGAAGTAAGGTTTACAAATAGGACTTGGTGTTATAAAAAAAAAACAAAACTGGAATTAAGCAATGTTAGAATTCAGGGTCCACCAGAGGGAGACATTTTCTTTTATTTTTTTAAGGAGGAAGAGACATCACATTTTTATTAAAAAGAAAAATTACTCTGAAATTTTTTTTAGCATCCTTGCAAAACAAATGAGGTTATAATTAGTAAAATACTGATGCCTGCTACAATGCCAAATGTTGTTTATATGAAATAAAACAACTCACTCTGTCTATAAGCTATTGGATCATTTCACTGATGCTTCCTCCTCTTGGCACAGCTCTCTTTGTGGAGGGGTCACGTGGTGATGACAGAGCCTAGTTCCTATTAGAAGCAGATGCACCATCTCACATCTGGGTGTGAGAAGCACATTTCCTGCAGCATATATTTATAAATGTTTGAAGGAATTATTAAGCATGAGAGGACTTTGGAGAATAAAATGAATTAATAATAATTATACATTAATTTGCTCTTCCTAGAAACTGTACAACCCACCTGTGAAAACTCCCACATCTGTTCTGTAGCTTTCAACATATACAACTCTGTGCTTTGCAATTCTTTCCAAAAACAAAAGGCTTTGCCTGCACATGAAAGGTAGTTAAAAATGGTTAATGTCACCCGTAGAGTGACAGCATTGACAGATTTCTCACATCCATCTATTTGTTGAGTGACTTTTGGCGATTGCCTCCTTCACACTGTGATATGGTCTTAATGAGGTAGGAAGCATTTGAAAGTAAAAAAAGCCCTCCAGAGGTATAAAAGGTTATTGTTTTCATTCTTGCTGTGGTTATTGAGGGGGCAATTAATAGTCAGCATAGGACAATTCCAATAGGCTTTTTGTCTAGACTGCAAAATGCCAGCCTATATTTTCTGCTGAGTTTCTGTTACTGGAGAAATCCTTCCAAAGAGCTGAGCAAAGGTCCAACTCCATTGTTGTGCAGCAGTTATGAAAATTTAATGGGTACACAAAAATTTTTAGCAGAACAAAATGATTTAAAATAAAGTGAGAAATAAGATATGGGAAGACAATTCTGGAAAGGAGCCCATGCTTTCTGTCCTGAGAACTCGGCGTGGAAGAGACTGGGGCCCTGGACCAATGAAATTTATTGCCCTGAATCTTAGTGTTAAAACCATCACAGGTCTGCCTTGGGGCTTTAGGGGATCTACATCATTATTTTATTTTAACTTCTCTCTCTCTTTTTTTTTTAAAGAGCTTTACGGATAATTTTAAATATAAGAAAAAGAAAATCAGGTTATAATAACCCAAACACTGAAAAAGCCCACTCCTGCTCATATAATTTATCCACACACATTGTTTTATGTGCTATTTTTTCATTTAATATTATATTAATGACTTTTCTATGTCATCAATATTTTTTAAAATAGGGCTTTTAATAACTGCAGAGTATTTAATTTGACTAGGATTGACATTTATTTGCTGATAACCTGTTGTTGGACATATGTGTGGTTTCTCTCACTCTGAGTTGGCATTCTTTTCCTGTGCCCAAGGACATCATAACGACATTCACTGACCTGAGTGATGGAGATTTATTAGTTTGGGTCACTCCTCTCCTAACAACCTGAAATATTTGATCACTTTTTGTTATGGCTAGGAGATATTTCTGGGTTGTTTTTGAACATAGATCCTCTTTTAGTCTGTCTAATACTTGTTTTCAATGAAAAAAAAAAAACTCCAACAACCAGAATTGTAGTTTGTTATTGATTTCATTTGTATCTTTACCCTAAATCCTTTGGTCTTGCTGAAGAACTTGTGGCTTTTTCCTCTTCACAGAATATTTATAAGTCTGATCTCCAGTGGCTGAAAGGCATTGGCTGGGTCCCCATTGGGTCTCTGGATGTAGTCAAGTGCAAGAGAGCGGGAGAGATACTGAGTGACAACCTCTACCGGCAGCCTCCAGACAAACTGAAATTTACCAGTGTGACTGATTCCCTGGAACAGGTGTTGGCCAAGAACAACGCCATCAACATGAACAAGGTGAGCCCCAGCTGCCTCAAGCTTTGCCAAGATGCCAAAAGACGTTATTATATTTTAATGACTAGTGGAGTTAAAATGATCCATGAAGGTGTATGGTTACATTTACCTCTTAAATGACATACTTGAAGTCCTCTAAATGATTTCTATTATTCCCAGTTTTAAACCTTGATAATGAGCATAAAGACTCAAACCTCCAACTGAATACCTTATATCTAAGTCTGGTTTATTTTTCCTAATAAGAGCAAGAATAATTATGCTTTAATTTGACTTTTTGTAATTTCTACTTCAAATGGTTTTCTACCCACATCTTCTTTGACAGCGCTTATACACAGAGGCGTGGGACAAAGACAAGACTCAAGTTCATATCATGCCCGATACCCCGGAGATCATGTTGGCAAGGCAGAACAAAATCAACTACAGTGAGGTAGGGGCAAAATTCTGTGGTGCTACACTTATTTTGCTGTCGTTGTTATTGTTTATTTTTCTACACTTACTTTTATGGAGATTCTTGGGCCTCAGTGGTGCATGCAGCTTCATGATATGAACACTGAGCCTGTTCAACCTTTCCATCTCTGGGTTGAATATTATATTCTATAGGATTCCAAGGGCAAACTAAAGCCACATTAACTTTTCAGTTTATGACAATTGCCTGTGTGGGTCAGTGGGACTGAGTAGTATTTTTGGCATTTCCAAGGGGTAGGACCGGCAGATAAAATACTGGCTTATTATTTATACTAAAAAGTTATTAGTTATTTATCTGAAATTCAAGTACAACTGGGCATGCTATATTTTTATTTGCTAAATCTTGCAACCCTACCAAAGGGGCCTCTAACAATATCCATCTCTTTCCCACCTGAATCCTGAATAAAATTGAGAAGTAAAACAAAAGAGTAGAAATAGAAGTCAAAATCTCACATTTTTTACTATTGAAGCTAGGTTAAAGGATACGTTGGTATGAAAGCAAAATGTGCCTGCTAACTGAACCCCAGAATTTGTTTCCCCTCCCGGGCACAGGCCGCAGTGGAGCAAGGCAATCCCTGCTTCACCGTCCTGAGGGAGAGGTTCTACTTAGAGCACAGAGAAACAGAGGAGGGCCCTGGGCTTGGTCCTAAAGGGAGCAGGTCAGAGCTGAGCTGCTCATGCCCCCTTGTCTCATCCCTACCAATTAGATGAATCAGTAAATCTCTGCACCTCTCCACGGGCAGACAGAGTAAAGAGACAGGGAACGGAGAAAGTCCAGAGATAAAATAATGGAGCTCCCTTTATAGGAAGGAAACCTCAGGCGTGAGAAAGAAGTGTTATCCATTAACAAATCTCATTTGTTTCTAAGGCTATATAGTATTTTTGGGTAGGATGTAATGCAATCTATTTACTTTCAAATATTGCTTGAAATTTAGATTGTTTCTAGTTCCTCTCCATTTTAAAATTATCTGGTATGTCACTTGAAAATCTCCAAATTGTTGCTGTCGAAATTTTTGCTTTAACTCTGACTTGCTTTCTATAGAGTCTGTATAAACTTGCCAATGAAGAAGCAAAGAAGAAAGGCTACGACTTGCGAAGCGATGCCATCCCGATCGTGGCAGCCAAGGCCTCCAGGGACATCGTCAGTGATGTGAGTAGCAACACACCATGTATTTACATGGTTGGATGAAGTGGGGGACAGGATCGTTATTAAAATGGGAAGATGCATCTGGGTGCCAGTGAAAGCATGTTTATTGACTTATTTTTCTAAATAAAAGAAGTTATTTTCACTTGGAAAAACTTTCATATTTTTAGCTCCAAAAGACTTTGATAATCAAGTCCCATAAGCTGAGAGGGTGTCCTAAACTTCAGTACAAAATTGAATTTGAAACTACAATCATCCATATCTATAATTTTTTGCTTTGTTTCTTTTTGCTGAGGAAGATTTGCCCTGAGCTAACATCGATTGCCAATCTTCCTCTTTTTTTACCTGAGGAAGATTAGCCCTGAGCTAACATCTGTGCCAATCTTCCTCTATTTTATATCTGGGTCACCTCACAGTGTGGCTTTACAAGTGGTGTAGGTCTGTGCCCAGGATCTGAACCTGCAAATCCGGGGCTGCCCGAGTGGAACACATGGAACTTGAACTACTTGGCCACCGAGCCAGCCCCCATATCTATAATTTTGAGACATTCATCTCCATATTTTGAACACGTATCCCTCATAGGAGCAAGAAAATGCCAGGAGAGTTTAAATAAATATCTTGGTTACATGTATTAGTTCAACACCAGAAAAAGACCTGGCACAGCTGAGTTAGAAAAATGTACCTTTCCCTAAACTGTTCTGGATTTTTGCCAAGCCTTTCTCTGAAAAATTGCTGGAAGTTCTTCTTTTTGAGTTCTTTTTAAATGAAAACAGAAAAACAAAGACAAACAACCAAAACCAACAAAATGCTAAACCTGACTTCTTTTTGCTGTCCCTGGAAGAAGTGAGTCCTTTGGTGGATAATTTAGACTTTTGTAAATTTACGTTTAGATTTGTGTGATGTTGTTGCCTAAAGTATAGAAAAAATATCCAGAGTAGACACTTACCACTACCACCAACAAAATGCTTTCGTATAGGTGTACAATCTGTTTCCTTGAGAAATCCCAACGAACCTCAGCTAAATTTGATCTCCAACAGAGCAGGGCATGCAGGATGAAGAAGATAAGCCAGTCCACTTCAGGGAGTCAAGTGACCCAGTGAAAGTCAGCAGAGGCAGGTTTAGGAGGGGTCGTGAGTGGGCTGGGTGTGGTGAAGTGGTACCTGCGGACTCAGGAATAACATCCTCAAAATCATATGTTAGGCTTCAGGGGTTAGTGATTTCACTGACCCAAGAGGAAGAAAAGCCAGTGTACAATACCGATTGATTTGCTGAAAAGTGTTGTAGCCTTTATTTCCAGGGACTTAATGTCCATGAACCATGGGACTATGTAGAAGCCATTGGAATATTGCTGTATAGTCTAATCAGAGTTGAAGATGAGGAGATAAGTTGATATTCAGATGACTCCATTTCTCTGTAAGAATTACCAACTTTAAAGTAATGAAGTTTTATGGGGCTGGCCCTGTGGCATAGAAGTTAAGTTCGTGCACTCTGCTTCAGCAGCCCAGGATTCTCCCATTTGGATCCCGGCCGCAGACCTGTGCACTGCTTGTCAAGCCACGCTGTGGCAGGTGTCCCATATATAAAGTAGAGGAAGATGGGCACAGATGTTAGCTCAGGAATAATCTTCCTCAAAAAAAAACAAAGTTTTAAATTAATAAGACTTTTAGCCCTTTCTATTCACTTTTATTTTTAAAACTACCCTTATTATTTCAGTACAAATACAAAGACGGCTACCGCAAGCAGCTCGGCCACCACATTGGAGCCCGGGATATCAAAGATGATCCCAAGATGATGTGGTCCATGCATGTGGCCAAGATCCAGAGTGACAGGGAGTACAAGAAGGACTTTGAGAAGTGGAAGACCAAGTTCAGCAGCCCCGTGGACATGCTGGGGGTGGTGCTGGCCAAGAAGTGTCAGACCTTAGTGAGTGATGTGGACTACAAGAACTACCTGCACCAGTGGACGTGCCTGCCCGACCAGAGTGATGTTGTCCATGCTCGGCAGGCCTACGACCTCCAGAGCGATGTGAGTACTGAGATTCACCAAATACTACTGGTGACCACACTCATGATAGTACTGCACAGTAATACGTAAATAATGGTCTAAGGTTAGGTAGAGCCTTCAGAAGGAATAAAATTTCTTCTTTCTGTCCTTCATTCACTGTACCTTACTTTTCTTCTAGAGAGAACGTAATACTATGAGACTATATCCAATTTGGCTTTCATATTTTAAAAGACATAGACACGAAGTTTGGCTATCCAAATTTTCCAGTTTTTTCCTTTTGTTTTTGAAATCAAGTGTCATAACAGTTTCAATAATAATTGCTTTTGTGTTTGATCGCACCAGAACGTTTATAAATCAGATCTCCAGTGGCTGAAAGGCATTGGCTGGGTCCCCATTGGGTCTCTGGATGTAGTCAAGTGCAAGAGAGCGGGAGAGATACTGAGTGACAACCTCTACCGGCAGCCTCCAGATAAGCTGAAATTTACCAGTGTGACTGATTCCCTGGAACAGGTGTTGGCCAAGAACAACGCCATCAACATGAACAAGGTGAGCCCCCAATTTAGGGGAAAATAAAACAGGGTTGTATGTCCTTGACAATATCTATGATTAATTAAGTTAGTCTTTTTTGTTTTATCTAGTTTCCATCCTGTATGTAATGATTTGGTTGAGTTCTCTATTCAGTTACATCAGGATTCCAAAAACATGTATGGGAATTTCTGTTTTGACATCTCCTGTGAAATGGCCAGAGTTAAAAATAGGACATTGTTTGGTGTACAAATGGTTTGAAGTCTACGAGAGTTATTCATGGCTTGGTATCAAGGTTTCTTTCTTGTTGGGTTTTTATCTATGTTAAGTATAGAACAAACAAATCAGATGCAAATCTCCATAACGTTTATCAAAAACAAATCTGGAGATGGCATATCCAGGGACATTTGCAGTTAATAAACAAACAAAACCATGGGAAGGATTTATTAATACAGCCATGGTACATATGCTTGGAAAAGACTTACTTTTAATTTAATTGGAGTGGAGGCGATCTTGTAAAAAAATACACACCCACATGATTTCTGTTCATATCTTAGTCTACATTTATGTTTAGTGACAATAATACCTTGTAATATCAAAGAGACTGGAGTGGTTAGTGTACAGCACACAACACAGACAGTCAGGAGGCCGGCTCTCCACTTTGTCGTGAACTCTAAAGTGGAAACTCCTGTTGACAACAAACATTGTTTTCCTAATTCATTAACCTTTTTATCCTTCACAGCGCTTGTACACAGAAGCCTGGGACAAAGACAAGACTCAAATCCACATGATGCCTGACACACCTGAAATTACATTGGCAAGACAAAATAAAATAAATTACAGTGAGGTAAGACTATTTGTTTTATTTCCTTGATCTGACGGCATTGATTTTTGCTGATGTAGCAGAAAGGTCAGAATTGTAAATTTAATTCTCATGTGGACCAATTAGTTCAGTTTTATTTTTTATGCTCATTACCCTACTCTGAATATGTGTATCCTTGTATTTAAAAAGTGTATAGAAAGATGGAGAAATAAATAAACACAAAAATATCTCCCTGTCAGGAGGGGAAAAAAAACCTCTCAAAGCTAAGTATTAATGACTGAAACATATTGTAATTTTAATTTTAAAAAATGATTGCTATTTATAAAATTAATACTTGCTTCAAAATTTGTTCTGTGAGTTTTTCTTCAGTTACCTCACCTGTAAAATGGGATAAAAATGTCTATCTTGAAGAATTTTTGTGATGACTAAATGAGGTAGTATGCATATATTATGCCCAGCATGGAGCCTGGTGCAAAATACGTTGCTTGATAAATTTTCATTTCTTCCCTTTACACTCAAGTCGTCATAAAAATTAGATTTATTTAATATGCACAAATTACTCAGGTTTATTTACAAGAACTGAAATGAGAATTCTTAAATTCATCTATTTCAAAATTGTCTAAGGACAATAAAATACATTCTTTTATGCATTGTCTCCAGCCTCACTAAACTTGTCATCACATATCTTTGAAATGCAGAAACACTAGTGCAGAAACAGCTTCTTGCCCAGTTGTTCTTGCCAAAGTCAAACCTCTTACATGTTTGTGTGACTTTGTTTAAAAAAAAAAGGAGGGCAGACTTTTCTTCAGTTTGAGAACACTGGAAAATTTAAGTGCTCATTTTCAAGACTTGACCATATTCATTATTTAACCCGGATTAATGACTTTTGCCTATAATAATGTAGCCCTAAAGAAGAGGCAGGCTTGTATCAAATAACCTTGACAAGAGAAATGAAGAGGATACCCTTTCTCTTTCTCTAGCATTATAAAACAGACCCAAGGACAAGCCTGATCATAGGTATTTGATTGACCTTGACTTCAGTCACTTTGCAGTGAGCAATTTTTCTCTTGGCCACTGAGCTTCCCTGTGGGATTAGCTTTTCCCATGAGGTCTGTCTCACCCTGGGCAGAAGTTAGTTTCTATCCCAAATTGTAACGATCCTTCTAAGCCTCCCCCTTTTGTTAAAATTAGGTCAGTTGAGGTACATTTTTTTTTTTTCCAGACTGCTAAAAGGAAATTGAGTTATTTTTTATTTCTAAAAATTTCAGCTGGATTTACCTTCTTTAAAATTGCATGATTATCTTAATTCCCTAAGGACTGTTTTCTGAAGATCACATTTCGGAGTGGCCCGCTTGACTTTCTTCTCAACCCATTACCACTGGTACCTTCAAGCCATACTTTGTTCAAAAAATGCAAACAAAACAAAGCAACTGTATCTTTTTTTCCTCTTAAATTCTCATTTACTGTTCTAGTTCTCTTGGGTAAATAACTTAGTGTTCTCTTTGAAACTCTGCATCTTTTTCAAATATTGGAAGAATGAAAAAAATCTGTTTGTTTGACCTGAAGCCATGAGATGATTCAAGCACATTTTTCCCCACTTATACCTAAAGACAAATTTGAGCATTTATTCTTAAAAGGAAAAATATAATAAAGTATTTGGCTCTCCAGTTACAAAATAAACATTTCCAGAAATTTTTAAGAATAATTGCCCTCAGGATTTTCTCTCAAATGTATCAAATTTATCCTTATTTTTACTTTAGCTTTTCCTTATGAAATCTCATCTTGAAAAGAATGTAAATTGTCACATATTAATAATCTACATTAAAAACATACAATAATCTCCCTCTGGGACTCTTAAGTCATTTAAAAATTAAGCACCTCTGCAACATGTTTAAAATCCAGATATTATTCCAATATTTTTAATTCAATCTAATTTGACATTGGGGCATAATAATGAAGCAATTAGTTTTTGTTGTTTCTGCCGCACTTTTTTTTTTTTTTGAGGACGCTTAGCCCTGATCTAACATCTGCCAACAATCCTCCTCTTTTTTGCTGAGGAAGACTGGCGTTGAGCTAACATCCATGCCCATCTTCCTCTACTCTACATGTAGGACGCCTGCCACAGCATGGCTTGACAATTGGTGCATATGTCCGCACCTGGGATCCGAACTGGCAAACCGTGGGCAGCCGAAGTGGAACATGCGAACTTAACCACTGCACCACCAGGCCGGCCCCTCTGCCACACTTTTTAGGGATTTTCCTTACATTTAAGATTTATCATTACACAGCTTCAACATTGAAAAACACACTGATCCATATAAAGTAGAAAGATAAGGCCCTAAAGAGGTCATTGTTATTTTTTTCCTTAAAACCATAAGTGATTTCTAAATCTTTTTCCTGTATCTTTTAATGGTACTGGGTCTGCTTTCCTTCCTCACTAAGTCTCCAAGTAGAGGAAAGGGGGAAAACTGAAATTAAAGATTAAATTATTCCATCGTAGACTAATTTAAGGACTATGTCTCTGTTTGGGGGGTAGAGATGACCTACTTTCAAACCTCAGGTGTCCTTGAGGTTGCACAAAGGCTTTCAATGGGTTTGCAGGCATGCATTGTTTTAAGCAAATTGTTTAGCATAGCTTCAAACTCCAGAGTAGTCTTTTCTAAATTATCCGCCTGAGAAGACCCTTTCCTCCCGTTAAAGTGTGATCCACTTCCTCTTTCTTAGTCACTCTTCTTTCACTTTAAAACCAGAAAAGTGCGGATTAAAGGAGAGGAAGAGACTAGACAGCTAAATGCCACTCATGTTCCTGAACTGGATTCTAGGTAGAAAAACAACATTGGTATTAAAGACATTTCTGGGACAATTGATGAAATTTGAAGATTCACTCTATATTAGAAAATAATATTATATGAATATTAAATTTCCCAAAATTAATGAATATATTGTGGTTGTGTAAAAATGAGTTTATTCTTAGGACATACATACTCAAGCATTTAGGGATGAAGGTCACAATGTCTACAATTTGCTCAATCACTGTTTATTGTTGAAAGTAAGAAGGAGAATTAAAAAATAAATATACATACCACACATACGTAAAAAGAGAGATAAAGCAAATAGGGTAAAAATGTTAAGAATTGGCTAGTTGAGAGTTTATTGTACTATTCTTGTAACTTTTCTGTAGGTCTGAAATTTTTCAAAATAAGGAAAATATACATTTTTAAATATTAAAATATATATTAAAATATTTGACTGAGTATGATTATATGAAGATTTTATTTTTAAAAAGAGGAAAAAAAAGAAAAGCGTACCTGCGCCAGCAGTTACTGTGATGTACACCCAAGAGTATTAAAAAAAACCACTCTGCCAAGCAGACAATTTAGTTCATTAATGTCCACCAAAACCTTTTTTCACTCAAGGTATCGAGTTCCTATAAATGACAAAAATATCGTAAGAGATCCAATAAATGTTTACTTTTTATGTTTGAAAATTATTTATCAAAATGTATATTTTATTTCTATTTTGATTGAGTATCAATATTAGCAATTATTTAAAGATTTATTTTGTTTTAACAATGTGTAGAATTGGTCAAAATTCTTATAAGTGGCTCACAAGCAAAAAATGCTGAAGGCCTCTGGTATAGATGATTTGTTTAATGCGATTCTCAAACTATGTTCCCATGGAATACCTGTGTTCCACCTTTTGTGTGCATCTGTCTTGCTGCAGAAACTGAACAGTGGGTGTTTTCCCAATTCACAGAAAAAATTAACAAATACAATTTTATCAATTTTGTATTTTTGACTCATAAATCTTTAGTACCTGCTATACCCGTTCTGCTGGCAATTTCAAGCAATTGACAAAATGAATAAATAGGGAGCAAATCAATATTAACAAAGATATTCGGAAGCACTGGGTTCTCCTTAGCTTTGCACCATTTGATTGCAGACACATGCTCATACTGGTAGTAGTATTAACACATATTAATATATAGTCAAATTCTTTGCTAATAAACTTGTTCCTAATTCAAGTTTGGAGCTGAATAAATCAACATTTCTTGGTTGTTTCATGAGAAGAGCAATTTAAACACATTTGACAACTATTGACTTAACGTCTAATATGGATAAGGATTTATGCAAAGAGAACTTGTGGTGTTAAAACCTGCTGAATGTAAGATTTTAATGTAAATAAATAGCTTGGATAAATAGAAAGAAGAGGGGAAATTTTGTTTGTGTTTTTTAAGGCTGAACATACTAGTACAGTTCTGCATTCAAAAGTAGTCTTCCTTTAACAAAAATACATTTTTAGAGTGAAAATGAGTACTATATCTAAAAGCTACTACTTGTCTCCTCAGAACCTCTATCGCCAGGCCATGGAAGAAGCCAAGAAAGAAGGCTATGACTTGAGAAGCGATGCCATTCCCATTGTGGCTGCCAAGGCCTCCCGGGACATTGCCAGTGATGTAAGTGTTGATCAAGTCCTAACATTTGTTCCCAACAGACCAGCCCCATTCATAGGGAATCACATTACTGGAATATAGCTGGAAGTTTCTTTAGTCATCATCCATCTTAACTGCCTTCATTGTATAGGCAAATAAATTGAGGCTTTGAGACCGAAGGTAACCTGCTCAGGATCACAAGCATCAACAGAGACAAAGCCTGGACTAGAATGTGCTTCCTTTGACTCTTGTTTTTTGGTTTTTGCTCAATAAGACTGAGTGCCTTGATTAAAGTTAGATGAACATACGTTGAGCTACTCCAAACTTCATGAGCTCTCCTCAGGATACACTCAAGGCAAAGATGCCAGGAAAGAAGCAAGCTTTAACTGAATTCTCCCCCATGAGTTGAAGAAGGACATAGGAGAGCAAAAAAGCTACACAGTAGTTCCCCCTTATCCACGGTTCCACTTTCCATGGTTTCATTTACTCTCAGTCAACTGCTGTCCAAAAGAACAGTACAATAAGATATTTTGAGAGACGGAGAGACCACATTCACATAAGTTTTATTGCAGTCTATTGTTGTAATTGTTCTATTTTTTATTAGTTATTATTGTTAATCTCTTATTGTAACTAATTTATAAATTAAACTTTACCATAGATATGTGTACATGGGAAAAAACATAGTATATATAGGGTTCGGTACTATCCACAGTTTCAGACATCCACTGAGGGTCTTGGAACATATCCCCCGTGGATAAGGGGACACTACTGCAAGTCTCCTCACTGAGGGGTCCATAACGTCAATACTCCTTTACCCTAAAAATGAAGACCTCAGATTCCTGGACAACTTAAATATTAATCCAAGAGTAACAACATTGCCCATTTTTGAGGTTTTTCTTTTTCTTTTCAATCATGATAAACAACACATATAGAATTTACTGCCTGAACCATTTTCAAGTGTACGGTTCAGTAGTGTTAAGTATATTCTCACTGTTGTACAATAGACTTCCAGAACTTTTTCATCTTGCAAAACTGAAACTCTGTACTCCTCAAACAACAAAAATTGCCCCTTTTTAAATGACCCTTCCCATATTATTTGTGCAGAGGAAATTATTTCTCAAAATACCCTAGAGAAAAATTAATGAACCACGTAAATATCTCAGATGGCTCCACCCACATGACCAACTTCTGAGACACTGTTAATCACTGTAATTGAGCTCACCCTTTCAATGTTCACTTTGTAATCACTTAATGTCAACATATAATTTTCCAGCATAATATAAGGGAATCGTTGTGGAGTTATTGGAGTGTACAAATGAGCACAACATCCTCTTCTTTGGGAGGAAGCATGCCCCAATGTGTAGCATCACAACAGCATGTGACGAGACTCCCCTGGTGGCTTAAAGATTTCCTAGAAAAGCATCACCACAGAAAAACTAACAGGGCATAGCCCTTGGTCCTTCCTTCTTATTTACTGGTTTCTCTCTTTCAGTACAAATACAAAGAAGCTTATCGCAAGCAGTTGGGTCACCACATTGGCGCCCGGGCAGTACATGACGACCCCAAGATGATGTGGTCCCTCCACATTGCCAAAGTGCAGAGTGACCGTGAGTACAAGAAAGACTTTGAGAAATACAAGACCAGGTTCAGCAGCCCAGTGGACATGCTTGGCATCGTTTTGGCCAAGAAATGTCAGACCTTGGTTAGTGATGTGGACTATAAACATCCTCTGCATGAGTGGACCTGCCTGCCAGACCAGAATGATGTCATCCAGGCTCGGAAAGCTTATGACCTCCAGAGCGACGTGAGTATCATTGATGCTGGTTCTGCATGTTAAAAGCAGATCTGAAAAGTGTCCGTAGGTTCTGACTGGTGCCAAAGGGTGGGAATTTGTTTGTATATTTTAAACAATGTACACTTAAATGTTTGAAAAAAGTTTTCCATTGGAAGCGCCACAATTCATTTCCAAATTTTTTTCCCCAAAAGTATGTAAAAGAAGAAATAAAGTATATATCATCAATTATATCCAGGTATATTTTTTCCTGGTGATTCGGACTTCCCTTGTCTGAGTTAGATGAAACTTGGTCCTCAAAAATATAGAGCAACAAACTTTTGGCCAAAAATGTGGAAATTTGTGTGTGTATTGGTGGAGGATAGTATGGACAGGGTAGGAACAGAAGTATATTAAGCTAAATTATTTGAATAAACATTTGTATTTTATACCTACTTACAGGAAAATACTAAGACATCCTCGTCTTTTTCAAAACCAATCATCTAATTCTCATTAACAGTTAGTGTGTCCTATTGAGAGTAAAATAAAATTAATAATTAGGTAAAATATCTAATATATTATCTTTATAAAAACACATTACACATTTGATATTTTGTGATTTTGGAGATGGAAATAAAGGCAGGAGTTATTTTAAAAGTTCTCATCACAAGCAGAAAAAAAAGTGTAACTATGTGTGGTGATGGATGTTAACCAGACTTATTGTGGTGATCATTTTGCAATATATATGTATATTGAATCATTATTTTGTACACCTGAAACTAGCGTGTTATATGTCAATTATATCTCAATTAAAAATGCAGATAAAGAGTGTGATTTGCAAAACTTAACATTACTATAAGTTAAACTCACCACTATAGTTGAATTTCACTTCTTCTCCCTAAAAAAAAAAAAAATTAAAAAGGCAAGAGTTTTTCTGACTGTGACACTCACACAGCGTTGGTCTTAGTGTGTGGTCTAATTGGGCACTATTAGAGCACATTTTCCAAGGTGAAAGAAGCTCTGCGCTTGTGTGAAAATCTTGTAATACCTTTAAGGGCAGGACTGTGTCTTTTACGTTAAAAAATATCAGGGACTGTAGTGGCGCAGTGGTTGGGTTCACACGCTCCGCTTCAGCGGTGGCCGGGGGTTCATGGGTTTGGATCCCAGTCATGGATCTGCACACTGCTTGTCAAGCCATGCTGCAGCGGTGTCCCATATACAAAATGGAGGAAGACCGGCACATATGTTAGCTCAGGGACAATCTTCCTCAAGCAACAACAACAAAAAAACCAAGAAAAATTGGCAACAGATGTTAGCTCAGGATGAAATTTCCTCACAAACACATATACATGATCTCTCATTAGTCTCAGTACAAGCCTCTGTGCCAAGAAATGCTCAGGAAAAGAACATGCTCAGTACTCAGTAATGCTCGTGAATGAATAATCAACTATGTGGGGACCTTTGTTTATTCATCCATACTTTTGTATTTCTCTAGCATGAGCCACTTTGTAACTATGGCTCTGAAACACTAATAAATATATTTCTTATCTGTTGATTTGCAGAATTTGTATAAGTCAGACCTTGAATGGTTGAAAGGCATTGGCTGGGTTCCTATTGGCTCCGTGGAAGTTGTTAAAGCCAAGAGGGCCACAGAGATACTGAGTGACAACATCTACCGTCAGCGTCCAGACACACTGAAATTTACCAGCGTAACTGACTCTCCAGAGCAGGTGCTGGCAAAGAACAATGCTATCAACATGAATAAGGTGAGTCTTCACTCCTCACCATCAGATAGCAGATTTCACCATAGAGTAAGGTAAAAATTCTGACACATTAGTGCATTTTAATGATTCTAATAGGAATTAGGATACCTTTTAAAATGATTTTTCCATTATAATACCATAGTTACTTAGTAACGCTTCAAAATATTAAACTGACATTAAAAATACTATGTACTGTAATTATCTCATAATTACAGATTTACATATTGCAGCCCAATTATACTTTTCAGAACTGTTAAAGAATTTTAATAAGAAAGAGTAAAAACTCTGAGTCTATAAATTGGGTGAGCTAAACACCCTTGGAAATGTATCTACGTGAAAAGTAGGAATTTATGCAACTTTAAATAATTTTACTTCTACGCTGGATAAAAAGAGAGGTGACTGGCACATAGTCAAAAGAAAAATGTCCGTGAACTCCAAAATAATTTTTCTCATCTTTTTTTTCCATAGCGCTTGTATACTGAAGCCTGGGACAAGGATAAGAAAACAATCCATGTCATGCCTGACACACCGGAAATCATGCTAGCTAAACTCAACCAAATAAACTACAGTGACGTGAGTAAACTATTGATTTTGTAATGAACAGAAAGACAAAAATGAACTATTATAACTGTTTCCTTATTGGAATGTTTTGACTAATTTATTATATGTACTCCAAACTGATATTGTCAGTAAGAGAGAGTTCTCCCTTGATTCAATTTTGGGATATGTGGTAGGTCCACAAAGTAGGCCAGCATATTAGCCAGAGGGTATTAGGGAATGGCATGCTTATGGAGAAATATCCCAAAAGCAATTATAGTCCTAAACCCTTCCCCTGTAGATCAGTAAGGATATCAAGTCGTTATTTTATTTAACAACTATTTAGCAGGCAGGCACTGGGCTGGAACCCGGTGAGTTATCAGTCCTGTGTTATTTTACTGCTTCATTAATGTTCTGGTTACCATTTAATGTTATTTGTAAGCACTTTTCTAGGCATCTCTTTCAGAACCAACATTTTCATTAGGACAGTGATTCTGAAACCCTACTGTACAGATTGATCATGGTCTGTGATGATAGCCCACAGCAAAATGAGAAAAAATAAGGACAATGAATTGAGTTTTTCATAAATTCAAATATATCCCATTTTAAAATACTGTCCTTATTCTTTCTCTTTCTCTACTATTAAGATGGCCTTTCTTTTATATTATGGTGGTGATAATAGTTGTTTTTTTACATGTGCTTTTTGGGCAAAACAAAATCTTGGCAGGCACATGCTCATATCTCAAAAATTTTTTGAAATTTACCAATCAACAAAATCCCAAAGTTTAGACCATGTACCTTAAAATCCTTGAGCACCTATAAACCAAAGTTTTGTATAAACTCATCCTAATACTTGACTTTGTGGATTTGTTTCTGTAGTTTAAATGAGGACAGAGAAAATTTAATAATAAACAACTTTGTTTTTTATGAAGGGAGTAATGATTACTCACTCTCTTTTCTACAGAAACTCTATAAACTTGCTTTGGAAGAGTCCAAGAAGGAAGGCTATGACTTGCGTTTGGATGCCATTCCAATCCAGGCAGCCAAGGCTTCAAGAGATATTGCTAGCGATGTAAGTTGATGTTTTTGGAAGAGACATTTCTTACTCAAAGATGTTCACAATGGCAGGTTTTATAGTTTTTCTTGCCAGAATTTTGGTTGTCTTTAGAAGCCTTAATTTTGTTATTGATTTCCCCCATGTACCAAGCTGCAAATGAAAACAAAGAAAAGGACAAGATACTGTGTCCATTACACCTGTTCTTCAGTCAAAGACAGAGGCATAGCCTTAAAAAATAAGTGTTTTAGGGACATAAAAATGCATTCATATTTTTGAGCCTCAGAAATTGAGCAGCAGTGGACCTAGTTGTTTATTAAAAAACATTGATAGCACATGTAAAACAGCCAGTGCAAATGCAAACTCTTTCCTACTACTTCTATCCATTTATTCTGGCATAAAGGAAGACTAGGTGATCCATGCCTTTTAGAGTCTTGTTTCGTTCTTTGTACCTTTTAGTGAGATTCGACTTCCAAGATGCCCCTAACTGGCTACCAGAACAAATTGAGAAGCAAGAGAAGCCTTTTCTCAGCACCCATTTGTCTCTTCTCTCTAGTCCTTCCCTTCTCATGAGAAACATCCCCTGACGTTGCCCAGTGCCCCCATTCTGTACCAGGGCTCCTTAGGACCCAAATCCGGACTTTCCTTCCTCTGGAATGGTCCTATGCCTTAGACTTCGTTCCTTCTATTATCAAAACTTTTTTCTGGCTATTAAGCTGGAGAAGCCCACAGTATGATCATCTCATGGTAAAATGGACCATAAAGTGTTATTCTTGAAATTTTAAAAGTAGATTGAGTGTTACCGAGGCATGACTCTCTCGTGGTGGAAGTTCAATGACATGGACAGGCTAATAAGGGAAATATTTCCTGGTGAAACTATCTAAATGTAGCCCTTATCCTGGACCAGGAAATAAATTCTAATCACAAGGGATATGTTCTAAAATATTCCTAATATCAACACATTTTTACAAAAAAAAGCCACATCTTTAAGTAGATGCTCTTTTAGTTTGTGCAAGATGTTTTATCTTTATTGTTAAGCAGTTGAATATAAACCAGGTAGCATAGTTTAGCAGAAGGAGAGAAATATTAGCAACCAGAAGCTCTCCATTCTAGTCTCAGCTCTGCCATCTACTTCTGACGTGACCTTGAACAAATCACTTAACCCCTCTAGGTTTCAGGTTTCTGTTTTATAAAGTGGGGTTGATAATGTTAACCTTTCTCCCTCACACTGGTGGTGGGGAAAATCAAAAGAAATAACGTGTGTATGAAACTATGAAATGTGATATAAATGAGATATTCTTATCATTAGACTCATATCCCTTTTCTTTTTTCAGTACAAGTACAAGGAAGGCTACCGCAAACAGATTGGCCACCACATTGGGGCCCGAAACATTAAGGATGACCCCAAGATGATGTGGTCCATGCATGTGGCCAAGATCCAGAGTGACAGGGAGTACAAGAAGGACTTTGAGAAGTGGAAGACCAAGTTCAGCAGCCCCGTGGACATGCTGGGGGTGGTGCTGGCCAAGAAGTGTCAGATCCTTGTAAGCGACATAGACTACAAGCATCCTCTACATGAATGGACCTGTCTGCCTGATCAGAACGACGTTATTCATGCTCGGAAGGCCTATGACCTGCAGAGTGATGTAAGTGGGGCTAATATTCTTTAGCATATGATTAAAAGGTTTTAAAAGGGGGTTCTAACTTTGTTTATGCCATAGAATCTTTTGGCAGTCTGTTGAAACCTATGGACAACTTCTCAGGACAATGTCACGAAATACATTTATAAAATAAAGTACATGTATATATTGCTTTCAAAAGAAATTGATCACATCGAAATATGCTTTTCAAAATATTAAACTAAATCTGTGATGTAGTAACATATGTGCTTTTTAATTAGCACATTAAATAAAAATATCTAGCAATGGGTGTAGTAACTAGTTTAATTTCAAAGAAGTGATGAGCATAAATGTTTCAAGATGTCTGCAACAACTCTAACAGGATATGAAATATTTGTGATTTCTTTGCTAACAGAGTCCCACATAGTGTTAATACTACTTTGATCTATTGCCTATACTTATAATTGAAAGAAATGCTATACTTCAGTTAGAGGTTAATGAAAATAAAGATATTATGTTTTTTCCTTTCAAGTTCATTGATGCCAGGTTAAGAATTTCTGGTTTAATACGATCTAATTTTCCAAATGCATTGATTGCATTATAATTTTTCTGAGAACTTATAGGAAATATCTATTGTAACTTGTGAAAGGAAGTTTAAGAATGAATTGTACATATTGGGACAATTTTTCTAAGAGGCTGGAAACAATAGCTTTCTAGGAATATGTTTTGTCCTTTTGTTGTCAACCAGTAGATTGTTCTTGGGATTCACATTCTATCTCATTGGTATAGAACCTCCTTGTTTTTCTTGGTCAGTCTCTGACAAGTAGTTACTGTTGAAAGAATGATAAAAGTAGTGGCATTATCAAAAAGAGTCTCCAAAAAAGCCGTAAAAATAAAAAAGAATTGTTACTCTTGCTTATAAGAAAAATTATCCTTCAGCCAGTTATTTAAATTCAAAGAAGGATGAAATATCTAAAATAACACAAGACAGGGGACTGAGGATAAGATAAATAAGAGTAAAAATATATGTACTCTTTGGCTTAGAAGCATGTATGCAGAATCATGTGAAAAAAGACACACTTTTTGTTGTCCCTAGAAAACACATTAATTCAACATGTGGTCAGCCAGCAGTGTTTATCCTTTCTTTATGTTACACGACTGGCTGTGAAGGCCACTGACCAATGACATAGGAACAAACTGTATTCTAACAGAGTATTATTCCCACACAAGGAGGTATAGGCTTCAGAGAATAAACATTTTGTATCAGCAGGCAGGGAGCAATTTCTTTAAAATGGTTTTGTATCAGTGAAATCACATATTCTTAGAGAGGTTTCATGAGTCATTAAAACAGCAAACATTGGCTATCTTTAGGGACCAAGCATTTGACTAGGGACTCTGTACCCAAGTAAGGTAGTCCTGTGGGTTTTCTCAGAAATTATACATCATCTGTATATGCTCCATCAGGATCAGACACCAGACTGTCTATGTAATTTCTACAAATATTTGACATTATTTCATTTTCAGGCTATTTACAAGGCTGATCTTGAATGGCTGAGAGGCATTGGATGGGTGCCGATTGGCTCTGTAGAGGTGGAGAAGGTGAAGAGAGCTGGAGAAATCCTGAGTGAGAGGAAGTACCGCCAGCCTGCAGACCAGCTCAAATTCACATCCATTACAGACACGCCAGAGATTGTCCTGGCAAAGAACAATTCCCTGACAATGAGCAAGGTGAGTCTCCAGCTGTTTCCACTTGCCTGAGTCATACTTTCCACAGTCTGGGCTCATGAAGCGAGAAATGCCGCTCTAAAGGGTTTCCAGGGAAAGGAGATGTAATGGTCTTGATTCTCATGTAGGTCTTCAATAGAACATCTGCTTGAATTCTAGTTGGACCTCCACGCTCTTTTCAACGTGGTATCCCCTAATATTCTGTGTGCACGAGGAAGCATAGACTGGGATAATTTCTCTGGAAATTCTGCTCAGCGCAGAATATGAAATTGCCTCTCAGATAACAAACTCCAGAGCTTGGCTATTAAAACCCCAGAAATTCTTTTTTATGCCACACCCATCAACAGCAACCATAGTGATCATAACAATAGGAAACACCATAAAATTTGTTGAGTCCCTACTCTGACTCACGCATTTTGCATATGTTTTAGTTAATCTTTGGAAAACATTCAATGAAAAAAATGTGATTATTCTCCTCTTGGAAATGAGGAATATGAGGCCTTCTGTGCCTTTCTCAGGATCACACAGCATGGACCTAATAGAGATGAGTAGAACTTGGGATCTCTACTATATCGCAGTTCCGTAGACAAACTCCATCCTTGCAGGTCCTATGAGTAACCGTGAGATTCCCTGGATGAAAAGAATTAATCATTGAGACCGTTATATTGCCTCCTATTAGCTGTGAAACTATCATACAGCTGTTTAAATACTGCTATGTTTTACACTTCCCACTACCCTTTTGCTTGCCTCACCTCCAAATAGCCTTATAAAGGCTATTTTTGAAACAGTTACATGTGTTAAATTTGATAATAATTATAATGCATTGGCTTTAACAAAGGGTGTTGCCTCACCTCCCCCCACAGCATTTATATACGGAAGCTTGGGATGCTGACAAAACCTCCATCCATGTGATGCCGGACACCCCAGAAATCCTACTGGCCAAGAGTAATTCTGCCAATGTCAGCCAAGTAAGAGATTTCCTGATTGTTGTTTAAGCCTTTCTGGGACTAATTAAAATACTGTTTCAACCTTACCACTTTCCTGTCTGGAATTGGCCTATTAACTTTCTAAAACACTTTCATTTTTCTGTTGTGTCTTATCCTCCACCTAGAAACTTTACACCAAGGGATGGGATGAATCAAAGATGAAGGACTATGACCTGAGAGCTGATGCTATTCCCATCAAAAGTGCCAAGGCCTCGAGGGACATCGCCAGTGACGTAAGTGCCTTCCATCTCACCTGCTTTGGTCTCACATTGCTGAACAACTGTAGTGCTGCTGGTGGGCCACACCCTGTCATTGCTTCCACACGTATTCCCCCAGTCTTGCTTCCTGCCCTCTAAGACCTTTCCCTTTGTTGTCACAGAGAAGAAAAACACATTTTGGAATTGTAGTTAAGAGTTGCTGCAGGAAAGGCTTCCACCAATGAAGATATATGATTACACTACAGTTATGTTTATGATAGTAGACGATGTTAGTTAAAAATTGCACAGAGACGGCAAAATGTTTATAATATAAAATTCTTGTCCATTTTCTTGTGGGTTTTCATGTTGTCTGTAATTGTTAGCATATATATAATCTTAAAACTGTGTTGCTAAACCTGTATTTCTGGCATTTTAGTACAAATACAAAGAAGCATATGAGAAACAGAAAGGCCACCACATTGGAGCCCGGAGTGTTGAAGATGACCCCAAGATTATGTGTGCCATACATGCAGGGAAGATTCAAAGTGACAGGGAGTACAAGAAGGATTTCCAGAAGTGGAAGACCAAGTTCAGTAGCCCAGTGGACATGTTAGACATCGTGCAGGCCAAGAAATGTCAGACTCTGGTCAGCGACGTTGATTATCGAAATTACCTCCATCACTGGATATGCTTACCTGATCAAAACGACGTTATCCAAGCAAGGAAGGCCTATGAACTGCAGAGTGATGTATGTAACACGAATTTTGGGAAAGGTGGAATGGGAAGACATAGATTTGTTAATTGTACAGTCAGTACCTCTGTGGTCAGACCCACCGGTTGTGCACTGCACGACTCCGGGGTGGGGACCATTCACATTGTTTGATACAAAACTCATATATAGAATTTGTGTCATGGGAATCAAAGAATATAGATGAAGAATCCCACTTGGGCTGTGTACTTTATTCCATGGCCTAGGTTCCAGACTATTTTCTTCATGTCTTTTGTACTTTCCGTCAATGAAAATATATTTCACACAAACATAAATTATTTGAATGTTTTTAAAATAACTACCACTATTGTACTATATCCAAAACACTAAATGGAGTTTCCTTGGGTCAGTTATTACAAGAGGAAAATGGAATGAGATTCAACAAAATTCCCTTTAAAAAATTTTCTCAGTTACATAATTTTTTGAAATGTCAAATAGTCATCATGAAATTCAGCGGTATTACTATTTTATCCCTATTCATGGCTAGTATAAATAATTATGCTTTTACAAATTACTCTATCATCAATATTAAAACCCCCAAGTCATGTAAAATCTCAGATCTTACCTTTTTGGAATCATCATCTCCTATGCTGATCAAGCCCTCGAGCCCACGTACTTTATTTTTCAATTAGGGGATGGTATGCCTAACCTTGGAACTAAATTTCTGTCTAATATCTTTGTAGAATGTGTATAAAGCAGACCTGGAGTGGCTGCGTGGCATTGGCTGGATGCCAGAAGGCTCAGTAGAAATGACCAGGGTGAAGGGTGCCCAAGACCTGTTGAATGAAAGACTCTACAGAACGCGACCAGAAGCCTTGAAGTTCACTTCCATTGTTGACACTCCAGAAGTGGTCCTGGCAAAAGCCAATTCTCTGCAAATGAGTGAGGTAGGAACAATCCTCAAACCAAGCTTTCCTTTTGTGGGACTCTGTTTTCAGATGATACCACCCAAACCGAGCAAGTAGACTGTTGCTCTTCAAAGACTTATAGTAACGGGAGCAACTCTAAGAATCTCTTGACTAGTTTGGCAAAGGCTTGTGCAAAGCAGAACTCTGGTAAATGTCAATGTGTCTTTCCCCTGCCATACACACACACTTTGAAGCTCTAAAATAAAAAACGTCACTCCAGTGCAGTTCATGGAAACAAGTATTTATTTAACTCCTATTACATAGTAAAACCTGCATATTAATGCTGCATATTAAATGGTATAACATTGTATTAATCAGGGTTCTCCAGATAAACAGAACTAATAGGATAGAAGAGAGAGAGACAGAGAGAAAGAAAGAGAGAGAGGAGAGAGAGATTCATTTTAGGGAATTGACTTGCACAACTGTGGAGGCTGGCAAGTCTAAAATCTGCGGGACAGGGGTAAGCTGGAGATCCAGCAACGAGTTGCAGTTCAAGCCCAAAGGCAGTCTGCTGGCAGATTTCTTATTGCTCTCCGGAGGTCATTCTTTTTTCTATTGAGGCCTTCAACTGATTGGACAAGGCCCACCCACATTACAGAGGCTAGTCTGTTTTACGCAAAGTCTACTGATATAAAGTTAATCTCATCAAAAAATACCTTCACAGAAAGATCTAGAATAATGTCTGATCAAATATCTTGGTACTGTGGCCTAGCCAAGTTAACACATAAAATTAACCATCACAAACATGGATAAAAACATTTTTCCAGGTTAAACAGTTGCCAAGTCTTAATGTTTCAGATAGCCATTGTCTATCACTGTATTAAAGTAATACTTCTCTTCTCTCCACAGAGGCTCTATCAAGAAGCGTGGAATAAAGATAAAACCAACGTCAGCATTCCTTCTGACACGCCAATCATGCTGCAGGCCCAAATCAATGCCTTGCAGATCAGCAATGTAAGAGGCATAAGTATGAAGTGTAAATGCCCTTATGGGACAAGATCTGTCAGCATGTGGAGTGTGTTATCGTGGACTAATTACCTGTCTTAGGGATGTGTACGACTTTTGGTGCTAGAGATTTTCTCTTTAGCTACCATTCCCAATGCAATATGAATGGAAATTCTGTCTTTAAATGTTAGTTTAGATACATGGCTGGGTCCTTGGACTGCAAGAGTTGGGACACCTGAATTCACTTGTTGTCCTCCTTTCAACCTTGAAATCATTGTCCGATACCCATTGTCCATAGCAGTTTCTTTGTATGTTAATTGAGAATAATGAAATTCTTAGTTAAGTGCCTCTTACACAAAGAAGAATAAGAGGGAACAGTCTCTATTATCTTTACAGGTTTTTGATTGATCCATAGCTTTCTTGTTTGACATTTCAAGGCCATAAGAAAAGCCAATAGACAATTTTTAGATACAGTCATGAGAAAGATGACGACGTTTCAGTCAACGATGGACCACATTAGGACAGTGGTCCCGAAAGATTAGTAACGTGTGGCCTAGGTGTGTAGTAGGCCAAGCCATCTAGGTTTGTGTGAGTACACACTGTGATGTTCGCACGATGATATAGCCACGTAATGATGCATTTCTCAGAACGTGTCCCCGTTGTTAAGTGACACATGACTGTATGCCCAAAGAGCAGGATACGTATGAATATCTAGGTCACATCCCGTTAGCAGAGACCTCTGAAAAGTCAAAGGGCAACATTAGGAAAAAGCTTATCAGGTCTTATATGGTACCTTGATGAAGATTCTCTAGCTTCACGGTTGAGTCTTAGTTTCCGATACACTGTGTGGTGAGATATTTTCAGATGTGTATCATATTGTGATGAATGCAAATATTCAAACATTAGTAGATTTAGATGTCTAGCTTTGAAATTTTAATCAGAAGTATCCTGCTTTCCACAAAATAAATAGCCAACAACCAAAAGAAGAACTCAGAAGTGACATTTTTTCTTATGCTGCCTTCATTTACATTACACCTTAGGATTCATATTATGTCCACTTTGAATATATTCAATATTTTCAATTCTTGTAAACAAAGCCGTTTTCCCTCAATAGAAACTCTACCAGAAAGACTGGGATGAGGCCAAGCAGAAAGGCTATGACTTAAGAGCAGACGCCATTGAAATCAAACATGCCAAAGCATCCAGAGAAATTGCCAGTGAGGTAAGGTCCTTCTATTTCCTTCTATACAACAAATACAATATTTTTCAAGAATTTGGGGGTTTTTAGAAATCTATGCAAACAATTGCATTTTGTCTTGCACTAAAGACTTTCCCTAGTTAAAAACATTAAAATGGGATGAAAAACATTAAAGTTAGCATCGATGAGGTATGTGTGTAAATAACTTGTAAGTGTTTCCAAGTAGAAGTAAAATATCGTGAAGTGTCTGTACCAAATTCTTGGGAAAATTTCGGGAACCAATTCAATGTGTTGTATCCCCCAAATATTTATGACATTCTCCATAAATATAAATCACAGATCAAAGTTTGATATAGGACTTAAGATTGAAATCACATTTTGTATACAAGATTTTATACTGGAAACTTATATATAATGCCTTGAAGTTTATTTAATAATAATTTTAAAGCTTACTAACGGTCAAAATAATTATCCTACCAAGCCTTTCCAGATCCAAATCTTTAAGCCAGCTTTGTTCCTTTTGTCTAGCTTCTTCTCCAGTCTTTATCTTATGTATCCAGCTGTTTCTTCCTTCTTATTCCTCATTTTTATCTCTAAAAACCATAGCCAATCCACAGTATCTGCCTTATTCTCAGTTTTCTTTCCCTCCCTCTTGTCCAAACTTTCCTATGTTACCCAAACATAGGAAAGAAACAGAAACTATCTTCCTCTAGTCCTAAGACACTTAGGACATTGTAGACAAGGTGGAAACTCTGGTCCACAGACCTTTTGTCGTCATCTTCTGATTCAAACCAGCAGCCTTACTTTCCATTCCTGAAACAGGCACCTTTCTAGGCTGTCTCCAAAACCACACGTATGACTTTTTTCTACCTGAGGTACCTTCCGTACTCTTGGGGGACCATCTCAACTAATGTTCCACTTGACAATCAACCTTGGGGGACAATGGTTACCCTCATTGTGCCTTATTTTCACCATCTGAAACATGTGATAATAATAGCATCTACCTCATAGAGATGTTATGAGGATTAAACGAGATTATAAGTGGCACTATTCACTATTTTTAACTAAAAAATTCAGCATCTTATGGATCAAACTAATACATTTGAGGTGCTCATAATAGTGTCTGGCATATACTGACTGCTCAGTACATGTTAGCTATTATTTTTCTTTATCTCTCTTGTTTACCATTTTATGTCCCTCTTGATTTACTCGTGTCTTCTATGAAACTACCTGAAATAACCCCTATCTAATTTCCTTAAATTGAACTGAAATATATAATGATGGCCATTGTTGGGTCCATTTATGTTAAGACTAAGAAAATATTCTGAAAACATTAAATGAAAACTCCTTTTAAGACATTATTTTCATATGACTTTTATCTGATTTTTCACAACTTTAGTACAAATACAAAGAAGGTTACCGTAAGCAACTGGGCCACCACGTGGGTTTCCGCAGCCTACAAGATGACCCCAAACTGGTGTGGTCCATACATGCTGCCAAGATCCAGAGTGAAAGAGAATACAAGAAAGCTTATGAGAAGTCTAAAGGAATTCACAATACACCGCTGGACATGATGTCGATTGTTCAGGCCAAGAAATGCCAGACTCTGGTCAGCGACCTTGATTATCGCAATTACCTGCACCAATGGACATGCTTGCCTGACCAGAACGACGTGATTCAGGCCAAGAAAGCCTACGATCTGCAGAGCGACGTGAGTATATTATCACCAGATTCTTGGGGAGATGTGTGTCTGTGTTTAATCACAGGGTATTCCCTAGAGGCATAAATTAAAAAGCAAACTTGACAGAACCTAACATATTCTGTATATTTCATCAAAGGAGAGTTTTTCTGAACATTTTCTATCTTATAGAGGATTTCTTCTTATCTGTCAAGGCCTTACTCATCAAGATGAAAATCTTCTCTTATTCTATGTAATTAGGTAGAAAATTTCAGTCCCAGTTGCTCTGATCCATTATATTTACATGATGAGATATCTAAATTTCACAAGCAGATGTTAAGTGTAAGGAAATATTGGATTTCAAGTTTATCTGACACAATTAGGAAAATGTGTACATATATATATATATATTATATTGAGAGAGAGAGAGAGAGATGCATCTTTTTTCTCATTGTATGTGCATCTAAGGATCCTTTTCTCCCAAATTCCTATAGATATTATTACCAGTGGTACATAAAAGGCAGATTTCAAATGGTGAGCCCAGAAGCTCAACCTTGTTTAAAAATAAAATTGTGTCCCATTGCTGTCTGTCATTTCACAAGTACCACTTTCAGCCCTGCTCCAATTCCTGTAGGATACTGTGAACTTCTCCCAGAGATGTCACATCCAAATATTAACATTTACTGTTGATCCTTGAGTTTCATGCAATTGCCCACCCAACTGATTTAAATAGAGGTAGTGTGTGGTTTGCTAGCATCTTGCCCAAGGGGGCAGATTTGACCTTTCCACACTCTGTGGTCCTCTTCTTCATGTAGAACGTGTACAAAGCAGACCTGGAATGGTTGAAGGGTATTGGATGGTTGCCAGAGGGTTCGGTGGAAGTGATGAGAGTGAAGAATGCCCAGAATCTCCTGAATGAAAGGTTGTATCGTATAAGGCCTGAGGCCCTCAAATTCACCAGCATTGTTGACACCCCTGAAGTCATCCTGGCAAAGACCAATGCTCTACAGATCAGTGAGGTAAGCCGAGTTGATGTTATATTCGGACAAATGGAAGAAGCCTCCACAAAAATTCTAATTGTGAGCTTTAAACTGCTAATACCAGCGGTAGAATCTTGAACATACACATGTCCAGATGGAGTTTCATATAGTCAGTCAGTTAACAGGACCCACATTTCATTGCTTAGATAACTCTTTGGTCACTATAATTGTGGTAGCATCTTCATGTTCCACAGACTCTGATCACACTTTGAACATATTTTGAAATCTTGACTGTAATATGGGTCCACAAGGTAATACCATGATTGCAAAATTGCCCGTTCCTTATTGCTATTTAATCATGACATAAGTTGAAAATCCAAGGCAGCCCCGATATTTTTCATTATGATAGTTATTTGGGCCAAGAAAAGTCGGACTTGATCAGCAATGTGGATGGTCATAGATACCTGCACTGTGGGCTTACCTGCCAGATAATCACATGTGAATAAATGGAAAATGATCATTTTACTACCGTGTTTCTGACTCATTTTACATGTATATTATGTCACACATGAATGTATTCTTCTTGTTGAAGTCACTATAGGAAACTTCTAAATAAAACACTAATGAAAACTAAATGTGATCTACATTTATATCTGAAAACATCCAAAGAGAACATTTAATTGAACCTATCATTTTATGTGTGTAGTCTCAGACTTATTTACTAATCATCTATTTCTCATTTTTACCAGCCATTGTATCGCGATGCCTGGGACAAAGAGAAGGCTAATGTGAATGTGCCAGCCGACACTCCCCTGATGCTGCAGTCCAAAATCAACGCCATGCAGATCAGCAACGTAAGGAACCAAACATCCACTCAGTTTACAGTGTGCTCTGCCTAAGGGAACCTTTCGTGGATACACTCCAGAATTTAGCGAGACATTTCCCTACCATTCCTTTTATTTCTAGTCTTTAAGCTAAGGATAAGTGCCGTGTATGTGTGTGTTTGTGTGTGTGTGTATTTGTGCAAGAGTGTGTTTATAATATAAAGATGAGTATTGTTATCTTTGTTGGAAGGAAAAGTGCAGTGGTGTCGCCCAAAATGCAACATAAAAGCATACATAGGCGTGTTTAGTAATATTTATTTCTCTTTTTCGTGGCCCATCATTGATTTTTTTCCCTATAGCACCAAATAATATATTTTTTTTCTCATTTTCACATGATTTACTTCTTTAAAAAAAGTTCCTGGGGGGTAACGCTCCTAAATATCATAAAAAATTGACTGGAATTTAAGTTCAATATGAAACCAGCCTATTTTAAAAATCTTAAGGGGAGATTAATTTTCAGTATAACTGTTAACATGTATTCTTGAACCCATCAATAACACTGACTCAGTAGTTCCCTCTTCAGATTGACTGTGACATTGCAATCTCCATTTGCAGAAACGCTATCAGCAAGCTTGGGAAGACGTCAAGATGACAGGTTATGACCTGCGAGCAGATGCCATCGGGTTCCAGCATGCCAAGGCTTCCAGGGACATCGCCAGTGATGTAAGAGCTCCTCCTTGCCCAGCCTTAACAAGCACTAACTAGGAGACACACAGGGGGTTAATAATGTACAGATCTTTAACTCAATTCCCCAGAAATTACATTTAAGTCGAATGGAAGTCATTGTTATTAGTGTCTTGTTTTAAAATCCCAAATTTGAGAACAACTTTTATGACAATTTGATGACCCTCTTGCATCTCTGCTTGGTTCAGCTCTTCTTATGTTTAAGCACAGATTTTGATTTTCTTTTCAGTATCTTCTGTATCAGAGGGATACAAGCCCTTACAGAGATTCACTGGGTATAAAGAATTCTGCTGTTTCTTGAAGTGCAGCATGCATAGGTGGTTCTGTGATAATTTTGGGCAGTACATGAACAAGCACTTTTAAAAATAGTTATGTTTGTTTTAATGTGTGCTAGAAAAATACTGATTTTTTCCATTTAAATTTGACTATAAATTTAAAACAAGTTTACACCTTAAAAATACCTTTATTTAAATGAGGAATCAAGTACACTTAAAAAAAAGAATAAAGCAAAGATGGCACTTGTTTGTGGCAAAACATATGAGTAAGGCAAACAGTGAGTGAAGTTTGGGAAACACTGGACAATCCTATGTTAATAGATAATCAGAAGCACAATTCCATCCTTAGAGGTGCTCACCATGTTTTCATGCGTATATACATAGAAGCCAAACCAATGTATCATGAAGTACAGAACCTATAGTATGGATCTATAGAAAATCAGTGCCCAATAAAAGGATAATCTAAGGGAGATAGAGTTATATTGATCAGGCTGTCTAGAAAAACGGAGTTTGGAAAAGCAACTTTTCTTTCTTCTGTTCACATCTACCAGTATCTATACAAAACTACTTATGAGAAGCAGAAAGGCCATTATATTGGACTTCCCAGTGCCAAGGAAGACCCGAAACTGGTTTGGGCAGCAAAAGTGATGAAGATGCAGAATGACAGGCTGTACAAAAAGGTCTACAATGACCACAAGGCCAAGATCTCCATCCCGGTGGACATGGTGTCCATCACAGCTGCCAAGGAAGGCCAGGAGTTAGCAAGCAATGTGGACTATCGCCAGTACCTGCACCACTGGTCTTGCTTCCCCGACCAGAATGACGTGATCCAAGCCAGGAAAGCCTACGACCTGCAGAGTGATGTAAGTGTGTGCTAGCGTGGGGAGCACCAATGAAGGGGTGAGCTATTCCCCAGGAAGGAAGCCTTCCACAGCTTTGCCTGGTCACTCCTTCCTGTGCTCTGGAGAGCACAGCTCTCCCTACAGATGCACTTCCCTTTAGAATCTTACCAAATTTATTAATTGCCTACCCTACTGCTGGGCATATTCAGAAAGTTTTCATTTCCATTGTTAATGGTTACCAGAATTTTTCTACAGATTTGTTGACATGTACAATGTTAGTAGTTTTGAAACATAAGAATTTCCATGGTCCTTCAATTGAAGAATGACAGGGCTATCTTCATTGAAGTTAATTTTAAAGGTTAGCAGAATGCTAATCTCACTAGTTTCCCTTAACTTGGTGTTCTTCACAATACGGTGTTTCACTGACTTACTTGAACTATTTTTAGATTTACTCATATTTTCTCCCATTTGATTTTTTGGAGATGATGGATTCCATCAGAATACTTATTTCTTGTGTAGAATGAATTCCCTCTTTTGATTATCTGAATTTGGTTCCCTTAAGCTTCAAGAGATGCTTTCTCATAATGAATGAGTTTGTTACGGGACAGTATATCTGTCACTTGAAATGAATTGCCAACTGGTGAATTTAGGCCAATTTCTAGAGAAATGCAGTCTCTTCGTTAAAACTGAACCACATTAGTGTAGTAAGGACGTATATCAACCAAGTTCTTAAAGAATGAGGAAGGGAAACTTTAAAATATGTATATAATCCTCTCTGAGAATCCCTTCTTCTGAATTTTGAGTATGGCTCATATTTTACACACTAACATGGATAATATCATTCTTCATTAAGGTAGAAATTTCCCTCCATTTTTCACTCCTCTTATCTTTTTAGCCTGATATTTGTATCCTATTAACTAGCTATTAAAATACCATTTCTGAAGAACAAAATGTTTTTTGATGAAGTTAATAACCGGTGTTTAACATAGAGCAAATTTTTCTGGTTAACTACCTATATCTGGGAAAACAGGTTTAGATAAGCAAGAAACACAAATCCTAATTCAAAGGGAGGTGCTTTTTTGAAAAAAGAAAACCCAACTGAGATCAAAACTGTGGCAAGGCATTGAATTCTTAGTTATCCTTTTCAAAATAGTTATTAAACACACCATGTGCCAAGCACTAAAGAGATCATGGTGAATAAAGAAGAAACAAGAATAAGTTCCTGACTTTAAGGAGTTCACACTGATAACTAAGAAAATAACTAAGAATATCAGTAAAAATAATGAGATGGCTGAGGAAGAACGATCCTTGGCTCTATGCAAAAGAGAGTTGGGGAAAGCTTATCTGAGGAAGTGCTGATTTAGTGGGGATGTGGAGGGACAGCAGGAGTTGTCTTCACGAGGAGGACACAACAGGCATTCCTGCAGAATGAGCAACGTGGGCCAAGGGGGCTGTTTGTAGACCACAAACTGAAAGAAGGCCAGTGTGCTCAGAATGCACAGGTCAAGGGGAAGCACGCACGAGAGGAGACTGGAGGAACAGGTAGAGACTGATGCTAAACCATCAACGCCTTCTAGTGCACGTTAAGATTTTGATCTTTATCCCAAGACCAAGGGGAAACCATGGGATGAGGGAATGTTGTGACATCAGATTTGAACTGTGAATTTTGTGAAGATCATTCAGGCTGCTATGTCAAGAACTTACTGGAGAGCCCATCGTTATTCCTTTAAAAGTCCTCTTTGGCTAGTATGATGATTATGTAAATGCTATCCAAATTTCTTCCCAAAGAGAGAGTTAGCTTTTTAGAATGTTCACCGGTGCCCCAGAGCAGACCCTCTACCACAGAAAACATAGCAGACAAAACACTGCTGTGCACACGAGGGATTGTGTTTGTCAGGCCATGCTCAGGTTTTATTATTGTTTGTGGAAGATAAAATATAAAACTTCTTCCTTACTTTACCACAATTAGAAAAAAATCGCACTACTTCTACCTAACTTTGTCCTCTTCCCCAGGCTATCTACAAGGCTGACTTGGAGTGGTTGCGTGGCATCGGCTGGATGCCTGAAGGGTCTCCCGAGATACTGAGAGTCAGAAATGCCCAGAAGATCTTCCTAGACAGTGTCTATCGGACACCTGTGGTGAATCTCAAGTACTCAAGCATCGTTGACACTCCTGAAGTTGTCCTTGCTAAAGCAAATGCTGAAAATATTAGTATTGTAAGTCACTTTCCCCCTCTATTTTAAAATTAAGTTAGTGTTATAAATAAATTACAAACAATTAACCTGGTAATCTATTTGTCAGTTTAGTAAGAATATTGATGATAACAAACCTTTTAATAGATAATGTTGACAAGGTTGTTTTATTGTTGCTTATTAACTTTAAACAAAAACTCAAAGTACTAATAAAAGCTTTTAATACAGATTTCATATCAAATTTGAGTAATTTATGTGAAAAGATTCTAGATATTTTTACCTTCATATGAAAAGATTTTGAATCAGAAAATTGAAAGTTGTGCATTAGAACTAGACAAATTACAAATTATGAAGTAATTTTGTTGTTTTTCTTCTCATAGCCAAAGTACAGAGAAGTTTGGGACAGGGATAAAACTTCGATCCACATAATGCCAGATACTCCAGAAATTAATCTTGCTAAAGTCAATGCTGTTAATGTGAGCAAGGTAAGTACCACAACAAACTGCCATTTTGTTTGGAAAGCCACCCAACTGGTGCTCTGATATCACCAAGGAACTCTTCATAGCCAAGGCAGAGAAGATTGACTGAATGAGGGTGGGCAAGACTGCTTACCATCAGCCCTTGACCAGGAGTGAGGAGAGGAGCAGATCCCTGGCTCTGAGTCACTGGGCAGGGCCACTTATTGGTGAGCCAATGTCAACACGACAGAAGGGAGAAGGGAATAAGGACAAGAAGGATGAAAGAGGAATGAATAGATACTCAAACAAGAAAGAGAATGAATGACAAATTCAGATGAACTCAAAATAATTACGAGAATTCTTCGCAAAACTTTATACAGATGAATTTAAAACCTGGATCTATAGGGGAATTTCTAGGAAGTTATAAATTACCAAAATTGACCCCATAAAAAGACATTAAGGGGGTTATTAAAGACTTTCCTTCCCCTCTCAAATGCCAGGGTCACCCAGATGATGTCATGGGAGAATTCTTTCAGAACTTCAAGAGATAAACAAACTACCCTAGAGCCCAGTGAAAGAAGGAAAGCCATCACGATTACCAAAACTTGTCAAGGATAGTTCCAGAAATGAAAACTGGAGACCAATAATCATGGGGAAAATCTTAAACAAAACATAAACACATGAAATTCAGTAGTATGTGGATATGCTACAATACAAACAACTAGGGTCATCCAGCAGTGCCAAGAGGGTTCCATATTCAGAAACCCGACAATGTAATAGGACAAAGAGAAGAATGACAGGCTCATTTTGTTAGGTTTAAAAGGTGTGTGACAAAATCCAATATGCGTTCTTCTTTTTTTGAAAATGAAATCTTATCAAAGTGAGAATAAATGAGTATTTTCTCCACATGACTAAAAGAATAAATCTCAAATCAAAGGCCAGTCTCATGCTCAGTAAGTAACCTTCTCATTCAAGTCAGGAATAAAACAAGGGTGCCCACTAACATCACCATTGTTTAACAGTTTCTGGAAGTACTAAGTGGGTAAGCTTCTCATTGAAGCCAAAATAATTACTGAGTAAGAATAAGAGACAAATATTGGAAAGCAAAAGGCAAGATTGTCATTGTTTGCAGAATAAATCATTATATGTCTGGGAGAAGCAAGAGAATCAACTTAAAAATCTATTAGGTAAAATGAGAATTGAGTTACATGGTTAGCTACACAATTCACCAAAGTTCGAGGAAGGTACCACCCTCATGGATCACAGAGGTTCCCTGTGTGTAGAATAAGTATGACTTTAGAAGAAGGATACGACCTTAGTGCAGTTCACCGTGCTTTGGAATTTTGCATCTTTCAAAAAATACTAAATCTTTGTGAGAGAAGGAGCCTGCCAAGCAAAGGTTCCTCAGCATGTGCCAAACTGCACCATCAAGTCGATTGTAATGAGCACCCCGGGAACTAATTTTTTCCAAGAGCTGGGAAGAAAACAAAATTTTAGGGCCCTGATAGATTTTTTTTCAGACCAAATCAGTATTATGGTGCAGTAGACTCTTGTCTCCAAGTGACTGGATGGACAGGCAGTCAGCTCTCCATCCATGTGGCATAGACTCCTCTGCCTCTTCCTTTCAATCCATAGGCGAGAAGTCTGGAAAGTCTCATGTGCTCTCTTTTGCGTGATTAGTTTCTCAGCTGGAAATACCAGAATCCTCCCATTGATAACATGATGTAAGCAAGACTAGTATTCGAAAGTATGCCCAAAGTAAAGTTCATAACTTCAGATATTTAGATATTAATGAGAATGGCTTGCATTTTGGAAGAAATCAAACATCCCATTTGAATGCTAACCAGAATGTAGATTTTCTTTACACGTGGTGTCGCCATTACTTTAACCTCAATAAAATCCACTGTTTAAAACTGTTTCCATCATTTAGAGATTTCAACATTTTCAGAATATTTGTATATAATTTTATAGGTAATTAAGAAAATTCATGTTAAATTAATTTATTTCATCTTCACGTTAAGCACATAAGTAAGATATTTTATTTTGTGTTTATCAGATGGGAAAGTTGAGACTTAAAAAGATTAAGAATGTTAGTAGGTGAAGAGTTAGGTCTCAAGCCCAGATTTTTTTAGTTCAAATAAAAATTGTATTTGACCACATAAACAAAATGTATTACATAAGGAAAAAGTGTAACAATATATGTAATAAAACAAAGTAAATAAACCAAAAATTAAAAATAACATAATGACAAATTTTCCTCAAATATCCTCTGGTATAATACAATAAAATGTGGAGAATACTTTTTTGTTTTGTTCAAAAAAAGTTGAATTTCAAATAGGCTCATCCAAAATTCATGTGAAAACTTGAATGAAAATTCACACATAACTTGTCCATACCCACAAGAATGAGCACTCATTTTTCAGATATACAAAGACCAGGAAACTGTCAACGATTGAAATTCACCTCTCCTTTCTGCACTGTTCAAGTTCCTGTATGATATACTAATCAGTATGATTTCTGAATTATACATTTAAATTACTATTTTTGAGTCTTTCTGACATTTTCAATACAGAATGTATCCATTTAAATATGAACATATATCTTTAAAGTTACCTATAAATCAGTCATTACCTTATTAAACTTCTCTTTACAAACAGAAAAGCACTACATTTAAAAAATGGCTCTTCAATCCATTTTTGCTTCAGCAGGAAGATCTAATATTCCCAAACTATATGCATCATTAACTATATAAGAAGATTTAAGAAACCATATTGGAGGAGAAAAACTCCACAAATGTAAAAAGTTTATGATTCTGAAGATTACAAAATGGAATTGCATTAAATAATTAAACAAATTGAATTTTAAAAATTCAATAATAGCCCATCAATGTCTGAACTTATCCCTGTGCTACCAATACGCCAACGCAAGAAGTAGCTAAACGCTTTGCATGTGCAACTACATCGACGCTATGATTCAAATTAAAAAGAAAGAAATCTTGTCAAGCCCAGATCTTTGGACTGCAGACCTGATTTCATACTCCAGTACAATGGTGAAGATGAGTCTTCCATCTATTCTCTTTTCTTTAACTGGTTCTGGGACTTCAAAACTGCACTGCCATGATGTTAATTCTACTGGAGCACTTGGAGTTATTGGTAAATTTGAAGCTGGAATGATACCTTATTTTTTCTCCTCTTCAGAATATTTACCGGGAAGATTGGGACAAAGTGAAGATGAGCTGCGATGTGCGGCTGGATGCCATCCCTATCCAGGCTGCCAAAGCCTCCAGGGAGATCGCCAGTGACGTAAGTGTGGGCTTGTTTAACTTCTCAGTTTAAGCAAATGCCCTGGGTGCATGAAGTGTACACGCTGTGATCCATCTGCTTTGTTTTTCCCTCTCCAGTATAAATACAAGCTTGACCATGAGAAGCAGAAGGGACACTATGTGGGCACCCCCACAGCTAAGGATGACAACAAGATCCGGTGGGCCCTGATAGCTGGCAAGATTCAGAATGAGAGAGAGTACCGGCTGCCGTGGGCCAAATGGAAGACTAAGTTCCAAAGCCCTGCGGATATGCTTTCCATCACGCATTCTAAACATTCCCAGACTCTGGTCAGCGACATAGATTATCACAATTACTTACACCAATGGACGTGCTTGCCTGACCAGAACGACGTGATTCAGGCCAAGAAAGCCTACGAACTGCAGAGCGATGTGCGTATATTATCACCAGACTCTTGGGGAGATGTGTGTCTGTGTTTAATCACAGGGTATTCCCTAGAGGCATAAATTAAAAAGCAAACTTGACAGAACCTAACATATTTTGTACATTTCATTGGAGGAGAGTTTTTCTGAATATTTTCTATCTTATAGAGGTTTCTTCTTATCTGACAAGGCCTTACTCATCAAGATGAAAATCACTCTCTTATTCTGTGTAATTAGGTAGAGAATTTCAGTCCCAGTTGTTGTGATTCATTACATTTGTGTGATGAGATATCTAAATTTCAGAAACAGATATTCTGTGTAAAGAAATATTGGATTTCAAGTTTATCTGATACATATAGGCAAAATTTGTATATGCATATATATTTTTATACTTAGATAGAGAGGTATACATAGATATAGGTATGTATTTTTTTCACTATACATACTTTTGAGGACCTTTTTCTCCCGAATTCCTATAGATATTATTACCAGTGGTACATAAAAGGCAGATTTCAAATGGTGAGCCCAGAAGCTCAACCTTGTTTAAAAATAAAATTGTGTCCCATTGCTGTCTGTCATTTCACAAGTACCACTTTCAGCCCTGCTCCAATTCCTGTAGGATACTATGAACTTCTCCCAGAGATGTCACATCCAAATATTAACATTTACTGTTGATCCTTGAGTTTCATGCAATTGCCCACCCAACTGATTTAAATAGAGGTAGTGTGTGGTTTGCTAGCATCTTGCCCAAGGGGGCAGATTTGACCTTTCCACACTCTGTGGTCCTCTTCTTCATGTAGAACGTGTACAAAGCAGACCTGGAATGGTTGAAGGGTATTGGATGGTTGCCAGAGGGTTCGGTGGAAGTGATGAGAGTGAAGAATGCCCAGAATCTCCTGAATGAAAGGTTGTATCGTATAAGGCCTGAGGCCCTCAAATTCACCAGCATTGTTGACACCCCTGAAGTCATCCTGGCAAAGACCAATGCTCTACAGATCAGTGAGGTAAGCCGAGTTGATGTTATATTCGGACAAATGGAAGAAGCCTCCACAAAACATTCTAATTGTGAGCTTTAAACTGCTAATACCAGCTGTAGAATCTTACATGCATGTATCCAGATAGATTTCATATAGTCAGTCAGTTAACAGGATACACATTTTGTTTGCTTAGATAATTCTTTGGTCACTATAATTGTGGTAGCATCTTCATGTTCCACAGACTCTGATGACACTTTGAACACATTATGAGATCTTGACTGTAATACAGGTCCACAAGTGTGATCCCGTGATCACAAAATTGCCAGCTCCTAATTGCTATTTAATCATGACATAAGTTGAAAAGTCCAAGGCAGCCCCGATATTTCTCATTACGATAGTTATTTGGGCCAAGAAAAGTAGGACTTGATCAGCAATGTGGATGGTCATAGATACCTGCACTGTGGGCTTACCTGCCAGATAATCACATGTGAATAAATGGAAAATGATCATTTTAATACCATGTTTCTGACTCATTTTACATGTATATTATATCACACATGAATGTATTCTTCTTGTTGAAGTCACTATAGGAAACTGCTAAATAAAACACTAATGAAAACTAAATATGGTCTACATTTATATCTGAAAACATCCAAAGAGAACATTTAATTGAACCTATCATTTTATTTATGTAGTCTCAGACTTATTTACTAATCATCTATTTCTCATTTTTACCAGCCATTGTATCGCGATGCCTGGGACAAAGAGAAGGCTAATGTGAATGTGCCAGCCGACACTCCCCTGATGCTGCAGTCCAAAATCAACGCCATGCAGATCAGCAACGTAAGGAACCGAACATCCACTCAGTTTACAGTGTGCTCTGCCTAAGGGAACCTTTCGTGGATACACTCCAGAATTTAGCGAGACATTTCCCTACCATTCCTTTTATTTCTAGTCTTTAAGCTAATGATAAGTACCGTGTGTGTGTGTATGTGTGCAAGAGTGTGTTTATAATATAAAGATGTGTGTCCTTATTTGTGGGAAGGAAAAATGCATTAGTTTTACCAAAAACACAACATAAAAACTTACATAAGCCTATATAGTAATATATAGTTGTCTTTGTAACAGCACACCATTGATTTTTCCTTTTTAAGCCGAATAATATATATTTTTTCTCATTTTCACATGATTTACTGTCTCCTAAATTTCCTTCTTTAAAAAAAAAAGTTACTGGGAGACAACTCTCCTAAATGTCATAAAAAATTGACTGGAACTTGAGTTCAATATGAAACCAGCCTATTTTAAAAATCTTAAGGGGAGATTAATTTTCAGTATAACTGTTAACATGTATTCTTGAACCCATCAATAACACTGACTCAGTAGTTCCCTCTTCAGATTGACTGTGACATTGCAATCTCCATTTGCAGAAACGCTATCAGCAAGCTTGGGAAGACGTCAAGATGACAGGTTATGACCTGCGAGCAGATGCCATCGGGTTCCAGCATGCCAAGGCTTCCAGGGACATCGCCAGTGATGTAAGAGTTCCTCCTTGCCCAGCCTTAACAAGCACTAACTAGGAGACACACAGGGAGTTAATAATGTACAAATCTTTAACTCAATTCCCCAGAAATTACATTTAAGTCGAATGGAAGTCATTGTTATTAGTGTCTTGTTTTAAAATCCCAAATTCGAGAAGAACTTTTATAACAATTTGATGACCCTCTTGCATCTCTGCTTGGTTCAGCTCTTCTTATGTTTAAGCACAGATTTTGATTTTCTTTTCAGTATCTTCTGTATCAGAGGGATACAAGCCCTTACAGAGATTCACTGGGTATAAAGAATTCTGCTGTTTCTTGAAGTGCAGCATGCATAGATGGTTCTGTGATAATTTTGGGCAGTACATGAACAAGCACTTTTAAAAATAGTTATGTTTGTTTTAATGTGTGCTAGAAAAATACTGATTTTTTCCATTTAAATTGGACTATAAATTTAAAACAAGTTTACACTTTAAAAATACATTTATTTGAACAAGGAATCAAGTAGACTTAGAAAAGAGTGAGGTAGAGATGGTACTTGTTTGTGAAAAAACATGTGAGTAAACATTGGGAAACACTGGACAATCCTATGTTATCGGGTAATCCAAAAGCACGGTTCTTGCCTTAGAGGTGCTCACAATATGTTCAGGCATATAGACATAGAAGACAAACCAATGTATCAAGAAGTACAGGACGTATAGTATGGATTGAAAGAAAGATAGTGCCCAAAAAACGTAATCTAAGAGAAGGAGAGTTATTTTGAGCAGGCTGTCTAGAAAAACTGAGTTTGGAAAAATAACTTTACTTTCTTCCATTCACATCCACCAGTATCTATACAAAACTACTTATGAGAAGCAGAAAGGCCATTATATTGGACTTCCCAGTGCCAAGGAAGACCCGAAACTGGTTTGGGCAGCAAATGTGATGAAGATGCAGAATGACAGGCTGTACAAAAAGGTCTACAATGACCACAAGGCCAAGATCTCCATCCCGGTGGACATGGTGTCCATCACAGCTGCCAAGGAAGGCCAGGAGTTAGCAAGCAATGTGGACTATCGCCAGTACCTGCACCACTGGTCTTGCTTCCCCGACCAGAATGACGTGATCCAAGCCAGGAAAGCCTACGACCTGCAGAGTGATGTAAGTGTGTGCTAGCGTGGGGAGCACCAATGAAGGGGTGAGCTATTCCCCAGGAAGGAAGCCTTCCACAGCTTTGCCTGGTCACTCCTTCCTGTGCTCGGGAAAACTCAGCTCTCCCTACAGAAGCACTTCCCTTCAGAATCATACCAAGTTTGTTAACTGCCTACCCCACTGCTGGGCTTCTTCGGAAAGTTTCATTTTCATTGTTAACGGTGCTACCATGATTTTTCTGTAGATTTGTTAACATGTGAAGTGTTTGTGGTTTATTAAATACAAGAACATCCATGGTCCTTTAACTGAAGAAAGACAGGGTTGTCTTCTTTGAAATCAATTTCAAAGGTTAGCAGAATGCTCCAAACTCACTAGTTTCCCTTAACTTGGTGTTCTTCACAACATGGTGTTTCACTGACTTACCTGAAGTATTTTTAGATTTACTCATATTTTCTGCTCATTTGATCTTTTGAGATGATGGATTCCATCAGGATATTTATTTCTTGTGTAGAATGAATACCCTCTTTTGATTATCTGAAATTGGTTCCCTTAAGCTTTAAGAAATACATCTCATAATAAATGAGTTTTCTATAGGAAAGAATATCCATCAATTGAAATGAGTTGCCAACTGGTGAATTTAGGCCAATTTCCAGAGAAATGTAGTCTCTTCATTAATCTGAACCACGTTAGTGTAGTAAGCACTGTATATCAACCAACTTCTTAAAGAATGAGGAAGGGAAACTTTAAAATCTGTATATAATCCTCTTTGAGAATCCCTTCTTCTGAATTTTGAGTATCCATCATATTTTACACACTAAAACATATAATATCATTCTTTGTTAAGGTAGAAGTTTTCTTATATTTTTCACTCCTATACTAACTTTTTAGCCTGATGTTTGTATACTGTTAACTAGCTACTAAAATACCATTTCTGAAGAACACAAAGTTTTTTGTTGAAATTAATAACTGGTGTTTAACATAGACCAATTTTTTCTGTTTAACTACTTACCTACATCTGGAAGGGAAAACAGGTTTAGATAACCAAGAAAATACAAATCCCAATTCAAAGGGAGATGCTATCTTGAAAAAAGAAAACCCAATTTAGATCAAAACTGTGGAATTAGGGATTGAATTCTTTTTTTCTTTCTTTCTTTCTCTCTTTTTATTTTTTTGTGCTGAGGAAGATTCACTGTGAGCTAACATCTGTGCCAATGCTCCTCTACTTTGTATGTGGGTCACTGCTACAGCATGGTCACTGCCAAGCAGTGTAGGTCTGCACCCAAGACCCGAACCCAGGCTGCTGAAACGTAGCACACCAAACTTAACCACTGGGCCACAAGACGAGCCCCAGAATTAAATTCTGAACTGTGCTTTTCAAAATACTTATTAAACATGCCACGTGCTAGGCATTGGGCTTAGCGCTAAAGAGATCATGGTGAATAAAGAAGAAACAAGAATAAGTTCCTGACTTTAGGGAGTTCACATTGATAAGTAAGAAAATAACTAGAGAATATCAGTAAAAAATGAGATGGCTGAGGAAGAACGATCCTTGGCTCTATGCAAAAGAGAGTTGGGGAAAGCTTATCTGAGGAAGTGCTGATTTAGTAAGGATGTGGAGGGACAGCAGGAGTTGTCTTCACGAGGAGGACACAACAGGCATTCCTGCAGAATGAGCAACGTGGGCCAAGGGGGCTGTTTGTAGACCACAAACTGAAAGAAGGCCAGTGTGCTCAGAATGCACAGGTCAAGGGGAAGCACGCACGAGAGGAGACTGGAGGAACAGGTAGAGACTGACGCTAAACCATCAACGCCTTCTAGTGCACGTTAAGATTTTGATCTTTATCCCAAGACCAAGGGGAAACCATGGGATGAGGGAATGTTGTGACATCAGATTTGAACTGTGAATTTTGTGAAGATCATTCAGGCTGCTATGTCAAGAACTTACTGGAGAGCCCATCGTTATTCCTTTAAAAAGTCCTCTTTGGCTAGTATGATGATTATGTAAATGCTATCCAAATTTCTTCCCAAAGAGAGAGTTAGCTTTTTAGAATGTTCACCGGTGCCCCAGAGCAGACCCTCTACCACAGAAAACATAGCAGACAAAACACTGCTGTGCACACGAGGGATTGTGTTTGTCAGGCCATGCTCAGGTTTTATTATTGTTTGTGGAAGATAAAATATAGCATAAAACTTCTTCCTTACTTTACCACAATTAGAAAAAGATCCCACTACTTCTACCTAACTTTGCCCTCTTCCCCAGGCTATCTACAAGGCTGACTTGGAGTGGTTGCGTGGCATCGGCTGGATGCCTGAAGGGTCTCCCGAGATACTGAGAGTCAGAAATGCCCAGAAGATCTTCCTAGACAGTATCTATCGGACACCTGTGGTGAAACTCAAGTACTCAAGTATCGTTGACACTCCTGAAGTTGTCCTTGCCAAAACAAATGCTGAAAATATTAGTATTGTAAGTCACTTTCCCCCCTATTTTAAAATTGTTAGTGTTATAAATAAATGATAAATTATTAACCTACTGATCTATTTGTCAGATAGTAATGATGATAGGAAGAATTTTAATAAGCAATGTTGGCAGAGTTGTTTTATTGTTGCTTATTGATTTTAAACAAAAACTCAAAGTACTAGTAAAAAGTATTAATAGAGGTATATCAAATTTAAGTAACTCACGTGAAAAGATTTTAAAAGTTTTTGTCTTCATATGAAAAGATTTTGAATCAGAAAGGGTGAAAGTTGTGCATTAGAACTAGACAAATTACAAATTATGAGGTAATTTTGTTGTTTTTCTTCTCATAGCCAAAGTACAGAGAAGTTTGGGACAAGGATAAAACTTCGATCCACATAATGCCAGATACTCCAGAAATTAATCTTGCTAAAGTCAATGCTGTTAACGTGAGCAAGGTAAGTACCACAACAAACTGCCATTTTGTTTGGAAAGCCACCCAACTGGTGCTCTGATATCACCAAGGAACTCTTCATAGCCAAGGCAGAGAAGATTGACTGAATGATGGTGGGCAAGACTGCTTACCATCAGCCCTTGACCAGGAGTGAGGAGAGGAGCAGATCCCTGGCTCTGAGTCACTGGGCAGGGCCACTTATTGGTGAGCCAATGTCAACACGACAGAAGGGAGAAGGGAATAAGGACAAGAAGGATGAAAGAGGAATGAATAGATACTCAAACAAGAAAGAGAATGAATGACAAATTCAGATGAACTCAAAATAATTACGAGAATTCTTCGCAAAACTTTATACAGATGAATTTAAAACCTGGATCTATAGGGGAATTTCTAGGAAGTTATAAATTACCAAAATTGACCCCATAAAAAGACATTAAGGGGGTTATTAAAGACTTTCCTTCCCCTCTCAAATGCCAGGGTCACCCAGATGATGTCATGGGAGAATTCTTTCAGAACTTCAAGAGATAAACAAACTACCCTAGAGCCCAGTGAAAGAAGGAAAGCCATCACGATTACCAAAACTTGTCAAGGATAGTTCCAGAAATGAAAACTGGAGACCAATAATCATGGGGAAAATCTTAAACAAAACATAAACACATGAAATTCAGTAGTATGTGGATATGCTACAATACAAACAACTAGGGTCATCCAGCAGTGCCAAGAGGGTTCCATATTCAGAAACCCGACAATGTAATAGGACAAAGAGAAGAATGACAGGCTCATTTTGTTAGGTTTAAAAGGTGTGTGACAAAATCCAATATGCGTTCTTCTTTTTTTGAAAATGAAATCTTATCAAAGTGAGAATAAATGAGTATTTTCTCCACATGACTAAAAGAATAAATCTCAAATCAAAGGCCAGTCTCATGCTCAGTAAGTAACCTTCTCATTCAAGTCAGGAATAAAACAAGGGTGCCCACTAACATCACCATTGTTTAACAGTTTCTGGAAGTACTAAGTGGGTAAGCTTCTCATTGAAGCCAAAATAATTACTGAGTAAGAATAAGAGACAAATATTGGAAAGCAAAAGGCAAGATTGTCATTGTTTGCAGAATAAATCATTATATGTCTGGGAGAAGCAAGAGAATCAACTTAAAAATCTATTAGGTAAAATGAGAATTGAGTTACATGGTTAGCTACACAATTCACCAAAGTTCGAGGAAGGTACCACCCTCATGGATCACAAAGGTTCCCTGTGTGTAGAATTAGTATGACTTTAGAAGAAGGATACGACCTTAGTGCAGTTCACCGTGCTTTGGAATTTTGCATCTTTCAAAAAATACTAAATCTTTGTGAGAGAAGGAGCCTGCCAAGCAAAGGTTCCTCAGCATGTGCCAAACTGCACCATCAAGTCGATTGTAATGAGCACCCCGGGAACTAATTTTTTCCAAGAGCTGGGAAGAAAACAAAATATTAGGGCCCTGATAGATTTTTTTTTCAGACCAAATCAGTATTATGGTGCAGTAGACTCTTGTCTCCAAGTGACTGGATGGACAGGCAGTCAGCTCTCCATCCATGTGGCATAGACTCCTCTGCCTCTTCCTTTCAATCCATAGGCATCATTGCCAGGTGAAGTCTGGAAAGTCTCATGTGCTCTCTTTTGTGTGATCAGTTTCTCAGCTGGAAATACCAGAATCCTCCCATTGATAACATGATGTAAGCAAGACTAGTATTCGAAAGTATGCCCAAAGTAAAGTTCATAACTTCAGATATTTAGATATTAATGAGAATGGCTTGCATTTTGGAAGAAATCAAACATCCCATTTGAATGCTAACCAGGATGTTGATTTTCTTTACACATGGTGTGGCCATTACTATAATCTCTATAAAATCCACTATTTGAAACTGTGTCTATCATTTAGAAAGCACAACTTTTTCAGAATATTTTATACGATTTCATAGGTAACCAAAAAAATTCACGTTAAATTGATTCATTTATCTTCACACTAAGCACATGAGTAAGGCATTTTACTTTGTTTTTATCAGATGGGAAAGTTGAGACTTAAAAGGATTAAGGAATTTGCTCATGTTCTCAAAGTAGGTGAAGAACTTAGGTCTCAAGCCTAGATTTCTTTTTAATTAAAATAAAAAATATATTTGACTACATAATCAAACAAAAGTATATTATGTAAGAAAAAAGAGTGTAACTATATGTAATAAAACAAAGTAAATGAAAAACAAAAAATTAAAAATAACATAATGACAAATTTTCTTTAAATATTCTCTCGTTTAATACATTTAAATGTGGAGAACACTTTTTTGGACCAAAAACAAGTCAAATGTTAGAATAGATCCTCTCAAAATTCATATAAAAATTGAATGAAAATTCACATATAACTTGTGCATACTCACAAGGACAGAATTTATGTGAGCACTCATTTTTCAGATATGCAAAGGCCATGAAACTGTCAATAATTGAAATTCACCCTTCTGTCTGCACTGTTCAAGCTCCCATAATGATTGGTATGATTTCTGAATTATACATTTAAATTACTATTTCTGAGTTTTTCTGACATTTTCAATACAGAATGTACCCATTTAAATATGAACATATATTTAAAATTTTTCTCCCTCCTTTTTTCTCCCCAAATCCCCCCAGTACATAGTTGTATATTTTAGTTGTTGGTCCTTCTAGTTGTGGCATGTGGGATGCTGCCTCAACATCGCCTAAAGAGCGGTGCCATGTTCTCGCCAGGATCTGAACCCTGGGCCACCAAAGCAGAGCGCGCGAACTTGACCACTGGCCACAGGGCCGGCTCCTGAACATATATTTTAAAAGTTACTTGTAAATCAGTCACTACTTTAACAAACTTCTCTTTACAAACAAAAAGTGCTACAGTTAGAAAATGACTATTAGATCCACTTCTGCTTCAGCAGGAAGATAATATTCCCAATTAATACGATCATCAATCATATAAGAAGATCTAAGAAATTCATTCGGGAAAAAACTCACAAATACAAAAAATTTATAATTCTGAAGATTACAAAAATGTATTGAATTAAAAAATTAAATAAATATAATTATTGAATTAAAGAAATTTGGTAATAGCCCATTAATATCTGAACTTAAACTTTATTCCAGTGCTACTAATACACCAATACAAGAAGCAGCTAAACGCTTTTACATTAATCATGAATAGCTATGTAAGGCTATGATTCAAATTAAAAAGAAATAAATCTTGTCAAGCCCAGATCTTTGGATGCCAGACTTGATTTCATATTCCAGTACAATGGTAAAGATGAGTCTTCCACTTATTCTCTTTTCTTTATCTGGCTCTGAGACTTCAAAACTGTACTCCTATGACATTAATTCTACTTAAGCCCATGGAGTTATTGGTAAATTTGAAGCTGGAATGATACCTTATTTTTTCTCCTCATCAGAACATTTACCGGAAAGGTTGGGATGAAATGAAGATGAGCTGCGATGTGCGGCTGGATGCCATCCCTATCCAGGCTGCCAAAGCCTCCAGGGAGATCGCCAGTGAGGTAAGTGTGGGCTTGTTTAACTTCTCAGCTTTTTAAGCAAATGCCCTGGGTGCATGAAGTGTACACGCTGTGATCCATCTGCTTTGTTTTTCCCTCTCCAGTATAAATACAAGCTTGACCATGAGAAGCAGAAGGGGCATTACGTTGGCACCCGTACAGCCAAGGATGACAACAAGATCCGGTGGGCCCTGATAGCTGGCAAGATTCAGAATGAGAGAGAGTACCGGCTGCCGTGGGCCAAATGGAAGACTAAGTTCCAAAGCCCTGCGGATATGCTTTCCATCACGCATTCTAAACATTCCCAGACTCTGGTCAGTGACATTGATTATCACAATTACTTACACCAATGGACGTGCTTGCCTGACCAGAACGACGTGATTCAGGCCAAGAAAGCCTACGAACTGCAGAGCGATGTGAGTGGGCTGCGTTTTAGCATGTGCTGTCCTATCGTTTGCCATGATTCCAAGAAAGTTTATGACATTCAGTCCTTGTATCATCACTTCATGTCTTTATATAGCCAAATATTTGATTTTAGTTAGACCTATATTATGGTATCAAAATCATCAAAGACATGAAGGACCTAGACTTCGTATCAAGAAATAAATGGTACGGTGAATATAGTTCCTAACTGTACCAGATTAAAGACAACTACTGTGAAAATATTATTTCTGTAGAATTTAGGTAGCAGTTGAGGTTTATACTATAAGTAAAATGTTGGCAGTCCATAGACAGGATGTAGGTACAGTTATACTTTTTTAATTGATGCAGTGTTAAAAATTTTTCAATTAAGTGGCCAAGGTTTTTAAATCAGGAAATTTTGTGTACAGATCTAAGATTTTCCATTTCTCTTGAAAAATCAGAGGATGGAGCTCTGAATGTGCATTACCCCTGGCAACAATAACCTAGAGATGAAACGAGGCTAATGCCCTTTAAATAGAAAAGATGTCCCTCAGTTTGTCATGCAACCTGGCCTCCTAATTAGTTTGCTTGTATTCCCTGCCTGGCTGCTTGAGTAGGTCATCCTTAAATTGTATTTCTCCATCAGACCAATGGATAGAGTAAGTTGGACCATGCGGTCGGGTTGGTGAATTCATGCCCGACTTGTTTTCACAGGCTGTTTACAAGGCCGACTTGGAATGGTTACGTGGAATTGGGTGGTTGCCAAGTGATTCCGTTTCTGTCAATCATGCCAAACATGCCGCGGATATCTTCAGTGAGGTATTCCAAGATTTTATCCTGCCATTCGGTACATTTCCTAAAAGAGTGAACAAAAGTCCATGAGCCAAAATGCAGTCATTCCCTATCATCAATCTTAACAATTTCAATTGCTGTCATTTAAGCTTGATATTCATTTTTCCTAAATAATCCCTATCACATTATGGGACCACATCCATAACATTATATCCAGTGCACTCGTTGATGCTTGGAATTGTGTAAATGAAAAACTTCTTTTGTCAGCAATGACAATACACTTTGGAGAAGTTTGTCCAATTGAAAAAAATGTATTGAGTATCACGATACAGATAATGATCCATTACATGACTTCAGGAGCTAAGCAAGGCTGCTACTTTAAAGTCTGTGGGACATATAACAAGCCCAGCCAGCCCCGGGGGTCTAGTGGTTAAGATTCAACACTCTGACTGCCATGGCCCTGGTTCATTTCCTGGTCAGGGAACCACACCGTCCGTCAGTTGTCATACTGTGGCGGCTGCATGTTGCTGCGATGCTGAAATCTGTGCCATTGGTATTTCAAATACCAGCAGGGTCACTCATCGTTTTAGCAGAACTTCCAGACTAAGACAGACTAGAAAGAAAGAATTGGCCACCCACTTTCAAAAAAATTGGCCACAAAACCTTATGAATAGCAGTGGTGCGTCGTCTGATATAGTGCCAGGAGGTGAGAGGATGGTTCAAAAAGACTGTGCAGGGTCACTCAGGAGTCAGAATTGACTGGACAGCGCTAACACTATCAAACAAGAAGGCAATCCATTTGTTAAAAAATAAACTGCTCAGAAGAAAGCCAAATTGCCAGGAAGATGCCATTGAAATATGGTGCTCTACGCTTCTAGCAGAAAGGATTCTTAAGTCTATCGTATCTTTCTCAGCTCACACAGGACCAGGACCAGGGACCATGACTATCTAAAAGATATTTTCTTTCCCATAGAAAAAATATCGCACAAAAATAGAAACTCTCAACTTTACTCCTGTGGATGACAGAGTTGATTATGTGACAGCGAAACAAAGTGGTGAGATCCTAAATGATGTAAGTACATGGCTGTTTTTCTAAAATTATCCAATTGTGAAGATGTCATTTCCAAAGCCTTTCCACCTACTTACACTCAGCATGCCATCGTTGTCTGAGATACAGATTGTAATCATTGAGATGACTGATGCTAGCATTTGATTGAACAATATTTTATTTTCTTAACATCAAGTCACTCACCCCATTGTCTCTTGTTTCTAGATTAAATACCGGAAAGATTGGAATGACACCAAATCAAAGTACACCCTCACAGAAACCCCCCTGCTGCACACTGCCCAGGAGGCAGCCCGGATACTGGACCAGGTAGGGATTTTACCCAGATACCTGGACTTTGTGTGGGGACTGAGGACCAGAATGTAACTATGAGAGATGCATGCACACGAGTTATCCCTCCATTTTGACTCCTTGGTTTAACTCTTTATTGTCGTTTTCTGTCTTTTAGTATCTCTACAAGGAAGGCTGGGAGAAGCAAAAGGCCACAGGTTACATTTTGCCTCCGGATGCTGTGCCGTTTGTTCATGCCCATCACTCTGGTGATGTTCAGAGTGAGGTAATTTATGCTGCTATGAGTGCACTTTGCAAAGGCTGGACCTTATCTGTGCGGAAACCCAGTTATGCTAAGGCATAGCACCTTGGAGCATTCCTTGTCAGCTCGGCAGCCCGGCTGGGCTTGGGGATGGTTGGAGTACCTGCTCCCTCTGATGCTTTTCCCATGGGCTGTGGGCATTCTTCTTCTTCTTGGCTTCTTTAAAAGCTGTTGATTTTTTTCTTTTTACTTTTTCTTCTCTTCCCTGGCTTCCCTAAAATCTCTAGGCCTTCAAATAAAACATTGCCAGAATTAGAAACAAATATATATTTTTCTACTTTTAAATGGATAGCTCTTCATATTTATTTATTTATTTATTTCAGTGTTTTTTGTTATTTATTCTTGGGGAGGGGGTTGACACAAACAACTTGGAGGCTGACTTTGCTGATGTTTCAAGCCCCCTTTGCCTTGTGTGCTTGTCAAAGCTGATGGAATCTCTGTTCTTCTTCCCACCAGCTGAAATACAAAGCTGAACACGTAAAGCAAAGAGGTCATTACGTTGGTGTCCCGACAATGAGAGACGATCCTAAGCTGGTTTGGTTCGAGCATGCAGGCCAGATTCAGAATGACAGGCTATACAAAGAGCAGTATCATAAAACAAAGGCCAAAATCAATATACCTCCTGATATGGTGTCTGTGCTGGCTGCCAAGGAGGGGCAGACCCTTGCCAGTGATATTGATTACCGTCATTACCTGCATCAATGGATGTGTCATCCTGACCAGAATGATGTTATTCAGGCAAGGAAGGCCTATGACCTACAGAGTGATGTAAGTGATCTTTGTTTCTTAATTATCTAGAAATGCATGGTATGCTCTGAGAATTATATGCAGCATCCTGGAATCATCAGTCTTTGAAACTTGGAGCCATAAATATTTAGTTTGTTCCCAGAAGAGAATTGAGGCTGGATATGAAGTAAAGAAAGATCAAGAGCAATGATTGATGGACATCTTTGCCTACTGGCTGTGTATTTCTGAATAACTTTCAAAGTCAATTTTTTAAAAATCTGCTGCGTTTGTACCATCTCTGCCATCAGCAACTTCTCACTTGTGTTTGCATGGAAAATTATCAACTGATTGAATATAATAATTGGCTTGGGTGGGAATTGAGATTGAGATAGGATTTTTCCCAATATTAGATGGTAGTATAGTCAAGGACCTGGGAATGCCCCATTCTTGCTTTGCCAAGCATCTCATTCCTCAAGGCCTTTATAAAGGAGTTGCTTTCAAGGAATCAAAGCAAAAGGGACACAAAGTTCTGATGAGCCACATGAGGGCCCAGAATCCCTCATGCAGAGCTTTTGTAAGGCTAGGAGAGAGACTATGACTTAGGCCACCTTGCACTGAAGCCTGAATCAAGATCTGTACCCGCCACCGGCAATCTGTAGGGAACATAAATGTGATGCTCAGGTGCACCAAGGAGCTAACCCTACCTGGGTCTTCTCATCATTTCCAAAACTGAACCAGGAAGTCAAAGACTGCCTGCAGCGTGGGTGCTGAACTTGAACATCCCACCTCACTGGTTGCTGCAGCAGAATGAACATTGTGGAACTTTAATCACACTAGCAACTCCTGTTCATTTGGTGTGGGGTGGCCTGAGAGAGCCCAGGAGCTGGGTGGGGTAGGGTAGAGATAGGCTTGGCTGGAGGGGTGACTCCCTCTACCCTTCAATACATGAGCATTTATTCAGATAATTTCCTTTATTTGGTCTAAATGTCCCACATATTTCTATATAACTAAACATACCACGTCCATCTAAAATGACAACCTTGTTGGTAAAACTTTCTCTTATATTCATAGCTGAAAACAACGGCTCCCTGCCCTTGGCTCCCATAGCACTTGACCACTTTCCACTTTGCAAATAGCTTCTCTCCACACTTGGACTCTTTCCTTATACTTATCCCTCATAGCACCTAGCACAGGGCCTCGTGCATGGTAACAGGCTCAAGAAGTATTGCTCAGGTGAACAGATGAAATCATGATTGAATTAATGAGACAAGAGCCATGAGAGAGAAATCCTTAAAACCTTCTGAAAAAAATTGTTTTTAATCTGCTGTTTGTAAGTCTGTGTCTGAGTCATTTATACCTGCATCGTATCTCTCTTCCTTCTCTCAGAATATCTACAAAGCTGACCTGGAGTGGCTCCGAGGCATTGGCTGGATCCCCTTGGATTCTGTGGACCATGTGAGGGTCACCAGGAACCAGGAAATGGTGAACCAGGTATGCAAAGCCTGTTCTTATCTAATGCCTGCCTGGCCTCCTTACCTGCCAGGTGGGAATAGGTACCCTGGAGGGGGAGACCTATCTTAACTGCCTCCATTCCTTTGCAGATAAAATATAAGAAAGATGCTCTTGACAACTATCCTAACTTTACAAGTGTGGTGGATCCTCCAGCGGTTGTTTTGGCCAAGATCAACTCAGTCAATCAAAGTGATGTAAGTGTGTTTTGTGTATAATGAGGTCCATAGATGGGGATTTAGTTGTCTATCATTGAGTAGATTTGCTTAACTCCATAATTGCTTGTAAGAAAATGTGGGGGGTAAAGGATAAGATAATCTTTGGAAGAGAATGTTTTAAAAGTCACTAGTAGGTGGTATACTGTACCCAGTTTTAGATAATATCTATATTCTTGTCGGAATTATTCTATTAGCTAAAATGAGCTAAAATTCAACCAACTGGCTAGTTTTAATCTCTAAATGTAGACTTATTATTGTCTTGCTAGGTAGATCCAATGAAACTTTAAATAGACATTTAGAGTAACCGAAAGCTTTGTTTTGTTTTCTCTCCTTAGGTAAAATATAAAGAAACATTTAATAAAGAAGTAAAGGGCAAGTATATATTTTCTCCAGATACACCGTATATCACCCACTCCAAAGACATGGGAAAACTCTATAGTACCGTAAGTTCTACTTTATGTGATATACAATTCAGTCCCTAATATTAAACTCTTGTCAGTATTCATATTCTTGACTGATTTTTTGAATAACTGAATTTATAAGGATATTTATTATTTTTGTTCGATTTAGTCTTGTTTATTAGAAGTAGCATATTATTCAGGGCAAGTAGCATCTATTTGGCTGGGGTTTTTTGAGCTCCTATGATGTGCCAGGTACTGTAAGAGGTAGTGAGGAACTTAAAGCCCAATGAGACAAAGCCATCATGAGCCCATACAAGTGAGAGGGGGCGCATATCAATAAACAGATAGACAGTAATGTAACAAGTGCTGTACCAGATCTGGGTGCACATAGGACGGACAATAACCAACAGAGAAAAGAGAGGAAAGGCTGATCCCTCTTTAGCAATCATGTACAAATATCTCCAGCCAGCAAATGGAGGACTTGCCCTCCAAATTTTAATTCAGCTACTCTAAACAATGATGTATGTGTAGTGTGTATGTGTGTATGCCAATGGGAAATAATCTTTGATGATTCCCTATTTGCAAATTTGTTTTCACTTTTATTAGAACTGTAAATTTACGTAAACTCAGTTATAAAATGCCTAAGAACGTGTGGTTTTAATTTGCAACAAGCCAAATGACTCTGCCCTGTTCTTAAGTAGGCACACAGATGGCTGTACATAAGGATTTAAGTCTTGCCTTTAAACATAAATATTTTACCATTTTCTTTTTAGTAGTATCTGAAAGAAGTTGAAGGCAAACTTTTATCGACACACATTTCTTTGTTCTAGATACTGTATAAAGGGGCGTGGGAGGGCACCAAGGCCTATGGCTATACCTTGGATGAGCGCTATATTCCCATTGTTGGAGCCAAGCATGCCGACTATGTGAACAGTGAGGTTTGTGGGACATTTTTTCTCTTACACGTTTGAGAGTCTTTATTGGAGAACAAGAGGCTGGTTAGAAAATACCAGTGATTCTCAATGTTGTACCTACTTCACAGCTTAAATACAAAGAGACATATGAGAAGCTGAAGGGTCACTACCTGGCTGGAAAAGAAATCAGTGAGTTCCCTGCTGTGGTTCACTGTCTGGATTTCCAAAAGATGAGGAGTGTGGTAAGCAAAGTTCACTTTAACAGGGGATTTGTACACTGAAGTGTACTGTCAGTCTGCCCGATTATAGTCCACCCTTGGGTTCAAGGTTACCCGGGGGTGGGGCAGGGAGGAGTGAGTGCATCTTGAGATATTCCCCCACCACTGCCAGTAGCCTTGTGTGTCTTTGATGGCTGTAGGTTTCCGCCCTTTCCCTCCCTCCTCCACTACCAGACACACAATGTGGGCCCTGTACTTTCAAAAAGGAGAAAACAAGGTCAATATTCACCCTGTGTTATAAAAGGATGGGAAATTGAAAAAGAAGAAGAACATATTAAAGTGTCATTTTTTTAACCTTAGTGTATTCTAAAGGTACTCATCTATATTATATTGGAAATGAGACTCTAAAAGAGATTGATATGAATAATTTACATTTTAATTCCTGTCTTATTTTTGTCTTTAAAAAAATATTATTCTTTAGTTGAACTACAGAAGACAGTATGAGGACACCAAAGCAAATGTTCATATCCCCATTGATATGATGAATCATGTGCTGGCTAAAAGGTGCCAGTACATCCTCAGTGACCTGGAGTACCGACACTACTTCCACCAGTGGACATCTCTTCCAGGAGAACCCAGTGTTATTCTGGCCCGAAACGCGCAGGAGATCTTGAGTGATGTATGATGTCCTTTCTGCAGCTTGACTTAGTTACAGGCTTCACCCAGCTCTGCCTTGGGCCTTCACACTCGGATTGTCCCTGTATTCATAAACCCTGCTGCTTTCTAACGCGAAGTAGCGTATGTAACCACTTTTTGGTGTAAGAATCCCCGTTATGCCGTAGGACACCAAAGTTAAATATTTAATCTGTTTAACACTAGACTAAAACTTAGCTATTGCTCTCCTCCTAAGCTTCTTTCGGCCAGGGCATTAAAGATCTTCCAGCTGTTGAAAGGCCCACCTTATGACCACTAAGCACTAAGCACTGAGCACAGCCAAGGACTGAGAGGAAATTACTAAAATGCTCAATTGCAAATTCAGTGAATTCCTGCCACCTTTTACTGTTCCTTCTTTCTTGCAGAATGTGTATAAAGATGACTTGAATTGGCTGAGAGGCATTGGATGCTACGTTTGGGATACACCCCAGATTCTCCATGCCAAGAAAGCATATGACCTCCAGAGTCAGGTGAGCCAATCTTCTAGAAGGACTAGCTCGCTGTGGGTCAGGGAAATCCATGCTGCTCTCAGTGGGGGGGATAGCCAGGCTGTCTCTGTGCCCAGGCAGAGGAACAGTTTTAACAGTGCCCGATGTAAGAGAACCAAAGGCCCCCTGCCCAATGAAAGCTCTGCTGGTGGCCTGCTCTGGTGCTGGACCTTCCCAGTTTGAGTCTCTCCTGTGGTTTAAGGTATTAGACGTTTACAACAGAAAGATATCTCGGAGATGTTTCCTAGTGAACTACTTTTAAGCATCTAGTTGATCAGGTTAACTTGCAGAGAGTAGAATGCAAATGCATACTTTGATCATAGATAGATAAATTTTGAAGTAAAAAATAGATATTTAGAAAATTTCCCAGTATCTGGTTCAGGTCTGATAGGCAGACTATTGAAATTGAGGGACTGCTGTCAGGGATGGAGTATAGGCTGGAAAAGACCACAAAATGAACAAGGCGACCTGGCAAAGATCCAGACCCCACTCTTGGTCAGAAGAAACTATGAGTTTTGACAGCCATACAAAGTCTGCAGGACTAGAGAAGATAGCCTCTTTGTTAGAATTAAAGCAGAAACCCAGAAATAAATAAAGGTACAACTAAGTTGGCACAAGCTGCTGAAGCCAATGGCAGACCCGTATTTTACCATTTTGCGTGACTTTTGCTTTTCTCCGCAGATACAATACACAGCAGCGGGGAAAGAAAATCTACAAAATTATAATCTGGTCACAGATACACCACTTTATGTGACTGCTCTTCAAAGTGGCATTAATGCTAGTGAGGTGCGTCTTCCTTGTACTTCCAGAACAAGTCATTATTGTCTTCATAGAACTTCAAACAACAAAAAAAGAGTAACCCATCGTTTTTTGTCTGTAGGTGAAATATAAAGAAAATTATCATCAGATTAAGGACAAATACACGACAATTCTAGAAACAGTGGATTATGACAGAATCAAGAATCTGAAGGATCTTTATAGCAGTGTGAGTTGAATTTTTTTTACATATTTACATTTTTCCTGTTTAGAGAAAATAAGAGAATAAAAGAGATAGGCACTCTGACCCTAAAGGTTTTTCTAGTTTTTTTCCAGGACCTTCAAATTCCTACTTTATTTCATAAATCCTCCTAGTTACGATTAAATAAGCCCTCATTTGAATATTGCACTATTTCACGTAGTTGACACAAATTCAGCAACTCCTTCCTTATCTCAGGCGGGTACCACCGAAGCCATTCTTTATTGACCCTGAACTTGTCCTTCCCTGGCTTCTCCAGTGGGCAGTGGCTTACAGACCAACAAAGGCACTCTTTTTCTCCCTCCTCTGAATTGGTTAACTCAACAAACTTTTTTTAAGTTCATTTTGAAATAATTTTAGAATTACAGAAAAGTTGCAAAAATAGGGCAGAGAACTCCCGCGTACTTTTCTCTTTAGTATAATGATCAAAACTAAGAAATAAACATTGTTCCAATGTCGAATATAGACTTTATCCCGATTTCACCAGCTTCTCCACTACTATACTTCTCTGTTCCAGATGCCTATCCAGGATCCCATTGCGTTTAGTTGTTGTGAGTCCTCCGTCTCCTCCAACGTGATCATGTCTCAATGTTTCCTTGTCTTTTTCTGATCTTGACTCTTTTGAAGAATACTGGCCAGTTACTTTTTAGAATGTCCCTTCATTTGGGTTTATCTGATATTTTCTTGTGATTAGATTGAGGGTATGCATTTTTGGTGAGAATAACACAGAAGCGATGTGCCCTTCTCATTGCATCATAGCAGGAGGTAAATGATAGCAATAACTGGTAATGTTGACCTTGACCGCTTGGTTAAGACACTACCTGCTGAGATTGGCCACTGTAAAGTTGCTATTTTTCCCTTTGTTTTTAATAAATATCTTGGAGGAGATCCTTTGGGACTATGCAAATATTCAGGTTCTCCTCAAACTTTGTCTCACATATTTTAGCATCCATTGGTGGATCTTGTCTACAACAATTATTACTGTGGAATACGCCTGCTGGTGATTTTCTCTTTCCCTTATTCATTCTCCATTTACTAATTGGAATTCTTCTGCAAGGAAAAACTATTACTTCTCCACCATTGAGGTGTTTGTTTATTTATTTATATCAGTATAGACTCACGGATTTTATTTTATTCTATGGGATATAGTCTAATACTATTGTTATTTATTTTGTTGCTAAAATTGTTTCAGCTTTGACCATTGGCAGCTCTTTCAAGGTGGCTCCTGTGTCCCCTTGACATACTCCGTCATTGTGTTTTTTGAGCACTTCCGTACTTTCTGGCACCACAAGATGCTCCAGGCTTGTCTTGTATTTTCCCTACTCTAGACCTAGAATCAACCACCTCTCCAAGGAGTCCTGGTTTATTTATTAAGCAGTGGTATTTCAAAACCCACATCAAAGCACTAACTGTGCTCATTGCTACTGGGGTGTCATTGCTACTAGACCCTCTAAGTGGACAAAGCTTGGAAATATATGTATATACACTAAACCATGTATGCATACATATCTATATTTGTCTCCCTACTTACCTAACCATATCTATATTTTAAAACCATGAGTTCATACTGATGCCTCCAATACTGTTCAATACCACAGAGTTCATTCCAGCCTTCCCCCTTTCCTTATTTTTCCAACTTATAACTTTCTTTTTCCTTTTCTGGTGAAAAACCTGGCTCATTATCTATAATGTATTTAAGTATTTGATCAACTCTTCTATGCACATAAAGTATTTTCAGAATTGCTAACCCATACCCCTGTGAGAAAGAAATTTTCTAACTAGAGTATAGTATTTTGTATGGGTTTTTTTGGTCGATAGCCTTAGAGTATCCAGTCAACATACCATTTTCCAAAATAACTTAAATTAATTGTTTTCTTCCCTACTTCCTTCAGTGTAGTCTTGTTATGCATTTGTAATATAATTAGATTTATTTGTTACAGTTTGTGTTTCATTTTAGACTCCTTCCTCATTCTGGTTGATTGTTTTAATTTACGTACAGTAAATTTCATTCTTTGTTCTATTTGGTACTATGCCTTTTGACAAATGCGTAGCGTCATGTAGTCACCACCACAGTGAAGATACAAAAAAGTTCTATATCACTCCAAAATTTACTTGTTGCTACCTGTCTCCTCTCCCCGGGCATCCACAGAGATGTTTTCTGTCCCTATAGTTTTATCTTTTCCAGAATGTCATGTGAATGGAATTATATAGTATGTAGCCATCAGGTCTGGCTTTTTTCTCTTGGCAAAATGCATTCATGTATTATATACATTGCTGTATAAATCAGCAGTTTATCCTTTTTATTGCAGAATGGTATTCCACTGCATGGATGTGCTACAGTTTCTTTATCCATTCAAAGTTGAAGGACATCTGAGTTGTTTCCAGTTTTTGATAATTATCAATAAAGCTGCTATACACATTTGCATATAGGTTTTTGTATGTACATAAGTTTTCATTTCTCCTGGGTAAATAAAAACCTAGGAATGGAAACATTTTTGAGCTCCCACTAGCTACAAAAAAAAGTAGGGAAGGATAAATAGATTTTTTTAAGTTGGCAGTTTTCATCCTCCAGGAATTCCTAGACCTATGGGGAACGAACACAGCATCAAAAACTCTAATAACTGTCAAACTGTGATAAGTACTATGGTAGAGAACAAAATAATGGGCTGTGAAGTTATGGTCATGGCATTAAGCCAGTTATTCATTTAGGAGTACTTGGATCCTACAGAGAGAGAAGATTCACGGGTTGTTAGGGAGTGTCTGTGAAGGACAGAAGCAGAGGAAAAATCCATTCCTAAAAAATAGCCAGAATGCATTTTTCCATATTCACGAGAAGATTTTTAACCCCTGCAGAACCTGTACAAGGAGGCCTGGGATAAAGTGAAAGCCACCAGCTACATCCTGCCTTCCAGCACCTTGTCCCTGACACATGCCAAGAACCAGAAGCATCTGGCCAGCATTGTAAGTCAAGTATAATGTGACAGTCTTCCACCCTCCACCCTCCCCTGCCCTCCACTCTGAGAATTTTTCTGGCTGATTCATATGCTGCTCAGAAGGACTCCCAGCACTTCCAAAGGGGTATACCAGCAAGTAATTCTAGACACTTGGTCATCATAAAGTCTGTGCACTTATTTCTTCCTCTCGAGGGCCCTGAAGTCCAGAGAGAGTCACAAACACTTTCAGGAAGGACACAGATGTGATCTTTTAGGCTGCCTGCAGATGGCATGGATGGATAATACCCTGTTTTAGCCAGAAGTGGGAATAGATAGAAGATATACCATACAAAAGAGACTCTTTTCCAATAGAATTATGTGGGCTTTAGTACAAAAATAAACCAGCGAATGTGATAACTGGTTATTACACCATCCCCAAACAAATGATTAAAAAGTAAATAATTATCTTTGTAACTATGAAATATAAAAATCTTTTGAAATTCTACTTTTTTAAAGCAGAATTTTTCTTAAATATGGACATAATTGTAAAAAAAATCCTAAATCACATGGGCTGTTTAAATATAGTACAAAATCTTGTGACCTTTAACTCTTTATGCCTAAAATATTCTTTTTTTTTAAAGATTGGCACCTGAGCTGACAACTGTTGCCAATCTTTTTTTTTTCCTGCTTTTTCTCCCCAAATCCCCCCCAGCACATAGTGGTGTATTTTAGCTGTGGGTCCTTCTAGCTGTGGCATGTGGGACGCCACCTCAGCATGGCCTGATGAGTGGTGCCATGTCCATGCCTAGGGTATGAACCAGCAAAACCTTGGGCAGCCAAAGCAAAGTGTACAAACTTAACCACTCAGCCACAGGGTCGGCCCCTAAAATATTCTTAAGTAAAAGCTATTATTATAAAATTTCCCATAACTTTCACTGCGGTTCTGATAAACCCAGTTCTCTTTCAGAAACTTTACATCTTTTAGAAACTTTTATCTCTTAATTATGAACATTTTATATAATATTTTAGAACAGTAGCTCTTAAAAATTTTTTCTTACCAAGACCCGCAGTGAGAAATTTATTTTATATTGCAAGTCAACACGCATTCACATGCACTGACACATACATACACACACACACCTCCCTGAAGTTTATGAGTTCCTTTTGACACAATATTTTACAGAAGAGTACTTAACTGCTACACTTAAAGACAATACACTCTGAGCATTTCAATTCTATTTATTTAAAATGATAGTGATCTGGTAAATTGATTTCACTACCCTCTAATGGGCCTAGTTTAGAAAAAGACTTTGTTAGAAAATATATGGAATTAATTTAATTTTACCTGGAGGAAAAACTAAGACATGATTTTGCCCAACCCCAAATCTATTTGGAAGACTGCAAACAGACTAGCCCAAAGGAGCAAACTTTTCACTTAGGAAGAGAAGTTATTTAGATAGAATTTAGAAAACTCAGCAGAGGTTTATTCCTTTAGTCATGAAAAATGTTATAGAGGCAAGATTCCCGGCAATTTGTTCTTGGAACAAGAAGAAACACAAAGAAATTAATTCCTTAAAATAAGGATTCCAACCGTAGTTAAAAAAAGGTGTCTTTGAATATTATCTTCTTTATAACTAGAGAATTGGTTAGATGTAAGGAGCATATGAACAAATGTTCTGGAAAATTCTGATGGGAATTTTGGTTGGTTTCCAGTCAGTGAAAACCTTTGCTGGAATTCTTACACAAGTACTCTCATCTGCTCTTTTTTTTTACCGAGATGTGGGCCTGTGATTTCTGAGAGAATTGTTATTTTTTCACATGCTAGGAGATTGAATCTCCATCTCTGTAAGGGCCTTACCTCCTAGTTGAAATCATGGATCATTAATTAATAGGCAATATGACTTAAGAACTAAAAGTTGGTTTTCCCACAGAAGTTGGTTGCATTGTATTTTTGGAAAACTTTTTAGAAACTCAAATTCAAGGATTGTGTCTCTAAAACATCAGGCTTGTCAGTTATTAAACACAAAGAAATTCCTGAGCACATGTTTTTTCATCTTTTACTTATGGTTGAGAAAAACAATGGCATTATCACAAAAGAGAGAATTTTAAAAGTTACGTAATCTTTGAAATGAGTTAGTTGTAGTAGCAATAGAAGTACTAGTATTGGGGTAGGAGTTTTACAAACAGTGACTAAAACTTTATAGCCCTCTATAGTTTAGAAAGTACTGTCCAATATGGTTTCATTTAATCCTCAGGATGACCCCGTGGCAGGTGCAATGCTATACCTCTACCTCTGTGCACAGATGAGGAAATGAACTCAGAGAAGTGCTGACCCCAAGTGGCTGGATCTCAGAGACGGGTCCTACCTATTAACGCTCATGCTCTTTTAACGTTATAGATAGACCCATTACTCTCCAAAACTGTGTTTCTTCCTTGTACTCTCTCTCTGTAGGTCAAATATCGGGAAGAATATGAAAAATTCAAAGCTCTTTATACTTTACCAAAAAGTGTTGACGATGATCCAAATACAGCACGGTGCCTCAGAGTCGGCAAGTTTAACATTGATGTAAGTAATCTCAAAGGGCTTCCTTCAATTTGAAGCCAGGTAATGGAGCTGTCTATTATAACTCAGGGCATTTGCTATCAAACGACGCATATGGCACTGATTGTGCATATGTGAAGAAGCTAAGTGTGATTTCAGCCCATGCTGCTTCCCCCTTCCCCATGAATCTGTAGAAAGTGTCAGAAAATTCCAATCCCCATCCTGCCCTTACAACTGATTGCTGTAAGGTGGCCACCCTGACTTCTCTGGTGCATAAGAAAGTCATGTATTGCCATGACGCCTTGCACAATTTCCTGTGTAACACACATGTTATGTTATCTTCACAGCGCCTATACAGATCAGTTTATGAAAAGAACAAGATGAAAATCCACATCGTGCCTGACATGGTAGAGATGGTTACTGCCAAGGATTCTCAGAAGAAAGTCAGTGAGATTGATTATCGCCTACACCTCCATGAGTGGATTTGCCACCCTGACTTGAAAGTCAACAGTCACGTCAGGAAAGTCACAGATCAGATCAGCGATGTAAGCCCATTGCTTATAAAGTTCCCTGCACCCCGGCTGCACACGCTTACCCTTACCTATTTCTTCACCTCAGCCTTCTTCCAGCACTGCTTTCCTATATACCCATGGTTTGAATGGAATTCTGAGCTTTCCTTGAAAGCAGGGCTCTGTGTGCCAATGGAAACATTGGCACCCTCGGCCTCATTGCAAAGTGCCCTTTGCTTTTCCTGCCACAGAATCATCCTGGGTCCAGAGGGTGTCCATGTCTTTGGTGTTAAAGTTACAGTCCAATTTCAATTTTCTGACTCTCTCCATCTGTTGCAATCCTCTAGATTGTGTACAAGGATGACCTCAACTGGCTGAAAGGCATTGGTTGCTATGTCTGGGACACTCCTGAAATTCTCCATGCCAAACATGCTTATGATCTACGCAATGATGTGAGTTTGCCTTGTTTTTCGTTTTTTTTAAGCATGTTTCCTTCTCTTTGTAGTCTAGAGTCAAGGGGAGAGTACAGACATTGTCACACACTAGTTGTGTCTTAAGTGGTGTTGAGGCTGGCCAGCTGGTGAAAGATGCTAAGGGATAGAGAGCAGTTACTTCTCAGTAATACATTTGGGATTCCTATTAAGCAATGAATGCAGTTGAGCCATGCCATTGTTCTCTGGGGGCGAAGGGACTCCTGGCTCTTCTTTCCACCTTTTGGACTATTTTCAGTAGTTCATGATGCTATAGATAGGATCTATTTAAAGGATTTGCTAAGCAAATTAACAGTGAAATCAATATTTCGGTAAGAAAGGTTAAACGTTCCCAGAAGAGCAGTTTGTTGTCAAGGCTCCTAGAAGACTCTAGAAGCTCTATATGACTATAAGTGTTGATGATGCTGATTGTTATAAAATTCAAATGCATCCTGGTCTGTTGAATAAGTGCTAATGAATGTAAATACCATGAGTTAAAAGCAATCAAAACTTCTGTGAACCAGCAATTTCTAATGTAATGACTGGTCTAACCCAGGCTTATTTTCTTCCTCTCGGCAGATCAAATACAAAGAGCATGTGCGGAAAACGAGGAACGACTACAAGTTGGTCACTGATACTCCAGTCTATGTGCAGGCTGTCAAAAGTGGGAAACAACTAAGTGATGTAAGTGCCCACTAGGCAGTTACTGTGGACAGTGATAAAGACAGGGCCACAGTGCAAGCAGAAGTAGCAAAAATGAAAGATGGGGCAGTGCCAGGCCTTTGCTAACTGGGAAACCAGAGTTGGTGCCTTAGAAAGGACTTAAGATGCTGCTGTTGTTTCCTGGTGTGTTCAATCAGCTCCTTGGGGGTGAAGTTGTAAGTGATCTAAGTCTATGAAATACGTGGTGTTTTTGAGCTTCCAAAGTTGCTTTTTGTATCCTTGTGTCAAGAGCAACAGTTTATGTCTCACCATCTAGACATTCTAAGAAATTAGAGCTAACTATGGCAGGATGAGAAGGAAGCCGGCTCTGAAGTTAGAGATGTAGATGGAGTCCAGCCTCTCCCACACGTCATCTATGAGGCTTGGGGAAATCACTTAGGCCTCCGAGCCTTGGCGTTCTTATGTGTACAGTGGGGAAGTGGATGGAAAACACCCACTGTAATGCCTGACACAGAGCAGGCGGACCAGGCGCAAAGCTGCTCTTTTTTCATTAACCCCAGAAGTTAATAAGTAAAAATTAAATCCCACCAGTGAATTAGAATGTTGAGTTCTGTCATTTTAGAACTTGCAGTGGTAGAATGCGCACTCTTCCTCTTTTTATCGCTGAGCGGAGTTATTCCTCACTGTGGGGTCCACACCGTGGCTCTGACTGTATTGGACAAGGTGCAATGACATATCAGATAGAGTTATCTAGGCAAAGGGAAGCAGGTTACCTTTTTAAAACATTTAAGAGAGACCTGGCTTTCTGTTTACTTTTTGCATCTTTCTAGCAATACTGCCACAGTCTGAATCAACTCTCTCTGCTTCTCTCTCTGCACCCAGGCTGTCTACCACCATGACTACGTGCACAGTGTCAGGGGCAAAGTGGCTCCAACTACAAAAACCGTGGATCTGGACCGGGCCCTTCATGCATACAAGCTCCAGAGTGAGGTGAGCAGGGAGAATTGGACAGAGTGCCCAGCAGAAAGCCAGAGGCCGCCTGCAAATGCCAGGCCACAGGCCTCTGTAGAAGTAACCACAGCTTGAGCATCCTCTCAGCCTGACCTTGTAAATTGTAAAAGCTGTCCAGTCATGTGAATTAAAAATAAAAAAGAACAGAGCAAAAACAATGCACAGCCTGTCTTCCCCTTTGGCTGGCAGAGTCCTCTTATCAAGCAAGTGAACAATGGGCATTTTTAGAGCAGTATTTACAAGTCATCAAGAAGAGGGCCAATCTGCCATCTCTGCTCTCAAAAAGGCTTAAATTCAAGATGACAAAGACAAGGCATATAATCATAAAAGACTATTAACAACAAGAGATAAAGCTAGAAATTGCTGTTAGAATTCAGAAGAGAAAGACAATAGATTCCACTCTCACATTTCATGTCCCTATCCTGTTACCTGCTGGTGCTACTTTGGTCTCAGCCTTTCATGCTACTCTCCTACACTCAATGTTAACAGTAATTTGGTTTTTCACATTTTAAATACTATTTGCACTCCTGTAGCTCCCCTGAGAGATTATTTAAGGTCACAGACAGGAGCTCTCTTCCCCTTTCTGCCAGGAATAAGAGCGTCCTGACCTCTTCTTAGACTGACACCAAGACACTGTGTTTATGAGGCGGACAGGATCCCAAAGATGTGCCTTATGATTATGGCTGTTCAGGGATTGGTGATGGCTCGAATATCACCTAAGGGTGGGGTTAATGACAGAAGTGACACTTGGCTTCCTGCTTCCTATGCTTTTCCCAAATTCTTGCTAGATGCCATGTAGTCAACTGGGCCTGTGTTCAGAAGCATAAAAGAATGATTTTCTGTAAGCCCCTTCACTCATTTCTCTCTTTTTCAAAAAAAAATAGGTTAAGAATAATCTGATTCATTGCTAGACTCTTAGAACTTACTCAATTTCTTCCTGAAATCAATTCAGTGAGCATAAGTATCATTATAAGCATAATACTTGTAAACATAAGTAACATTAAGTATCTAATTGAAAACCTCACATGAGCCCAATGTGACTGGTTTTAACTTAGATCAGTTATTTGATGTAGATGTCATTTAAGCCGCTCTTCCTCATTCCGGCAGAATCTGTACCGAAGACCTGGCCTGCGCTCCTTGCCTACTGGATATAGGCTTCCAGTCGACACCCCTCACTTCAAACACACCAAAGACACCCGATACATGAGCAGTTATGTGAGTGGTCTCCTTCTTTTTAAGATGGGGTCTGAAGTGGGAGGGGGGACACTATTTATTAATAGCCTATTCTCATCCCCCCAATCACACCCTGAAGGTTCAACATGATGTAACAATGGGAGCAGAGGAGGGGAGACAGTGTATTTTCTAGGGGCGCTGTGGAATGGTCTTGCTTCTGCAATTCGGCAGTGCTGGGCAGCCCAGTAGGTTAGCACAGGACTTTCATGGGATTGCATCCGCATGAATCAACTACGTTGGCTCAGGGTTCATGGCTGCCATGATGTCTTTACTTTTGCTGCCCTTAGCACAGAAGCATCCTGAACTATCCCAAGCCATATACAGGAAATGCAACTTCATACCACCCACTGTTGATGTGTGCTGATAATATTGTCTTCCTTCTGCAACGTTTCATTGCAGAAGATATAACATCACTGTGTGTTCCTTTGAAAGGAAAGGACTTGCCCAGCTGCTGGCTTTGATACTTGCCTCTCTACTTACCCTCTGTGCCCGTTTCATAGAAAGCTCAGAGGGGTAGATAGGCTCTCCTTACCTGTAGCTTACCCAGGTGTTAGCTCTGATACTAACCTTCCCCGCTTTTTAAAAGTACCAAAATGGGACTTGATGCATTTACCCTGTGGACAAGCCCTAGAGAACTGTTGGCTATTCCAATGACTCTGGCTTCCAGGTCATACCCACAGACCAGCCATTAGTTGAAGAATAAGCTTTCCCTTCCATGTTGCCCTTCAGAGTCCTAGGAATCAAACCTGCTGGCCAGGCAGGATCCAATTGCCAGTGGTCCAGTAATATGGTTTCCAAAGCAGAGAGTCACAAATTTCATCATCTAACATGTCATTTTTAAAATCAGTCTGTAAAGGCACTCACCAGTGTTAAAAATAGTCTCTTGTTTCTTTTTTGAATTTCCTAATTTCCTAGCCATATTGGAACTAAAATTTTTTTCTTACATTTTGCATACCTGCCTACAGAGAGATTTCATCTAGGCAACGCTGAGTTTTACTCCTTTTTGGACCTGGCTTTTTTAGCCAAAAAAGTAATTTTCAAGACTTGGATTACTATCAAAACTTTCTCAGTGGCTTTTCCTTATACTTAATGCTTGGAGAGTAATTTTCAAATGAAAGTGACAACTCTTTTCTATTTGAGAAATGTAACGCTGCTCTCTGTTTACCCATCAGTGATCTTATTCTGACTTTGCTTTCGCAGTTCAAGTACAAAGAAGTTTATGAACACATCAAGGCCCATGGGTATACACTTGGCCCCAATGACGTTCCATTTGTCAATGTCCGGAGAGTCAACAATGTTACCAGTGAGGTACTGTGAATCCTAATTCTGTGGGGGAAATATTGAGTTTCAAAGACAGTGGCTTTGCTTGAAATGCGATAAGAATTAATTCTATTTCAGCTATAAATGTACACATCAGCAAGGAGTAAGAGGGTTCTTTTTGTCACCCTTCTGATACTGGTATCCCTTGATAATTTTTTTCTATATTTGGTAATGCCATTTAGAGACCACATCCATTGATTATAATGCAAATTAATTCCTTCTTTTGACATTTGTATTTAAAAATGTTTAATAAGGTTGCATCTTAGTCTGCCTCATGACTCTGGTTTTCTACATAAACTATTGGTTTATATATCTGTTCCTTCGATCAAACCATCTGATAGAAAGCAGAAGACTTTGTGCTCAAAATTCTTCACCTAAATAAAATAAATATCATTTTTCTCTTTTTTCCTAATCTCAACATTTTATATATCCTTAATCTCTCCTCTCATGGCTCTTTATGTAAAATATTTAATTGTTGCTGAGTCAATAGATGTCTTCATCTTCCTACACTAAACACCTGGAATGGTTTTTCCTCCAATGTAGAGACTTTATCGACAATTATACCACAAACTGAAAGACAAGATTCACACAACTCCCGACACACCTGAAATCCGCCAAGTCAAGAAGACACAAGAGGCTGTCAGTGAGGTGAGTATTTTCTTAGGAGAGAGAACAGGCTATAGAACCCAGGGATGAATGTCAACAATTAAGTTTCTAATGTCTGTGTTTCGGGGCATTTGTTTCTTCAGTTGATCTACAAATCAGACTTCTTCAAGATGCAAGGCCACATGATCTCGATGCCATACACACCCCAAGTGATCCATTGCCGCTACGTGGGAGACATCACCAGTGATGTAAGCATCTCACAGGAGTCTTTCTGGAAGACTCTTACTAAGAGGCAGGCATGCTTTCAGCATTTAAGCCAACCAGTGGTCACTGAACAGTGTTTTCAGTTGAGTACTCCTAAACCAAGGGTACAACTTGGAGGTGAAATAGTATGGAAGCAGGACCCCACTTTCTCCAATTTCTCCAGTTATGGAAATAGTAGGAAAAGGACCACTTGGGAAACACAAGAATTGCTGACTACCATTCTACATTCATCACTGAATTGTTACTGACTCCTCACTCTCTAAGTGACCTCTGTCCCAGGTCATGTTTAGCATCTTTCTCCTGCTCGTCCCTACTCCCACCCTCTTTAGCAACTTCCTGCTGCCATTTTTTTTCTCCTTGGATGATTCCTTCTCCTAAAAGACCACTCCACTCAATCTGTGCTTTTCTCCCATCAATATAGAAATAAAATAATAGCAGTGTTCTCTCCTCAGCTCAGAGTTAGCGATTTGAATGTAAAAGCCTGGGATTTGGTTGAGTGCAGCAAGCTAAGAGCATGTGGTGCATGTGTTGAAGCAAAATGAAAGATACATCAATAAAAAAGCGCCGCTACTCTGTCTTTTTTGTTCCTGATTCACTTTTGCCCATGACCAGCTATATTTCTGATTTTGCCACACAGATTAAATACAAAGAGGACTTGAGGATCCTGAGGGGACTGGGCTGCTTCCTGTATGACACTCCTGACATGGTCCGCTCTCGGCACCTGCGGAAGCTCTGGGTGAGTGCACATCTTCACAACACATACCTACCAGATTCCATAAACCCCATCACCAGCCTCAAGGAGCTGAGTAGAAAGAATCTTTGCTTGTAGCTACTTTAAGGGGAAATTTACCATTAACCCACTTGAGCAAGTCATGACCCAATTAAGATAATGCATGCCTCCTATAAAAGGGGATAAGTTTAGTTAAATGACAGTTGTCTTTGTTCCTGCATGGGAAGAGATCCAGTATACATAGAAGGCCATCTTGGCTTACACATGCCAACCATTTGGAAGAGAACATGTGACCATGACATACAATTCCTTAAATGATTAATCAACTTGTATTTCCATTGTTGTTGTTTTTTGTTTTAAAGTCTCATTACCTGTACACTGATAATGCAAGGAAGATACGAGACAAATACAAAGTGGTGCTTGACACTCCAGAATACAGAAAAGTGCAGGAACTGAAGACACATCTGAGTGAGGTAAGGATGCTTAACCTGTCACTACAAGGGCCTCATTCCTCTAGTGATCCTTTTTCAGGCAACCACACTAGACAAAAGATCTCCCCTCTGCCCTTTGTTAAAGTGGCCACCATGTCTAAGCAAGTCAGTTGACCTCACTTTGCCTCAGTTTACTTATTTTATCCCTTTTGGATAAGATGAGGATAGTGATACTTGCCCTACCTACTAGGGCTGCTGAAAGTTTACATGACTTTATAGATTAGAAGGTCCTCTGTTTTATACTATTGTTGCAGTCTCCAAACTGAATTTATTTCAAAATTTTCTCTCTCTTTAATTCGTGCTGTCAGGAACTCTAATCATGGCAGTGCCATTTGAAAAGTCTTCAGTGACTCAGTGACTCCTTGCTCTGCTGCCAACTCAACAAATTCCAAACTGCTTAGGTTCATTTTCGTCTGCCCCACCTGGTATTGACAGTCCTAATTTATTGCAGTTAGTTGTATATAGATATGATGCTCTCACCTAGACTCTTGGTTCCTTGAGTGTTGGCCCTCATCTTATTTCGATGCGTATCCCATTGTGCCTTGGCCGAAATAGATGTCCATATTTGCCAATGACTAAATGTGCTTTGTAAAGCTAAGGGCATTCCACAAATGTAAATGATCTCTCTTATTGTAAGTCAGTTGGCCATTCTCATTAAACTCTCAGTTTGTCTTGTGGCTTCATCCATCAGCTTTCATCAAGCTGAACCAAAGCATTAGCTGTCAGGCCACTTCATTGACTCCCCATTCTCAATAGGTCTAATGGCTTCTGATTAGGAATCACTCATGCTCTTTAACATAGAGATGCCCTGGCAAACCAAATGCTGCCCTCAGCAGAGGGGATGTGTAGCTTCCTACATGCTTAGTGAGCCAGAGGCAGAGGATGATTAATTCTTCAGCTTTTACAAAAGCTACACTGAGCCCATTTGCTTTCCTGAAAGTTTCCCTGTGTTATTTCAACCAGTTCTGGCACTCAGATAGGAATGCTTATGTTCTTTGTATCGCAGTAAAAATAATTCTCCACTCTGGCTAAGTATCAGAATCATCTATGAAGTATTTTAAAACTACCTTTGAGTGGGCTGTGACCTCCAGCCCCACATGAGTCTCTGCTTCTCCATGCCTGGGCATCTGCCTGCTTTTAGCCACTCCATAGATGATTCTAATATGCAGGCAGTGTTGGAAACCACTGCTCTAAAGTATCACATCTCTCCTTCAGCTACAAAATAATAAAAAATTGCTTGGTAACTTAAAGTTCTTATTGATATTTCCGATACCTTTACTTCTCTTGGCTGTCTGAGTCCAGAATTATCTAAACCTTTAATTTCTCTTCTTCCCAATTCCTATTGGAATTTTGTAAATATTATGTGTCAACACTGAGGAAGAATAATAGATATTTTCAGGAGTGTGTTTTCTCCCACACTTGCCTCATTGTAGAATGACCTGGGCTTGATAAAATACTGATGCAAGCTACAAGCCTGGATTCAGAAGGTCTTGGGTAGAGCCTGCAAATCTGTTTTTAATAGAGACTTTGGGGGTTTTTAGGATCAGGGAAGTTTGGGAAACTCTGGCTTAGTAAAAAATTTGGTGGCCAAAGGAAGTTCAAGTTATGGACTTTTGAGTTGTCTTTGAATTGTACAGATGCTTGACATATATACATCTGAAGTACTAAGAAACAGGGATGTTGCCCCAAAAAGCATAAACAATGGATACCTAAGTATAAGGGCAGTATAGTACAAAGAGAATTATAGACATGGCATGGGAGAGTTAGGTCTTTGTCCCAGATTTAACTCTAATTTGTGTGACCTTGTATAATTTACAATGTCAACACCCAACTGCCTGAGCTAGAGAATTGGACTAGATAATGATTCAGGCTTCTTTTAAGGATAAGATTCTGAGTTTTAATTTGCTTTATTCAAAATTTAGCCTAGGAGAAACAGTAAGTTTTTATTTAGTTTTTCTCCTTTTTTTCAGTAGTAACACCAAAAACAGCCCCAAGCAATGAGCTACATTTTGTTTTAACTTGCACTTGTATACAAATTAGATTTAAAGAAATGGACATGTACCTACATATTATTTATTTCCTACATTTTATCTGTTCATCTATTCAACTGGCATTTATATCTGTGATTAGAAATTAGTCGTTATACATTTATACTTTCTAGTTGGCCTCATTATATTAAATTCCCTCAGCATTTATTAGAGGACTACTATTTTTCAGATCTTTTATCTAAGCACAAGTTGATAAAAGGGTGATAGAGCTGAGCCCCTGCATTCCATGGGCCCACAATCTGTGAGAAGAAACAGACATCACTATGATAAATGGTATCCTATAGGAATAGTCAAGACAGTATGGCCTCTAAGAGGTTTCCAGGCAGATAAGAGGGGGAAGAACATTCTAGGCAGAAAGGATGGTATGTGAAAATGGCTGTAATAAGTTCTAGAAATTTGGAATAGTTTCAAATAGCACATGGGGAGTGTGGCAGAATGTTGGGAAATGAGACTAGAAACATAGAACAGAAGCCAGGTTATGAAGACTCATGGGTGCTGTATTAAGGATCTTGGGCCTGATGAAAACTCATTGAAGAATTATTTCTGAGCACATTGGATCTGAGCATTAAGATCTGATTACATCTGAGCTTTAAGAAAATCTCTTTCTCAGACTTGTGAAAGATAGATGAGCCATGTGGAGTGGCCCAATAGAGGATTTGGGAAGGTGGTATAGGAGGCTGTTAAGAATGTGTAGAGAAGAAATGACACAGGAGGCTTAACTAGGGCAGTGGTGGTAGGAATGGAGAAGGATCAGATTTAAGGAATATCATAAAGTTAGGAGCCCAGGATTCATGACCATTTTGATGTGCATGTGAGGGTGAAAGAGTCTAGGATGACGTCCCAATTTTCTGCCCTGGGTGACTGGGAGATCAAGGAGCCATTTAACAAAACGGAGAAAATAGGAGAAGAAGCAGATTGGGGTTGGAGATGGCGTAATATAAAGAATCCTACATTAAATATGATAAGTCACTCAAGTTCAGAACACTGGTGAAAATTTGGATCTGGAGCTCAGGAAAGATCCTGGATACTGTATAGATTTGGAAGTCATCAACCTCAAATTGATGGTTGAAGCCCTGGGTATGAATGAGGTCACCCAAGGAGAATATACAGGGTGAAGGGGGCTGACCCTTGACTCCAGCTAATGGCTGCCTTTGGGGGCGGGCAGAACCATAGAAGGAGGCTGAGAAGGAGAGCCTAGAAAGATAGGAGGCTGTGTATGGTAGAACGATGGAATGGAAGGCAGAGAAGAGAGTTTTTAGGAATGAAATTGCTCAGTTACTACAGAGAAACGTTCTCGGATTTAGTAGTTGCGAAGGTTTTGGTAGTCTTTTTTTTTTTTTAACTTTTTATTAAGATTATGATAGTTTACAACCTTGTGAAATTTCAGTTGTACATTATTGTTAGTCATGTTGTAGGTGCACCACTTTGGTTTTGGTAGTCTTGATGAGAAGAGTGACTTCATTGCAGTGGTTGGATGGAAACCAAACCATCGCCTTGAGAAATTAATCAAAAGAGAGAAAAAGAAAAAACACATAGTCTGCTTGGCTGTGAAAGGAAGGAACAAGGCTGTTGGTGGAGACTGGAAAAGGCTTATTGAAGGAAGGGATTTGAGTCTGTTTGCAGATGAAGGGAGAGGGCCGGAAAAACAGGAGGGTTGAAGATATGAAGGCGACGTGTATAATTGCTGAAACAGAGTCCTAGAAGGGACCAAAAACAAAGTAGGAGTCTTATATCTTGGACAGGCTACAGAGCATCTCTTATTTTGATTCAAAGGAAAAAAGAAAAAGCGGGTTGGGGAGGTAAATAAATTATTGATTTATTGGACAGAAACTGAGGTTGTTGCAGTGAGAGGGCCCTTGATTTTTCTATGAAGTCAGCAATAAAGGCACCTGCAGAGAACACAACATGTCGATGAAGCAGAAATTATGGTCATGACTCTTTTATGTCCAGCTGGTGTACAGAGCTGCAGGCAGGAAGCAGAAGTCAGTCTTCACTTCCGTTCCTGATACTCCTGATCTTTTAAGAGCCAAGCGAGGGCAGAAGCTTCAGAGTCAGGTAAGATTCATAAATGAGTGTTCCTAAGTCTGCTGCGGTACCATCACAGGGGGTGGTTACGTGTGCCTCACCCCTCCTGGTCGGCAGCGGCCTCTTACACTTGACTGTCCTTGATACACCCTCTTGCCCATTAACTTCAAGAAGCAGTTTTCCTTTGGGCCATCATCACCATGGTTATGTTTGACACGAGCAGGTAATGTCATGCTTTCTAAGTTCTATACAATTTTTGTCGTTGGATGAATGGTGTGTGGACTCCAGGTAGTGATAACCATTGCTTGATTCATTCCATAGAACCTATCTATTCTCCACAGACAAATGAAACCACATTTCATGCATTCAGGCAAAAACGGAAAAAAAATACATTGAGGGCTGTATCAGAATCCTCGTTCTTCTGGTGGCATTCTTTATTGTATGGATTTAAATTGCACCATAGCCAACAGTAAGAATATTAGATAACTGGAGTGCTAATATGTGTTTCCAAATGAGAGACAAAGAGAGAAACAAAAGAACAGAAACACATATAACAAACAAACAAAAAAACAAGGCAACAGCAAATAGACACCACCTTCCCAATTAAGAAGGAAGGGGACTGAATCCTAAATAATAAATGTTTTACCCCTATAACATCTGATCCCTATTCTGTGATTATTTAGTATCTGTATGTCGAACTTGCCACCAAAGAGAGGCCCCATCATCATGCCGGAAACCAGACCACAGCCTTGAAGCACGCTAGAGACGTGAAGGACATGGTCAGCGAGGTAAGTTGGGAATTTGGCACCGAGGCACTGGGTTAAAGAAAAAAGATCCTTCGTTAAAACCTTCACCTGCTGCCTCTAATCAGAGAACTCATTTCTATAAGTTCTGCTCAGCAGCATCAAAACACAGAAGGCAAAGCTATTGTCTTAACAAGCATGACATATGGTGTCCCTAGGCTGAATCTGAGACATGGCTGTGAATTGGGAGGGATGAAAACACTTGAACTTAAGTTTGTCTCTCTTTTCTATCTTTATTTCTTAGACAAAGTACAAGATTCAATATGAAAAGATGAAGGACAGGTACACCCCGGTTCCAGATACGCCAATCCTCATCAGAGCCAAGAGGGCTTACTGGAATGCCAGTGATGTATGCATCCCTTCCTTCTTACTTCTGTTGTGATAGGGACAATGAAACAGAAGATGTTACAGTCATATCTATAGTTCAAAGTCCTGGCCTACAACATGGGTCAAGAAAACAACAGGAACATTAAAAACAACAACAAAAACAGACAGAAGCAATAGCAGTCAGGCAAAGTAGCTAAGAATAATGCAGAGAGATGCTAAAAGGCTATCATTTTTCTCGTTGCCCTTCTGGGCGAAAAAGTATGACCCTTTCTTAATAATTCTTTGGTAGCATTTCCTAGGGGTACTTGACAATTAATTGTTATTTAGCCATAAAATCATGGTTTTGGAGTCAGGTAAACATGATTTAAAATCCTGATGCTGTCATTTGCCTACTGTCTGACTCTATACAATTTACCTAATTTTTCTGAGACTGTTTTCTTATATGTGGAGTGATGATAAGAATTGCGATAATTGAATTAGACTAAACAAGATAAGGTATGTAGCATACTAGCACAGTGGTGGGCTCTTGGTTGACACTCAGAAAATGTTTGTTCCCTTTCTTCTCTTAATCGCCTAAATCATGCGAATGACACATTCGTTAGAATTAGGTGGGACAGACTTTCATTTCCCATACCACATGATGAAGGACAGGAGTGCCTTTTAATGGCAATGACATTATCTGTTAATAAAGATATGAAATTAATCAACCCAGGGTAGATGGCCAATCTTTACCAGTTTTGTGTCTCAGAACTCAACTGCAAATACATTACACCCGTTACTGGAAGCAGAATCTCTGGAAGACTAGACATGTTGGAACTTAAACCCAGCCAAAAGCTCAAGAAACCCTATAACCCCTCAACTTAGCAACATAGCTCTAGGATTTCAAGGCATCTTAAAGTAATTACAGTGCTCCCTAAACAGAAATGTGAAAGGGTACAGCAAATTGGAACAATATCTTGGTTCTGAAATTTTCATTTGGAGCTGAGAGGAGTCTGCTGATTGGAAAAAAGCAATGCCAATTTGCTGAAAGTATAAGCTGAGAAAATTATATACTACTCTCAAAATCTATCCCCTAGGATATTCTTAGTTTTCTTGTGACATCCCCATCTTTATCATTTCCAGGTTACCATTGAATATTAATTCAAACCAAGCTTATTCTGCATCACTGCTTTTTTGAGGGTGGCCACACAGTGAAATTGGCCCCTGGAGCTCAGTGTGCTCTATTGGACAACCCCATCCCTGGGGCTTTCTCAGGACCAGCACTGATAACTCTAATCTTGAAATAGTCCAGTGTAACAAGGGTAGTATCTGGCATTAAGTTTGACTTGTCCACAGTGGCTGTCCCCACAAGTAGAGCTAAGCAATTTTATGAGATTATCCACCTGAAAAACAGAGTTACAAAGTCAAGGAAAAGACATCTTTGATTACGTGTTAGCTCAGCTACCCAACAAGATAAGACTTGTTTGAGGTTGAAAACAGACTGTTCAGAGAAGTACCCATTTTATGTAGATGGGATGAATCTTCTGTGATATTCTTAGGTTAAAGTCAGAGCTGTTGTCTCTTGAAATACCATAAAGATTATAATGAAATAAAATTTTAAGACTGCTTCATGGAGAAGGCATTTTAATACTGGGGGTTAGAAATTAGAACTTTCTCCCCTTTCCATGTACATTAGTATGTCTTGGGCTCAAAAAGGTTATGTTTGGTTTTTTCCTCCTCCCAAATGAGCCTTTTGTTTGTTCCTTTTACATTGAAATAAACTTTTACTAAGTAGTTTTAGATTTATAGAAAAGTTGCAATGATAGTGGGGAGAGTTCCCAAGTAGCCTACACAGTTTTCTCTACTGTTAACACCTTACATTCCCACCGTACATTTGTCACAACCAATGAACCAAAATTGATACATTATTAGTAGACTCCATACTTTATTCAGATTTCATTAGTTTTCTCCAAATGTCTTTTTTCTCTTCCAGGATGAGAAGTGAGCTTTTTAATCTCTCCTAAATATATTCATGGGAAAACCTAAGAAAGAAGACTCAAGAGAGCTCGGGTTTAAAACAGCTGACTGTTTAGCTTGGTAGTTTTTCATAATGCATGTGCTTTCTCTCTTTCCAGCTACGCTACAAAGAAACGTTTCAAAAGACCAAAGGGAAATACCACACTGTGAAGGATGCTCTGGACATTGTTTACCATCGCAAAGTCACAGACGACATCAGTAAAGTATGTCCCTACATGTTTCTACTTGTAATTGGCTCAGTACCCCACTATCATTTTTTTAAAATACCCTCCCTTTCCTAAAACTCTCTGGAGACAAGTAGACTTTTCTGCATTAACTTTCAGCAAGACTTTATAGCTGTCTGTGTGTTTTCACCGCAGGTGAAATACAAGAAGAACTACATGAGCCAGCTGGGAATCTGGAGGTCCATAGCTGATCGCCCAGAGCATTTCCACCACCGGGCAGTCACTGATGCCATCAGTGATGTGAGTCTTGAAGTCTCCTATTTTTACATATAAATTCATGTGCCCATATGATTTGTGAAATCAAACACTGCATAAAAACTGATTAAACACTTGACTAAATTTTAGTTCTTGAGTATGGATGTTTAAGTTATAAAGCTCATCGCTAAATGAGTGAACTTCAAATTGGGAGGGAGAAAAATATATTCAAATTTATAAACTTAATTTCTCTTCTAAATGTATTATATCATGTTATGTGACTGGAAATGATAGACTTCTTCTAAGCAATAACCTGTTTTTGATCAATTGAAGAGCCAACTTCATGAAGCAATTGAGAAACAATGCTCATTTAGAAAGAAATTTCAGCTCTCTATATGAAAATACAGCTGTCGAGCTAATGATTTATGCTTTAGGCAAGTGTGCCTGTTAAATTTGAATTGCATTAATTAGTATTAAAAATGAAAATTTCTATATACAATACAACAATATACCATAAAGTGAGCAGAAATCAGTATTACTGGAAATTTCTCTCAAATAATTGTTTTAATACTTTTTTATTCCATATACCTCAGTAGTCAGAGCTTCTATTTGTTCCACTTAGAGCTATCCTAACCTACTGCTATTTAGAAATAGGTTCTTAGAAATCTTTGATGATATTTTTCTCCCAGATAAAATATAAATCAGATCTGACCTGGCTTAAAGGCATCGGTTGCTATGCCTACGATACTCCCGACTTCACTCTGGCTGAAAAGAACAAGACTCTCTACAGCAAGGTATATCTACTCAAGGATGGTGACCACATCCATTCAACATATTCCAGTGTCCACAGAGGAAACAGCTTTTCATATTTCCATCCCCATCTAGCTTCTAGACCCTATAGTTGGAGTACATACTCAGTTGTTCATTCCACTTAGGAATTGTTTTAGTACTGACTTTATTGACTGTAGTCATCATTTGTTTATATCATTTATTTGAATTGGATAAATGGTTATCTCAGTACAACTTCTCGTGGCTCTTCCAGAATGTCCTCCCTATTAATATGTCTCTAGGTGGTTTACCCTGTTAGAGTTGACATGGTAGCAAATATAAAGGGAGATTATTTTAATCCACAAACTTGATGTGTGACTTGAGCCAAATAACTTTGTTTTTATGGCTTTGTTTTCCTATTTACAAAATAAGGTAGTTGTATTAGCTTCCTTTGAGTTCTAAAATAGGAGTCAACAAACTTCTGAAAAGCGCCTGATAGTAAATATTTTAGTCTTTGTGGGCCATGTTCATTCTGTCACATATTCTTTGTTACAATCCCCTAAAACTGTAAAAAACAAACAAAAAAAAACATTCTTAGTTCATGAGCCCTTTAAAAACAGATGGTGGTCTAGAGATTAACCCACCCCTGCTCTAAAATATTAAGATTATCTGCTTAATTACTGGAAAATTATTTCAAATTGGTGGACTAAAAACTGCCTTCAAGTACACATGGAAATTCCTTCAAGGTAAAACAATAACCCTTTTACTATATAGAAGCAAAGAAGAAACTAATTTGGATTTTTGCCCAGTGTGGAAAATAGAACTGACATCCATCCAATGAAAGCATGTATTTTGGGGCTAGTTTTCAAGACATCCGGGTGGGTATACACTTCATTGCTTTGGGAGACAGAGTATGCATTTGTAATTACTTGTTAGCTCTATAAAGGAATTGTCACAAGAGTATGGTAAGATAAATGGCATGTCTCAGTCTTAAGATGATCATAGCCTGCTATCAAGTAACCACATTCTGTTTTCTCTAGTATAAGTATAAAGAGGTATTTGAAAGGATAAAGTCAGATTTCAAGTATGTCGCGGATTGTCCAATCAATAGACATTTCAAGTATGCAACTCAGTTGATGAATGAGGTATGTATGACCTGATCCAATTAAGCCTGTTCAGTTCCTTCAGAAGTCTACAGAGTTCTTTGATTAAAACCCAATATATAAAATGATAGGAGCCATTCTAAGTGTTGATTTAAGATAAAGATTTGGAAAGACTCTTATAATGTCACCATCTCATGGGCTCTGCCAAAAGCAAGAATAAGAACAAGTGAAAGGGCTGTGTGGAGTGCTGTGAAGACCCCACAACCATCATTGCATCTGGTTGCTCTAGCACAGGGCAGCACAGCACTTTGGGTGACAAGAGCAAGGAGGTAAAGGATTTTGTTGACTATCAGCTAAACTCCCTGAAACATGATCCTGTGTAGAGTTGGGAGACCCAGAAGTTGAAGGTTAATCTAGTATCCTTTACCAAGGCACAGGGACGGCAGTGGTTGGAAGAGCCAGCCTTAGGGAGATAGTTGTAATTCATGCATTCAAATGTATTGCCGTTGTGACTCATACAGTGGTGCAAAGAAGTATCCATTTGGAGCCAAAATATTCTTTTATATTCTACCCAGTCTTTCCTGGAACTGCCTTTGCATTAATTTAAGTTAAATTTAGCTTAAAATGACTGAAATAAGCAAGCTATGAATTAACTTATGTTTGGATGGTTTTATGTTTAATTTCCTATCTTTGGATTTTCTACAGATTTATAGAAATTCAAAGACAATGTTAGAAAATTGGCAAAAATTATCGTAAAACGAAACTGTAGCCAATGGTATATTTATCTCAATATATGACTTTTTTATTGTTTTTAAATTTGACTTAGTTCATTTTCAGTAGATTTCCAGGCGGGATGACTCTGAAGAATTACTATGAGTAGCTTCCTTGGAAGACAGTCTTAATGTATTTTGTTTCTATTTTTCTAATTCATGAAGGATTTTCAGAACTCTTTTTTAATCAAATAAATTAACTAGCATTAGAAGACTGGTAGAATTTGTCTATGAATATGCTTCTAGATTCTCACAGCCTTAGATAGTTAGCCTGTAGTCTATTGGTGCCTTATTTTAAATACAAGTTAAGATGTCATAAAACTTAATATTGCTGATGGCAGCATATGTAAAGATAGAAAATGTTCAGGCACAAGATACTCCAATTTTGATGTCATAATCAGATCTATTCCAAGCCCAGCCGTCTCCAGATGATCTTCCTTCGTTTGACTCTCTTTGCCTCCCGGTTTATTTTTACCCTCAATGCTTTGGGAGCCCACCTCTAGAAATGACGTATTTCTGGCTCTCTGGAGTGTTTGTCTTGGAACATTTCTGTGTAGCCTTGAAGTTGTACTCTTGCTATAATTTGATATGATGTTTGAGCAGAAAAAATACAGAGCTGATTATGAGCAGCGGAAAGATAAATACCACCTGGTAGTCGATGAGCCTAGACACCTGCTGGCTAAGATCACAGGCGACCAGATCAGTCAGGTACTGTGATGGGGCTGGCTGGACAGCCCAGACAGGACTGTGCTCCGGGTTTCTCATGAGATGTCGTCCCGTCTGCTGCAAGGATGTCATAGGTTCTGCCTATGATATTGAGATGTTCTGTTTCAAAGTATCTGTCTAGCCACCCAAAGAGCCCATGAGCTATTTGAGTGTGCCAGTCCATGCTCTGTGTCCTCACATGTGCTGTGGTGAAGATGAAAAGAAAAGCTGGGTCCTCCACCCTTTATTCTTCTGGACGGCCTGTTTGTAAACTGCAATGGTAAACTGCAAGTTGAGTTGCAAAAGCAAAAACAAAGGAACAAATTAATGGATAGAAAGAAGATAAAACTCCTTACTATATTTTTCTATTCCAATGATGTCTTCTTTTCTATAACACAATTTTGGTGGGACTAGCCATATCATTCCCCATTCGCAAGGACTCTGGATGGTCAACTGCAAGTATGACAATCATTCTGCTTGGCCTTTTAATGTATTTGGTGTCTTCACCCACATGTGTATGTGAGTACATAAAGTGTGTGTGCCTACATCTCTTCACTCAGAGGTGATTGGGATATAGAGCCCTGTTCTCTTCTGTCTTCACAAGTCTCTTTTGTGCTTCACTGCTCTTTGCATGAACAGAGAAAATATAAGTCTAGTGCCAAGATGCTTCTGAAACAAGGATGTAATGAAATTCTGCGTCCAGATATGTTGACTGCCCTCTACAACACATACATGTGGAGCCAGGTAATGTCTGATGTGATGCAAAGAAGAGATTTAAAAGCCCTGGGGGCATTCACCTTTATGCTTTCCTTGACTGCCTTCCCCTGCCCCCTGCCCATGCTGGTGTCACATGATAAAGCTGCCTAAATATTCATTCCTTGTAAATGAACTCTGGATGTGGCCAAGTGTGAGATGATGCAGCAGCCATCATGGGTACATCATCTGACACCTTTGGAACTCTTAGTAAGATTAACTGAGACTTTTCAAACTTTATTTCCAAATTGATATGACATTAATTTATATTTTTCAGTATTTGCTCCAAAGAGATAGATTCCTTAGAGATTGAAGAGATTAAGTAGATTTAATAGCATTTAAAAGATCTAAATACTTAATGTTTTCACCTCATTTGTCCATTGTCCAATGATTACTATAATCATACCATTTGGGAGAGATGAGGATTACAGTGCAGCTCTTTGAATATTGTACATCTTCATGGCCCCTCTTTAGTTTGATGCTGAATTTGCTAGATTATTTCCAGCGTATCTGTCCTTATACACACTTCTTAACAACGTTACTGATAAAATTGCCTTTCTACAAGGTCAACTGAAGCACACACCATCACCTTTCCATCACATAATGAAAGGTAAATTTGAAGCAGCGAAAAACAGTGATAATTGCTTAACTACCAGATACAATGTTAAAAAAATGCCATTGCTTCCAGACAGAAAAAGTTTTTAATCACTCTGTGTTATCACTTTACTTTGACATTAAATCAATACGTCAAATGAGGAGGATGGGGTCTCCCTACAAACATCCTGTTTGCCTGAACTTTTTCCTTTGTCCTGGTATGGTCATCAAATAGTTATGCATGAAATTTTGTTGTGCTCTCTGTATTTGTGCTGCTTGAAACAGCTTATGTGCATGAAAAAAAATCATGAATTGGAAATTACAAAAATGAATGTGTTTTTTAAAATGATAGCCACTTTAGAGGCCGGCCCAGTGGCATAGTGGTTACGTTCCCATGCTCCACTTTGGCCGCCCAGGGTTCGCAGGTTTGGATCCCCGGCACAGACCTAGCACCACTCGTCAAGCCACACTGTGGCGGTATCCCACATAAAATAGAGGAATATTGGCACAGATGTTAGCTGAGTGACAATCTTCTTCAAGCAAAAAGAGGAAGATTGGCAACAGATGTTAGCTCAGGGCCAATATTGCTCACACGCACAGAAAAGATAAATGCTTTATACTGTATATACTTACTTTTTATTTTACGTCTATTTCATCTTTGATATGGAAACATACCTTAAGAGATCGTACATATTTGATGCAGCATATTGTGAATGAATTATTACTTATCAGAGTCCAAAGAGCAGGGGTCTAGTCCTGACTCTGAGATTTCACCCTATTATGGGCCCTTACCCCAGTCTCTTAACCTCTCTGGGCCTTAATTTCCATGTGTATAAAATATACTGAAAAATATCATTTCTTCTTTTTGTTTTTATTTGCTCACTCCATTACACTATTGTTATCAACTACAGATTTATATTAAACATTTGCAATTAGGATTAAAAGAAAAAGCTACCATGACGTCATCGCCCACATCTGTGGCTTATATAATAACCCTATTTGCTGTGGGACTCTCTCAGGAGGTAAATTAGATTCCTTAAAGCCCTCTATCCTACTTCTTAGAGTTAACTCCTTCTTCTCTTCCACAATTTAGATCAGGTACAGGAAAAACTATGAAAAAACAAAGGACAAATTTACCTCAATTGTGGACACTCCAGAACATCTGCGTACTACAAAAGTCAACAAACAAATCAGTGATGTAAGTAGGAGAAACACTGAATGGATTCTCAAACTCAGGGGCTATTTGCAAATGTGGATGGGCATTTTAGATTGTCACAATGTCTGCAAGACTCTACTGTCATTTGGTGGGAGGGAGGCAGGGACGCTAATTGTCCTGTTGTGCTCAGGACCCTTCTTTAACTATAAAGAATTCTTCCAACCGTATTGGCAAATGCCCCCTTTGAGAGACCCTGGGGCCTTAGCAGAAATCGTGAAAGCATTTATTGAGTTAATAGAATTCTCTTTCCTTTATATGTACTCAAAAAAGAAAAAACCTTTGCATTTATATTCTTACGTTGTAAATTGAGTAGTATAACATTTTTTCTTTCTGCTTTTTTATCTCCTTCAGATACTTTATAAGTTAGAATACAACAAGGCCAGACCCAGAGGCTACACCACAATCCATGACACCCCCATGTTACTACATGTCCGCAAGGTCAAAGATGAAGTCAGTGACGTAAGTACCGGAATGGCTTTGCAATCCCTCTCATCTTGGCCTCTTTCTAATGTGATGTAACAAACCCTGGTCTGGTTATCTATTCCTGTGTAGCAATCACCCTAAAACTTACTGACTTAAAACAACAATCATCTTTTTTTGCTCATGATGCTGTGAGCTGACTGGGCACAGCCAAATGGATCTTTTACTCCATGTTGGCAGCCAGCTGATGCCCAGGTGGGCTGGGACATCCAGGATGGCTCACTCACATGGCTGGCAGCTGATGAAAGAGAACTGTTGTCTGGACAGGAGCTCCTCCATGTGGCCTTTCCCCATGGTTTGGACATCTCACAGCACAGTAGCTGGGTGCCAAGAGGCAGGAGGTAGAAGCTTCCAGACCCGATAAGGGCTACGCCTAGAAATGACACAGTCACTTTTGCCATGTTTTCCTGGGCACAGTGCACACTCAGACTCAAGAGGTGAAGAGAGAAATGCCACCTCCGGATGAACAAATGGCAAAGCCACACTGCAGAGAAACAGGAAGGAGGAAGATATTGTTGAGGCCATTTTGAAAAATGCAATGTACCATAAACTTTATTAATACTCTATAAGCTTTATCTTGACTAAGAGGAACAAGATAGCCATCATATTCTAATTCTCTGAATTTGAAGAGAAATTGTATTCACCAATTTTCAGATATATAGCTAGATTCTATGGTTGAAAATTATTATCATTTTGGTTGAAAAAAAGAGATTAAATATTTTAAAGAACTCCGTGGCTCCAGAGGTATCAGAAAGAATAGAAAAGGCAACTGTGGAATAACTCATCCCTCGCCTGGAGCCTTGACTGTGGCTGGTGCTCGGGAATTCTTTGGTAGATGAATAAATGAGTTCACACTATTGACCCTGAGTAGCCATGAAAACCATTAAGTACATTCGGTGCATTGTTTATGAAGGCAGAAATGTATAAAAAATTTTAAAACTATGAAAAATGTTAAAAGAAGTTTTGGCATTCCAAACATGGACATCGGGTATTCATAGTCATCTCTCAGGTAGATCCCTTATGCGGAGCAGCCCATTCCCTCTCACTGTGGAAAAATGAAGAATTTCTGCATCCATTTCCCCAAACTTTCTACATATAACAATAACCTGAGATATTGATGAAAAATATGGATTTCCAAGCCTTTCCCCTAAAGATCCTAATTTACTAGGGTCTATGGTAAAGTGCAGAAAATTGTGATTTTTATGGTCAGGCAAGTTTAGTAAGCACTCCTGTGGCTTCTTGAAAATGGTTTTACTTCAGACTTAGCCACATTAAAACCTAGGATCCTTCCGCAACAATTAGTGAGAAGGCCCAGACGGGGTCCCAGGGCTCTTAAATTTGAGAGGAGCAAAAGTGGGTGAAATTAGAAATCCCAGGCCCAGGGTGGGGAAAGTGCCCGTTGGACCTGCAGGCGCTGAGCCTGCTCTGTCCCTCTCCCTCCCACGCAAACCCACACAGCCCCAAACTTGCTAGGTGTGGCTCTAGTAATGATGATAGAGAGACAGCAGCCATCAGTTCGTTCATTCATCAAATACTTATTGGGTTTTTATGTGCCTGATGCTAGGATTGAGATGATGAATGATACACAACTGTGCCCTCAAGGGATTCAGCTTAATGGGAAGACTAGATAGATAAACAAATACTTACAACATGACGTGGTAATGGCCAGAACTGTGTGGGTATAAAAGGAGGGCAAGACTAATTCCATCTGGATGAGCCAGTGGGGGAAGTCTCTTCCATCAGCACTTTTGGAGATGTTCTGAACTTGGGATTTTCTGATTTGAGGAAGGGAAAACACATGGATGGCTGTCCAGCTGGCTCTTCCAGCACAAGCTCAGGGGATGTAAATCCTATGGTGATGCTGGTGAACGTGCTGAATGTGTCCTGGGGAGCTGGTTTTAAGATCCAAGACAGGAAAGTGCATGTCTGCACAGCTCCATGGCTGCATCCCTTCCTTCACAGTAGATTTATTTTGTCTTAAGGAGCATTGTGTACTATAGTCAGCTTTTAATTTCTTGTTGTTTAAAATGCTTAGTAGGCTACCATACAAAATTAACCTGTGTTTCCTCCCACAGATAAAATACAAAGAAGTTTACCAAAGAAATAAGTCCAATTGCACCATTAAGCCAGACGCTTCTTATATCAAAGCAGCCAAGGATGCCTACAAAGTCAACACCAATGTAAGTTCCAGAAACTTCCCCAAGCCTAACGGGATTTATCAGCTTCTGTAGGACACATCACCTCTTTAACATCTCTTCAAATGATTGAGCTCTAATGAGTCCAGATCAAGAGTTAGGCCCCGGGAGCATGAGTAATGCTGCAGAAATCTAAATTCCGCCTTTGCTCCTTACAGAGGGGAACAGGGAAGAGCAAGGTGGCCTAACCCTGTGCCGTGGGTCTTACACCCACTCAGCCTTCATGTTGGTGGCTAAGAAATAGGAGATTTAATTCTGAAATGAAGGTTGCATTTTGGAAAGTGCCTCAGCATCTTTCATTGCCTCCACCTTCTGTGTTCTCCTCCTGCCCTGAACTCCAGTGCTTGCTTCTTCTGAAAAAAGAGAACATTTTGGCCACTTGGTGCTGCCAGGAGTTGGCCTAGACCTTCCTCCTGCTCAGATTCTCTCTGAACTGACCGTTGCGGTAGGGCATCTTAAAGCCTCAACCACAGAAACATTTTATGCATTTAGATGAGTATTGACTTTTTGAAAATATATAAATGGTTAGTAATGAAACCATTATAACCCAACTGGTGCCCACCAGTGCCAGAGACAAGATCTATTTAAAAGGGCCAACAAACTGAAATTTCTTTAGGGCTAGCAGGTAGCTTACAGGTGTCCTGAGCATGCACTGAGGGATGGGTAGCAGGATGGATGTGAGATAAAGCAAAGGCAGTAAAATGCACATTGCAGAATCCAGGCGGTAGGTGTATAGGTATTCTCTGTAAGATTCTTGCAACTCTTTTGTGTGTTTGAATAAAATGGGAAAAAAATTCATCAAACAGAATATATAAAAGCATATGCATTTTATTGGGTGCAAATTATACCTTGACAAAAAAAAAAAGAGAGATAAAAGGAGTGAGGAAAGAAAGGCACCTGATAGTGAGGGCACTCCCCAAGGATACTCAGATTAAATTCTGTATGCTTCTGTGCCTCAGACTTGGCTTGAGGCAGCCAGTTGTTCAGCTTGGAGGAAAGTCTAGCAAGTGCACAAGCACCTCTGAAGCCAGACTGCCTGGGTTTGAATCCCAGCTCCACCGGTCACTAGCTGTCTCACCTTGGGCAGGTTATTTAAGCCCTCTAGGCAGTTCCTCAGCATCAGTTTCATGCAGTTGTTATGAAGGTTAAATGAGTTAATATTGATAAAGCACTTAGAAAAGTGCCTAGCAAGACATAAACAGTATAAGTGTTTAATAATTTTTAAAAAAATTAAATCTGACTTTAGTTAGAAATTAAAAGTACTTGGACTCTGAAGATGATTAAGCTACACTGACGGAGTTAGAGTTTGAAGAATCATTTCACCTGGAGCCTTTAAAAATTTTAGCCCCTATTTTGAGACCAAGGGGTCCCACTAGATGACCTCTTGAGTGGCTGACTAGCTGCATAAATTGTACAGAAATTTTAATTGGGTCTGTCTCTTGTGTAAAGAACCATGATTTGTTGTATGTTAAAATGCAAGAGGAGCCCCTCTGTGCCATGCATGTGATTATGAATTCAGACTACTGAACGATTTATTTTCATCTTGTTCAAAACAGCTGGACTACAAGAAGCAGTACGAAGCCAACAAAGCCCACTGGAGGTGGATCCCTGACCGACCGGACTTCATCCAGGCTGCCAAGTCATCCCTGCAGCAAAGCGATGTGAGACAGGAGAGACAGCCAGCCAGAACTCACGAACACCCGAGACATAGAGAATTAGTGCTTATGCATAACACCTACTGTTGTGGCTGTTAACCCTAGCTCATTTGAGACCCAAGGACAGGAGGGTTGTGAGGAGTAGAAGGCAAGCTCAGGAAGCAGACCTGGCCACAGAGCCTGGTTTCCCATGACTGGACCCAGCCAGACACATGGTTCAGAGTCCTGAGCAAGGCTGGGGTGGGGCTGGAGGCAAGTGGGCTGGGAGGCTTGGTCCTGGTCATGGGGCTGGAGAGGGGGAGCCCAGCCCACAATGAGGGGCCAGGAGGACCCTGCCCTGATTCTCGTACAAGTCCTCATAGTGCCTGTAAGAGGAGGACTGTCTATGGATTTAATCAAATACCAACTTCCTCCCGTGCCTGCCATCCTTTTCCATCTTCCTCTCCCTTTCTTGTATTACAGTTTGAATACAAGCTGGACCGAGAATTCCTCAGGGGTTGCAAGCTTTCTGTCACTGATGATAAAGACATGGTGCTGGCCCTGAGAAATTCTTTAATAGAAAGTGATGTAAGTATCCAGTCCCTTCCATGATGCCTAACCTCACTCAGGGCCGTCTTCTTCCACACAGTCCCAGGGACACCCAGGGAAGAATAGAGAGGGGCTGCTTCTATAGGAGCTCACGTGTGGGTCCTGAAATATGACCCTGCCCCCAGTGAACACCAGTGACATAGTAGAACAGGGCAGTAGCAGGGGCAAGCTATTAAATCCTGGTGACCGTTCTTGATTTCTACTGCACCACAAGGTAAATCACACTGCAGGCATTGGGTATCTGAAGAAGTCCCGGCTGGATTCTATAAGGAAACATTCATTTTTATGGGATTGTACTCTTGCTATGCTGCAGTTTCCTCATCTGGAAGGGAGGAATAGTAATGCTTCCCACGGTTTGGGGGAAGGGTCAAATGACATATTTGAAAGTGCTTTGAACTAAGGCTGTAAGTACAAAGATTCATCATGAGATCCATTCTGATCAATACTAAAGCCTCAACTTGCAAGAGATAAAGAAAATCTCTAGTGTGTATTTCACAAGATTTCCAAACGTCAAATCTTTTACTGAGTTTCATGTTCCTACTGCGTCAACGATGCTATTCTCCCAGCTCTATCTAGTGACTTGGGAGCTCAATAAAAATATGCAGGAAACCCAGAAGAGCTAAAGAAATGCCTTTTTCACCCCTGCAGCTGAAATACAAAGAGAAACATGTCAAAGAAAGAGGAAGCTGCCATGCTGTGCCTGATACTCCTCAGATCCTCCTGGCAAAGACTGTCAGCAATCTGGTGTCCGAGGTAACCCTCCAGGAACTCCTATGCTGTTTCCATCTTGGACTAATGTCCCAGGAAAACGTTTTAATAAGCTCTCTGTGGATTCCCTCAGAACAAGTACAAGGCGTATGTGAAGAAGCGCTTGGCCCAGGGCTCATACACAACACTGCCAGAGACCCGCGACACTGTTCACGTCAAGGAAGTGACCAAGAATGTCAGCGATGTAAGTGACCAGCCCCATGACTCTGAGTGGTAGCAATGCCACTTTGCCTTAGAATCCAGTGACAGACTGTGGCTGCCTTTCTGCTTACACTTTCTTTTACGTTATTCACTATTACCATCAATACCTGTAGTGGATTTTGAATTCTGGTTTAAAAGATGACTCAATATTTATTGGCTTTCTAATTGTAGCAACTATGGCAGCTGTGGGTTTTGGCCCAGGACATGTTATCTGCAATATAAGATGTTACTAACCTAGTGTTAATAAGGGGAGGAGGCATTGCTGATAAAGAGTAGCCTCTCCTCTCATTAAACTGCTAAATGATTTCAGAGAAGGAAAATCACCTCTGTTTCCTCGCAATCTCTGCCCACTGTATCCTTATCAATAGTGCTTTAATAATCTTGGTATTATATTTTATGAGCCCTATGTAGTTCCATATAGTTTTAAAAAGTCGAAATGGTGAATGAAAGGGTTTAATTTGCTTTTAGTCAGTTCTCCAAAGATTGCTGTATGGTTTAAGTGTTGGGTTCCAGAACAGAAATACCAGGGAAGAGCTAGAATATGGATCAGAGATCCAAGTTCCAGACTGATGCCAAAATGGGGAGCCACGGATTTTCCTGGAGATCTTCTCACAGTTCTTCAGGTAAATCAATTGTATTCCCAGCCTCCTCTGCTCACACAAGTAATTCTGGCTCTTTTTAGACAAATTACAAAAAGAAGTTTGTCAAGGAGAGAGGGAAATCCAACTACTCCATCATGCTGGAGCCCCCAGATGTGAAACATGCCATGGAAGTGGCCAAGAAGCAGAGTGACGTAAGTTTCCCCTCTCCATGTTCTCAGGGGCCCAGCTGAGCCAGTGGGTTCCAAATTGGTGTATGCCGAGCTGGTTCCAGTGAGAGAGTCACCCTAATTTCTTATCTGGTAGTTTAAAAAATATGGTAGTAGAATTGGTTGGGTTTTAATAGAAAGGTTCCTTGTTCTTAATGAGGACTTTTGGAAAGATAGAATTCTCTTGAGTGAGTAAAGACTTTTTTTCCTCCAAATATAGGTCGCTTACAGAAAGAGTGCCAAAGAAAACTTGCATTACACGACAGTGGCCGATCGGCCAGACATCAAGAAGGCCACACAGGCAGCCAAACAGGCCAGTGAGGTAAGGTTGTAGTTAAAATGCACCCAGTCCCCGCGGTCACTGCCAACAAGTGGTACAAGGCACCCACCGCCTAGAATGTATTGCCCATTTTGGTTTTCTTTGATTCAGGTGGAGTACAGAGCCAAGCACCGCAAGGAGGGCAGCCATGGGCTAAGCATGCTTGGGCGCCCAGACATTGAAATGGCCAAGAAGGCAGCCAAGCTGAGCAGCCAGGTAACACAGATGGGCAAGCAGCAGCTCTAATGTGAAAAACCTTGCAGGAAGAAATGATTCCCAGAATGAAGGTGCAATTTTAGCAACCAAAGAGATATGGGTCTTTGATAGCACTGCAGAGTTTAGAAAAGTTATGTCATGAGAAGTGTGCTAAGGACCTTCTCTCTTGTTTCCCTCTAACATCTCTAGGCCTTCCTCATTCTCCACTTTTCCATTTATGGTGTGTGTCTAGCTGTTGGTGTGCTTTACTCTCTTCAAGTAACAAAAACATCAGCTTGTGAGGTCCTATTGGAACCTCTCCCCAGGCACTGAGAGTTACATCCAAAGGGCCTGATTCATACTTGAGTCACCTGTGGGAACTTGATAACATGAAAAAGCCATGAAATTCTACCTTCTAGAACCCAACCAGATGCAGTCACCTTTATTCTTTCATTCAACATACATATATTGAACACCTGGGCTAAGAACTAGAGGTGAGGAGATGTCCTCAGACTATATGCCCATGGATAAATAAGTCCAATTTGGGGTAAGTGTTTGATTAAGGTATGCACAGGGTGCTGAGGGGGAATGCCTCATTCTAGCGGATTTCCTATTATTGAGAAGATAGACTCAGAAATGTGTTGACCAAAACTGGTTGCCACATTACCTAATTTCCCTTGTTATACCAATTATCTAGCATACCCCTGAGATATGAGAAGGTTTCACTTTAGTTTAGAGACTCAGGGTCACAACACCAGATCTTTCAGAGAGCAAGTTTTAGTCCTATAGGATTTGAGCTCAAGAATATCTTGTCTTCTCCAATTTAGAGATCCTACCTTCTTCTCCTTCATTGTCTGTTCTCTCAAGTATTTGTTCGAAGACATAGGTTTGGGATACGTTTGGTTGTTGTACGTGTGATTTTCAGCAATACCGAACATGAGATTCCAATCTTTTGGAAGACATAAATTAGTAATAGCAAGTGACAAAATAAGTCAGAATTAGGATGAGATAAAAGGTTCAGATGACTGATGACAAATAAATATGATTTTTTAAAACTTTCTGAATTTAAAACTCCTATGCAGTATTTTTAATATAAATTAATGGCATTGTATAAGCATTTGAGACCAAGATGTGAAATCACCAACAAAAAACAGTGGAATCTCTAAGAGTAATGAAATGTAACAAGAGCTTTTTAATGTAAAAAATTTGGTGTATTTTTAAATTTCCAAGGACAAAGCATTATCAAGTTAAAAACACAGAAATGACTTTGATGTTGAAATTTTGAAGGCTTTGCTGTTTGAAAATAGAGAGGCTCGTATTTCTAAACCTAAGTGAATCCTTTGAGGTGGAAAATGAGACCCAACCAGATCCTTTTATGAGCTCGCCTTCCTGGGTTCATCTCCTGTGAAAGGTCTGCCTCAGGATTTACAGCTTCATGGTGTGGCCCCTGGTCCAAGGGGGCTTCACCTGTGTGTGCCCCTCCCCATTCTGACTGTGCTGTCTTGCTGCACGCTCTAGGTGGAATACCTCAAAGGCCAAAGGCGAGGGTAGGGGCATGGCGCCGCATCTTATGACACGCCTATGATGAGGCATCTTAAGAAAATTAATGCACTGCTCAGTGATGTAAGACTGACACCAGCAAGCCAATATCTCTGTCTTTCTCTTTTTCTCATCTACTTTCTTAGCCTTGATCAGGGGACTGACCAAGTTGCACTCTTTTCTGTTGATTTTGTGTTGGAACATGTAGAATGCTGTGGAAATTTGTCAGAGGATATACTTTTGCACACATCCATCTTTTCCTGCATGAAACTTTCCTTCTGGAACATGCCACTTGGAATAGGAAGATAGGATAGACTTGGAGATGGCCTCCCAGTGTACTTTAGGTTGCTGATACCCATCAAATTAAAAGGTGAAATGAAAACAAACTGAGAATCTCATCTCCAACCACGGGGAGGAAATCTCTGCTGATGACTGTTGTTGATGTTTAATACATTTAAGACTGGCATTTAATACAGTCTCTCGGATCAGGCATAGTATGAATCAACAGATTAAACTCCTTAAAATGTTTTCACTCACAGCTCTTTCATCTTACATTTTACGATCTTAATAGCAAGAAATTGTTTAATTCTTGGACCTGTTCTTCAGTCTTTAGAAGCACTAATATATAGTTCAAGTCCCTGAAAAGCAGCTGAACAACTAGATGTTAGAGCTTTAAAATCAATTAAATTTTGAAAGAATAATTGATTCGAAAGCTCTTTCCTATACTGCATCCATAAAAGGCCAGCATCTGAGCCTGATGGGATTATAAACACTGGCGTTGCCACTTGCTGATACATGGCATTGCAATGGCTGCCTCTCAGGCTTCCATGGTCAACAAGAAAAAGAAGCCTTTACCATTCTGTAACACCCCATGTGTGTAGTTTTACTATACTTCCTGCCTAGTCCAACACTGTTCTAAGAATTCCTGGAGTCCTGAATCTGATGAGTGTCCTTATCATGCAAAATGTAGTTGTTCTCAGGAAGATCCAGTCTAAAAGGAAGGCCAAATGTGCTGACCTCAGATTCAATAGATGCGCTAGGCTGCATTTGCTTGGGGGGCCTTCTTGTGGAGAGGGGAGGCATAACTTTTCTTTAAATAAAAAGTTGGAAATTTAATTTTACTTGACATTAATAGAAGAAAAGAAAACTGGAATGAGACCAATGGAGTTGCTGCTCTTCAAACAAATATTTCTTCAGAAACCAATCATTTTCTAAAAGATACAAAGAGGGCTTTTGAGGCTGTCCTGATGGGGTGGTGGTTAAGCTCATGTGCTCTGCTTTGGCAGCCCGGGGTTCACAGGATCAGATCCCAGGTGCAGACCTATATACCACTCAAGCCACTCTGTGGTGGCATCCCACGTAGAAGAACTAGAAGGGCTTACAACTAAGATGCACATCTATGCACTGGGGCTTTGAGGAGGGGAAAAAAAGAGGACTCTTAGCATACTTCTAAAGGAAGCAGATTTTATTCTCGTCTGAGATATGTCTTTGCATCTTTTCTTCCCCGTCTGACTCTGCACATCTACTTTACTTTGTTTTTCTGTGTTTCGCAGCTCTTGGGATCAGTCCTAGTCCTATGGGGGTTCTATATCCCTTAAGACAAATATCCTTTTGGTCCAGACACCAGCTCACCACCTCCTACTTTCCTTAGCAGGCTTTTCGTTTCTTCATTTTGAGAGCGAATTTCCTTTCAGAGAAGGGCCATTGTGGCATTTATTTACATTTTGTTTTCCTATTATATGTGTTTCTGCTTCCTCCTTTGTGTGTCTGTCTCAGTGTGCCTGCATCACGCTGTGCTGTTCTGCGTGCTTATTTTTCCTCTGTGTTTCCACTGTAGATTTATTCAAAATAGATGAGTCTCAGCATCGTGAGTGCATTTTCTCTGATGTGGCAGATTTCATTGTTCTTAGCATTTGAGTGATCTCATTTTGTGTCTGTTCTGCTGGATATGTAAAGTTGTGGGGAAGCGAAGTACAGTGATGCAGCTTGAGGGTACTGATTTGAAATGTCTGCAGAGTGAAATATCTGGGTGACTGGATCCTGGTGTGCTAACTTTGAATGTGTGAGTCTTTCATCTTACCAATAAGAGAAACTCTAGGTGTCCTGGAGAGGCAAATATTGCCATTTTAGCTAGGGAATATCTAGAAATAGCTCGTTTTTCACTCTTCCTAGAGTGAATAACCAGTGGCGTTCTACTTCTGGACTTCATCCTAGAACACTATTGACAAAGACATCAGTCTGTTTTTCAATAAGGAAATGTTTCTGTCACTTTTGGTTTATTCTCTTGAATTTTTCTATAAAGAAATCATCTTCTTTAGCTATTTTACCGAGGCATAATGACTGTCTCTTCCTTTCATTCAATCAGATCACATTTATCGAGCAACAATTAGTGCCAGCATTATGCTTATTTTTTAAATTGAAGTTATTTCATCCTTTGCATAGTCTTACTTTTATAGATCCTAAAAGTATATTTAATCTTATTTTTCTCATTATTCTGTAACTATCTCACTTCTTGCTTTCTTCTAGTCTGAAATCATACTGAAGACATTAACACCCAAATTCTGTTCTTTTTTCACTCGGAAGTTATGCCATTTTTTTTTGCTGAGTTAAAAAAAATTAAAATGATATATCCGAAGTATTGTTTTAAAATAACAATAAATTCTCTGAATTTAACAGCTTCCTTACTTTTCGCTCTTCTTGATCATTTACAACCCCTCTCTGAACTCCTTGAAGTAGACCTAAAATGCTTTTGGTTTTGCAGTTAGATGGGGTAAAATGCTCTGAAGCCTTTTTCCACTTATTTTTGTTTTGCATGAAAAAGAAGTGATTATGTTTTATACCTCCGGTTAACACAAAAATGAGCAAGCAAATACGATGTCGCTTGACCTCATTCTTTATTGCTTGTTGTCCCAACATCATTATTAATAGTGCTTCCTTTTACTCATAAAAGTGTCCTAGTTTGCATATTATATCATATGATCTCTTCATGTATAACACATATTCTTTTGCATTTATATTTCCTCCATTCTTCAGTCTTCATATTAATTAATGTTCAGGAATAATTTGGAGTTTTGCATTTGCCGTTAGGTTCAATACCGAGAAAATTTCAACAAAGAGAAGGGCAAGACGCCAAAATACAATCCAAAAGAAAGCCAGCTCTACAAAGTCATGAAAGATGCTAATAACCTCGCAAGTGAGGTATGTTTTCTTTAATTGTGGTAAAATATATAACATGAAATTTACCATTTTAACTATTTTTCAGTATACAAATCAGTGGAATTAATTACATTCAAATCTTGTTCAACTACCACCATTATTTCCAAAATGTTTTCATCACCGCAACCAGAAACTGTGTAACTATTAAGCAATGACTCTCCATTCTCTTCTCCCTCGAGCCCCTGGTAACTTCTAATCTACATTCTATTCCTGTGAATTTGCCTACTAGAGATTTCATATAAGTGGAATTATACAATATTTGCCCCTTTTTGTCTGGCTTATTTGACTTAGCATAATGTTTTCAAGATTCTTCCATGTTGTAGTATGTGTCAGAGCTTCATGCCTTCTTAGGGTAAATAATATTCCCTCATATTGATATACCACATTTTGTTTATCCATTCATCTGTCGATGGACATTTAAGTTGTTTCCACTTTTTGGCTACTGTGAATGAAATAGGGTTCTTCATCAACGTCTCCAGCGTGTTTCAGGATGGGTTATCTTATTATGGTCTCCTATTTACATGATTTTCTTTTTCCCCTTAACATACAGGTTAAGTATAAGGCTGACCTGAAGAAACTTCACAAACCTGTGACTGACATGAAGGAATCTCTGATAATGCATCATGTCCTGAATACAAGCCAACTTGCCAGTTCTGTAAGCTCAACCATTTGCTTCAGAAACAGCCTGTTTCATTCATTCGCAACTAAATTCCCCCTCTGAGCTCACATGCATCTCCTTCTCTGCCACTGAGACACCAGATTTATTAGAAAGCTCTTCTTTTTTTTGAGTGCATTCTTTCAAATTACAGCATCAGTCTACAAATTCTCCACTAACTATAACACCTCTCAGAATATAAAAATGCTGCTATTTTTAGAATATTTGAACTGTTTTTCCCCAATTAATCAGCTGCTTTTCTCCTTCTAAGGACATAGAATTACCATTTGAAATAATTTCCTTCACTTCTAACTTTTCACTTTTAAAACCTGCTTTGAATAAGCCGTATAACCTAAGTGTTTACAGCCTGTATTAACTGACAATACTGAACGTGGACCTTCATTCTTTAAAACTTTTTCTTAACCCCCTATTTAGTGTTTGCTAATTTTAATTTGGTCTTGCGATCCAGCTTTGCAAATGTCTAGTCTAAAGAGGAGAAATAGGAGTGCTGAGCAGTTTTTCCCTCAACATGCCTTTTTTGCCACCTTCCCCTCAGTACCAGTACAAGAAGAACTATGAGAAGAGTAAAGGCCACTACCACACAATCCCCGATAATCTGGAGCAGCTTCATTTAAAAGAGGCCACAGAGTTACAGAGTATAGTAAGTTGATCAAGACTGACTTTTTTCCTACTGCACATTCATCTATGATGTCAAAAACTTTCATGGATTCCCTCCCAGACAGCACTTATACTTGTAGTGACCATTGCTTGAGAAAATGCCCAAAGATATAAGGGGCTTTGAATTTTGCAACATTGGGAAACAAAGTTTTCTTTTATAAATGATAACAGCATCTACATGTATTGGAGAAAACGTGCATATACATGCAATATGTGTTATTGACGTTACTGACAGATTACCATAACTTATATTACAAGGAAGACAAACCTCTTACAATAACCCTACTATGCTCCCGTGAATCTGTACCCCAGGCTAGGAAACACTGCAACAAAAGATAGGGAGCCCTAGGAGAGTTTTAAGCAGAGAAGTGATATGATCAGACCAACCATTGAAGTAGTCGCTGGGTGTTTAAGAAATTGCAAAATCTGTAAAATAATTAAGATTATCAGAGGAAAGAACTCAGAGAATGAGCTTACTATTACATGAACTCCTGTATGACAAATTCAGCATTATTTAGGTCACCTGTTGGGCATTAACCAAGAAGCCTAAATTGTTAGAAACATCCTCACATCATCTGTAAAGCAGCACTTGCCCCCAGACCTTTATTCTAATGTTTTGTTAGAAGAAAAAGAGCTGAGACTGAGAATTGCCATTAAGGTGCCGTGGAAACCAGAGCCTCTGCCTCACTGTCTTTCAATTTCTCCTCTGTAAAATATGAATGTCTGTATGGCTCCCCTCAGTCCTAATCATGTTGGAAGATAAGGAGATTGTATTTGTAAAACAGCGTTGGGGGTCTTTTGAGAATGTTAGATTTGTTAGTAAGTCAGTTCGCATGTAAACTAGTTGTCATTTTTATACCAATTTATATTATCTGCATTAAATATGTGACCAGTTATGACCCAGATAGAGTTATTGACTTATAAATAAAGTTGCAGGCATTATCCATTAAAGCAAGACCTCAGGCCTCTGATAAAAGTTCTTATGAAAGGAAAACTGGAGGTTTTTATTAGAAATATTGACTAATACTATGGTTAAAATGTTCACATCTGCACATATCAAATGTCATCAAACCAAGCTCAATTTGCCCACTGCACAGTATGCCCATCACTGAGACAACAAATTTGCAGCAGAGAAAGGGTTTATTTACAAGGCAGCCAAGTGAGGAAACAGGAGAACAAGTGTCAAATCCACCTCCTTGAAAATGAGGATTAGGGATGTTTATGGGATGAAGGGTAGAGCGGTGCAAAGCATGGGGATTGCTGATTGGAGGCAAGGAGAAGTGAGGTAATGATGATCTGCACAAGTGTAGACAAACTTCATGGCTCTTCAAGGGCTGCATGGTCACAAAATGGCGGCATTAGCATAATGCGAGGATGGAGTTTTCAGCCCCTTGGCATCAAGGGGTCGCCTACTGGGCATTTGCACAGGCCTAGTTGATGAGTCGATGGTCTTAACTGGTCCTGAACTGGACAAGGAGTTGACTTTCAGTTTCTGAAAAACAACTTAAACACTCATTATCATAGTGACATAAGGCCTCAGAAATGTTATCTATAAGGAATCTAGTGGGAGTCTGATAATATATTGCTTATCTACATGACTTTTAAGAATAATCATTAATGGCTATCTGGCCACTGGCGTCACAAATCTTGGTCAGTCTTCTCTATGGGTGATTTTCCCATGCATTTCCTTGTATCAACATTTCTCTCAGCTGATTTTTCTGCGATGATTCTTTTGTCTCCTTGAATTGAACATAAATCCGGGTTACGCCTTGCAGATAGTAATAGTGTTTGCCCCCCAGGCAGCTACAAAAAGGTTCTGAATCTGAACACAACAGGAAACTGTTCTGAGTGGCAATGAAATGCTACCCATTAGACATAATGTATCAGTTGAAAAATACTATTCCTAAACTGGTCTCTGTGAATTGAGCAGGAGAGAGATATCTAATAAGGCTTTTCATCACTAGGTGAAATACAAAGAAAAATATGAAAAGGAACGAGGAAAGCCCATGTTGGACTTTGAAACACCAACATACATCACTGCCAAAGAGTCTCAGCAAATGCAAAGTGGGGTAAGTCCTACAAAAACACACCACACGGCAAAGATACCATCAGACTGATGAAAACCAACTCTGCCCACAAATGTATCCAGACTTCTGTCATCCAAAAGTTGTTGATGACAGACTGTTTAATGTGATCACTAAAATATTTTTCATCTCAGAAATCCTATGGTTCAGTTACAAAAAATGATCTGAATCGTAAACATTTACCACATATGTTTTATTTTGACTACCATTTTCATAGAGTTATATTCCTCTGCACAGACCCACCATTAGCTTTGGATTGCTCTTCTCTTAATGGGAAGCCTCAAGCCAAACAAAAGGAGATTAGTGATCAAGATGTTCATTAAAATATTGAAAGTCAAGATGCCACATTTCCTATTCTAAAAATGTAAGCAGAGACATCTAAAAATTTTCTTTTCTCTTTGTTAACCAATATAGAGAAGAATGGAATCATATTTTGAATCTTAGAAAGTATTTTTATTGGGAAGCAGGCTTATTTTGGATTTCTTTTTGCCTTTCCACCATGGGGCATATCTCCAACCATAAAGATAAATGGTTCTTAATAAAAGTAGCAATTTGTGGAGCTTCCTAGTATATAAAATGGCCAGATAATCAAAAGTTTAAAATAGTTTCAAAAAATTGGTGAATCTTGGAAAAAGATCTATGGGAGTTTCTTGTACTATTCTTGCAATTTTTCTGTAAATTTAAAATTCTTTCAAAATTAAAAATTACAAAAATTGAATTCCAACATTTATTCCAAGCCTCCCAGTGAGACAGCCTAGTCCAGGGATTGGAGAGGAGGTAGGGGAGTGTGTGGCCCTTTCTCTCGGCAGTGGACAAAGCCTAAGGATTTCTCTGTGCCTCATTGTCCACTTTATCTATTCAATGATTAAAAATAATAGGTCACCATTATGAAAAAGTCCCAATATGCATTCAGTTCTCCCAAGATTTTCTTCCCCTGGGTTGTTTTATTTTCCCTTTGAGTCTCTTACTTCTAGCTCAAAAGTAAAATCTTTTGTTGCCTTAAGAAAAATGTCATCAGGAGAGATGACAATGGATTCAGAGGCTTGATGGCATATCTGTCCTCCCACTCTTGCAGCCGGCCAGCTCCAGTCACAATATTAGACAGGTGAATGAGGAACCCAACAAAATGTCTCAACCTCGGAGTCTCCTTAACTCCAGATAAAGTATTTCCAGAACAATCAGGCACATTTCAAATGTGCGACCATTAGCAGAACTATGATCAAGTTAAGAGGCCACACGTAGACAGAAAATGCTATAATTTGTTTCTTCCTAGGATTGAGAAATAAATTGTAATAAAGATTCTTTTGTAACTTGTCTTTCCTTCCTACTCACATTAGAAAGAATATAGGAAAGAGTATGACGAGTCCATTAAAGGCAGAAACCTGACTGGCCTGGAGGTCACACCAGCTTTATTACATGTCAAATATGCAACCAAAATAGCCAGCGAGGTAGTGCCCACGTGGTCTTTTCTTTCCCTCTTGATCCAAATAATTGCACTAATGACACTCATCAATGTCTTCCTTCTACCATTTTCATCACCACCTAACTTTGTGGGTTTTAAGTTGAGTTCACATGTTTGGTACTACCACCTAATCTATTACCCATGTTCATTCTAATTTTTTAATTGAATACCTAATAAAATGTGCTTACTTTAGCATTCTACTAATTTCTAGTTTCTTATTTGATATTTAATATTAACTGATGAAGCTTGTACCCTGACTTTATTCATATCTTTAATTACTAAACTATAACTATTTAAAATTGGAAGGTGGTTTTGTCTTTTGTGTTTTTGGCTCTTCACCTAAGAGCAATCATCCAAGCTTTCTTGTCAGCGTTGTTGCTTTTATTTTGTGATATAGAAAGAATACAGGAGAGATCTAGAGGAAAGCATCCGTGGGAAGGGTCTCAGTGAAATGGAAGACACACCTGACATGCTAAGAGCCAAGAATGCCACTCAAATCCTCAATGAGGTGGGCCCACAGCCAACCGTATGCACACAATTAACAGAGCATCTTCTCCTTTCCAGCCAAGTAACACGAAAAAACCAGAGAAGAGATAAAAAAGGGGTTTTGAATGTCAGATTCTACATCCGTCATGGTTACTAACCATTAAGTGAAATATATCTCAATTTCTGATGAGTTAATATTATAACAGTCTGTGTGTATAGTGGCTATCATAATCTGTTATTTATCTAATAGTATTTGATTTAACCTTGATCTTTTTGGTGTGCTTGTTTAAATTAAAACACCACACTGGAGTGGCGTGCACTGAAGTTCAGTCCTAGTTATGTAGCAAACCAGATGTAAGATCTGCTTTATACTTTAGTTTATTAACTGGAGAATGCTAAAAGTGTTCAAAAGCAGGCCTTATGTTGATTCATGTTGACATGAGTAGAACAGCTTCCTAAAGTGGGCTTCGTAGTCACCACTCCATCCTACCACATGGAATGGTGAAGGTGAACACTAACAACTGAGGTGGCATGTTATGTGGATTTACAGTCACTCTGCACATTCATCGTCTAGCTGTGGAAATTTGGTAACTTTTTTTTAATGCTCTTATAGAAAGAATATAAGAGAGATCTGGAGCTGGAAGTCAAAGGAAGAGGCCTGAATGCCATGGCCAATGAAACTCCCGATTTTATGAGGGCAAGGAATGCAACTGATATTGCCAGTCAGGTCAGTGTTACATGTCAATCTTTCAAAAAAGTAGTTGCAATTACACGGACACAGTGTTGTCCTTCTATTATCTTACTTGTTGATCAATGACAGTCAAATGCATATAGTGGCATTCTTCCTGGCGGAACCCGTTCCAATAGAAGGACCAGGGCCCCTTTGCCAGACCTGCTTTCATCTGCCTTTCCAAGTCCATAGCCACAGGAGATGTTCAGAGCAAGGGGCAGATGTTGGGGAACCAAACAGCTGTTTGGAGCTGGGGTGGACTCTGACATCCTGGCCTTGTTTCTTAGTCAATACATTCCCCATGTGGCACCAAGAATTCCTTGCTTAGAATATTTGGAAAGTTCTTTCTTTCCCTCCTTTCAAGGCCTAAATTTAAAACACAATTTTTAAGCATCCTACATTGTCTAATACTGATTGGTGCAGATCTTTTGCTTACTTGTCCTGCTTCTGGTTCTTATGTGTGTAAACAATCCATGCCTTACTATCTGTTGATTATCTCACTCCTTTCCCATCACCTTCCCCCTGCCCACCCCATGCCCAAGTAAATAGTAATTCTTTCAACAGCTAGGACTCAACCTTTCTTTTTGAATCTCTCTCTTTAGTGTAAAGCTATAAACACAATAGGAAAAAAATATCTGTTGAATGTCAAATGAATGAATCCTTTGGAAAAGAAATATTGATCACCTCTTAAACTAATTCAACAAATATTGTACACATTGTAAATATTTATCCAATTGTTGAATGTTCTTTTGCAGATTAAGTATAAGCAATTAGCAGAAATGGAAAAAGCCAATTTCACTTCTGTGGTTGATACTCCAGAGATCATTCATGCCCAACAAGTCAAGAATCTTTCAAGCAAGGTAAGGACATTCATCAGAATATCACTCATTGACCCCAATCATGAGGAACAAAAGTCTTTCCATTAATACCTAAGTAGGTTCTTTCCATACATAATTTTTCCCAGTAAAAGAGAAGGAATTCATCTATGATGCAAGTTGGTGTCAGAGTTGAGATTTCTGTATCAGAATTAAAATAGATTACATGATGGAATATTAAGGTACTGAAGAACTCTTACTTGGTACCACCCATAATTAATGAATCTATGTTTTAACATATAAAGTCTCATAATGTGGATGTAAAATTTGTGGGCAAATCTGAAAGAAACAAAGTAAAGAATCCACATTTGGATTATCACTGTCTTTAACAAGATTGAGATTATATAGTCAAGACCAACCACACAATCTAATCCTGATTCCTCCCAAGACAGATAACTCTCCGTGTTCCTACAAATAGAAAAATGAAGAAAAGTAGGATGTCCTTCATACACCAGGCTATACCCTCATTTGTTTTAATCTTCAATGATATCAGGAGTCTGTAATTTATTTGAGTAACCCCAAATTAGAATTTTTGCTTGTCTTCTGATCAGTGAGTTCTAAAGGAGTAGTTACCTCACCTGGCTATGCTTTACAAACACCTGGGAATGTAGATTTTTCTGGCCCCACTCTGGAATTTTGAAGCTAGTAAGCTCTGATTTAAGCCCTGGATATCTGTTTTTATTTGTTTGTTTTGTTGGTCTTAAACAAATGGACAGCTAGTTATTTCTTCAGTAAAAATGGGTTTATTTGGTATCAGCAAAGAATTGCAGTTCAAGGTCTGCAACCATGGGGAGCCCCGTGCAAGTCCGCCAGCAGCAAGGGAGGAGAAACTCTTTTATAGAGGGGAGAGGAAGTTGGGAGGGCTATTGTAAACAAAGAGTCCCCTGGAGGAATTGGGAGTTTGATGTGTAGTGGCCTTTCTTTGACTGAGTAACGACAGTCTCTCATTGGCTGAACTTCTTGCTGGTCAAGAAGAGGAAGTCATTCTTCCTGTTGAATGTGAGAGCTTCCCCTTTTGGCCTCCCAACTCCAGCTTAATGAGGTTTCTGTTTATTAATTTGACAGTTTGCTTGTCTGTACTCTCCACAGACGATCTCTTAATGACCAATAAGGTTGGGGAAATCATGGACTTAAAACTTTTATCAGCAACATATAATTTTATATTATAAATATAGACATGAAAGATAGTTATTACTAGAGAGTGGTTTAATTAGGAAACAAACATATTTAAATGGGAAAAATGAACCTTTTATTTGAGGGCGGGTGGGAGAGAATTTTATTACCAAAATTATATGGGCCCCAAACTACCATGTTGTGTTCACTGGGGGAACCAGGGAGACCAACACTCGGGGCCTGAGTCTCCAGCCTTACAACCTTCTGCCTTTTGACATTGCTAATCTTTAAGGAAAACCTCAGAGTGCAGGCCTGTTCCGGGGAGGGATTAAGCCACTTACTCTGCTTCCTGGGGTTTCCCCTGGCTAGTTCCTTTGGCTGGTTCCCCAAGGCCGAAGATATGGCCAGGCAGATTACTTCCTTCCCAATTTAGAGTAGCATTTGCCTCTGAGTGATGGAATGGTGCTGGTTCTTTCCACAAAACTGATTCTCGGTGTCCAATAAGAGAGTATGTATCTTATAACTTCTAACCTCATACTTGGGGGTTAATGTAAGCAATGTGAGCCAACCCACAAGTTCAGTATAATATACTAAATACTTCTTAATGCTGGGGGGTCTGGGACTCTTTCCTCTCAGAATACCCGCAAGTTCCAAGTGCAGACCAATCACCTCTCTCAGTGACTAGCACTCGCTCTGCAAACCATTAAGGCAGCTTCTGCTTAATCTTAAAACAGAAACAGAGGACTAGTTCTACCTTTTTCCCAGGACAAGGAGAACTGTTTGCCTTACATTTGCATAACTAAGAAGAGTCATTCAGGTGACTTGTTCCTGTACAAAAATATCTGTTCCTGGTGAACTGCCCTCTCCTTTCAGAAAGCTGCTTTAACTGGCTTCCTGTTATGTGATCAAAATTTAGGCAGAAATCTCTTGTTGGTTGAAACTACTTCTTTGTTGTGTTTGAGGAGGTTAAATTTTTCGACACTTACAAATGAAATTTGTGTATAATATAATTTAGGTAGACAGAGATAGATAAATAGAAAGAATGAATAGTTTATGCCTATTATAAAAGTGGCTAGTCTCTTTCCTCAGCCCTCAGCTCTATAAACTCAAACTTCCCGGAAAAGTGGGAGAAACTGGAGCTAAATAAAGCTAGAGAGAAACATGGAAAGACTTACTGACAAATGATAGAAGAAAAATCAGACTCTGAGACAGAGTAAGTGCTCCACAGCAAAGAAGAACTGGAAATACTTAGTTTAGTCGTGGGGCTTGACTGCTAGGTGTCTGCGAGAAGAGCAGCCCCTCTGGGCCCATCTCTACCGCCAAAGGCCAGGCAGGGGCAGGAAAGCCCAAGAAAAGTGATGGCTGGCTCAGAGCATCTTGACTAGTCAGTTGGTCAGACAGCTGAGCATAGAGGGGGCCCCAAGTCTGTTTGGTAGAGCTGCCGGTTCTGCCACACTGGTTTCTGCAGCATCAGAGTTGTGTTCTGGAAGCGCCTGCTGGGCCTGCCCTCCTGCTCAGTCTCATAGCCAGGAACCCCAACCACACCTGCTCAGACCTCAGGGAAAATCTCCTCGTCACCAGCTAAGGTGGGCTTTTGGAGGTCTTGTGGATGGCTCTTAACCCTCCTGCTTTTCTCCACCTGCCTGTTGTCTGGCTGCATCCAGTTCACTGTAGGTATCCCCATCTCCCTGCCAGCAGCCTAGTTACTGTCGCCTCCCTCATGTGGACCAGCCAGCAAGGGCCTCCCCTGCCAGCTTTGCCATGACAGTGGGTCCTATTAAATGTCCAGGCTCAGTTCTCCTGGAAAGGAAAGGCATAGCACTCACTGACCAAAAGGGTTCTGCTTTATAACTTATAACATCCTTGAACAGTTAAGAAAATACAAAGTGCTTTCCGTCTGCTGAGCAGGAAGGGCTATTTTAGGTCCCATTGGCCCATATCCCTGTGGAGCTCACCATCCTTATTTTTTGGAATCTATTTCCAGAAAAAATACAAGGAAGATGCAGAGAAATGCATGTCATATTATGAGACGGTCTTGGACACCCCAGAGATGCAAAGAGTCCGGGAGAACCAAAAGAATTTCAGCCTTGTAAGTTTTTATTGAATCTAAGACACAGCCCACTGGTACCTGGGATGAGGCAGGGCAAGGAGGATGCCTCTGGGCACACACACTTGGGTATCCCACCTGCAATGGGGCTACGGAGCAGCCCTCCACAGCTCCCACCCACGGCCCAGGGAATGGGTGCTCCCGTCTTCTCTGGGCTCACCTTATATTTCAACCCCAAATCATAGCATGAGGGACCCATCTGTCACTTTGTTGATGGCTTCCTGTCATTGAATATGAACTATCACCATCGTCCATTTGTGGAGATGTCTGTCTTTTTCTAGGTTAATTCTAAGCAAAGGATACACTAAGAAAACCTAATTTGACATGTTACAAATTTTAGGGTTTTAAAAAATTAGTTTCTCCACAAAATTCTTATTAAAGAATTTCCCTTTGGCTATCAGACCATGATTATTGTGGCATAGAGATTCTTTTTTTAAATATGGGATTTTTAACTTCCTTAACACAATATAGGACAATTAAAATACAAGACAATTAAAAATATATAAAACCATGTTGAAATCTTAACAAGATGTTTACTCTTTCTTCATAGCTCCAATACCAGTGTGACCTTAAAAACAGTAAAGGAAAAATTACAGTTGTTCAAGACACGCCAGAAATACTGCGTGTTAAAGAAAATCAAAAGAATTTCAGCTCGGTATATTTATTATTCATTTTCCACTTACTGCTAACCTAATAATTCCATCCTCCTCTTTAAAAATATTACTAGCCTCACGTTGATTCAGACAATTAACATCTAACCTCTTCAGTTAATACTAGTGGTTATTTGTTAAAATTCCTCATAATTTACTCTAAAATCACCACTCCTGACACCGTTTGAAATAACAACTTAAATTTGCTAACAAAGTAACGTTTCTTTCTTTTCAGTTTTTTAATCCCAGAGCAGTAACATGTGTTGTCTTGCTCCAGGAAGATGGATTCCTTTGTGACATTGTGATTTCTTTAATTATTCCTCCCCAAAATAACTGATTGACTTTGCATTTCCTTAATGGCCTTTGTGTTTCACATGGGAGGGCTTTTTTTTAATCAACATTTTCTGGGTTTTCACCTTCTCTATTAATACATTACGATGATCTTAAAAGAAATCTCAAGATCTGGAAAGTGCTCTATGTTGTATAAATGGTTTGAGTTACTGATGCTGACGTGGAAGACTTCAGACATTCTAGCACCTGCCTATGAACATTCTCTAGTGTCTTTTATTTTCACAGAAGCCATGTTTCCTAGTCTTTCTCCAGGAATTGCTGGGGTTTCCTTTCTTCTGTGTAACACTGTCCTGATTCTGAATGTCCAGGTTTTGTATAAAGAAGATGTCTCACCAGGAACAGCAATTGGAAAGACACCTGAGATGATGAGAGTGAAGCAAACCCAGGACCACATCAGCTCGGTAAAGACGCCCACCAGGGGCTCCCTTTCAATATTTTCTGCCTCCCTCTGATCATTTACATTGATGTCTGAGTTGCACTCAAAACCTTTGTCACCGGAAGCGGCTTAAGTTGCTAGAATACGTGCCTGTGGTTAGGGTCACCTCATAGTCGGTGTGGTGTCATGGCAGTTTTCATGAGAGGAGGTTGGATACGGAAAATGGAGAGGGTGGTATCCAAGCAAACCAGAGCTGAACAGTATTTAAAGCAGTAAAAACAGATTTTATTCAGGACTGTTGCAACAGGGGAAAAGAGACCTCAGTATAGAACTGGGCTCGATTCTGAATACAATAAGGATAAGTGAGAATTTATTGCCAGGGGTGGGTTAGTGGGGAAAGTATCCGTGAGTGGAAAACTAGTCAGAGAAAA